AAGCTTTTAATTTCATCAGTTTCGTATATCATGCATTCAAAGTACTTTTTCACTGTATTTTAATTTTTTGCGAAGATTACGATTGTCTTGTGATCGGACAGCCCACATTCAATTGAAAGCACAGCTGTGTTACGTAATGTGAATCTTTTGAAAAACCAATTTGAAGAAAAGATTATACTCAGAGCAGTCGCAATATTTATGAAGATACATCGTGTCACTCGATAGGCTATGATTAGATCCAATCGATTCGGAATTCTCCGGGCAAAGATTGCAAAATCAAATGATGTGTGATATATAACTGTTTCGTTGTTATAAATTACAGCTTACAATTAATTGTAATGTACAGCTATCGCGGGGCTGATATAACGAGCAAAAAAGGAAGTAGATCAAACCACGTAACGTCTAGGTGAAAAGTGAGAAATTCATATGTATGTACACGCAATAGCGCTTATATTGATATAATAATGCGACGCTGTACGAGGACTTCATATAATTAATCGGATTTCAAGATACGCGTAGCTTCTTTCTACTGTTACCACTGTGCGGTCGAGCATTTGAAGAATACGTCCGTACCGATGGACAATCGAACTTTCGTGCTGCCATCTTTGCTTGTCTTCGCTTCACCGACGAACGGTAACAACTTGTCGCAAAGTTGCGTCAACTTTTGTGTGCTTGTTTTTTTTTTCAGTTCGGTAATTAGGTTATTTTGCACAACCTCGCTTCTATAAGAACAAGTTTATAGACGATCCCACTTGTGTAATTATCATGATAGTCGAGATAAGTTGGCGTTGGAAATTAATTACAAAACATCCAATAAATTACACGTTGCTCGCGCGCGTTTTTCAACCTCGCTCTTCTTAGTGTTTTTTTTTATTTATTCATTCCAATTTGGCTTGAAAGAATATCGTAGTATAACTATACGTTTTGGCTCTAAAATATAGTAGCAAGAGTAAAACTCCAGATAAATATTAAAAAATAAGGAATTCCTTTTCCACTGCGATAGATCGTTTCGATTATACCCGTGACTTGCGAATAAATTTTCTTATGGAGAAAAACAATCTGAGTTTGCTTCAAAGTGTTGGGTTACCGGGTGTCTTTAATTATTGCGTAACCGTTTCAAGAATGAAAACTGCGCTGTGAGCTTTACGGCATCTTGCAAAATCATTGTTTGATTTGTTAACACGCATATCGAATGTTTATCATTATAGATACTTCTAGACTTCGAAGGATTTCAAAATGATAATTTAAAAAAAAAATTGTATTTGACAAATCTGTGATTGTATTACGCATTCTTTTGCATGCGGCGACCATATTTACAATTTAGATTGATGAAGTTTAATAGCAATTTAATATCGATATTTATTTTAATTTATGCCTCGAACAACGTATTTCTTAAGTTTGTCGAACATGTTTTTATCCCATTAATTTCTCCGCTGAAGTTGGAACGACGCTGGAAAAAGCCTCATTCTTGTCATAAATGATAATCTATGAAAGCAATGAAAAGCAATCGCTTTTGTGGAAACGCGCGCACGCTCTTGTGAAACGCAGAGTGAATTCTTAGCACAGCGGTGCAATTAGAAACTGAAATCCATTAAGTTGTTCACCTTTCCGAACGCCACGTATCGTTTGCCGCGCGGCGTAGCAATCGTTTACGCACAATGCCGAATTTCGAGAGAAAAAAAATAGAAAAACGAACGAACGAAGCGCGCGACGCGGTTATTACACCGACAACGTCGGTGGTACTTGTAATTGCAGGAAATATGTCGAAATATTCGACTTCGCTGAAAGAGAACAGAAAAAAATAAAAATTTCCCGACACGACGTTCGCGGCGCGAATCAATTGGCTCGCTGGCTTTCGGAAAGCGAATTCGCGTGGAAAAAGTCAAATTAGGACGGCGAAAAATCGTTTGCAATGGCGTCTGGTCGTGCGCCGAAACTAGAGAATGGCACGTTGAACGAATTCACTCATTCTGTTTTGAAGGTTGCGGTCCATCGAAGTTCAAACAATCGGGACGTGCGAAAGCACAACGCGATACGATTGGAAAGTGCAGTGGCTATTAGGTAAGACGTATTTTGTTCGCTGCATTATACACTTGCAGGACCGGTGTTTTCCCCTCTTGAAACGACGCGCGCGGACCGGTTTTCAACTTGCGAAAGCTCGCGACTGCTGCTGGGAAGACAACCATTTGCATAAGGGTTTTTGCGCAAATGGAATTTTCCCGTCGCGAGGTTGTTGACTCGACGGAGGAAAGAAATTTTCTCGTTTCGTAAAAAAGAATAAAAAAGGAGCGCTTCTCATCGGTAAAATCTATTTCAGACGTGGCGATTGCGCGTGTCGGTTTGTTCTGATCGGTACGAACGTGAATGACTGTACGTAAGTTTCACATTCGAGTATTTCACAATTCAAAGTACGACCACCTTACTTTTATGGAAAAAAGGTTTAAAGCCACTAACTGATCGACGTTTAAAATTGAAGTCAACTCACATATTGACGCTCCAGCTGAACATCCGCCTAATCCTTTCCCTCTGCAACTCTTCTTCCTTGCTCGGCATCTTCGATTTTGCTAGTGGAATCCCAAATCTGCGCCTTACTAACCAACTAGATGTTCATTTTTTCTTCCCTCTGTGGATCAAGTACCAGGTAAATTTTGGGCGGTTAGCGTTCTTTAGCACTCGCGGAAAGGTGATTTTGCACTTTACGTCTGAATCGATGGACGATGACAACAAAGTTTGCGCTTTTGGAAGGAAAGGGATTTTTATTTTGCAGAGAGCTTGACAGCTGTGCGTCACTCTCCTTGCACCAGAAAAGGAACCAAACTGTTTGATCGTCCGGCGTAATTATTGTTTTCTTTTGCGTCACTGGAACGCGCCAGTTTTCATCGATGACTCTATAGAGTCACGATGGAATTTCATTTAAATACGAATAATCTGAGTATCCAGTGATATTGATTTATCTATAGAATTATAATCAATAGATACTACTATATAAATATGGATCTTTAGATACTTTGTCAGGATATTTTTACAATAACGGTATATGAATTCCGCAAACAACTCGTAAAAATCTTTTGAATAATTTTTTTATCAAGCTAGGCACTGGAGACAAGACAACTTCATTACTTTTATTAGCAATTCTGAATAACATCAATAATATGTATAGTTTCGGCAACGACTTTGGAAACCCGTCTCTCATTTTTTACGATACATTTTTCATGAACTTTTTTCATAAATAAAAAACATGAGTTTCGAGAGATGCACGAGAACAAATGTCGTCATAAATTACATCTATACATTGGAGCTAGCTCCACTGAAAAATAAGAGGTGGAGTAGCCTGGGACGGAAACAATCTGACACACTCGTGAACAAAAGAACTGAAAACAATCTGCGAGCAGCAGGATAACGAATCGATCACTCATCACCAGCGTGGCACTATCTTTGCAATCATTTTTTTGTTTTCTGCGATCGCGATTGCGCACCTGTACATAAGCAAAAGCATGATCGTCCACGGAGGCCGAGTTCGCATGAATCTTCAACACTCCGTTAATGAACAACACGCGCGCACGCACACGCACGCACGCGCACACACACACACACACACACACACACACACACACACACACACACACACACACACACACACACGAGCAACCACAATGGAACTAAGTCTCTCACCGTCGGTGTTTACATTTCACCAAGAAGGAGATACAGAAATAGAGATAGAGACAAGGGATTCCATTCGTTAATGACGCGCATTCTTCGATTTAGGTTACTCACGGTGAGCTGACCCAGTGCAAAATCACCTCCTTTTGTTGTCATCTATACGGACCACCTTCTTACCACACACTTCGTTAGAGAGAGATTTTGTGCACGCGATTCAACGTGGGAGAGAGAGAGAGAGATAGAGAGAGAGAGAGGAGGACGAACCTGCGAGCCGTCTGAAAGTGATCCTCGAACTGACCACAGGTAAGTCGTATATTGCCGCTGCGTGTGCACGAGAGGCGCCGTGCTCGCCGTTCCCGTTCGCCTGTGCGCGCGCGCGCGCACGTGTGTCCGTGTGTATATCGCTACATATACTCACTCGCGTGCACGCTACGTGTGGCGAGTTAATGCCGCTCGCACATGTCTTCAAAGATTTGCTGTCCATACGGTGGGATGGCGCGATTTATTTTGTTGTTGTTGTTGTTGTTTTTTCTCATTTGATTTCGTGACTGGTGGATTTGTCGCTACGAGTCGCGTGCTACGGACGAAAGGAACGAGAATTACTCGCGAGATAATTTTTCTTGCCGATGCGTTCAGCTGACGCGATTATCGACAAATTCGGAAAGAGCAACATGGGAATCACTGCAATTGATCTCGATCGATTTTAAACGAAAGATAATCGCGTGAACGTTTGTGTTTTTTTCTTTTCAAACCCATTATTGAGAAATTCCATTTAGTTGTAAAGCGTGATCGTACTTTCACTCTCATCGCAATGCCGAAAGGAAAGAAACTCCGTTTTGGGCTTCCACGCAGGCAGCAGGCACTTGCATTAGCCGTACGCGTGCATGGGTTTGGTCATTAGCCGCCATAAAGGCAAAACGAGCACGAAGTGGCCCTTGCTCCTCCTCCCGCGTCCCTAAGTCGGATGGCAATCTCGACGAGCGACGCAGCGCTCGCGCAACCTTGATGATGCGCGGCGGGCGCACCGGTGGAAAAGCGACCTTCCTTTCGTTTCTCAAAAGACCGGTGTACGCCGCTTTCACGCGCCGATCGCTTCTCTCTCTCTCTCTCTCTCTCTCTCTCTCTCTCTCTCGGCGAGCGCGACCGCAGGCACCGCGCGGTCGCATTCGCGCACGAGCAGCAAACAGGTCGCTCCTCTTGCTTTTCGCTCCTTGCCGAGGTCGCGAAGTTCGCTTTCGATTGGCGCTCCGAAAAAGAAAAAAAAAAAATGCGCGTAGCGCGCAAAGAAGAGCGGACGAAGCAGCGAACCAACGATGCGAGTGATACATGTCTTTGGGAAATGCGACGAGGAACGTTGTGTCGTGCGTGGATTTCTCGGCGTATTTCGTTTATTACAAAAGTGTGTTTGGAGCGGTTACATTGAAATTGAACGAGTAGCCGCGATCATTTCGCAAACGCATCGGCAATTACGAGATGCGCACGTGGACGTCGGTGCAACATCGAGGAGACTCTGTGGCGGAGAACGCGCGCGTTTCTTACAAAATGTCCTTGCGCTTTCCGTCGACGCAGTCGACGCGATTACTCCATCGCCCTCGTGGCACGCGGCAATTGCTTTCGTTCGCTGGTGGTGCCCTTTTCGTCCCGCGTCGAGTCAGCCGCAACGTCGACATTCGCCATTCATGCCGACGGTGTCGAGCGTTGGCGTGCCTCGAACCGTCGAGCAATGGGGCACGCGGAAATTCGCGTGGATTCGCGGTCGACGAACGAACGACAAGAAGCGCAACGCCAGTCATGTAACGCTTCCTCAGGCGTCGCTGCCGTAAATCCGTATTCTCGCGAGGCCTCCGTCCGGCGCTATCGTTACTTTAATGTGGTTGACGGCTCGCGTCGTCGCTTCCATCAGTGGATGTTTCAGTCCGTTACTTTGGTTCGGCGTCAACTGCAAAAATATAGGTCAGCGATGTTAGTAGGCGGGCAGCATCTTAGGAAGAATCGCGATGGTGTGCTCAGCTGGAATGATTGTTTGATGTGCACCTTCGTTCGGTTCAAGACCGTCTCCCAAGTTGCGTTTCTGTGATCCTCGTCAGGTTCGACGTACGCTGCCTCGATTTTCACGCTGTCCGGACAGTTGCCTTTGAAATGCGTCGTGTCAACTTGAATGCGTTCGACGTAGATGGACTTTTCCAGTTGCAAAATTGCCCACTCCTCTCCCTTTTGCTGAAAAGAAAGCGCGGCAATCGCAGTCGTTCAGCCGTTTTTTCTTTTCATTTTTATACAACTGCAGAGCCGATAATTTTGCAATATACGTAACATGCGTTCGCGGGACGTTTCTCAACGAACGAAGTTCGATTGCATTCCTGCATTCGCGTGCGGCGACGTTCAAGTTGTTTCGCGCAACGGCAAGAAGCCACCTCTCACCAACGTGAATCCACGATCGTCGACGTCGATCGTGGGCGGCCTGTCGAGTCGCCTGGCAGTCTCCCAAGCGTCGTTCATTCCTCGCGACGGCCACGGATGTAAGAGGGCGTCCGGATGTCCGTAATGGGCGTCGCTGTACTCGACGCACTTGCCCCGAATCGGCTCCGACGAGCCGAGCCGAGCCGATTCCACGGTAGGTCGGCCGTAAACGCGAAGACGAGCCACGCCGCCGTCGGGGAAGATGTTGAAGCGCAGGTGAGTGTAGACACGCTCGCCGCTGCTCAGCTCGAAGAAGTTCTTGCGGGTTTCCGGGCTGCCGCTTTTCAGCGCTGTCATTGGTATCAGCGTCTCCCAGCTCTGAAGGATGAGGGAATTCAAACGACCGACTGTGGCAAGTTTCGTCGATGATCGTGCGCAAATATATTTTTTTTCTCCGATTTCTCCGTTGAAAGAGGTTCTTCGTTTGCACACAGAAAGAATACGAGTACAGCGTTGCGATAATGAATGCTTACCTCGGAATGCAGTTTCTCGGCATTTTCCAGATCTCGATTATTAGCAGCTGTTCCCATTTTATCCTTGCGACTCTGAATGCCGCCTACGCCTGCCAGCGATAAGAGCAGATGGCTCATCAGCCGTCTGTTCTTCAATCACCGAATAATGGGGAAACGAAAATTGCTCTCACCTTCCGACATACAAGCGGCTTGGAGCGAGAAGCGCGGCGCGTGATTGCCGGTAAAGAAGGCCGTGTCAACGCACACGCCGTCGAGTCTGTTTTGACCAGCGAGGGCAATGATCACCCAATCGTGACCGGGAATCCGCTTTCTCCGAGTCTCCCAGCCGTCCATCCATTTCCCGAATTCCGTGTACTCCTCGTTCCAGTAGGGCTCCTCCGGCTGAAAAATTGCGCAACGTCACTGAAGCGTCGAGGCGCGGCTCACTTTTTTTCCATCGCTGTCAAATTCAACGGCTTCGGCACGCGAATCGCTGCAGCCTATAGGAAAAGATAAATTGCTGCGAGCACTGATCTTTATTTACTTATTTTCTGCTCCACGCGGACAAGTACGTCGGATTCAGGGAGGATCGCGCGAACAGATTGATTCGTGAAATTCGCTAATTCCCGGCTAATAACCGCACTAGTGTAAAGATTTCTTGACGTCGCAATAAACTCAAGAACCCCCGTATCGTACAGTTCACTGATATTGACAATTCGGTGTGAAATTTCGTGGAAAAAAATTAGAAATACGCCAAGAATTTAACGCCTACCTTCAGCAAATTTTCAGCGACGGCGAAAAAGTCGTCCGTGGCGAATAATATCTTCGCGCCATTCTGAAAAGAATTCAATTTCATTATATTTCCTCGACTCGTCGGCTTGCCAATTATCAAAATGTAATAACGTTCGCGAACTACTTCTCGAGTTAAAAAAAGCGAATATATTTGAAACTGATATTAAAAATGACTGATCGTTATCAGCACTATTTTGACAATTCTGCCAAGGACTGCTATACATAGTGAAAATGGTCACTAGTTTTTTAATCATTTCAGATATTTCGGGACTTGTAATTTTGGCAAGCTATTGTAGGGAAACCGTGATAAATTTTCTCTATCAACTGTGTATTTATCGATAAAGGTGTATAAGAGAACCTTAACAAACCTTTTGTATTTCTTGAGTCTAATCACTTTGAGGATTACAAGTAAATTTTTTTTGCGACTAATACACATACAGAAGCGAGTTATTTAACATGAAATTGTGCTACTGATGCTCAATGATTTGTCTCTGAAGATACTAAATTTATCACAAACCTCTGCTGAAGAAATTTCTTGCTTGTCATTGACAAAATCTGGTATTTTCACCATATTGCTTGACAGTTGGGAATTTTTTCCCATCCAATTGCGAGTATCGACAGACAACAAACTCACCGAATCGAACTTATTGATACGGCCTCGTTACCGTCTACTGCTTATATACGCAAGTGTTGCGTTATCGCTTTATTATATTCATTGTGACGCATTGTTTATTTATGATCAAGTCCGGTTGCTATTATACGCTTTTCTCATATCAAAATTGGAAAAATCACAAATTCACTTACAAGCATATTTCGAAAATTCTTAAACAATCGTGTCTTTTGCTGGTCGATCGAAATCAATTTGACAGTTGCGAGGAAAAATCGCCCATGCATTCTGCTTTTGATTAGATATTATATTGGCAATTCGTTCATAAAATGTAATCACTGGAATATTTAATACTATCGATTGATGAAAAAGGAATTTTAATTGCTTGAAAATTTCCAATGCATCGCTCACATTGTTAACAAATTGTGCTACAAAAGAGATTTTGCAGATATTTTTATTAGTTCAAAAATGTAATGTTCGTGAAGGCAAGTCGAAATAACGTCTATAGATAATTCATAATATCAATTTTTAGTCTATCAGAGATGTACGCAGTTCATTATACTTGCGACAGAAAATTTTTCAAGATTTGAGTTGAACGAAACAGTGATTTATTGCAACAATTCTACGACATAACGGCGAACTTGGCTAAATTAACTATGATTCAACGATATCACAGCATTCGTGCACACAATAGACAACGCCTTAGTTTTCGACTCTTCTTTGCGTTGCATTGGTAGAAACCTTGTGAATAGAAATATTTTCTAATTCGTGGAGGCGCGTCAAATTAAATGACGTACATCCCATCGTCGGATGATTATAATGTCGTTCACTTTGAGAATTGTAAATAAAATTGTAATGAAATGACATTACATGAAATCGTTGCTTTGCGCAAGAAGGAATTTTTCGGCCGAATTGAACGACTTCGTGTAATCAGCTAATGGCATTCTCTCATAGAACCCCTGCGTCACAACTTCAATTATATCCGTTATTCTAGTTTAATAGTTGCAGCTTATCGTGCACATTTTTAATGAAATCAAAGACGGAGATACTTTATATCACATTTTATTCAGCAATAATCCATAATGAGTAAAATATTAACCAAAGTCGGGGTCAGTGACCGTGCCGCCTGAAATGCAACGATGCATTTGTTTAGAACACATGTGCACATGCTAATTAAATGCTTTGATAAGAATTCTGACTACGTACTTTGCTAGTGTTGTATAATATACTCCGTCATAGATAAGGCGAACATTGCAAAATACGTCACGCAAGTGATGATGTTTTGTCAATAATTACCTATCTAATTTTGATGTCAGAAAATTATTGAGTTTAGATAAAATTAGGTTGAGTGGTGGAAAAGTACATTACACTTTAGCATTTTACAATAATGCAATAAATCGTATATGCTAAAGAAAAATCGGACATAATTAAATGAAATTTTGGTAAAAAAAATTGTTGCCATTTCAAAACTCTTATCTCATATCCGACTTATAAAATTTGAAACTCGCTAATAGTGAGCTTACATCTTAATTATAGGATAATTCTTTTAGAAAATTATTTATTAATGATTAATCTCTTGAGAATACAAAAACAAGAAAAAGAAATCTCATAATTTCTTTTTCAAAATAGTCGCCATACGGCGAACAATCTCGGGGTCAGTAACCGTGGCGCCACCGTCACCAGCAATCTTGGCCTTGCCAGCTTTTATCTTCTTGGCAGAGCCGTGAAACTCTTCGGCGCCAGTTTTATTCCTCACACTCGAAATATTATTCTCGTTCAGACCAGCGCCGGGCATCACGATGACTTCGTTATTCGATAACTTCACCAATTTGGCGATAAGGTCAACACCCTCGTCGACACGCTTTTCTTGTCCCGAGGTTAAGAGTCTGGAGAAACCGAGGTTACGAATTTCATCGAAAGCTTCGTAAGGGTTGATCGCGTCATCGAATGCTCGATGGAAGGTCACTGGTAAGGGTTTCGCTGCGGCGATGATCTTTCTGCAGGATTCTATGTCGATCTCGGAAGTAGACGTCAGAGCACCAAACACAAAACCATTAATCCCGAGATTTTTTAGGGCTTCGACGTCGTGCAACATTGCATCTGTTGGGAACATTCATGAGAGTAGGCTCACTTATACATTTTAACAAGGATTTATTTCAGTTTAAGCGAATCATAATTTCTGCCCAATAATACTGCCGTGAAAATTAGCAACTGCGTAATTAATTTAATCATGCGTGATAAAGCTTATTGTTAATTGTTTGTTTTCTATTGATAACTCTTATCATAACAAACATACATGACATGCTTATATTGTCTGCATTGAAAAGAAAATCGTCTTGATTAACAAAAAAGGAAAAGTATATCTGATAAAAAACGCAAAATTAATTCAAGAGATGATATTGTCATTAAAAATTCTTATTATAGCTCGATTTACTCAAAGATAATTTGAAAAAATGTAAAAGATTTAGAAGAATAATTTCAAAAAATTTCCATCCTCTACTGTTACACAAATGACATTCTGTAATTACTATTGTAAATTATCTGTATTTCATGTCTATTTTTATTGTTCAAGAATGACGCTGTCATTCTCTGTGAAAGAATAGCGTGGAGCAGACGCACACGATGGTAAAATTTGTTTGATTCTATATGCCTCATAAGCCTTACCCAACTCGTCAGGATCGTAAACAAAGTCTCCACCACGGATGCGTATCATAGCGAAAATTGGAATTGACGAAATGCGTTTGGCTATCTTTGCTAATCCAGTGCTCGGCGTTAATCCACCCTCGGATAGCGCGCTGCATAGTTCCAGGCGCCCAGCACCTCCGTCAATAGCATTTCTAATGGACTCGAGGCAATCCACGCAGATTTCTAACTAAAATGTGTTATTAGGTACTCAAATAATTCTTATCGAATTCTTATCTGTCTGATAACGTTGCTTTGCCTCATACATATGAATACAGAAATGTTTTAGAAATGATAGCTACATTTTGAAATTCGCGGGCTTTTTCAAATGCCGCTATATAGTTCATTTGAATAAGAAGGAACGTTTACCCCTTAACCTCAAATAATCAATTTAGTAGTTTCAAATTCTGTTTAAGCGATTATTTTGAATAAAACTTATATTTATCAAAGTCTGTAAAGATGGATCGTGTTTTATTGCTTACCAAAAGATCAGAATCGCTCATAATGTTTATTTATGCGTCTATATATCGTTAAACGCTATTTGTTCGATCCAGTCACACACATATATGATAACAGGTCACTGCTTACTGGAAAAGCTCAGGTTTGTATCTATGAAATCAAGTACCCTGTTCTGTAAGGTTTCTCAAAACGATTTTATAAAAATATTTTATTCGTTTCTCTTTTGCTAGATTTTCAAGACTTTTTATTATTGATTTATTGCTGACCGTCTCAAAATGTTGAAAGCCGAGTAAGACAATTTCAGAATCTGAAAGAAGTAAATTGTATATATCAACGTGGGATTTTTTTTCTCGCAATTACTTTAATGAAAAATTATACATTACAGAAAAAAATAGTAAAAAAAACAGCCAGACTTAGTTAACTTATTCATTGTTAATAACAAATGCCGTTGAGAAGAAATATGAATTTCATGATTCTTGCAAATGGATAATATTATTTACAGCAATTTTGATATTTTTCTTCTCAATGTGATCATTACTTCATATACTAACTTGTACATAAGTATCGAGCGATAAAAACACCCAATTATAACATGATATAATGACTGGTTTGGAAGTTCGGTGGATTACGAATATCATCATTTTCCATGACTTAACATTCAAAGTCGTCCAGTCCGAAAGGTAAATATTTTTGGCAAACTGAATGCTCTAAAATCATAAATTTTATTTATTTTCTCAACGTTTGTTAGTTATGTCAATTCTAGCACTCCATACTTTTATTGTCACTTCATTACCGAACCAGCAATACATGAAGAACTCGGTGAGCATACTCATCAAATACAGTAGTACCATGATAAAATCGAAGCTACTTGGATTTTTCATTGACAGTTGATATACACTTACAGTTATTACCATGGCACTTGCGCAGAATTGTACAAAAATGATGGAGTTGAATATATCCATGACATTGCCAAGGTATCTATAGAAGATGAATATTTAACGGTAAAACTAGAATGAAGATTACCATAAAAATTCTCACTCGTAAATATGATTGTGATGCTGCACATATTGTTTTAAAATATTTTCTTCGCACTTGTCGACTTCATTATCCGTCATTTGGCTCTTGGCTTTCTCAACCAACCGAGGTAGTAGCTTGAAGCGATGTTCGAGAATCTCAAACTGAGCGCAAGCTTGCATCATGAAACCCGTGACAATTGTGTCGTTGGCAACGCTCACCGAGGCGCAACAAAGCAAACCGAGAAATTGATGACCGAACGACAGCCAGTAGCTCCAACGGGTTTCAATACTGTAGGGTAGCCACGTTTTGAAAGGCAAGTCTAGCTTGTTCGACGTTTGGCAAAACGGTACTGCTAGCATAGAGAGAATGTTGCCGTAAACCATCCCCAGGCAAACTTTCGTTACGCATCTGATTGGAATAAGTGGTCAGCAATTGCGGTTATAACATGATCAAAAAAGCTATAATTAACATTTTAGAATCTAATGTTTTGGAAATAGATTAAAGTGTTAAACATTAGAGTCTAATAAAAAATGATGAAGATCGATACCTGTTCATATCGTCGAATTTTTTCTGAATCATCATCTCAGCCTCGTCCTTAGGGATGCAATGATCCTTGTACAACATCTCAACTAAGTACATCAAATCTCGTTTCTTGATCAAAAAAGCCACGGCTTTGTAGCATACAGACGACGTCGTCAACAATATGAAAAGCGTTTCGGAAATGCCTTTGTGTTTGAGAACATAAATAATAACTTCGGCGAGTTCTGATCCCACGAAGGTGTACATCAGAAACAGCACAACAATCGACAGTAAATCGTACGTATTTTTCTTCCAACTTGACGTCCATTTGGTTGGTTTCCATATGCCGAAATACCTGAGGACAGCGAATGGCACTGGCAGAACCCGTGTCGTTCGTGTCATTTTCTCTTTCTAGATGTTGATTTGCAGAAGGTGTAAACGCGACTGAGTCGCATGTCGATACGTGAACCTTACGGAACCCAATCGATATTGCAAAGCTAGCAATTTATCGCTATGTTCTCAGTGATAATTACGCGTGGAGAATTTCAAGGAAGCTTCGGTGTTAGTTATTAGAAAGCAAGACGAATCAGACTGTGGATATATATTTCCCCGATGGCTAAGAAACATCAGAAGCTAAATTTACTTGCATCACTGTGGAAGTTGCAGCTACCTAACTATTGTCTACATCTCTCTCAGCATGCATAAGAAAATCATAGACACGATAGATGGAATTTTGTTGTGTAAAGCGAAAACAATTTGCAACGTTCTGCGTAAGGGGTAAGAAGAAATAATTGTTCGTTTCGTTGATGCTTTCATTCTCAGATCAGCTTTGAATATTACGTTCTGAAAAAATTAACATCTCATTGTCAACTTGAGAGATTGATACCTTTAACTGTTGTGACGATATGGCCGATGTGTAGATGTGACGATGAAATCGAAGTACTTATTCTGCTGCGATTCTGTAAGTTTAATCAACCACAATGTTGACAAAGGTTTCATATCCCAAGCTCGCGTGTTATTATCTTTGACGATTGTCTAATAAAATTTAATTAGAATTTAAATATATATAATTAAATATATATTATATTATAATTTAAATATATGTATTTAATTTAATTTCAATCCTTCTTATATTTACGGAAAATCGCTACTATATGATCGCAATATATGATAAAAATCGCAATATACGAAAATATAGTGAAGTTAAAAATCATAACGATTATAAACGTATCTTAAATTACTTCAGGAATAAAAGTAAACTGCTGGAAATAAAATATCAGAAAATATCTTCAGTCGTCATAGTTTTTTGCAAAGGTTAGTATAGTTGCCCTGTTTCCTTAGACGTGCATAAAGAGATGGAGCATACGTACCATGGGTTTTTTTATACACTATTTGATGGTCAATATTTTACATTACAAGAGAACACTAACAAATTCAAAAGTTATTGGACTGGTCATGATTCACCATTGTACTCATACAGAAATGTGAAATATGCACGATAACCAGTAACTGTATTGATTTTTTATCTGTAAGGTAGCCACACTTTGTATAGAAAGTTTTGTATGTTTGAGCTTTGAAATAAAAGTAACACTCTCATTCATTATTATATTATCATAAACTAGCGCCAAACAAGTACCTCTGACGTATCTGTTCGACAAATTTAAAGAATTCATTTTCTAATTTAGTTGGAAGTTTCTAGCGTAAAGAAAAAAAATTTACAATTTATTATATTAAGCTGTGAACGTTACAATGAAATGAATGTTAATTTTCACTAGATACTACTATTTGGAGCTAGTTGTTTATCGGTGAAAAACGAAGGAAGCTTGCGTGTTGGTTAGTCTAGAGACGGATTTCTATCCAATGATTCACCATTGTTTTTAGTATTGTTTGCTATCTGAACTAACACTGCTCCCGGTATTTCACATCCATCGTACACATTATTCTACAGCGCAACAATAGGCACAAAAATTTTTGCCAACATCTCGTATAAGTATAAAAATCATACGTTACAAAGCCACTTGGGATAGTTGAAGAACTTGTTAGTTTGTCATGATGACTTGAGCATCGAGCAACAGTGATGGCTGATCGATTGTTTACTTATTCTACTTACACTTAGAATACGCACTGTTTGTAACTTGAACTTCGATTTTGCAAATATTTTATATTATAACAAAAAAATGATAATTACAAACATTAGTCAACTAGTAGTGGCGGAAAAAGCGATTACAATGTGTATAAATAATTTGTGTAAGTGCGAAACAAAATGTTATCTTATATTGTGCTTTCAAATTTCTTCTTAATAATACGTAAACCCGGGGTTTCTGAGAATTTGTATTAGATTTACAATAAAATAATAATTTACAATATTAAAAATAATAAAATAATAATTTAATTATTATTATTAAATTATCAAATTATTATTTAATTTAATAATAATTTAATAATTTAATTATTATTTTATTGTATTAGATTTCTATCACTGCAGCCGTGTTTTGGTCATGAAATCCTGCCAGTCTTCTTAATAATTCTTAATAATAATAATAATTTAATTATTATTTTATCGTATTTGTCAGATGGCATGAGTAGCTCGTGCAACACTAAAGCAGAACTCTGGAATGTACTGACTAGTACTCTGATGTCCATTTAAACAAATACGTACATTTATACAAATAATTTATACAGCGAAGTAATTTTTACAGGGATACAAATTAAGAATGTCGTTGGATTCATCAAAATGCTGGCTGTCGAACATTACTTAGAACAATGGATATCCACAAAATAACTTGCTGATATTTAGCACAGTGCAGTAAATAATTATAATCTTCGTCTAATCGAGGAAAAATTTGTAGTTCTTTAGTTGTTTTGGAACGTAACATGTTGAAACTACTTAAAGGTATACCATACAATTTCAAATTAAATTGGTAGTTGTCACACGTCACTAGATATGTTGTGTTTTACGAGCTATTCATGCCATCTGATAACTACGATAAAATATTCTAAAGATGATAAGCATATCCTCTACGGCTGAGCTGTAGTTGCACAAAGTAAAAATACAATCCCATTGGAGTATCTCATCGTTACGCCGGATAGCAACTTTTTCTTCACGTATGGGGGAAAAAAATAATACGAAGTGAAGTTGTCCTTTATTATCTACTCCTCGTCGAAATAGTATTGACTTCTTTATCACCGTGGCCGCTGGAAAAAATTTGTTCAGTGTCCCTGGAAATTATCCAATTTAACATGGTGTAATAATTTCTAGGGGCCCTGAGAAAGTTTTCCAGCGGCAACACTGCTTCTTTACACTGTATATTTGCAATCCCCCTTCACAATAGCTAGAAGGCGGAAGCCTTGATTGAAGGTTTCGCATTGTTGGGTGGATAAAAACAGCACTCGCTGACACGGCTTGCTGTTGGCTGGCGTCAACCCTTTTAAAAGCAAACCAGACCTCCACGTGCACTGCGTTTATCCCGTACGTTGAACCTTTGTCTATAAAGAGTTTTTTTCTACGAAAGACAGGCTATAGGTGCGATATGTAAAGCTTTTTATAAATAAATATTTCACTTGTGTGGCTTTTGCAAGGGTTAATGCACTTGCCAGAGTTCGTTGCTTTTTCTACTTTAGCAGCTTTTCTGTACGCTTGCACGACTGACGTGGCTTTTACGGGGGTTATTGCACTCATCGGAGTTCATTGCATTATCTATTTTCAATCGTGCAAGGAAACAAGACGAGCGCGGGTTGTGTATTCTATTTCTATATTCACAACTGACGTGGTTTTTGCAAGGGTTAGTGCACTTGAAGTTCATTGCTTTCTCTATTTTAGTTTGTATGAGTTTTAGAAATCATTGCGAAATTCTGGTAATAACTACTTTAAAGGGATTGCCCATTGTTTAATACTTAATGATTACTTTGAAAAATGAGTTGTAACAATAAATTTTATTGTTAAAAATATATAAATAATTAATATTACTCGAAAAACATTCTCAAAAGATCTCTCTAAAGAATTGACCACACATTTTAGCCATTTTGTAAAATCTTAATTCATATTCTTCATAACATTGTTGCTCTACACTATTATATTTTATGTTCGCAATCACGGAATAATTTTTGTGTTATCATGCTGATAATTTTTAAATACTGAATGCGGATATTTGACAATCCGAAAAAGAAATATCCCAAGATATTATATAGGGAAACAATGTATGGACATTAACAAACGAATTCAGCATAAGTAGTATTAGTATTTTACACGCAGTCTCAATTGGTTTTGGTAAGCATTAAATAACTAATGTCAATAATTTTTGAAACTCCATCTATAATGTCGTCCAGTTTCTCAAACACTTACTCTCAAAAAATAACAATGATTCTTATAAAGAATTGCAGAATAATAAAAAAAAAATAATTTTTTTGCCATCCTGCGATTCATTAAACGATTTATCATGTTATATTATAAGCAACGATTTATTCTAGTTGTGACTGGTCATAGTGTGACAAATTTTAAATTAGATATATACCTGCAGCACAACTGATTGTCAAGGTACCGACATACAAAGAATTATAGAACCGATAACCCAATTCGATGATGCTGTCTGTTCTCATAGAGTGTAACGCAAATTTTCAGTACTTTTATGTAGATTTGACAGACTGTGATGACGTTGAATGTTACGGATATCAACTTTAATATTTCGTAATTATCACGTTTGTAAACCAATTATACACTACGCATTCTATCATATCATATTTTCGTCCGATTGTTTATGACTGACTGAAATATCCGTGGTTAGTCAGGTCGGCAGATTTGCGGCATGCTTACGTAAAACTGGGCGATGATAATGTTGTAGGGCGTTATCAGTGACTTTGCCATCCTGGAAAAGGAGAGAAAGTGCAGCCATGTGCGTAACGATAAACTGTACTTGAGAGACGTAAACTTATAGAAATATTTATAACTTTAATTACATAGATTTAAAAATTTGAAATAAAAGAAAATTCATTACGTGGCGCTGGATACTTTCCTTGAGTAGCCGTGCATTTCGACTAATGCAGCGTCATCGCATAAATTGTACAGTTGACGAGCTAGCGCGGGAAAGTTGTCCAGTTTGTGTGACATCACGTTAAGTTGAGCAAAAATAAATCCGGCGATCCTGGTATCGCTGACTACATTTACTACATCAATGTCCGTCGAAGTTATGACTGTCCGTCAATCAACGAATTGGAAATTTTGTAGATCTTGAGGATCTCGAAAGGTAGTTCGCCAGATTCGATGTTTTGGTCCAGTGGAGTTATCATGAACACTCCATCAAAGACTCAAATAACAAGAAGATAGCTATGGAGATGTTACCAGAATTGCAATTGTTTTAGTTGATTGATATTTATGATGTACGTCGTTGTATTATAAAAATAAACAATCTAAGCAAATAAGTAGTAAATATATTTTTTTAATTTGCTTGCACGAGTTTTCACATTTTTAAAGTGAAATTTTTAATTGTACAGAAATCAATTTATTTAAAGAAAGTCAATTATTTTTATTGTTATTGTATAATAATTAAAGTATAATATCTTAGAAATTTTGTGAATTAACTTGAAATTAACTTGAAAATTTTGTGAATAATATCATATTCCGTTATTTCGTTCAAATATATAAATTAAAAACAAAGAACAAAGAAAATAAAGCCAGAACAAATTATGAAATACGTACCTACAAGTGCTACCATAATTTAGTGTGGTGGTCTATTCAAAGTCGTCATCATTGAGTCTGCTAATCCGGACAAAGGGCTTACGATTACACGTAGTAACAAGCCGGTGTATACAAATTGTACTTGTAAGTGTGAATGCAACAGTCAACAATATCTTTGAGCAGATGTGTCTCAACAATCGCAATTTTGACGAGCTTGCGCGAAAAAATTGTCCAGCTTGCGCGACAAAACGTCAGTGGTGTCGCTTGTGATGGTCACTCCACCGTCGAGAGAAACATGGTACGCGTGGGGTGCGCGTATAGGACAGCCCGTAAATCATCAGATCGGTCATGTCATGGACCTGAAGGGCCTTGTAAGTGAGTTCGCGATTCCTGATGCCTCGGTGCAGTGGAGTCAAAGTAAACGACACTAAATCGATCTCGACGAATGGCGCGAAGGCTTTGCCGATGCTTCTGCAACTACAATTATTACTCTATTCCGATATAGCATAGTGTGTTGGATTTACGTTACCGTGACGTATTTCCTTACTTAATAATAAGCGTCACAATCTTTTGTTCAAAATAACGAATTACAAGTAATATCTTTACCTGCTTTAAATAAATCTTACGAAGTTGTCGATTTTATCAACCGGACTTCGCTTTATTTTGTTGACCGTACTTTGCTTTATTATCTATACTATGTCATCTAATATTATGTCCTTGCGTATTCTGATTGTAGTTTTATAGGATATACTAAACTTGTAAAAGTTTGCTTTCTTCTAACTCCTCTGTCAAAATATAATAATGCTTTATTTGAGTCCATGTTAAGAATGTCGCTATGTAACATTCGATAACTTGTTATGCAGAATCTGTAATTCTGGTACAATATTGTTACGTTCTGACAATGCGTTTATGCTATTTACCTGGACAATATCAATCTTTCATTGCTTGTAATTCGTTACGTTAAGGACATCACAGTCATGTTACAATATTTCCAGGAGAGACGTTGGCACTGCTTCTGGAGTATAATTTTACATATCCCGATAACGAGAAGTAAAAACGCAGCGGTACGGGAAAGTAAGCAAGCGAATCCTTTTCAAAATCGTCGCGTCCGTGACGACAGCCCAGTTGAAACATGCCTGTCACTTATGATATTTGCGTCGTGATAAATCACGAAGCACGCGAACTTGGAGGTGGCCGATATCGTTACGATGGTCGTGTACAAAGTGTTGACAAAATCTTGCGAAGGCTAACTATACTGAGCATTAGCGCGACTTAAATAGCGCGTAAAGATGGCGAAGGTGCTTTTTACAACGTCCTCGCCCGTGAAGAGAAAGGGCGAGATAATAGTTGTCTTCACAGTGCAACATTGTTTTCGAGCTAAGACGAGTCCCCTACGTGGTTTCTCCCGCTGCACTGGCGCTGTACAACGGTATTCCCCCTCCGCGGCACTGCACACTCTGTTATTCCCTTTAATAACCTCGGTCGACTGAAGTTTTTCTTGATAATTACTCGATCGATATCTTTGTATGCATATCTGCATCAGTTTCTTGGCGGCACTTGCGGCGGCCGCATCGCGAAGTCAACCACCCTGGCACAAAGTCTGGGCAAAGTTTTGTCTTTGCGACACTTTGATGGCAGTGTCGAAAATATTTTATTTATTAAAGAATAGCTAAACCACCTTTCAGATAGTTAAATTTTTCGAAATAGAGAACGCTTATAAGCATAAATATGCTCGGGGATTATTTTGAAAGCTCATCAGCAATTATTTTCAGAATGAGAATGTAATGATCGAATAAAAGAAATATCCCCTATCTCGTATTTACGGTAAATAATTAAATTACATTGTTATTACAGTATCCAGATGAATCATACTTCTGATAGATTTAATATGGAGTTGTTACGTATTCTTCCAATAAATTTTTTACAGTTAAATAAATCAAAATCATTGAAAGGTTCACAGCTATTAATCAAATTTTTGGAGATAAGTGTATGTGCACAGAAAAATATCACAGTAAAAACTACTCACTGATATATTAGTGCTTCACTGCAGTTCATCTATGAAGTTTTGAAAGGTCTTTTTCTGAGCAAATAGAGATACCCACTATCTTAAAGAGAAATAAAATAATATTCATTTTTATAACTTTTTGCAGATTTACAAGTTGCGTTTGCGTGAAAACAATCGTATCAACTTTACATGTACTGATATCAAAGAAACGTCATTAGATGAAAAAACGAATTTCTAATTTACATTTTTTATTGACAAGGTGCAATTTCATGGTATGATTTTGTATATAATTTGCAATATCTTTCAAATATATAGTGGCTCTGTCGCGTTGACTCCGAAATTTTTAATAGCTACAATTGATAATAAAATACGGAATGATAATAATTAAGCGAATAATTTATCGACTGTTGGATAATTATCTCATTCCAACATTTAAATACAACAAACATCAATTAATTTAAACATTTTTTAAAAATTGGAATTAATTTTTCAATTAATTCTTTTAATCAGTCTCCATAATTGTTAGACCATTTTTGTGGTTGAATCTTCTCAGATAAACAACAGACTCTGTACTGTAGTATATCCAGTTATCCAAGCCATAACATGGATGCAGATGTAGTGGAATCTATGATAAGACTCATAGCCCCGAAAAAGAAGCCAATGACTATTATGATGGGCATATCCGTGGATTGGTTAAATCGTAGAGCCTAAGAATTTTATAATAGGTTGCGCAATTCAATGCGTCCAATCGTTTGATCTACTAAACATAACAAAATAGTCAGATCTACGTAAGTCTTCTGTAATTTGACAAACAATTCTACGTTCGCCGATGATGGTTTTACTATTCTATAAGCTTTTTGTGCTTTTGAAATTAACGTGAATTAATTTGAAAATTTTGTGAATAATATCATATTCCGTTATTTCATTGAAGCTGAACTTGACAAAAAACCTAGCCAATTGTCAACTAACCAAGCGGAAAATTATCATTGCGACATTATGATCAATGTGGCGGACACCAAATGCCGAACGCAATCATGGTTGTTGAAAGTTAGCATCGAGAAAAATACGTCAATCAATCATTATCGATGAAAACATGAATGATAACCATTATGGTTCGGTGCATGGTTGATTCTACTTTATATGAATTTTGCAATTACGTTTGATCTTTTTTTCAAACTCTGGCGATATCTACCGAGTCAGCTGGACAGAAAATTTATTGATTTTGACTTCTGCATCATATAATTAGCTGAATGATATTTAAAAAAAATGAAATTTGTCAACAACCTCTGCTGAAGTTCAATGCACTATTTACAAATTCATTGTACACATCTGATGGGAGATGAAAATCAGCAATGCTTTTTCAACGAATAATATTCAGTAATATTTTTATTCTACTTGTCTTGAATAAATTATACCTTGATAAAGCCACGACTCGCTCGTTAACTGCATCTTATGGATATCGCATGACTTATAATGTGCAACAGGTGTGTCGTTGCTGTCTGAGCTTTAACCGTGAATACAATATTGCCTCTAACGAACTTGTCAGCATTTGCTACTTAATGACAAGGTTTTTTTTGCTTCCCTAAAATAGCGCTCGTAAAAAAATACTATTAGCTAGATCTTCTTCGCTATTTTATTTTTATGTATTCAAAAATATAGATCGAAATTTATTCTTATACGGATGACTGCAACAGATTGTATCCCGAGTATGATATCTTAACAACCTAAAAGCAATTTGATTTAGTAAGCGCACATTAAAAACAGGTCATCGTTCGGTTAAACCTTGATAAAAGACTCCAACATAAGACATACGAAAGCTCTGTTCGAAATCATGATAGGATGCGACGATCTTAGAATCATCAGCGACAGATTCTTCTTAACTTCTATAGAAAGCGGCGTCCAGTCAATTTCGAATATCGCATCGGCCAGACTTTTGCTCTGAAATTCGTGCAACATGTTTAAATACGTCGAAATTCAAAAGTATTCTTTCTTACCTGTACGGCCACTTCGTTTCCAAAATAGCAGTTGAGAAATAGCCGACCGAGCATTATACTAATATAGAGAATGTAAGCAAGTTTGTCGGCGACGCCAGTGGTCATTGTGGACAATTGGTAGACGCTCATGCATATCGCCAAAGCATCCACGTAAAACTGAAAAACGATGTAGACGCTGAAGGCGGCGGTTATCGCGTCGGCAATGCTGAGATAAAAACGAATCCAGGGTTGAACCGTTGATTAGCGACGAGCCACTATCGTACTCACTTATACAGATGAACGTGGTGATGCACGCACTCCTTAAGCAGCTGCTTCTCCACTTCGACCTGGCTGATTTCGGCGATTTTTCCAGGCAATTCTTGCAATCTGTGCTTCAGTACCTCCAACTGTCCGCATAATTGCCACATGAAACCTGTGGCAATGAGATCACTGGTGATTCCAATGTGCCCGAGGTAGAAAGCAGTGATCGCTTGATGAGCATATGAGAGCCAATAGTTTATTGGATTCGCGAGGCTGTAGGGTAATAGCACTGGGTAAGGCAGAACGCGCAACTCCACGTCAAAACTCAGCGGTGTTGTCAGAAATGACAACAGCAGCAATTCATAGACGATGAAAATTTTTTTGGCTAGTCTTCTACAAAAAAAATAACGATAGATTTATAAGAATTTCGTTTGCGTGCGTCACAGCGAAGTGTTTCACCAACTCCTTCGTCATAAACGATACGGTAGTTTAATCGGCAAATGTAATTCAAACTAACTTGCATTTATCGTCGTAAACTCTGCGGACCCGTTTCTCGAAGGCATCCCGCGCTAAACAACAGTCCTCTTCGAACATACCAATCAATTTATCCACCTTGTTTCGATTGAATAAATAACAGCTCGCTTTTACAATAGCCGCCTCCAGCGATAGTACAAACGAAAATAAACTATTGAATTCACCGAAACTTTCTGACTTGACGAAAAATAATTTGGCCATTTGGAAGCTGTTTAAGCTGATTAACGAAACTATTATCATCAGCGAGTAGATATGGTAGATAAACTTTTTGCCAGAAGACCAATACTCCGGACACCACGCACTTAATAGCATTAGCAAAGTAAAGTGGAGGGGCAGTATTGTCGTTGCCATGAGTTATTCTGTCGATGTCGCAATGTCGACTGACGCTGCACGTCCCTAGAAGTGTTGTCATGGGCGGCGTATCCATGTAATTTCATTGAATTTTTTACGAGCCCACCTGGCTTATCTTCTTTGTATTTTCTGATTCCCCGTAAAAGACTATCGACATCACATTGTGCGTCAGTCTTTTGACGACAGTCAAGCTGTCTCCATTGTAACAGTTATTGTCAATTTATTTGATAATTTAACTTCAACTGCATTGTGTTTCGTGGAAACATAAATTATCAATTGAAAGTAGATACCAGTTTCCTTGAATAAGTGCAATAATGTTGATGAGAGGTGGAAAAAGAATATGATGAGAAGATATCACGATTTTGATTTATTTTGTGTCTTTGTTTAAATATTACACAGATTAGTAGTACCTATATTCCTTTATCAGCTACAATACGAGGGTCGTTTGAAAAGTCCGTGCAAAGTCAGAGAGACGGCGCTACTAGTGCGTATCAAGGTTATTTTCAGTTAGTGGCATATCTTGGAAGAGCACACACCAAGTTTCAGCCAGATCGACCAATTACTTTACGTTTTATATTCGTTTCAATCAAAGAAATCGAGCGGTTGTAAAAAAATGGACGAAAAAGAATTTCGTGTATTGATTAAACATTACTTTTTCAAAGACAAAACGCCTCAGGAGATTAAACAGAAGCCTTAATAAACATTATGGTGATTGTGCACCTTCGATTATAATGGTTTATAAGTGGTTTCAAAATTTTCGGAGTGGCCATATGAGCACAAAAGACGCTGAACGTTCTGGACGCCCTGTTAAGGTTACCACTTCAGAAATCATTGATAAAATCCATGATATGGTGATGGCTGACAGAAGAGTGAATGTGCGTGATAATGCTAGAACTGTAGGCATCTCGAGCGAACGGGTACATAATATTTTGCACCAACATTTGGACATGAAAAAGCTATCCGCTAGATGGGTGCCGCGATTGCTCACGATTGACCAAAAACGAGATCGTGTGAAGTGTTGCAAGAATGGTTTGCCGCTGTTTCAGCAAAATCCGCAAGACTTTAGGCGTCGTTTCATCACTGTAGATGAAACATGGATACATCACTACACTCCTGAGACCAAAGAACAGTCTAAACAATGGGTTACCAAGGGGGAATCTGCTCCGAAAAAAGCGAAGACAATTCCTTCGGCCGGGAAGGTTATGGCGACTATCTTTTGGGATTCGCTAGGAACAATCTTCATCGACTATCTGGAGAAGGGTAAAACCATTACAGGCGAATATTATTCATCGTTATTGGATCGTTTGAAAACCGAGTTGCTAGAGAAACGTCCACGATTGGCCCACAAAAAAGTCCTCTTCCACCACGACAATGCGCCAGCTCACGCCTCAGCAGTTATGGCCGCAAAACTGATAGAGATGGGGTTCCAACTCGTTTCACATCCCTCCTATTCTCCAGACTTGGCTCGGTCGGACTACTATTTGTTCCCTAATATGAAAAAATGGCTGGCGTGGAAATGATTTTATTCAAAAGAGGAGGTGATTGCAGAAACGAATGCCTATTTTACAGACTTGGACAAATCCTATTATTTGGAAGGGATTAACAAACTAGAGCAGTGTTGGATGAAGTGTATAAGCCTAAAAGGAGACTATGTTGAAAAATAAAAAAGATTTATTAAAAAAAATCAAGCAGTTTTTATTTTTGCACGGACTTTTCAAACGACCCTCGTAGCTATAAAATAGCATGCAAGAGCTCAAAAATTTCTGTCAATAATACATTCAGCAATGAAGGTATACTTAAATAACTTAAAAATTAAATGGACAATTAAATAATAATACATATTCTGATTACTTTTAGTCACATTTATATGTACGTGGGAGGGGCCTATATATATGTATAAATATATAAGTTAGTAGAAGTGAGTATCGGTGCGTGTGCATACTTTCTTCAGTTAAAAAAAATATATTCGTATACTTGCAATCGATTATCATCAAGAAATGTAAATAGTAAAATATAAAGAGGTTTAGATAGTACTCGGAAAATTCTACTGGACGTGTTGTTTATCAAGTGCATTCACTGAAGAAAACACACTTAACAATGTTTTATCGTATTCAAACCAAGTAGATGATTTACTGATGATACACGCCAAATCCCTTATAGGCATTTTATCTTTACATTTGTTGTTGGATAGCTCCGTAAGGTCGATTTATCTGTATTCGACAGTGGAATTTCTTCGAATAATATTTATCTCATTTCTGAAATGGACATACTGTGTTACAAGACATTCATACGCATTGAAGATACTCGTCAGCTGCATAAATAATTTTATTGGCAGTTAATACGAATGTTTATATGCGACAGCTTTAATAAGAAATGTCACCTCTCTCATATCATCTGCTATGTTATTCTTATGTTTGAAAAAATGTTTAATTTGCCCAATGATCAAAATTAATTATCATACTGAGGATTTAAGCAGGCTGTAACCGGAGTATGAAACCTTGACAACCTGAAAGTAGTCAAATTTAATTAGCGTCGGTCAACAACCAAGTAATGATAATACCTAGCCGAACCTTTATGAAAGTTTCCAGCATGAGGCGTACGAAAAATCTGCTTGAAACTATGATGGGTTTCGATGTTCTAATAATCATCATCAGCAGACTTTTCTTTACCTCCGTGGAAAGTGGCGTCCAGTCGATCTGGAATATTGCATCGGCCAGATCTTCACTCTGAAAGATAAGTGCCAAGCATCGCATGCGTTGCTATTATTGCTGAAGGGAATCGTTTTTACCTATACAACCACTTCATTTCCAAAGTAACACACAAGGTACAATCGCCCAAGCATCATACCAACGTAGCTAAGGAAAGCAAGTTTTTCCATTACACCAGCAGTCATTGTAGTCAATTGGTATACACTCATGCAAACGGCCAAAGCGTCGCAGTAGAACTGAAACACGATGCAGATGCTGAAGGCAGCGTATATCGCGTCGGCGATGCTACATTAAAAAATGAAAGCCAATTGAACTACTGATTAGTGAAGACCCTGGACTTACTCACTCATACAAATGAACGTGATGCTGTATACATTCTTTCATTATCTGTTTCTCAAAGCTGACTGTATTGAATTGGGAAACTTTTCCATTTAACTTTTGCAGTCTATGTTTCAATATCTCTAATTGTCCACACAAATGCCACATGAAACTTGTAGATATGAGGTCACCAAGAAGGGAAACGTGCCCGAGATAAATACAATTGATTACATGGTCAGCATATGTCAACCAATAAATCACTAAATTCGAGAGGCTATAAGGCAGATGAACTGGATAAGGTAGAACCCGCAATTCTATGTCAAATGCTAATGGAGTTGTCACAAATGACACCATCAGAATCTCAAAACAGAAGAATACTATTTTTGCAAGCTTTCTAGTAAAAAAAAATTAAAAACGATTCATCAGTTTCTTCTGTTCATTTCGGAATTTTTGAATATAATTTTGTCACTTTTGATCGAGTCATTAGGAAATATTAACGACCGAATTCGAATTTCTTCGAAAACCCTCTCGTCAATATCTATAGCGTACCAAAAATGAACAAAAACTTGTCTCGGTATTCCATGAACTATTTAATCGAATAATAAATAACCGATAAAAAATTGTTGGTTATATCTGTAATATGACAAACCACTTATCCATGATTGTGTGCAGTTTATTCTTTACACAAAGAAATTTTAAAATAAACTTATTTTACGCTATCATATGAACATATAAATTAAAATGTAATCGTATACAAATGAACTGCCATTGGAAAGCAAATTTAACTCTTAAATTTTTACTATGAGATTTTTTTAAATATCAATATACAGTTTGCTCGTATTAGTATACTATAGGTATTGAAAAAGAGTCTCAAGTATCCTACTATGCTCTATCATATATTTTATAACTACAAAAGGCGATTTATTGAATAAAATTACACTAACATGCATTTATCTTCGTATACTTTGCGGATATTCTTCTCGAATAAATCTTGTGCCAAACAACAATCTTCTTCGAACATGTTAATTAACCGATCTACTTTTTCTTCGTTGAACAAGAAAGTCATAGCCTTTATCATACCCGCCTGTAGTGCCAAATTAAATGTGAATAAACTGTTGAAGTCGCTGAAATTTTCTAATTTGACGAAAAATAATTTAGCCACTTGGAAGATGTTCAAGGAGATTAACGAAGTGAACATAATTAACGAGTAGATTCTATAGATGAGCTTTATGCTAGTAGGCCATTGTATTAGACATCGAACACTAAACCACGTGAGCAAATTGAAGTGGAAAGGCAGTATTGTTGTTGCCATGAGTTACTTGGTCGGTGCCGGAACAACGACTGGCGTTGCGTTGCGATGGGGGATCGACGCTTGCGGTGTAACTATGCAATTTAAGTTGAATTTTTCACTGCTTTTGCTTATCTCATTATAATTTTTCACAATAACCCACAGTGTATCCATCATATAGCCGCACTGTGCATCAGCTTTTTCAAGATTGTGAGTCACTGTGAGTAGTTGCTGTAAATGTTACTGGCCCTTTCACCTGTAAATGTAATCTGAAAAAGGGATGTTACATGTCTTCAATTTCTATAGCAATAAGAATATATAATAAAAACAATGAATAACGAAGAAGCATCACTGTACGGAGTCGCCAATTGAAAAACAAGGAGCTTAATGGAAATAATAGTTTTGATAATTTGTGTCATTATTAATAAAATGATCGAAAGATAGCAAAACAGATTTCAGTCATCATTAATTGTTTCATTGTCATACAAGAACTTACATTTTTTGGCGACTGCACTTACAAAAGTTAAGGTATGTATACGTCTATTAAAGATCAAATTAAAAAGAATTAGAAATCTAACCTTATTTCTGACTTGTTACGTTAACAAATTAAATGTAATGTAATTTTATACAAATAAAAATAACTTTAAGTCAACTTTACGCTTAGCTTTTTTTATTTTTTCTCGAGACGGTTACACAAATTTGAATGAAAATTAGTCGCATTCCAATTATATTTTTAGATACCATTTATCTTTCCTTTAGTCAACCGTTGAAGGGTAGATGTGAGAATGTTGTCCTCTTTCTCTATAAGTATTAATGAATTACCCTTAACCGTTTTGCTTGCTAGCTCATACGCAATCACTATAAAAGCCGGTTCACTATGTACAATACGCAGATAACATCAATATATAATAAATTTGTTTTTTATACGTCTAATGTTTTTTTTTCGAAATTATCTCATTCTAAACAACAATTTTCAATCTTCGAACATAGCAATTAACTAAACTACCTTACCTCGGAATAAATATCAGCTTTTACAATAGCCACATGCAGTGTCATATTATTAAAAAATTATTACGTTGCCTGAACTTTTCTACTTTTCAAAAAATAATTTAGCCAATTGGAGGATCTCAAGCGAATAAATTTGGTATAATGACCGTTTAATAGAGGACTAATTTTCTAGACATTAAAAGCACTAAAACATGTGAATATGCTGAAAGCTGAAAACCCAATTATCTCTTTAGTGTTGGACTGATGCTTGTCACGTAATTATGTAATTAATGTTTAGTAATTATGAACTTATTGTCGAATTTTTCACAAGCTTTCTTTGATTTATTATAGTTTTTCATAATTCCCTATAAAACAATTTATCGATACCAATCCTAGTTTACGTACATACATAACTTCAACTTTAAAATTGCTGCATTAAATTTAACTACCTGCGAAAAAAAGTAAATAATTGAAAGACATTGTATTTGAAACTCATTAATTGACAAAAAATGACATTAATGGAAAATATATTGTAGAAAAATTGATTGTTGTTTAATCAACTACCAGCGCTGCAAAATCGTGTCGATAGAGCTTTAGACCTTTTGTTAAATGTAACATGTTATTTATGAAAATATTATTTTTAAACTGAACATACTTCAAAGTTTAAAAAGAAACAGCTCAAACTGACATGTTTAACATAAAATATGAAATATCACAAAATTTTCATTTACATTCCTCCATGAAAAGACTACACAAAAATATTCTTTAGTTATTGTGATTCAGTAGATAAGAAGCTTTTGTGCAAGAAGTCGTGAGTTTGAATTTTTGGCGTATGAAAATTTTCAGAAATGAGAAATTTTCATATTTGTGCTACTCATGGTTCGAATTCCACCTTAAACTATAGGTCCAATCATGATACGTGTAAAAACTCTCATCATTCCAAAAGCGATATGGGAGGTAACATATTAATGACTATAAACATCTAAAACTAATGCTTATAGCTATCTAATATACCTTTGCAGAGTCCCATGTAAACGTAGTTCTGGAAGTAATAATAACAAAAATAACAATAACTATCTCTGTATATAATTAAATTGTTGTTTATCATCGCCCAATTTTTCACTAAATAACAAACGTTACTATGCCGATGAAAACATATTGTTGAATCTCGAGTTTTTAAAACCTATAAAATTCATAGCATTTTTTCGATTCAATATCAATCAAATGACTCGAGCGAAAGGCGCACGAAATTCCTGGTTGTAATTGCTTCCTTGAAGACAGAATCCAGTTTCCATGACAAAAATGTTCTGCGTTATTGCAATATATCATACGTTTCTGAATTCGACATGGATAAGTCAATCTGGCATAAACTTATTCGATTCGTTTATACCGAATGTAAACCGAAAAAGTGAAACGATTCTAACAAGAGAATATGTATAAAAATTTAGGTTTATTTAAAAAACATTAAGTGCCAAAAATACTCGTCGACATCTCTTAAATTTACTGATAGTTATATTGAACGACTAAGTGTACCATTAACTATAAAAATATTATTCCATTTCATTTGCCATTTCATCCGTATGTCTGCATAACCCGAGTGAAAAAAATATAATTTACTAACATATATAAAATTTATTCATGATGTACGGAGGACGTGAGCAAATTGTATCCCGAGTACGAAACCTTGACAACCTAAAAGCAGTTGTATTCAATTATAGTACGTATCGATAATATAAAGACATCTAAACGAACCTTAATAAAGGTTTCCAGCGTGAGTTGTACAAAAAATCTGCTCGAGACTACAATGGGCTTCGATGATCTTTGAATCATCATTAACAGGCTCTTCTTTACCTCGGTAGAAAGTGGTGTCCAGTCGATTTCGAATATCGCATCGGTCAAACTTTCACTCTGAAAATCGAATACCCCAAATTGTGTGCTTCGATATCTGATAATCGAAAAGGATCAATATTTACCTTCAAATATACTTCGTTTCCAAAATAAGTTACAAGAAATAACCGGCCTAGAATCATCCCCAAGTAAGAGAGAAAAGCAAGTTTTTCAATTATGCCACTAGTTATCATGGTCAATTGATAAACACTCATGCAAACAGCCAAAGCATCACAATAGAATTGAAATACGACGTAGACGCTGAAGGCAATGGTTATAAAATCGGCGATACTGCAATCAAAACAAATCCCAATGATTCTTCGTAGCGAAGAATTTTTTCATACTCACTTGTACAGATGAACGTGATGTCGCACGCACTCTTTCATTAATTGCCTTTCGAAGCTGACGTCATTGGTTGTGACGATCATGTCCGGTAACTTTTGCAATCTATATTTTAATATTTCTAGTTGTCCGCACAAATGCCACATACAACCGGTGGCTATGAGATCACTCATGATCGCAACGTGTCCAAGATAGATACCAGTGAGTACGTGGTGAGCATATGACAACCAATAAATCCACAGATTTTTTAAGCTGTAGGGTAGGTAAACTGGATATGGTAGAATCCGCAATTCTATGTCAAAGCTCAATGGAGTTATCATAAATGATATCACCAGTATTTCAAAGAAGAAGAACATTATTTTTGCAAGTTTTCTAAAAGAATAAGAAACAAAAGGGATTTTCAAACTATATTCCTTGACTTTAGAATTTATCAAATGTATTGTTTTTTAAATAAATATAGTTCATTATTTATGTAGATATTGCCAATGAGACCAACTTCTTGTAATTTCGAGCGAACCACGTATCGTTAGTTTTGCATAAATAAGATAATCGACTTGCTCTAAAAGCGTGAATTTGGTTACATCGAAGCTTTTTAGCAGAACACGTATCATCAGAATATTAGAAAAAAAATAAAAATATTTTTCTAGAACGTCACTTATGCCGATCGAAGCAAAATAAACACTGATTTTCCTCGGATATCTCTTATGCTCGGACATCTCTTTGCTCGCCCTCCCCCTAAAACTGCGAAGGTCTGTTTCATAAACGAGTGAAGTGTAGCACTAACTTGAATTTGTCCTCGCACGCCTTGCGGATGTTTTTCTCGACTTCGTCTCGTGCCAAGCAACAATCCTCTGCAAACATGCCGAGCAACTGATCCATCTTATCTCGGTTGAATAAATAAGAATAGGACTTTATTACAGCTGCCTGCAATGCCAGATAAAATGAAAAGGCATCGTTAAATTCGCTGAAGCTTTCCGACTTGGCGATACATAGTCTGGCCACTTGAAAGCTGTTCAAGGCGAGTAACGAGGTGAACATAATTATTGAGAAAATTCGATAAATGAACTTTTTATTAAAGGGCCACTGCTCTGGACACCAAACACTCAACAACGTGAGCGCGCTGAAGTGCAAAGGCAGTATTGCGGTTGCCATGAGTTACCTCATCGGTATCGGATTGATAACTGGTATGGCGTTGTGTTGGGGGATTACCGCTGACGGCGTTACTATGTAATTTTTATTTTGCATTTTTGACGAGCTCTTCTCGGATCTCCGTAATATTTTATGATGCCGTATGATGTAGTTTATCAGCAATAGAATGTGCTGTGCGTTAGTTGCTTTATTCGCACGTCACAGTAAGTCCATCGTGGTGCCGTTTGCTTCAAACGTTAATTAGTCGGTTGTCGATCATAGTCTACGAGTAAATATTTTTGAGCGAATATTTGCGAATGAGATGTACGAGATTCAAGGTATGCAGAAATTCTTAGAAATCGTTTTTTTCAAATTTCACACAGTAAAAGTTATGCTTATGTGCTTAATATAGGATTTAGAATATTATATAACTTTTATTTTCATTTCGCAGTCACAAAAATAATACAAAAATATTTTCAATACCTTTCCACGGTATTATACGAAAGAGTTCAAAACATTAAATCCCGAGTATGTAGTTTTAAGAACCTATGAGATTTAATAATTTTTTTTTAAAGATCCAACATTATTCAAGTGAGAGTCAATGTCTAATTTACCTTAACAAATGATTCCAATGATAGCCGTACTAAATTATCAGTTGCAATTTTTACTGGTTTCGATGATCGAAGAATCATAATTGTCAAATTTTTTCTAAAGCCCAAAGACAATAGCGTCCAGTCAATGCCAAATAGCACGCTACTTAAGCTCTTACTCTGCGAAATAAATAAAAAAATTAAATTTCAAATTGACATCGTGACCAGATAAATTGATCTTGGTATTTACCTGCAATGCGACTTCATTGCCAAAGTAACAAACGAAGAATAGCTGACCGAGTATGAAACAGATGAATGTGGAATAAGTAACGATTTCAATTATGGTATTTGCTCTTGTTGATAACTGATAGACACTCAAGCAAATTGCTAGTGCACTGACATAAAATTGGCCAACTGTAACCATACTAAATGTTGTAGCTATCTTTTTGGCTAATCTGCAAAATTGATTGAATAAAATTTCTCACTTCCTGCTATTATTTAATGGTCAACATTCTTAGCTTAAGAAAACGCACGTAGAGGTCTCTTAAAAATAGTAATAGATTTCTATGTGCTATTCCAAAAATTCGATATATATTTTATATTTTATGAAAAAAAAAAAAAAAAAAATACTTCAGTAGAACAAACCTTACCAAAAGGAAAAAAAGGAAATTTAAAAACACTTTTTGATTTCTTAATTTTCCTTCTTTTTTAAAGTTATATCTTATTAAACGAAATTAATTTTCCTGTTTTGAGATCATTTTTTGCCGAGCAATATAGTAACAGATCTTACATATTTAGATGAACATGATGTTGTACAATTTCCTTCAGTAGCCGTTTCTCAATTGCGGTAGTCTCCGATATGTCAGCTTCAACGACTTTACTTGGTAATAGTTGAAGACGATGTTTTAGAATCTGATATTGACCACACAGATGTAGCATGAACCCAGTGATCACGAGATCACAGGTAATGGTTATGCCGCCTGAGTAGACCGCAGCCAACGCTTGATGAGTATACGTCAAGTAGTAAATGACTTGATTTGACATATCGTAGGGTAAAAGTACTTTATAAGGCAGATCTCTGCTGCTGAATTGTGGAATAAGTATGAAGCATGCAATTGACATTTGCCCGACAATTATTATAAGTATGGCAGCTCTTCTAGAACAAAACTTGATAAAATGTTGAATACCGATCTGGTGGGTAGGATACGTTCTCTCTCTTACGAACCTGCATAAACTGTCATGTTTTCGTCTCACGTTCAGCTCGAAGTCATCCCGAAGGTTGCAGAATGTTTCATCAAACAGCTTCAGCAAATCGATAACCTCCTCGTGGCATATCAAGAAGCACAAAGCCTTGAAGCAACCGAAAGATAACGACAGGTTTATGAAGAACGCGTCGTTGAAACTTTTGAAATCGTTGCTTTTCAGAAATAGACTCGCCAGCTGAAAACTGCTGACGCTGCACATTACGACAACGACCACTAGCGAATAGAGTTTGTAAAGAATTTTGCGGAAGATGGACAAGTACGATGGACACCAGATTCCCCAAATTACAAGTATCTTAAAGTGGAATGATAGTATGCTCATGTTCAAGGGAATTTAACTACACTGACAAAAAAATGTTGAATTTTCCATAAAAAATATTGAAAATTCAACACGAAAATATTGAATTTTTAATACATTGTATTGAAAATTGTATACTTTATTGAAAATTCAATACCAAGTATTAAATTTTTTTAACACAAACTAAAATTTGTCGTTTGTAAAAATTATTCTCTTTAGAATTTTATTAATTTTAAAGTAAATTTAATGATAATTGTTGACCGTAATTGAGTTACAAATGTTATAGTAGCGAATTGAAATATTTAAACTGAAATTATTGTAACTTATATACCGAATTTTCAATACTTTCCATTGAATTTTCAATATTTTGTATTGAATTTTCAATACTGTGTTGAAAAAAAGTTTCAATACAAAGTATTGAATTTTCAACTGCAAATTTTTTACAGTGTAACTTATCTAAACGACTGTAAGGCGGTTACTGTTGAAACATAACGAATGGCTCAAGAAGGTCACCTTTTTGGAACCAACGAGAACATCGATACCTCTAGTGGACAGTTCAAGCGTATTTGCGAAAACGTTGGATGCCACTTGAACAGAATTTCAGGTTCATTAGTCGCATCGTTTGTACTTGGTGTTTGCTTATGATATTTGTTTAATTTGTTTAACTTCATTCTCATTGCTACGGCAATTCCAATTAAGGCGCAAGTGTACGACAAATCTTTACATAAATAATGACAGTAATAATGACAGTTTTTTTTTCACAAACTCATGTGAGTGCAGATTTCATTGTTTTGGTGAATGTATCTACTATTACTCCGCTTCCAAAATAAAATACATAATAAGAAATTTATCGTGAGCTTACTTTTTATATTACGAATAAATGTTATTATTGCGGTATATGTACAGAAGAAACGTGATATGTGAGCTGATTTGAAAATGAACAGACACGGTCAGTCGTTACCAGCACTCGCGTGACATGATATATACAAGCGTGATATACACATGGGTGCATAGTCATCCATTAAATTTTCCTTTAAAAGTGTCTTTCGAAAAATATAGATTTTGGCGTTGTTTGCAAAATTTCACCGTGAACGCAAGTTTCACCTGAACTATTGAAGAACGTTATAAGCCGAATAAGAAATCTTGATTATCTGATTAGAGAAGGAACGGCAAGATAAAAAGGAATTTCAGCGTAATAGTTTAAAATATTGGTACTTGCAGAGTATATGGTTACTAACACTGGTAAACGAAGTGAGCGACAGAGTTATCAGCGGTCCGTAGGACATGACGATCGGCGAGGTCGAACGTATCATCATGATGATCAACTCGCGAGAAGTATTCGCGTGCAACGCCGTCCAGTTCATCTGGCCGACCGCGCTGGAAAATTGCAAGCCCTGGGAACGCCGAGAACGGAATTATCGATCTCGCGCCGGGGAATCGCGGCGAAAGCCGAGACGCGTACCTTGAGCGTGAGCTCGTTGCCGAAGTAGCAGTAGATAAATAATTCCACGACCATGCTGGCGAGGTAGAGCGGCATGAAGATCTCCGAGCCGTGCGAGCCGCCGGCTGTCAGTTTGTATATGGATATGCAGAGCACGACGGAGCTCAGGCAAAATTGCACCGTGAAGACCGGGCCGAACGTGGCGTTGATGTCGTCGGCGAGTCTGCAAATGCACGCGACGTCGCAGCTGAACGAGCCTTGGCGCGAAACTTACGGCGAGCTCGCTCACTTGAAGACGACGAGGTGATGCTCGACGCTCTGCTTCATCACGGCCCTCTCGGTCCTCGACGGCGCCTCGCGGTCGCGCGATCGCGCGCAAGCCTCGGCCATCGCTCTCAGCCGGCAAACCATGATGTCGAGCTGGGCGCAGGCTTGGATCATGAGCCCCGTGGCGAGGGTGTCGACGGCCACGTCGAACGCCGCCGTGAGCATCAGCCCGGCGGCCTGATGCAAGTACGAGCACCAGTAGCCGAGTCCGTCGCTCGCGTTGTACGGGTGCCAGGCGCGCAGCGGCAGCGCCGTTTCGTCGGCCGGCAGGATCAGCGGCCAAGCTCCGAGCACGATCACCGTTACTTCCGCCAGGCTGATGCATATTATGACGTTGTACCTGACGAGCCCCCGGTTTCGCTTGGTTAGGCACGCTCGCGGCTCGAAACGTCACGACTTGCCGTACCTGGCGATTTTCCGGAAGCACGCGGCGATGCGCCTCTCCTCGTCGTTCCGCGGCAGGCAGCAGCTCGAGAGCAGCGCCTCCGCGAGGCCGCTGACGCGCCTCCTGCCCAGCAGCACGGTGGCACCCTTAACGCTCGCGTTCACGGTCGACAGCAGCATGTAAGTCGCGTCGGCGAAGTCCGCGAGGGAACTGCCGGCCGAGAGGAGCATGGCCACGAGCTGCGACGCGAGGAACAGGCTCATCGTCGCCACCGTGAAGCACGTGTACAGGCCGTAAGCGGAGGAGCTGTCGCTCGATCGCCAGAGTCCCACGCAACTCGCCAAGGCAAAGGCTTCCGGGAGCACCTGCATCGTCGATCAACGCGCTGCCCACTGCGGAATTGCTTCTTTTTTTTCCTCTTCCCTCCGCTCGGTGCCTCTGCCGCGGCTACGCGCCTTTATTTCAATTGCATTATTTAGTAGGTTCTGATTATAGTCTCGTTTTGCGAAAACAAAACCGCGCAAACTCCGTGTCGATCGGCAAGACTTCCGTCGAAAGTGTACGTGGCTGATGCCAGTGGAAATGTGGACGATCATTTAGAGTTGAGCCGATTGTCACTTTATTCTCGGTTGAAATTTCGGTACGACTTTCAAACGATCATTTGCTCGCACGTGAGAAATTTGCTTCCTAGCTGATATTTTCAATAAATGGGTAGACTTGATCAGTTCTTTTTTTTCGAGTTGTTTTGAATGGTGTATTTAATGTTTTTTTTTCGTTTTTCTTCAATCCTTATTAACAAATTAATACAATAAAAAAATTAATGTTTTGTTTATTTTGCTCAGTTTACTTCTATCATTTTATCATCCATAATCGGTCTTTTTCATTTGAAATATACTAATCTATGCGCGTCTAATATTTAATTACGGTGCAAAATCTGTATCCGTTAAATGCATCACAAAATCATTCTATAGCCTATAGCCTACAATTAAAAATCATCAATCTTAAAATTCTAAAATTTAGCGGGAAGAAGCGTGTAATGATCTGATGTTTCAATTGGATTCAGTTGATCTGAATGGATTTCGTCGAGGAATGTTTCATTATAACTTTGAACAAAAATCATTTTCTGACTTGTTCGAAAGTTTTATCATTCGAGATTTATCGGCTAATTATGCAAGCTAGGTAGAATCAAATAAAAATATTCGTATATGGTTGTATTCTGAAAACTTTTGTATGTAATTACTTACCTAATTTTCACATTTATCGTTCGCTGGTAATAAAAATATAATGTTACCGGAGCAACATGCTCGATTGCAATATCAAATATCAGTTTCATTCAGCTTCGTTGATCGTGCGATGACTCGTTTTCATTGTTTCTGCAGTCGTCGGCGATGTGCACAAAGTGTCTTACGCCGATACATTGGTCTTTCCATGCAACATCATGGCTTGTCAACTTATATCGAACGTAAAAAAATAAAATGGTATCACAAAAAACAAAAAGAAAAACGAATTTATGAGAAAAATGAATGGTAAATTTATAGTTGCATGAAAACTAATCGAGTTTGCGTTATTTCATTATGACTAATTCATTTTACGAATTCAATTGACAAGCCCATCTATCGAAAAATAAAAAAACAATGTCCTCACGTTCCATCGTGGATCGGAGTGGAATTGGTAAAGTGCACCGTGACATACGCGCCGCGTTATAATGCAATTTACATTATCGAGCTGCCGTTCATAAATATACCTTGACATTTATTTTTACTTTTGTACAAATGAAAATTTCAATTGATGAATGTCCGATTGTCGTCGTGTAAATACACTTTCACGAGTATTATGTTTCTTTGTATCGTCCGAACAACATGTTAGAATAGTCACCGTAAGTGTGCGTTTTCAAGTCACTCGGGTAATAGTGCGTTGATTTGTCGCGACGATCGCTGCAACACGTTGAACGCCGAGTACGAGGCTTTTAATATCTGAAATGAACGTGACGACTGAGGACGAGGAAGAAGCGCGAAGCCCTTACACTTTTGATTTTCAGCTGCTCGCTCGAGCATATCACTCACCGTGACGAAAGACTTGACAGACAGCGTGATAACAGCTCCGCAAGACATGACGATCGGCCGCTTCGCTCGAAGCATCATTATCACGAGATCTCTGCTCGTCCGCGCTCGCAGCTCCGTCCAGTCGATCTCGTAGACCGACTGTCCGAAATCTAGGCTCTGTCGATGCACGCAGACGCACGCGTGAGCAATAATCGTCGCTGATCGGCCGCAATCCTACCTTCAGAGTGACTTCGTTGCCGAACCAGCAGTACATGAAGAATTGCACGAGCATGCAGCAGAGATAGAGCACCATCGTGACGAATTGCACGCCGTCGTTTATGCTCACCGACATCTGGTAGACGCTCAGCGACAGCACCACGGAGCTCATGCAGAATTGCATCACTATCGTCGGCGAGAATATGGCGTTAACGTTTTCCGCGAACCTGCAAGTTGGCATCACTTTTATGGCCTGTACCAATCAGAATTATGTCGGTTTCTTCTTTTCGTTTCTCGAAGCAATGAAGACATCCACGATGTTCGTCGCGAACTACTCACTTGTAGATGTGAGTGTGGTGCCGAATGTGTTTCGCGATGATTTTCGCCTCGGAGAGTTGATTCCCTCCGGCTAGTCTAGCCATCTGCGGCATTTCGAGCAGCCTCCAGTTGAGCAATTCAAGTTGCGAGCAAGCTTGAATCATAAATCCACAGATGAGGGAGTCGTGTGCCACGTTGATGGTTGCGCAGGTGAATATCGCAGCAGTCTGGTGGACGTACGACAGCCAAAATGTCACCGGCGATACGATCGTGTACGGCAGCCAGGATTTGAATGGCAGAGTGCGATTTTCGCGGCTGATTAGCAGGGGACCCGTCGACATCACGCTCACGGTCATCTCCGCGAGAACAAAGCAGGAGAGGGTCAAGTATCTAGTTATAATTTTTACACGCTTTTTTAACAATGCATTCGAATTTTATGTTATAGTAGAAGAACAAAAAGAGCAACATTTTCCATTGGTATGTTTCTATGCATAATTTTCTTTGATTTTTATTCTACAAATTATTTATATAGGACAGTTATTTTTCATCCTCATAAATGTTTTGTAAACAATATTTTACGATAATTAAAATATTTTTTAAAAAAACTTAAATTCGTACTTTATAGCAAGTAACTGCCGAAAAAATTCAGTTTAAGCAGTCGTAAAGCAATCACGAATCAAGTTTATTTAATTAAAAGTAAAACTCCACGCTATTCTAAATAAATTTCGGTAAAAGCGTAAAAATTCAACCTGGCAGTCTTATCGAATCTCCGAAGAATCTTCATTTCGATAGTATTCCTCGGCAAACAATGGTCTTGCAGTAGCATCTCCGCCAGCTGAATGATCTTTTGCCTCCTGAAAATAATACTGGCCAGCTTGCAGCACACGCTGACCGTGGACACGAGCAGAAAGGAAATGTCCGTGAAGGCTTCGAGACTGTCGGTGAGCAAGAACGCGCCCACTAACTCGGACACGGTGAGGGAGTAAACGAGAGTCGCGGCCGAAATCGTGTAAATGTAGTAGAGGCTCGTCTTCAAGCGATCGCCGTCCCAGCCGATCGGCCTCCACGCCCCCGCGTAACTGAACATCATGAAGCACTCGCCGAGTACGAACATCGTGTACGCGGGCTCAAGTCATTGCGGCGCGGACCTTCCTCGCGGACTGTAGAGCCGCGTCGGGCCGAAGCTCCTCCACCCACCTCTGTCCGCGTGCTTTCATGGGATGTATTTAGCGGCACATATAGCCACTTGTTACGGGCAATTACTCGCGGCAATTATAGTCGCCGGCGTTACATTGTTCTGCACGCTACGAGCGACGCTGGCCCCGCGGACAAGCTCGCCAGCTGCACCCGTTAGTCGGCGCTAAAGACGAATCCTAAATATTGGCATCGGGTCTTCCTTTCATGAAATTATTAGTTTACCCGCTTTCGAAGGCAGAACCTGCAGTAAGAATCACTAAGGCAAGTGTGTTGTGCGCGCGCGCCGTTATACTCGTATCTACCGACTGCACGCGACTCAAGCTCATTCTCGCGATCCTCGAATACTTCAAAGCGCCAAGATATGCCGTGCTCGCGTGATATCTCTTGCGTAGACGAGAGTTATAGCACGTTATAATTCCTTACACGTGCCCTTTCGTTCAGCAAATGCCCGATTGCTGCCCGAAATGACCGCTTAAAACTTTTCAAAGAGTCCATTCGGTACGAGCTCTCGTTCGCGTTCAGATTCATGGTTTCGGGGAGTACGCGTTAAATTACCAGGTATAATCGCTATGTCATGGAGTATATCATTAGCAATACTATTGTTCAAAGACACTGTTAAATAAGCAGTCAAGTGTTCAACAGGTACCGTGATAAACTGTTCCGAAACTTTGATTACCGCAAGCTTTTTATAATGAAGTCTTACCCATAGTTATAAATAAGCCAACATTTCGAAAAATTTTTTGTTCCTCGTAACTTTAGATATTACAGAGATATGCATATTCGATATTGATCGGTTATTTCACTGACGCGTATCTGCATAAAAGTAGATTCACGTAACGTAAGGAAAATCAACGCCCCCATCATTACGCCGTGCATCAACCTTCCTTTCTCGCGCTGAATGCGATGAAAGCGAAGGCATCAAAGCAATCGCTTATTATCTACCAACTCGTTACCGCCCGGTATAACGGAAAAAATATATATACATAAACGTTTTATACGCCGTCTATAAGTCTAATCGCTCTCGGGTAAGAGATCTCCTCCCTTTGTTCTGGGAAAAAGAAAAAATGAAAAATAACTCTTGCTCCGTGGTAGTGTAGCCCTGACGTGGTACTTCCACCCCTTTGTCTATCTATTACGTTAAAGCTGTAATTTCGACTCTTGCCTCTTGATGATTACATATTGCAAGCCGTTTTTCTCTTACGCAACGCGCCTGCAACAACGGAAGAGAGAGAGAGAGAGAGAGAGAGAGAGAGAGAGAGAGAGAGAGAGAAATAACGGAACAGCTTCGGCGCAAACGAGGAGGGTCGTGAACCCCTCCGAACGAAAATAGAATTTATCCGTAGAGCCTCGTGTTGGGGTTCAATACACTTTATTTAAAGGGTCTTCGTTCTTTGTTTTCTATTTTTTACGAATGTCAATATCTCCGTTCGAATGCCATTTTCTTCCTTCGACGATTTTGTTGAAACGTTGTTTGCGCAGCTTGACGAGACAGCAGGACTGCACCTGTATTTGTTTGTCCTAATTTGCATTCAGACGCTCCACCGAACGATTATAGTGCAATAAACTCATCTGACCTAATAACCACATCGACGAGCTTTTTTTTTTGGTACCAAATTTAATTTGTATATTTTGCTTGAGCAATATATGATTCTATTGCACCATTGCCAGTTACGTTCGAATAAATGTAAGTTTTCATTTTTATAATTACAAAGTTATTCTAATTATATAGTTAGTCAGAAGCTTTACTCTTTGAAGTCACGGTTGTTCAGTAAAGTAGTAATTCTATTTGCTAAGGCAACGCTATTTTGTTTCCTTGGCTAGTCAGTAATAAAATATATACTGTATAGTTTTTCGAGTGCATACATTTACAAATCTTCTCCTATATTCTCCCTTACGTGGCTTTGATTTCGCTAAATGCAACAGCAATCGAATTTTTTTGAGCAAAATTAAGAACCTTGCTATCAGCTTTCACCTTTACATTTTTGTATTCTAATTAAACGGTTGGTATTGATTTATTATTAACACTTGTCAATATATGATGGTGTTAATAATATTCCAAAACAGTTTCGTGAAAATTGATGGCATGTTGTTGTACACCGTGTACATCATTTGTTATCATTAGTGCGTGTTTTAGGACGGAGAAAGAAAAGTTGGGGAAACTCAGCAAATAATTTGAAGAGGACTGTAAAAAATGCAGTAGGAAAGCTATCATTGTTATACATAAATAATTAACCCGATGAAAACATACAGTTAGCTATTACATTTATTAACTCAGACTTTTAATCGAATATCATTTTCAAACATAAAGCGAATTCCCACATTTTTAAATGTATTTATATTCAATCATGTTTGTTAATTACAAAATTCGATTTCTTTCCTTGACATTATTATTTCTGCCACACACAATATTTAATAACGATAAGCAATGTTTGCAGATATTGTTCAATGTTACATATATGCATATTAACCATAAATTGTGCCAATAGTATTGTATAACTAAATTATGTAAAAAGTCTAGATCGTAGTGAGCTTTCATTCTCCTGCATTATGTAAAGTTTTTAGGATAGCTTCAGTTATTAACTTCTCCGATGAAACTGCGAAAAAAATTATTTTCGCGAAGAAACAAATTATAAAATAAATAAAGAAGAGTTTATTCAGCGAGTAGCTTATCTGGCATTAATGAGCTGCGATCAGAGTTTGTCTTACATATTTGAACATCGTAAGCAAAATTTAATGCACAATTATCATATAAAAGAGGCGTCCAGATTCTACCAGCTCAAGCTTACCTTTAATCTCGTTCCGTGACGCCTGTTAATCGGAAAATGGAAAATGAAATACTCGTCGCGATATTTTTTGCCCTCTGGGCGATCATTCAAATTTCGGCATCTCCAACTTACGGCCCATTAGTCATCACTGAATTTCAAAAAATAAGAGGTCGATGGAACGTATCGTACGCGGGAAGGCCGTACAAAATATTCGAAGGTATTCCATACGCCGAGCCACCGGTGGGCGAACTACGTTTTAAGGTAAAAATTTTGTGCAAAGCTTGCGATAATTATTTTTTCTACAAAGAATCCTTACCTCAGCCTCCGCAACCAATCACCAAACATCGCGACGAAGTTGTCCTCGCGAGGCAAGAGCCAAATAAATGCATCCAGTACGACTACCAGACGGGGCTTATCGAAGGAGTAGAGGACTGTCTGTTCATGAACATTTATGTACCTATGTTGGATAAAAAAGATCCTGCGCCACTTCCGGTAATCATTTGGTTCCACGAAGGTGCTTTCCAACGAGGCGCTGGTACCTACACAAAGGCAAGATATATTATGGACCGCGACGTCATATTGGTGACGTTCAATTACCGTCTGGGCATCTTTGGATTCCTCAGTACGGAGGACAACGTCGCGTCTGGTAATATGGCTTTGAAAGATCAAAACCTCGCTATAAAATGGGTAATCAACAACATTGCTGCCTTCGGCGGCAATCCCGACCAGATTAGTTTATTCGGTGCTAGTGCTGGCGGCAGCAGCGTACACTTCCATTACCTATCAAAAATGAGCTCCGGTCTATTCAAAAATGGAATATCCTTTAGTGGCACGGCTCTGTCGCCTTGGGCCTTCGACCCCAAACCTTTGCAAAACGCCAAAAGGTTGGCTGTCATCGTTAATTGTACTACGAAAAGCTCTGAGAAGATGGTCGAATGCCTGAAGAAATTGTCTGCGCAAGCTCTCGCTGAGGGAATGAAAGTAATGCTGGTACGTCAAAATCACAGATTTTTATCGAGGTTCTGTAATTAAAATTTCGCGCTATCTCTGTTCAGAGGCAAATCACTGATCTGAATTATTACTATCCGCTGTTCATACCTGTCGCCGAAAGAAATGTAAGTGACTACTTTATCAGCAAATCTCCCGAGGAAATTTTGAAGGAGGGTGACATCTATGATGTGCCATGGACCAGCGGCGTTGTCAGTGAAGAAGGCGGTTCCACTATATCGAGTAAGTTTTCTTTGCGTCTCAATTTTCCAACGTTCGACTTGAATGCTACTACTAAACAATTGCATGTTCAAGGTATCGCTTTCAATCTTACTAAGCTGAACTACACCGACACAAACTGGGAGTATTTGACTCCCTTCACTCTCATGTACAATAAAACTCTACCTTTGACTAAACACGCGGAAATCGCTCGTTTAGCTAGAGAGCATTATGTCGGTAATCTAGATCCTTTCGATAAGGAAAGCCAAAAAACCATCATGGGTTTGCTGTACATGAAAACTCACGCAGCCTTTCATGTTATTCTGGAAAAGTCTGCAAGATTGCAAGCTAAAGCTAACAAGAGCCCGGTCTACGCTTATTATTACAGCTATCGAGGAGCTCAGAGTGAAACGGATTACTTATCTGGCACCAAGTTCAATTTTGGTAATATCTCAAAAGGGAATCTTTAAACAGATTGAAAGTAGAGCGACAAGGTACATATACTTTTTTTCGCAGGCGTTAGTCACTTGGATGACATTTTCCTCGTTCTTGAGAACAAGTACATCGATCCAACTACGACAGAAGAAGATAGAATTATGTTGGATGTTATGTTAGACTTCTGGGTTAATGCAGCGAAGACAGGGTTAGTAATTGTAAAATACATTTAAATATATTTGACGTTCAGTGATGAGTATCTATTTTGTATTTCAGAATACCGAGTTTATCCGGACACGAACTACCCAGAGTTGATCCGGATGATTTCGAATTCTCGTACGTCGAAATAGCTGGTCCGAACAAATTTTATCTGCGTAAGACCGATAATTTTGCCGATAAAAAATTTTGGAATAAAGTTGGATATAATTTAGATATATAAAATATAACTGTTATTATAAAATGGCTAAAGGAAAAAAGTATTTAATTACCATTTGTACGTGATTTAAGAGTACTATCATGAAATGTAATTAAATTTATTGACATAAAATTGGTTAAATTGACAACAGATTCAACTAAATATAAGACGGTAACAAAATCGCCCATCGATGACTTTTCCATCCTAATGCTCGTGTATTTCTTCGATATTAATTGAAAATTCAAGCAACGTCTCAAATTGTTCTCCATGAGTTTTTGCGTCCGCGAAATAGACTTCGTCGATACATAAGATCCCTCAGAGCTCCGTTTATCGCGGAGCTCAAGCGTATACTGTTGATACTCTCCAATAAGTCGGTGTATAGACGCTTGGTTATTTTCTTAGGGTTGGCCAACGATTACCGAACAATGAAGATTTCTTTCACTGTTGATGTTTAAGATACGGATGAGGGCGTATAAATTCTATCGTCTTTAACGTACGAGTAGCATACGTTATATGTCAGCATAATGCATTTACACATCAATATAGACCTGTCTTGCTTGCATTATCATTCATTCAACTTTTCGATCGTCAATTTATTCGAACTAACAACGCAAAATCTTTCTTACAACAGGTTATTTTATTTTACGTAACTTTAATAACAAATGCTGTTATAGTATTCAGATGATCGTAAAAATGTCATTCAATGCTTACGACTTATGCAATTTCAAGATAGTACTTAATCTCATGATGATCTTGTGAGTGGAAAACTTGTATTATTGGCGCGGTACTCGCATAATCAGGTTAAATGTTTCATGTTCAGTTATTATAACGATAGGCAAAAAATTCATAATTCTATACATTATTTAACTTCGATTATTTCCTCATAATAATAAAAAAATAAGCATTGTGTCTCTATCGGTTCTATGGGTGAACATAAAAATAGAATAAATACATATGTATTTTGTAAGCTGTTTAAATTTGAGAAACGTATATTCGTAAGAAAAAAATAAAATATTAAATAAGATTTCTTGTAAAATATTATAAAATTATTGATCATTTTGATCCTAGTAGTTGTATTTTTTATCATGAAAACACTTTTTATCATCATTAATTGATAGACGAAACTAGTAATAATATGTATTCTATAACTCATATGTATTAATTTTCGTTATAAGCCATCGAAAAATATTAATGAAACCTTTAAAAATATTATGAAAAGAATATGTTTAAAATTAATTTATTCTTGTTGGAATGCAAGGATCATTTAGTGGAATGAATTCAACTATTAGATACAGCGTCAACAAACCGCGTAGCCTTGTTGGCTCTTCTTTTCATATTTCTGCCTCTGAGCACCATATCCTGGCAAAATGAATGGTGAATGTGTTGGTCGGGTTCGTCATCAGCGGAGCGCAGTTGTAACAGGAACATGCGTCTCTGTCTATCCGACAAATTAAGGTAGGAGCCATGAACCAATAAATACGAAAAAATCACGATATCGCCTCTCTTTGCTGAGATTGGAAAAGCGCCAGCGATCGGAAAGCGTTGAGGATCAACGTAACGTATCACGTCAGCGGTGCCATCGGTGTCAGCGAGTTCAAGTGTTTTCAAAGGACCAAGTTTGTGGCTACCGGGATAAACGCAGAGACCACCGTTTTCGGGAGTCGTGTCGTCCATGTGAACGAAGACAGCAACCATCGAGTGTTTTTTAAAGGGGAAGTACGGGTAATCCTGATGCATAAGGTAAGGTGCACCTTTTTCTGGCGGTTTGATGTGAGCCTTATTGTGATGGAGCAGGATATTTGGGCCCATTATGTCTTCCACAGCGTCCATAAGCTTTGGGTTGGAGATTAATCTGGTGAATACCTCGCTGAACATTTGCCAGTTATGGATGGATTTTACCTGCGAGTGTATGACATTTATAGCAGAGATTCAGCAAAAACTTGCGTTATTTATTAAGCTATTCTTTCGATTGCTCGTAAATGTAATTCAATACTCACAGTGTAATTGATGTTATTAGCTGCTTTTTTCATGTCCTCTCCAGTCCATGCAGTTTCCAATCCGTCCATATTTTCCTTTGACTTCTCAGTGAAAACATAGTCGTACTCGTCTGAAATTTCTTGGAATTCTCGATCCGTAAAAAGTCCCGATATTTTAACGAATCCATTGTCTTCGTAGAATTTTTTTTGCTCTGCAGTGAGGTACTTTAATTTACTCATACTTGCCATAAATGCTTAAAACGTAGAAAGAACGCGAGATGACGAGACCGGCGTCCACGGCGTCTCGCGATTTTATGCGAAATCGAAGCGATTGCAATAATCGGAATGGAAACTTTTAAAGAGATGACTTTCAACAAAACTCACTCGCGTGATAATTATAATCAATGCTGAATAATCAGTGAAGACTTTCGATCGTTTGATGCTGCGTCATTGTTTTCCTAATTAAATTATTTAGGATACAATAAATATATAGTAAATAAATGTAACCAATTACATCAATATATTCACAAAATTTCCCTGGATTTATTTGCTATATATTTTTATCTAAGAAAAAAGTATATTCATTGGGGTACATTGGATTTTAATTGAGAATAATAGTTCCATTGGATTTATAATGTAGATATATGTAAAACGAAATCTACAACACTATACTAACTGTTTATAACTCTAAATATTACACACTTACTAAGGGAGGATGCAACTTTTTCAGGATTATTCTATTAGACTGTAGACACAAATCATCGTTAAAAGATCACATGGTACCGCAACAGTTAAACATACGAGTAATTTATTTATAATCAACAGGTACCGAAAATCATTAAATTCAACAATCAGCTGACTAAAGACTTTTTACAGTTAAGAAGTGGAATTTCTTAAAATAATCATTGCCGTGTAAGAAACTTACAAAATCTAAATAAACTTGGAGAACATTGCAAGTATTAGTAAACAAATTTTCGGAGTATTTTCTAGAAATATTTTGAAATGTGATTGAAGTTGTTACAAATAGCTCATCCCTCGCGATTCATCGGCGACGTAGAGCTGCAATTGAGCTTGTTACGAAGCTCTCTGCTAGCTTAGCATGTGCAGCAACTCTTGCAGCAATCGCAAATAACCGAGGGTAGGAAATGCAGTGTGACCGTCGTCGAGGTCTTCGTAGGCAATCAGTCGTTGTCTCGCGAAACGGGCTTCCAAAAAAACCTACGCTGCTGGAGATCTTTGAAAGCTTCGTCCTTTAATTAGGTTCTGACGGCGATTGACGGGCCAACGGATTGGTGTGCAAACGCTCAATTCGGTCATTTAGCATGTTGCACAAATAAATGTTTCTCTCTACCTCGATGACTGACTGACTGAAGGTGTTAATGAATGACGATAATTCGATCTGATCCTTATAATGCAGTCATCAGTAAGACTATAATAACAGTTTAATGTTGTAATCGTTAGTGTTCATTTGTAAAAATTTGTCAAAACAACTGTCGATACTGCGATAAGATATTGTGTTTCCGCGTAAGAAAAAGTTCAAATTTTACCAAATTTTCGTCAAACTTACGTTGAATAAATTTTGGCAAAAATTTTCCTGTGAGACGATGCCAAACTTGCTTAGTCGGTCAGTTTCTTTACAGAAGGTTTGGGACAACTTTTCCCAAATTTATTTTCATAGTTGTACAATTAGAGTTTTGTTTTAAAGTTTAGCTAAAGTTTGGCCGAACTTCAGGTAAATGTAATTAAAAATTGTTTTTCCCATTTTTGACCGGAAGCTTGGCTAAAGTTCGGACGAATGCAATTCACTAGAATTGAAAACCGATGTCACTAGAATTTTACTTACTAGAAGTTATAGCACCTTGCGCAAATCTGCTACACGCTGAAAAAAGGGTGTGAATGCAGAGAGAACATATTTTGTATGTACGTGGTATATATCTGTAGCGATGTACATTGCTTTGTAGTAAAACAGCGTAGTAAAACAGCTGATGTAGTATATACCGCTATGAGCGCTGACGTGACGTGGCCGCACCCGTATTGGTATTATTGTTAAATAATAATAGTTATGTGATTATTCGGTGCTGAGTGTAGATAAAATTACTACGATTTCTAACTAGGACTTTTAACTTTTTTATCATTGTTCAGCTTTTTTATTACACTATAAAATATTATTTGGGAAAGAAATTAATAAAATATATCTTAATTATTTATCTGCAAAATTATCTACTTTCCCATATCTTTCGTTGGTAGAATTGAACCTACTGTTTGAAATTCGGTGGCTTTAGGTATGATTTTCGCGTCTACATTTGAATTATCGAAAAGACAAAACACTGGCGTACGCGATCTTTTGTCACGAAGTGTAATTCTGAAACAATGTGCGAATATTTTGTGCTTATAGTATGATTTTAATTTCTAATAAAAGATAAAGGGGAAATTTTATCCATATAAGGCAACTGAAAACGTAGCGTATTTTTATTAGTAAGAAAATTGCTCGGGAAAGTAAAAATGATTTGTATCGATCTTTGGTCAGAACGTCGTAGGCTTTAATCAGATATTTTCCAGACATAGAGCGCGTTGCTAAATTTTTACTCTTCTGAAAAACAAGTTGATTTCTATTAGAATGTTATTTGACAAAATTGCACGATTTGATCTAGATTTTTTTTTACGACTGAAGCAAATGTACGACACGAACAAATGTCGATAAGTTAAGACAGGGCTTAAAAGGTATTCTCAACGCTAATTCATAAGAAATGGTCAAAAGTTCTATTTGTTTGCACCAACCTGCTACATTAAATTATATAACAGACGTGCAAACGAGGAGCAAAATTAAAAAAATATATACTTCTTCCAACAACGATTGTTTTTACAATATATTCTATTATTTTCTAAAAACATCACTTGTTATTCATATTGAATAACAACTTAAGCAATATTTTTAAAATATTTTACTAATGCAAGACAAGCTTCTGAAAAGTGTTTGTCTAAGTAGAAAAATCTGGCAAGGATTCAAAGCAGTAAAAACAAAGCGAGTGTGTAAAAAATAGAACTTATTATTAAACAGCATTTGGACAAATATACAAAAATAAATTTTTATTCTGTTGAACGAACGTATAAATAACGTGACGTATGAATTTATCTTCAATCGCTTTTAACATCACTGTTCCGCCTCTCTATCCATTTGCTTAAACCAAGCTTTATCAGCTCGTAGTTTTCGTACATCCACGAGAACATTACCAAGCCGAACATCATTATGCCGATGAACAAATGCAAGAATTTATCGTCAGGAAAATAGTATGTCTACAAAATATTATTAACATTTGAAAAAATTGAATCGTAATAATTTTTACGCTAATTAATTTCATTAAATTATTAACCAAAAGAAATTATTACTTGAGTAACTCACCTGAGAGAATGTAGTGACGAGGGCAGCAATGATGAGACAACAACTAAAGAAGGGTTTAGGCACGAGTCCTTGAAGCGGCTGGTATCTTGTCTCAGCATATCTTCTGTTAATGAACGTCGTCGAATGTGCAATTCTCAAGCCCATGTTCACGCAGTTTCCAAGTATAAATCCAACAGGTCCAAACCAGGTGACAAAAACGTATGAAGCGACGAGAAATGCCAGCGACTCATAAATCATAATCACATTGTTCTTATCAATTGTGCCACTGTCTGCAGTAGCGTTTGTGTAACATTCTGTCACTCCATTAATGCCCAATAATAATACTGCCAAACAGTGTGCACGTAGTAAAAGTATGGGTAGAGTTGCGGTGAGCTTTTCGCCACCGTACAACCAAAGTAACAGAGATGAATAAGATTGGCCAAATACTAAGACTATCAAACCGATGGACGTCACGACGACGCACAAGTAACGGAGAACGTTGGTACTTTCTTCAACTCTGCCGGATGGTTGATGGGATATTGGACGGTCACGTTGAACTAGTTGAGTGAAGTAGAAGTAACCGCTGTCTTCGATCGGACGGAAGATGAAACGTGCTGCTAATGAACCTAAGTTGTTTACTACTTCGTATACTCCCTGTAATCACGGTTGGCATTTTACTAACTAAATATTTATGATATAGTAACGATCGACATTTGTTTATAGGAATTTTATTTTTATACTGCTTATTAAATTTATTGATCACGATGTTATTTAATAAAGAATTGCCTAATTATTTGTCATTTATTACAGTAAAATGAAAATTTTTGTCTAACAAATCATTCATGTTGAATGCTACAAAGTAGTTATTGTTTAGAAATGTCCCTTGTAAATATAGAATATGACAAGTTTCTTTACTTGATGTCCATTTCTTATGCAATGTTAAGATATTTTTAGAAAAATTAAGATACCGTTAATGCAGAAAAATACTAAGTATTTATTTTTCGTGTCAATTTGACGATTTTCAAAATTTGAATTGAGAAAAAAAGAGAAAAGGAATAATGACAAAAGTATTTGACAACATTTAGTTTTCATTGCATTTAATTATTACCTAATAAAGATTGTGCAGATTTTTTAAAAAGTAAAAAGAATCCGAACTCTAACACAAAATAAACGGCTTTTGCATCTCAGAGTATATTATTTTCTGATCATTTTTGTTATAGATCAAGTATCAAATATCTTATTAAAATTTCGATTGATTGTGAATTGCATTACCTGTTCTGCAAAAGTTAGGAGTGGTGCAAATGTCATGATCAATCTTTCACCTTCTGTCAATAGTTGCTTAAGTGCTGATTGTTTAAAAAAAGACATAGTGAGATGATATAGATTTTTATCCAAAACTGTGTTCTGAAATAAACAACTACCTTATTCTTTTCATCTTTCCCAAAATTAAAAAATTTTTTATTTGGTTTTACTTACATGATTTTCTAACTGACCAGGTAGGAAATCTTTTAAAGACATAAAAGGAAATTCTGACTCAACAATCTCTTCTGTTCCATCATCACTCACGGATAGTCTTCTTTTTAATTTGTGCCTCTTCAATCGCTTAATATAATGATTAAAGTAAACGTAATGACTTGCAGTGTAAAAGACAGCTGCTGCTAGTTGTGCAACTCCAAAAGCAAGAAGTGCATTCTCTGGGTTGTATATAATTAAAAAAACAAATGTTGCAGTCCTAAGTGCAATCATAATAGTATCTAAAACAATCTAAAATACATTAAAATTGATTACTCTACCGTTATTTTGTAAAAAGATTTTGAAAAAGAAAAAATTCAACAATGTTACCCTAAGTCTATTGAATAAAAATGCACTGGCAACAAGTTGTACCACCAGTGATAAAAGCTCTATCACACAAGAAATTGCGACTGCATAAACAGCAAAAGTGTAGTATGGGGGTAAAGTTTCTGAAGTAGGTAGAACATAAATCCACATGTATCCAAATAGAAAGGACATTACAACGGAAACAGGAACACTGAAAAATCAGATCAACGTACAATCTACAATACCCAACAAAAATTGCGATTCATTAGATATCTACCTTAGCCATAATAAATTAACAACTTGAGCCCAATTATGTTCTGCTGTATTAGTAAGTCCAGCTTTCATAAAAGGCTCCTTGGAGAGAAAAAGAATCATAGATTCAAGAAGCAGCAACCGTACATTCATCACACCAAGAATAGCTTGACCCACGTGTCTAACCACGAATGCATTCAGGAAAAAAGTGACGCCTCGACACATTATCTAAATAAAACAACCATTATTACTCTAAATATATACAGCAGCATCTTTGAGGCGAACCTATGTGTACCTGAAAGACAATGTTGAACGAAGCGTTCTCCAGGCTGCTCTGCAATATATTTGGCGCCATGATCCCAGGTTATTTCCAACGTGTGTCCGATAAATGGCAATTGTATTTTTCTGTCAATGAATCACGATGTAGTTGCTGCAGTGGCATCCTGATGCTAACTGCCAGGCGAATTTCGTAACGTCGCAACACAAAACAATATCGCCCAGGCACACGCAGCAGACGACGCTAGAGCCCGAGCTACTCTGGCTGATACACGTCATCGCTACACACCACTTATAGTTATAGTCATATATATATATATATGCGAGATTTGACAGGGAGCTGTGAGCGCTAATTGCTGCGTATAAAATTGGCTTTGTTTATCTACTAATTGCTGTTGCTCCAGCGTGTTTATGACCTTGAAATTTGCGACTGTCAATTTTAATCACAGACAAACTTACTAATTAAAAAGAAATTTAATTAATAAGTGTGTAGAATTTATTGTAGAAAATAGAATGCTAATTATGCTTTTGCTGCATGAAATACCGCAGAACTGTGGATAACATCGCGAGCCGCACGTAGATGTATCACGCATTGCAAATTTAGCAATGCTCAATAATTGGTAAGCACCCGATTGCTCACTGACTAGCTCTCTCTCTCTCTCTCTCTTTCTTCTCTCTCTCTCTCTCTCTCTCTCTCTCTTTCTTCTCTCTCTCTCTCTCTCTCTCTCTTTCACTCTTTATCCCTCCTTATGCGCAAGTGAGAATTTGTCGTCTGCTTCAGTGCATAGCATGCATGCTCCGGCGAAGTTGAACTCGCGTGCGTGTACGAGCGCTGGAGGTTAAAGAAGCTCTCCGTAACTTCGCATTTTATTCACGACTTTTTTCAGTGAACTAATTGATGAACTGCTTCTTTTTTACCTTTCAATTAACCTCGTGATACATAAGTATTTTGTAAGTTGTTGTAGATACTGGATTAATGTGTTTTTGATGAACCTGCGACCTTGAATTTTAAGCAGTCGTTATCGACTTTACAATAATGCTATATAGCGAGGGAGAGAATATTGCCACGAAAAATATATTTCTTACGTCTATGATTGTGAGTATTTCATACCAACAAATTTTCTTTGCAATTTTGACAGATTTTTCATTCAATATTTATTGATATTCAGTCTGGAGCTGCTGCAGGGGTAGTGTGTGACATAGTTTTTTTCCCTCTAGATACTTTGAAGACTCGGTTACAAAGTCAACATGGATTTATTAAATCTGGAGGATTCAGGCACCTTTATCAAGGCATTGTACCAGTCATGATAGGCTCTGCACCAGCAGGTATAAATAACTTGTATTGATCAAACTCTAATAATATACATTTAAAACATACGTGACATTTATAATTGTTTTGATGTATTTTAGCTTCTCTATTTTTTATGACGTATGAAGGGATCAAACATGTATTTCAGCCTTACCTTCCACATCAATATCACTCCTTTATACACATGGGTGCTGCCTCCTCAGCTGAAATGGTAATATGATGAATATGATTAATATTTCACTATAATGTATGATTGTCAATTATCTGCAATTAAATTTATTATTATAAATTTCAGATTGATATTAATATAAATTTTTATTAATACATTATAAATTTTAGATAATTTAAAGTCGCTTTTATTTATTATTCACATATTTCATTTGATAAGAGACAGATCTTGAGTGATGTAATACACAAATGTATTTTGACATAAGCATAACCAAACAGTATATAATGGAATTTTTTTTTTCACAGGTTGCATGTTTAATCAGAGTGCCAGTGGAAGTGGTGAAACAGCGCAAGCAAGCTTTACTTAATGACACAAACAGACTGAGGCTAAGGACTCTTTTTCGAGGATATGGTAGTACAGTTCTCAGAGATTTGCCATTTGGACTGGTGCAAATGCCACTCTGGGAATATTTCAAATTATGCTGGACCAGAAAAGCTTGTCGTGAGTGTACTCCCTTTGAAGGTGCTACTTGCGGTGCTGCTTCGGGTAATATAAATGAAAGATAAAAACTAAATTAGATCATATCAAATGATAATTTTATTTGCATTGCGTTATGGCATCTTATAGTAACAGTATCGGCGGCGATAACGACACCGTTGGACGTTGCTAAAACAAGAATAATGCTCTCGTCAACGTCCGCCGATAAGAAGGAAGTTCGCATTTCGACAATGCTCAAGGAGGTTTACAGAGAAAACGGAGCACGCGGGTGCGTCTACATAAATGTTTCGCTTATAAAATTACCTATTTTATTTTACAATATAAAAATGAATAAAGATGTGAATGCTTTTCATAACTATATATCTACCAGTACAATTCGTTATCTTTCATTACAGATTGTTTGCCGGTTTCACGCCACGAGTCTGCGGCTTTACAATGGGTGGCTTCGTGTTTTTCGGCGTGTACGAGCAAGTTCGAGAATTATGCGAATCAAGATTCAACGGCCAGATGTAATTGCTTCCAGTATTTTTTTCTTCTTCGTCAAATTAGAGAAAAAACTGAGCTTCCGCTGATTTAGATACGCACCGAATAAAGAAAGTTTAAAAGAACCGATGGATCGGTTTTTTACATGTGATATTCCATCGCGATAATGCTCGCGAATGTTAAGTAAACATATTATATATGTTATATATTTTAGTGCGAATAAAAGAAGAGAAAACTTAAATATTTTTACCAAAGACACAAGGGTGGTATCACAGCTATAGAGTATACAGGCTTTAAATGCGCAGACTAATGTTTCATTACTTTTTGCTATATCTAAAGGTATACATATCAATTATTGCGCACTATAAAACACCTGAAACTCTTGTCGCGAATATTTTTTCGATGAGACTTTTTGTAACCTATTTTACCTCCAGTTCATTTTAATATTCTCAATTATATTATGTAAGCAAAGAAATGATAGTATTCAAATATAAAGTATTTACTCTGAAATAACAGAAATAAGTAAAATTGAATTTATATAATAAAATTTATAGTCGAACAAGACTTTCGACGAATTTGAAACGTTTTCTTAACATTATTTGATCAAAAATATGTATGTTCTTATGATGTATATTTTAATTTGTTTCTATTTAATATAAATTGTATTTGTGGTATACCAAAAATAGTACCATTTCGTAATTCCAAAAATAGATTGCTTTTTTCTCAACAAGTGATCCGTCAACAAATGTATAAAAATCGCAAATGTTAAACGTTCAACCTCACAATATACAGAATAATTACTTTTTGATCAAATCCAAAGGATTTCTTGCTTAACTAACTTTCTCATTTTTTTACGAACATTACCGTAAAACGAGAGCGCAAAATTTAATAATATTACTTATTTACTTATTCTAATCATTACAACTTCAACTAAATTTTCATTAGCAATATTCAATTGTACTTCACTTTCTGTACATAATACAAAAGTGAGTTCCTTATTCAGTTGTTTCTGTAAATGCTATACAATAAAACTTGGCCAGCATTTGCTTCTCATCATAACGGACAACACCGAGAAATTTTCTTATTGTTTTCAAGTGTTATAAAATCTCCTAGATTTTTTGCATTTAGAGGGTTCGATATGAAATCCTCAGCGACTGTATTGAAAATTTCAGCTGTAAAAGAATATATGCTGCCTTTAATACTATTTTAAATCAGATTTATAATGATTGTAAATGTGTGATTATTCATAAATCTTTATAGATATATTTTTATTTAAATTTAGACAATGACAACTGTCTTTCTAGATAATGCTCAACTCAAGTACAATGGAATATTACATATTAGTTATCTATAGCATGCTGGGAGTCAAATCAGCACTTAAGTTTGTAATAATGTAGTAAACCTATTCATGAATTAAACACTTCATTTTTGTACTATGCATATCTGCTGACCTCACAGAACAAAACTAACCTACTTAAGTTACAGAGAGACGTATTAAAAGTGCTGATTAAAGTTTAACTTAGCTATAGTGTTATAGTATAACACTTGGGATTCAAATAACCCATTGTTTCATGATGTAATAATTTCGTACAACAATGAACTACTCAAGTTCCATGTATTGTAATATATTAATAAATAACTAATTTTATGAAAATTGACAGTCAAACTAAGTTCGATATTTGAAAAACTATATAATGTAATAGCAATGCTCTATTTTTGTTGAATGTTTAATAATCAAATTTAATGTCAAATGTAATTGCTTTTCCAATAAAACTTTAATTTTTAATCAACTTGAATTTTGATTAAATAAACACTCACCAACATTTTCTCCAGTTTTACTTGATGTCAGAAAGAGCTGTGATTGTACTCCATTGGCATACCTCTCAACCACCTCTAAATTAGGATTAGCATCTGTACCATTGTCCAGCAAATCCTTTTTTGTCGCACATAAGTACATTTTACAATTTTCTTCAACACTTCTGAGCTCGGTCATCCAAAATTTTGCTCTTTTGAATGTCTCTGGATCAGTCATATCAAAACAAATTAATGCTGCAGCTGCACCTCTATAGTACCCTTTAGTCATTGCTTGATACCTAAAACAAAGAGATACGTGATACTCACATCTCTACATTCAGCAATAAAATTGTCATACCTTTCACTTCCTGCCGTATCCCAGATACCAAGAACTAACTTTTTGTTGCCAACTTGAATTTCTTTTGATGCAAAGGCTGATCCTATTGTCTGGAATGTAAAAGGAATCATTCGATTAAACAAATACTAATTACAGAGCATATTCACTTAAAATGTCTTTCACCCATTGTATATAATAATTGTTTTGCATAAATAGATACTTTTTTCTGTCATCAATGACCTCTAGAAAAGGGTAATTCTATTTTTGCAGTTTTTATAAACTGATAAAAATCTTGAAACTTCGTCGGGCACACAAGGAAAAAATTTTAAAGGAAACAACAGATAACAATGGAAACTCCATAAGAACAAACTGGACGTAAACAAAGGATACTAACGTTTTGGTAAGCAAGATTCTCGTTAAACCTGTCGTTGACAAATCGTTGCATCAAGCTAGTTTTGCCAACAGCCTCATGGCCTAGCAATACTACCTTCACGTCCACGTGGCTCATCTTGGTCTTGTATTTTATTTAATGCAAATACATTACAACTTTACTATTTACAACGCCCATGTATCATATTCGTACAAAACAAAGCAATTGAAAACAGTTGAACGACTTGAATGCATGCACAGATATTCTGTCACTGACGCTTTAATGGACAGTATAGGCTGACGTGACGTCTTTATGACGTCCCAGTTCTGACGCCGTAAGCGTTACTGCGTCGAATCTCATTTACGCAGTCCATGAAGACTCTCCATGACGCAGTCTCTACAGTGACAAAATCTATTACTATTGGTGACGACTGAAGCGACATCTGTAAACTATGTGTTCCTACGAACTAAAATGTAGCTATTTGAATTTACAGAACAACCGTTTTGTTTTGATTTTTTATTTGTTTGCTGACAAGTATTTTCCAGCAAGTTTTGTTTTTTAATGTGATTGTGCATGTAATACTTTAAAATTTATATATTATCGCAGAGTATTTGAGAGTATTATTATGGTTCGAAAGTAAATTATATTTTTTATTCAGAAAATGGGAGTGAAAGACTTGTGGAACATACTGTCACCTGTCAGTGAGAGGAAACCCTTATTTGAATTACAAGGCAAAGCTATCGCAATAGATCTTAGTTGCTGGGTTGTGGATAGCCAGAATATTACAGACAATGCAACTCAGCCAAAAATGTATCTGCGGTTAGTATTTCTTTTCCTATACTTATCAGCATTAGCATTTCAAAATTTTGATATAAAATTTGTTTGTTTTTTTCAGAAATCTATTTTTTCGAACATCATACTTGCTTTTACATGACATATTTCCTATTTTTGTTTTGGAGGGAGAAGCTCCAACCTTAAAGCACAGAACCATAGCAAAGAGGAATGAAATTCGCCATGGTGGTGAAGAAAAAAAGAAGTCAAAGAAAGGCGTTAGATCACATTTTAATCATGTTTTAAAAGAATGTGAGGAAATGCTCAGATACATGGGTATTGCATGCATCAAGGGCTATGGAGAAGCCGAAGCTATGTGTGCTTATTTGAATGCAGATGGGGTGAGACAAATTTATTTTGAAAAATATGACATTATTATTTGTTACTACAAGTAAGAAATATACATGCATTAAGTTTCCACATTTAGCTAGTTGATGGATGTATTAGCCAGGACAGTGACTGTTTTCTGTATGGAGCCAAGACTGTATACAGAAATTTCTGTACCAGCACACAGGGAAATAGGACTACAAGTGGTGGATCAATAGATGAGTACTCTATGAGTAAGATTAGAGATATTTTCAATCTTAGCAGGAACAAAATGATTGCTTTAGCATTATTGTGTGGTTGTGATTATGATGAAGGATTAAATGGAGTTGGAAAAGAAGCTGCTCTAAAGTTATTTAAGGTTATTGATGGTGATGATATTCTTGACAGGTAAAAAAAGTTATTCTTATAAAAAAGTATATCTTCCAATTTTTCAAGTGCATGTTATTGCTTTCATAGGATGAAGGAATGGCGAACTAATAGCTCTAAATACAGAAAGATGGAAATAGAATTGTCGAATCCTAATATTTGCACCAATTGCGGACATTCTGGTAAAATGAGATCACATACTAGGATTGGTTGTGCTGATTGTGGCACAAGTGTGAAATGTAGTGATAGTTATAAGTAAACAATTTAATTATTGAATGCAGTAGAGCTTTTAGGATTCAAAACAATTAAATTTGTTTTTTATTTTAGGGAAAAGCGAACTTTAATAGCTAATGAATTGGCCATAAGAAAAAAAGCTTTACAGGTAGAGAACTTTCCAAGTCAAGAACTTATAGATGAATTTCTACAACGCAAAGGGTCAATCCCCACTAAATTAGATCTGCAGTGGAAAAAACCAGAGATTGTTCAGTTTATTGTAAGTAAAATTTGAATATGATATAAATTCATCACTTTTAATGATATCAACTATAATTACAGGGGTTCATGGAGCGCAAAGTACAATGGGAAGCATCTTACACATTTGCCAAAATCTTTCCACTCATGACTCGATGGCAGCTTCTGAATTTGATTGAATTTCCAATAGAGCAAAGGCTTACAAAATCAGGAGTTTTTGTACCTGAAAAAATTAAGAAAATAAGGAATATCCGAAGTGTGGCAAGTTATGAGATTTTATGGCTTGACAGGGACAATATTTTAAAAGGTTTGATACTCACACCACCTGAGTGTAATAAAGAGAATGACGAAGAATATCCAGATGCTCTGTCTGAATTAGGTTCGTTATTTTTAGAATTTAATTTCTATCACTTCATAAATTTGTTCTATGAATTTCTGAGGCAGATGTAGTATGATTGAGTTGTGTTTGCTACTCTAAATATTTTAAAAATATTTTGAACAGTTAAAATTAGCCAGAAAAAGTTTGTTTATTTATAAAAATCTGTTTATTAAATAATACTAAATATTATCATAAAATAAAATCCAAAATGACTATTTCCTAGTTATAATTTTTTATAATTTTATAAACAAAAAATTATAATGTTTATAATACATTTTTAGCGACAATCGAACCACAAGAAATTGTAACCAAGTGCTATCCACAAATAGTAGAAAATTTTAAGGCTCTACGTTATCCAAAAAAGAAAAAAACAACACGTAGCCGCAAGAAAAAAGTCATCGACGAGAATGGCGAAGAGGTTCAAGTTGAGAAGAAGAAACCTGAGCGAAAGAAACGAGCAAAGAGCAAAATCGAATTGACGAATAATCGAAAGATCGTCGATTTCGTGGTGACTAATCCTCCTCTAACTTTAGAAGAGTCATTCAGCAGTATAACAATAACGCCAAAACGACAAAAAAAGGATGAAAGTATGAAGATTAAGAAAGGACCGCAATTTGACAGAGTCATGACTATCGAAAAGATGGATACAATTTTGAATGGTTCGCTCGAAAGAATGTTCAACGAGTTAACTCCGGAAGACTTCCCAAGTGACGTGGAAGATTCAATGGAAATGTCGTTAATCATCGACAATATCATCAATAGAAGAACACCTTGCAAAGAAATATCCATTGATTATCAAGAGATAAAACAAAATTCGTCGAAAACACCGCAAGTTTTCACGGATTATCGTACAACTGACACAGCCATCTTTCCAAAAACAGCGTGCAAAGAAGAAGCAGATGAATTCAACTTACTCGATGACACTTATGTTCCTCTAGATAAACGCGTGTATAAGCCGCAGAAACGACACAGTAGTGTGTTTTCCACTCCAAAACTGAATAACAGTGACGACGACAAATTAAGCTTTGGTATTGAAAGTCTTCTCAATGGGACGGACGATTGAAAGGCATGTGTTGATTTTTTTTACTCGATATATAAAAGAAAAGAAAATAGTACAAAAATTATATACATTTGAGATCAACGTTTAGAGCAGCAATTTTTCGTTCTTTGCCGCCAGCGACGAGTATTTGATGGAAGTCTTATCGTATTTCGACGAGGAGTATCACGGTACTCGGAAATACAGTCATCTAATACCTCGTTGAATAGGGTTTCTGAAACAAAATGATACGTAAATGATTTGATAAGAATTGTTACATTTAAGATTAGTATTCATTTTTACTTGGAAGTGTTTGGTTTTTTTTAAATGTCATAAAAGGATAATTCCTGTATGGATAAAAAGTCATAGATATATTTTAATACTTTTGGCATGGAGTTAAATGTTGAACAAAACAATATCATTTTATCGTTTTTGTAATGAATCCGTTGGATTTAGCACTTGTAAAAGGAGAACGTCCAATAATAAACGTGAGTTTCATTCAAGAAGTGCTGCCGTGCAAAAAAATATTTTAACAAAATTGTATCACAAGCAAAAAATGTAATTATTCTTAAGTTCGATAATGAAATTATTCCTAGCTCTGAACATATATAACGATACGCCCAACAATGAATTGGATAAATTTATTAGCAAATGCAAACAGAAATAAGTGACATATCTTATTTAAAAATAAAATTATTTTATACAGTTCCACAATAAGACTTTTTTCCGTTCGGTAAACAATTCGCAAACTTACCAACGTTTTCGCCAGTTTTACTCGAAGTCAAGAAGAACTTGAGTCCGTTGATCCTGGCATAATCTTGCGCAAGACTGAGTTTTGGATTAGCTTCGAATTGCTGAAGTAAATCACTTTTAGTGGCGCACATGAATATACGGCAGTTCTCCTCGACTTGACGTACCTCGTTGATCCAGTAATTGAGTTTCCGGAAGGTATTCTCGAGGGTCACATCATAGCATACTATCGCTGCTGTTGCATTACGATAGTACAGTTTGCAGACCGACTGGTACCTGTGAATGCATGTCTTATTATTATTACGATAGGCAATTTACATACTGAAAAATGCATGTTCAATATTAAAATTGTTATGCATATATAAAAAAAAAGCTAACGAATATTATCATCAAATTTCAACACGATCGCATTTCTCACTCAAATCTGCGTGTCATGAAATCGAACTTTGATTACAAAATATGAATCAGCGATAAGTTTTTGTTTTATCGAGAATGCAATATAGAGCAAAAATAAAACCACACCTTTCCTCGCCACTCGTGTCCCAGACACCCATCTGATATTCTTTGCCGTCGATGTCAAAAATCTTCGACTCGAATGCCGCACCGATCGTCTGTATCGGATCGAAACATCAGAACAATCACTGGAAAAACAAGATAGAGAAAAAGATTGGAGAAAGCACTCACCGCTTGTTCACCAATATTATACTGATTGAGGAAGTATCTTTTCATGAGGCTAGTTTTGCCGGTCATACGATCGCCGAGCAGCACAACCTTCATGTATTCCCGCTGCAAGCTCGTCATATTGACGTTACATCACGATCAATAACGACGACGCCATGCGATCGCTTTTATCAATCCATGACCATCGAGTGATCAGCTGCAACTGACTATAACACTGGCGGTCAGCCATGTCGCTGCCGTTCGCGCGACGGAGGTGGGGATTTTACGGACACAGTGAAAATGTACAGACGTTAGCTTTTAATTTACGCGCGCGCAGAAATTTCAGCGATCCATCGTCAATTTTTACAAACGCTTTTATTTCCTGCTTTGTACATTGCATATGAAGCTCGACGATGGAGGCGCCGATCTTACACACACGCCTCAACGTAGTCAATCGCGTTCAAAAGCAATGCCGCGTCAGCTTTTCGCTTCTCTTGCCTCGCCTTGTCAATGTTACAGTCGCACCGTTTGCGCCTCTCCAGGCACTCGGTCAATTGCTTAATCTTGCTCTGCTGGATGGTGCCGAAAGATTTACCGACGGTTCACCAATGACTCATCAATGCTCGCGGATTAAAGTGTAGTGCGCAGCTAATTAATCGCTCACCTTAAGCCGGCATTGTTCGCGAACCTCCATATCGAGCTCCTGTCTCCAGACTACCTCCTCGGTGCTGATTGTATCGGTTGCGTTGGAGGCTCGTTTCTCGTCGTATTGTTCCTTGATTTGACGCATCTCGCCTCGCAGCTCGTCGATCTGCGCGCGAATGCCAATTGCTTTCAATTAGTTAATTGTTGCAATATGCTACCATCGTCTTATATACGGTAGCACTGATTATTTTTATGTTATTTTTTTTTCTCAATTGGTCATCGCGCGATGATACAGCACGCCAAGAAGTTAATTTTGCAACGAGGTATTGCGACGCGCGATACGTCAAGACAAACGCAGACTGCGCAACAAAACCTCTTTGTTAGCCTGGCAGAGCATCTCCTCCTGCTTGGACAATTTATGACTGAATTCCCTCAAGGCAGTCATGAGGTTGCCGACCCCGGCTCGCTGCGTCCTCACGATTTCGAGTGCTTGCTCCGCTTGGCTCATCGTTGTCTGCAATTCCATCGCCGAGATGCACACACGCGTCTCATTCATGTTGACTCCATTGCCATCTTTCGCGCGCTTCCGGCGGCATTTTATGTCGCGATAGAGCTTCGTCAGCTCACTCACTTCCGCGCACGTGCACTGTTGCTTTGGACACTTGTGGATCGACATTGTTTCGATGGCTTTTTGATTTCTTTTTTTTTATGGTTAAGGTTAAAAATTTCAATATGTTTATTGACTATCAATTTTTTTAACGATGAATTTGGTTTCCGACGCGACATTCGAGAAATTTCACGTAATTGCAAAAAATAGCAAGAACGCGGATGTCATATTTTGAAAGGAAAAGATATTGGTTTTAACGGAAGAATGTAATGTAAAGTTATACGAGTACGTAATGGAAAACACAGGCACACAACAACAAAATAACGTTGAAGAAATATCTTTCCACGAAGTTGGTCTGAGAAACGGTCTGTACAAAAAACGACATACATATAATATACTCATGAATCCAAAACCGTAATCAGTTTAATCCCAGCACGTCAGGTTCAAGGGCCGTAGTATGTCAAATACAGTAAAAAATCGTTAAAAGGAAATAGAATAGATAACAAATTACAAAAATGTTTTGATGCATTGGTAGTAAATCAAATATGTACTAGGTACTTCGCATAAGTATTAGTGATTGCATAACGATAATATCTTGATGAACGATCCATTTGTCTGTAATGTAACTTATAAATCTGAAATTTTGTATGATAACGTACTTTCAGTAACAAAACCAACAACCTAGAAATGGAAACTGCTCTACGAGAACCTATAGAAATCAACAAGTCAGTTGTAAAGAGGGAATGGAAGTTAGTGAAAGATCAGATGAAGAAAGCGCAGTAAAAGTGCCTGTGTAATCGATATCGGTTCTTACAGAAAGTTTAGTTCGAGTATTTTTAATGAAAATTAATTGGAGTATTTCCCTAATTTGGTTCCTATTGCCAACAAAAAATGATGTGATCGATATCGGATTAGCAGTGACATATTGCGAGCATGAATCATCGTATAAATTGAAATGTCTTGTATGAAATTATAAGATTTTATTCGATTTTTTCAAAAGCATGTACAGTTTTATATTTCCGAAGCACAGAGGTTTTTTTTCTTGAAAACCCAGTGGTATGTACGAAGTGACGATTGATGTTGTTATATTGTTTTTCCAGTTCATTCAACAGATTGTGATGATACTTGGTACCATCTTAACTAATGACGTTTGAATATTGGGTTGGTAAAATTCTTGATTAGCTGAATGAAAATCGATAAAAATTTATCTAAGGAGGTAAATTTAGTTAATCTTCGCGTGATCTAATAAATTTAACTATTGTACGTGCCAACCCTCATTCGTTTATTAATCTCTTTATAACGAGGTCTTCTTTGTACTTATGATACGAATTACATGCAATATCGCCATTAGATTTACCAGTGATACGATGGGGTTATATGTGAGTGAAATGATCCCATAGATTTTCTCCTTTGTATACGAACTATTTTTTAGCATAAAAAGAATTGAAAAGTTAAGCCAATTACAACTGAAGTATAATGAATTGGCGTTCTATTTGACAAGAAAAAACGGAACCGGTTTGGAATCCAGGAAAGAATGTTAATTAACGTTAATCTTTTCTATTGACAAAGCTGATACAATCATAAATATGCATTGAAACATATAATTTATAAAAATTAAACAATTTGAAGTAAGATGGGTCGTAAATATATATCCAAACACATAGGATTTTAAGGTTTTGCCGTGGTATACTTTCTATAACAATGATATCGGTCAATTTCGAAATAACTATGAGAAAAATTTCCGCATATTGTCGAGGTAAGGAAAAATGGTAATGATATTATCATTAAGACAAGAAAGAGGAGGAGTCAAGAGCGTGACCGTTGTCGAGGCAATCCGATGAGAGACTAACGTAATTGTTGAACCGCACGCGATAACCTACATTCAAATTTTGCTCAAGTGACATTGACGTAGACTTCAAATAACTCTTATCTTCTGAAGAACTACAGTTCTTCGGTTGGTCAATTGTGAGAAAGTTCTTTTTTTTCTTCTTCCGATGGGAAGATTCATTCGAAAGATATGCTTGCATGCTAAACAACTGGAAAAATTCTTGTCCGCTGTACGCAAATTGCACAATTGGAACTGTTAACGACGACACAATTCTCGTTAGTGTCCTCTGTACCAAATCGTTGTATGCTTAGGAGTGTGCCCATGCCATTCGAGATTAGGGACTGCTCCCGCAGGTACAATGCCCAAGTAAGGGTCGATCGGCAACAGTTTTCTCGCTTTGATGACCTCTTTCAGCCATTTTGCCGATTGTTTGGCTGTCCTCGTTCTCTCCGGACTGGTAAAGTTTACTTGGTACAAGCCGAACTTTATACTAAAAACAAAAGAAAGCACAATGAAAATTAGAAAATTCGAAGAAATTATTGTAGGTTTGCAGGCGAAGCAAAGTGGAATACGCACTTGTAGCCTTCGCTCCATTCGAAATTGTCCAGCAAGCTCCAGATCGCGTAACCGTGAACGTTGCAACCGTCCTTGTAAATGCTATCCAACATTGCTTGCATATACTTACTCAAGTACACGAGGCGCACGTTGTCTTCCACTGTTTTACCGTCATCGGCTGCGCCATTTTCCGTCACGTACACTTTGGGATTGTCGTATTCGTTTTTCAGCCTCTTCAGGGCATTTGCAAATCCTTCGGGAACGATCTAATTATAGAAATAACCTGTCATCGAGATATTGTCGACCGAATATTCGTTTTCAAACGTACCTTCAGCCAGTCGAATGCTGTATCTTCCCAATTAGGATCGTAACTGGCGCTAAGACCATCATCCGATGGTGTTTGATCTCCATCGAGTGTTTCTGGCTCGACGAGCATGGAAGTGTAGTGGTTCAGTCCCAGGAAATCGGCCGAACCTCTGAAATAGTAGACAGTGGGATAAGACACGAGAATGTTTGTTGATAAGTAACGGATAACTGCAATTATTACTTGATTTCAGCAATCCATTCTTCAGACAATACAGGCAGTCTTGATCTTGGCAATCCTTCGAGTTTGCTAATATTACCAACTGTATCGATAATCAGTTGTGGCCAGTTGCCATTTTTCGAGAAAATCGGATGCGCATAGATGCCGAATTGAACCTGGAATCCTTTTTCAGCAGAGAAATCATCGCCTTTGTTCTTGGGAAAGAAATTTCTCAGTTCGAGCGTTATCCCAACTTCCCCATTGTGCGTGGGCTTATAATCCTTGTTATAGAGATGATAGACCCGAGCGTGCGCTTTCAAAACGTTTGTATTGCAAAGGTATCCAGCGCCGTTTCCAAGCTGATAACCTTTAACGCATCAAGTGATTTCGTATCGATGACGTTGGCGAAGCGAATGGCCGACGATCAATCGCCAAAGCGCGATCAACCACATACCGGGTGCGTGCAATCCAAAGACGTAAGAATATCTGCAGATAGCGTTAGGCTCGTTGATGGTGATCCAGTGCTTGACCCGATGCGCGAACTTGTCGAACACGACTTTGGCGTAATCCGTGTAAAGGTCGACCATGATGTCGTTCGTCCAGCCGCCCATGAATTGGAATTTTTGCGGATGATCCCAGTGATAGATCGTTACCATTGGTGTTATATTACGCTTCTCCAGTTCGTCCAGCACATCATTGTAATATTTGACGCCGGCGTCGCTCACGTAATTCGAGTAACCATTCGGTAAGATTCTCGCCCAGCTGAGCGAAAATCGATAGAAGTCCAACTGTAAAGTTGGGGGGAAGATTGGTTTTACGATTGAAAAAATATCGATCATTCTTTGCTCACCCCAATGTCTTGTATCAACTGGGCGTCCTCTTTGTACTTGTGGTAAGAGTCGCAAGCAATGTCGCCGGTTCCTCTATCGGAGATGCGCTCAGTACGATTGTGAGTGTAGAAGTCCCATGAATTTTCTCCTTTGTCTAAAATCCAAATTCCATGTAATATTATAAAATTGTTCGCCTCGATTTCTACTGCTATGAAAATTACCATTGGCATTCCATCCTCCCTCAATTTGATAAGAAGACGTTGCCGCTCCGATCATGAAGCCGGGAGGGAGATCAGTTTTGCGTTCGTCGTCGTCCCCATTGACTAAGCTGATACCACCATGAGCATAAAATAAATTCAGAATTTTTTATTCAAATAACTTCGTTGTTTATAAAAGTTGAATTTCTACATAGAGATTAATATTTTATAAAGTTAACCGATCACGAGGGCACAATCATTCGAATAGATCTTTCCCACCAACTATATTTATAGATATAGATAATAGGAAAAAATAACGATATAAATTCACCTGAATACGAGTAAAATACTCGTTAGAAAAATTGTCCGCAGGAATTTTTTCGATGCCATTCCGCCTAATAAATTGGCAGATACCGACACTGACTTATCGAGTTGCTGTGGTCGTTTCCTATAAAGAAAATAATATTTTTGATGTATTTAACTGTTATCAGGCTTGTATATAAAAACAATTGTGATGCTATGGGTAAATTCAAATGATCATCTTTGCCATAATCATCCTGGATCAAGTACTAATTTCTAAAATGTTGTACTCCACTGGAATATAATTATAATTTTATTATTTCGGTCTGCGCGATATTTAAGATTACTCAAGCTACTCAGTGGGTAGATCAATTGCAGGCAGAGTAAAAATTGAGTTTGCAATATAAGCTCTAGAATGTAATTATGAATAGCTTGTTTATTATCATTCTACATAGAATGAATTTTATTGCCTTTGTGGATTTCAAAGTTTACAATTATAATTTATAAATATAAGAGATCGATAAAGATTATTCAACTTTTTTTACTACGTTAATCACACCTATATCAGTCTTTGAAAAGCGACTCTTTGAAATATTGATGTTGTAATTTTCTCGATCAACACGGTGCACAAATAATTTAACTTTCTTCAAAATAAACAGAGCCGATAAAACGACAAGGGATGAGTAATTTGTGATGAAAGAAAATGCAACTGACTTAAAATTTTCCCTAATAAATGTTAAAATTAAATTTTTTTAATCAAACTTATGTGATTTTTTGTAATTATACTTTTGAAAACTTAAATATCAACAAAAAATAAGCACATTTTTTTAGAATTACATTGTACATTGATTTGATTGCATTACTTAGGTGATTTGAATGAATAAATACAGATTTAGTATTATGAGAAATTTCTAGAACAGTTTACTAAAATAATTTGTAACAATGAAACTATCTAAATTATGAAATTCAGTAATGGTTTCTTAAAAGTATGTAAGTAGTAACGAAGAATCATCATAGTTAAAGGACAAAGTCAATCAACTGCAAATGTCACGCTGAGTTCGCTACTTATTTAAAAGCAATTAAAATTCTTTTCAATACAAATATATTTAAGCCTACTTACGAATTTGAAATTTCTATAAAGTCTCAAGTTGACTTCAGCAACTATTCGGTTGGGCGGATTATGGTCCATTTATAGACAGATATCTGACTGATATAAGATGTTTATAAAATGTACATAATGATGATCTTTAAAATTTGTTTAAAAAGTTCGTCAGTTATCTGTAAGATTATAAGTATATGTATAAGCACGGAAAATTTCGATGAAGCGGAACAGACCGAAGTATAGCAAGAAGCTTAGATTTTAGAAAATTAAAAAAGCTTTAAGTTTTATAATACTTGTCCTGATTGACTGTATTTTCTTTTCGGTTAAATTCGTCATTAAGTTTTTTAATTCTACTTCAAGGTGTATAACATTAAATGACTTATTTTTCATTTCAATACATTCATTAGGAACTGTTTTGATAGATAAACCCTAAATTTCTGTGACACAGTGTGAGCTGTTGATACTGCTGTGTAGTGATAGACGCATTTATTAGAAATTTCAAAATATTCAACTGTTCACAAAAATATTGGAAGCATAGCCAAAAATCCACAATTTAGAAGGAATAGCACATTACAATACAAGTGCGGGAAAGTAAATTCTTGTCTCGTGTAGCGTTTACACTCGAGCGAAGCGAGGAACTCTTTCCCAAACACGTGTTGTACAGTATTTTTCGATACGACGTGTGGAAAGCTCGTTTTTTAACGCACGTTTTTGGTCGAGCTTGCGGAAAGTACAAAATAATATATTATAGATGAAGAAGTTGAGGACTAAAAGTTTTTCGTGAGGCTTAAGTATAAATCAAAGAAAAAGGTAGAAATAAGTAGATAATCAGTTGGACGATTATTAATGTCTATAAATAAAAAATGTCAACCAAAAAAGTTATACTGCACATTCAGTTCAAGGTCTGTTAATCATTGAAAATGCAAATTGTGCAAGTAGCTATGTGAGATCAATAATTCATGTTATCATAGAATGATAATACGGCTTATAATCAACGATTCATGAGTCAATGATATATTTTCTAAGTAATATTGCATAATACAAATAATAATAGATAAGTATATATCCAACAAAACTAGAGTCATCAGAAGAAGACATCTAATCTGAATTGATCATAAACAAAATAATAACAAAAGAAAGTAAATTGAAAAGTTTGATTTAATACTTGTTGTATCAGTTCTTTTGATTGTAATAACTTTATGATATTATGTGGTAATAAATGAAATATATTATTAAAGCAATATCGTGTTTGCTTGCATGTACTTTGCCATTTCAGTTTCCTTCTCTCCGTCTTCTTCGCGTTTACACATTACATAAAAATATGTAAATAGTTTGATCTGAAATAATTCTAAATTATTTAAAAATAATAAAAATATAAAATTAAAACTGAAGAAAATTTTACTATGTAAAGATAAAAAAGAACTGCGCGCCAAACATACAAAAACGTATTCAAATAAAAACTATTCTGCATTTAAAATATGAAAACTTTGTCTTTTTAAATAATTAAAAAAAATGTTAGGGCTTTACGGTAGTATGTATTATAAAGATTAAATAAATCATATTTTAGGAATCGGCAATAGTTTCCGTTGCCGGATTACATCTCGAAGCCAATAAACTGACATCAACGGAGTTCCTCTATTCGGACTATCAAAGTCAACATGATACAAACTAAAATTTGCCTGAAAAAAGTACATCTATTTACAATCATATTACAATAAATCTAAATTCACAGATAAAACAAAGTAAAATAAATACTTAAAGCCTTTGTTTCACTCGAAATTATTCATAATTCGCCTTCTTTCGAGAATACTGAATTCCAACATCGCTCGATATCTTTTCCGTCTTTTTTTTTAGGCCAATAATTTCTTATCCCTATCACTATTCCAACTTTACCATTCTGTTTAGCTCTGAATTCCTCTTCATATTTGTGGTAGGGACGAGTATGTGCTTTCACGACATTTTCAGCGCACAGATATGCAGCGTGATTTCTAATTTTCAAACCTTTAAATAAATATTAAGTTGACCGTTATTAGCTACAGAGCAATATACAGAGTAAAAAGTTAACTAAATCAACGAAATATAATCATTATACCTGGCGCAAACAATCCATTAACGTAAGACCATCTGCAAATGGCGTTTGGCTCATTTATGGTTGCCTACAATTTAATTCGATGACCAAACTCTCTGAAAATCACCCTCGCATAATCAGAAAACAGTTCGCCAATAACTTCGTTTAACCATTTACCTATGTACTGAAATAATTAAGGGTGATTCCAGTGATATACTGTGACCAATGGTTTTATGCTGTATTTTTCCATTTTATCCAGCAAATTATGATAATATTGGATGTCATCATTGCTAATAATGTTTGAGTAGCCGGTCGGTAAGATTCTTGTCCAACTGAACGAAAATCGATAGTAGTCCATCTTATAAGTAAAGTTAAATTTGTCATTATTTCTTCTAGACATTTTAAACAGCTTACGATATAATATTCAAATTTACGGGTCAATTTATTGTGTAACATTTTTCAGATGATATTAGAATTGTTTAATTTTATTTGTAACATTCAGCATAAGACTAGTATATAGAAAGATAACTAAGTAGTTTTTAATTATTACAATCATTAGTCAAGTTGATGGTAACGAAAGAAATAGTTCTATAGAAACCGAAATTTGCTACAAGTCGAGTTATGATTATAAATCTATTTTACGAAATCTAGTCGTTTTATACTAACCCCCATTTGTTTGATTAATTGAATGTCATCTTTGTAGTTATGATATGAATCGCAAGCAATATCTTCATTAGAGTAGTCGACGATCTTCTCAGGATAAGTATGAGTGTAATGATCCCATTGACTTACTCTTTTATGTGCATGAAAAATGTCGATGCAATGAACGCGACTTTGGTTAAATTTTTAACAAAATATAAAAATGAAATTACTGCTGACATTCCATACTCCTTCAACTTGATACGCAGAGGTTGATGAACCTAAGATAAAGCCAGGGAAAATTTTAACAAATCTTCAAAGTTGTTGTATCTATTCACAAGATTATCATGAGGATGTAACAAAAATTATTTAATTCAGAGTATAAACGATACAGTTGATTTTCAGAGTGAAAATTAGAGTAAAGTAAACAACGATGACAAATATAGAACGAAATGAAGAAGTCAAATTTACCTGTACAAAAAGAAAACACTTTGTAAAGAAAGAGATCGCAGGAAAAGTTTCGAAGCCATTATGTCAAACGTATTGACACACTATTTGTACTATTGTATCTTCTTATGATCACTTTCCGAAAATGAAGTGTAGAACTGAATATAATTAAGACAATTATACCAGTGCATTTGCAGGTAAAAGGCATAAAACAATTAATTTTTAAATATCTGATACAAATAACATTTGCAATGTCGATATCAGCTTGACATCTTTATTCAAGACGAACTTCTCAACTTCTACGTCAGGAATTTGAAAATAGCGATGGGAAAAAGAAACTCATAACAGAGCGAAAGACGGAAAGTTTATTAGAATACGAATGATACATGCTTGATTTCATGGAAATTAAAAGCGTCATAAATAGAACGTCATATCGGAAAAAGACAGGGTTCAGAAAAACAGTTGGGTGCGTTTCGCAATAATTTTATTTGTTCTTAAACGGTTCAGATACATCGTAGTACGTAATACCTACTGTCTTCCTCGTGTTTGTTCATTGCTAATACATTACATTATTTTCAACTGTATATAATAATATTAAATCGATTACCCGCTCGATATATTAATCTTGTTCATTAATTTTCTTTTTCATTTCTCGTGTATATAACAACGACGTGATAAATAACGGTGCCACATTTTTAATTATTTGCTTTTATTCTGCTTACAATATACGTGTAAAAGATTTTTTCACCATACACGTGGTAATGAAAATTTATTTCAAACACTTTATATAAGATTTGTTAAGTGATATTAGTGTGTTCTTTTTCGTTCATTACAAACAGAAAGTTTACGTTTTTTTCTTTTTTTGGAAATTTGTTCAAAATAACTTTTGATTAATACACTCAAAAATCAACAATGTATATGAGGATTATTCTATGTATCATACGCGTAATAGTAACAATATACGGATGCTTCTATTTTCTCTTTTTTTTTTGTATTCTACTGGCTTTTTAATTATACATAATCAAGATAGTGCCATTTGTAAGATTATTCATTTGTGATATTACGTTAAATTTCTCTCTCGTTACAACCGTTATTTATTTACATAAGTTGTTTCGAAGCTACAGCTATGAAATATTGACGCTTTTAGGACGAAAAATCAATTCACCTTTCAATTTGCTCGAACGCGAGAAAACTATGTAGAAGTACATTCTTTCAACTACCATGAAGCCCTTCTAGAGTCTCCTTAACTACCATTCCATTTTTCTATTATTTTTCAATTTTTTGATAACAGAGACTGTAGAACAACGATTAAAATTAATCTAGGAAAGCTAAATATTTTATTATTTTATTCGGCTACTAGAAATTGATAGATTTCGTTTGCAAATTGAAAGGTCACATGACGTATCGAGTGAATTGTTTGAAAGAAGAGTAGCAAAATAATATAGAATATTCAATTACAAGCTAATCTAATGTTTCCGCTATATAATTCTAAATATATATTGATCGAACGAATCGTCTGGCTAATTTAAAAATAATTACGTTATATTTCAACGTATCACCTCGAAAATTGACTAGTCGGGAATGAATAATAGACGTGTCACTTGTACAAGACTATATTCCTTACTCTCGTTAAACGAAGTTGCGAATTGAAACGAAAGAACGATGTAAATATTGACTCTGCCATCTATTGCTACATTTAAGGACACATTCAAATTGATCGACGTTAATTGTTTACACATATGTATATAATTTAATTAACATCTATTGACTCGATTGAATAATTTTCAGCGTATGCCTAGATTTCACAATTTTTCATCGTCGATCATCGTTCCTCGATTAATAAAAATTGGAAGAAGACAGTGGAAGAGGAAAAATGTCATAGATATCGGGTGTGTATATATACATTCAATATTAATATAATTACATACGCTAATTTAAATAGCTTACTATCTGTATATATTATATATATATATATTTGTATATCGTGTATAACAATGAAAAATTATTTATATACTTCCGCACACAATGGTTTCCTTTTTATGTATCCGAAGACATTAGGACTGTTTTCGTTGATGCTCATACTTTGCGTTCAATATATATATATATATATATATATATTGTATTGTTATTACGCTAAACAACTCAAAATAAAAATGGCAGACATTACAAATATATATATAATAGTATGTATACGTATATATTTAACAGCATGTGTTTGCTCACTGATTTTGTGGACGTCACTGCACTTTCGTCGTTATCATAATTAGTATCATAAAACTTCTCCTCGAATCCTACTTGAACGAAAGTTTCAGCAACTTTCCAGCCCGTACCTGTACATCGTACAGTTTTCGTTATGATTTCTTTGTCTCAGTGCTTGCTTCTCGTTTCTGCATCGGATTATACGTGACTTTCTTCGTGTCGGCAGGAATAGACGCGATTTTGCATTTTCTTGGTGTGTTTTTCATTTGAAATTGTCTCGTCTCGTACTTTACTGCTTTTTTTTTCTAATACTCAGAGTTCGGTCGATCGACGAATCTACGCAAAGACGCAACGCTATAAGTTTTCGAGGTACTTTGCAAATTGAAATACATTTAACGCTTAAGTCAACTAATCTTAATACTCGTCGATATTGTTGCTCACTTTTTTTAATTCGAATAATCTACATGGCAATATGTTTCGCTAAATTCTCGTTGAGGTAATGCTTCAATGGTGTGTGTGTGGTGTGTATGCCGCGTAATTGAACAATCGTGACGACGTAAAAAGTGAAAAGATTAAACATCGCATTCTCTGCACCGACGACAACAATAATAACAATACGCGTTTTCGAAGCTTAAGTATGCGCGTTCACCATCACAGTTACACCTTTTGGAATCTCGCGACGGTACATACGCTCGAACACGAGACCAATTTTATGCAAAGTCTTTTCTTGGAAAACGACATTATCAATTCTTGTTATTGCCAATCAAAAATAAACATTAGCCCTATCGCGCCAGATATACCTTATTGATTATCATCTAAGATAGAACGATATATATAATTGATATAAACATATACTGTGTTTATAATAAATGTAGAGGTAGGCCGAAGAGAGAAGGAACCTAAGTGAGCGATTCGCCGATCGAATTAAGTATACCAATAATAATTGAAATATATATACGTTCACATTGACCTCGTTCCCACTGTAACATATTGTTGCTCTCTTTTTTTAATTCAAATAATCTACATGGCAAGAATAAGATACATACTTGTCTTAAACTCTATATAGTATATATAGATATAAACGTAATATTTATATAATCTATTATTAATTGTAATCGACAAACGAAATAGCGAACAAAATCATGAAAGTTATTCCTTGACCTATTTCCCATTCGAAATCTTCGATACACGAAATATAATTGTATAATATTGACTTAAGCATAATTGTTATTTGTTTCTTAAAACAGGCTATAACTTAATTGACTGACTCGCTAAATGTGAATGCAATAACAATCATAACGTACGATACGATGTAATTACGGTATTTATTTTTCTCTGTTTATTCTTGTTCAGCGCGACTGCGCGGTCCTTGCGACTAAATCATTGCTTGTCATTGCAACAAACGTTGCTTTGTCGTTCCGCGCGAATTTCGAGCAAAGGTGAGAGAAAGCTTACGTTCGGAGGGCTACCTCGTCGATGCTATCCGTCGCTCGCTTCACTTTCGTTACGGCGGCAGGCAAGAGTATTCGCACGTTGCAACGGAAACATATTTATTTGTCACTCTTTCGAAACGCACACGTTTATTCGAGATCTCAAGGAACGCGCAGAATCGTCGTAGATACTTTCATCTGATAAGGCTGCGTCAATTATTGTCTTCCCTTGTCCCGTATACCCTTAAGACACGCTTTTCTTTTTCACCCACCTTCCTGTTGCCTTTTTCTGGTTAATTTGCGCTTGCCTAGTATTATTTTTTTTTTCTTTCTTTTTCGTTTTTTTCGTTGACGAGCAGTATAGCGTGAGTGTTTAGTTCATTAGTCGTAGAAACGTTTACTTTCAAATTAAGGACATCTATGCATCGTGCGAAATCAATTGTTGTCGTTAGTTAGTTTACATAATCGATTACAATGATCGTAAAAACGCTTTTCTTTCTAAATGCTTGGAGCGATTTTAACGCACTGATGAAATCAAATAATTAGGCTATATGCTATTTCGTTACATTATCAGTAGTAAAAATTGCGCTTTTACAACCTCACTTTGTTCATTTAATTATTTATAAAAAACACGTTGTATCTCTTTATTTCCCACCTGACTATCCACTACTGTTATTTTATATGCCCAAAGTTACAACACTTTTTCTTTCATCAGTGTAACAAAATCGCTTGTAATTTGTTTAACTTTTCTTTCGTAACGGAAGTGCAACATTTTGTTACGCTTTTATTTTGTTAAAAATCCTCTTCCCTTCGACTATTATATGCTGTGTAATAAACGTCTTTAACATTATTTTTTTTTGGAAATTTTCTTTACCTTTTTTTAAATCTCATCTCTGCAGTGCGTTAAACTGCAGTGCGTTTAGGGATGGAGGGCGAATCGCGAGTATTAAGTATACGTTTATACATTGCACATTTACGTGTATATAGTAATAACGTGTACGAAGTAATAATCTTTCCTCTTAGGGCTACTTAGCTAATTAACGATAGCTAGGCCTAAGCGACGTTTGTGTTGCAAAATTAAACTTCTCTTTCCAGATTAATGAAATTCGTTTTAATTGTTATTTTCGAAAGTTAAGCAACTTTTTCCAGTGATTTTTCAATCGTCGCTTTCGTGAATTACATGTTTTTGTTTAAAATGTAATTTCCCATTAAACGATTTGCATATCGAAGGACAAGCGAAACGCGTACTGTCGCATATTCCAATAACGTTGTACATATTTGTTTTTCTTGCATAGTAAAACGGTTAACAACTGTTATAAATATATAAACGACGTAAAGCTAATCGACCTCGTGGGGGAAATATTATCACCTCGAGTATGTTTACGCTACATATATATATTCTTTTTGCCGATGATAGACATTCGGTCCGCAAGACAATATTTGAGGTTGTTTTATCATTACGTAATAAGGAAAAAAAAATTAGACAATTGAATCTTTCGTGGAATGTCATGTGATAATTGCCTCTGGAAAAACACACAAATTAATGGAAAATATTACAACAGAACTAATTAAAGTTATTTCGGCCATTTCGTTTGCGTTTGCACGAGTTTTTAAGCTCAACCTTTCTCGCTATCATTAAAATTGTTAAATTAAATGCGCTACATAAAGGAAAGTACCTGGTAATACTGATGATAGATATTGTACTTCGAGCGACGTTTCTCCTCTTTGACCCTGCATCTTTTAATGCACGCACCGACAAAACTCTTTCACAATGGTCCCAGCCACGTTCGGTTTGCTTCCATCGCACACTAAACTTCGTAAACTACGTGTAATACTCTACAATCGTGATATCTGTTTCACGTTCAACTGTCAATTCCGATCTCTGCTCTCATCAAATTCCCAGCTGAAACGTCGCCCTATCTATTCTAGAGAGATACGTCGATTCGACTTTTACACACTTGACTACGCAGGCTAAAAACGCCCTTTATTCGTTTTCAAAAAGAAGCACATATACACACAACCATGGCGGAAAAAACATGCATTCGCATTCCACTTTAATAATTGCTGGGGCAAGCTGGCGGATTCATCATGCTGAATACGTTGAGCTCGTACAGCGAGGCGAAGACAATGAAGATCAGGTACCAAATCATCAGCCATATACCGTAGCGTCTATCCAATTTCCAGCCATTGTAATGCGTTGCCACCACCAAAAATACCACAGTTGACAGTAGTGACACGGTCGAATAAGTTAGTCCTAAGAAGCAAGAGAAAATCTCGTTATTCGAAAGATACATAAAAAATGTGCTCGTTGTAAAAATTGCGGTCACGGTCATTATTTCAGGGAAGAGAATGTCAGATCACAGCAGAGAGTATCGTGATTTTTACGTATCCGCACTGTAAGACTTGTATATCTTAAAAATGTTTTCAGAGAATAATTCGTGTGTTTACAATGAACTATGTTTTATAAAAGATTAACCTCTGCTGGTAACGTTGACGTGTGAACCAGGTTGGATCATGGCTGTTTGGATGAACCAAGGAAGCCCAAGGCAGACAAGGATGTCGAAAACGTTGCTACCGACTGCATTGCTCACAGCCATATCACCAAGACCTTCCTTGATCACGGCCAGAGATGACAGAGCGTCAGGTACACTCACACCTGCGGCTACGAAGGTCAGACCCATCACAGTGTCTGGAATTCCAAGCGTATGGCCTAAAATCAACATTACACAATCACTTCTTATTACAGCGTCAACTTTCACTCAACAAAGTGAAATCCTGATTCGTACCAATAATGGTGATCATCCAAACCATAAAATAGCTGTAGAAGCTGATCCAGATCATGGAGATACAGAAGGTGAAGGGATACCAGTTCCTGTATTTTCCTTGCCTGCAATCCGGCATAGTAAATCGGCACGTATAGTGAATCGGATAAACCAAACCCCAAGTGAATAATCCCCATTTTCCACCATCGGTAGGTTTGACCAATGGTGAGACCTCGTTTGGATCTGGCTCTTTGGCTTTGTAGTAGGCAGGTTTAGCTGGGGCAGGTTGAACAGCCTTTTGTGCCGGTTGCTCGGGATCTAATTGAGCTGGTGGTGATTGCACTTGTTGAGGTGGCTGTTGTTGTTGTTGTTGTTGTTGAGCGGGTTGACTCCAGGCGGTATTGGGATCGTAAGAGTCTTGACCCCAAGCGGAATTCGGATCCCACTGATTCTGCGCGGGATCCTGCCAGTTGTTGTAGCCCGTGTCGTTGGACGCGTATCCACCCGAATAGTTCTCGTTGGCCATCGATTGATTAGTCGCGGTGTCATTGTTGGGATCGGTGTAGCCGGTTTGCTGTTGAGCTGCGCGCTCTTCCTGAAGACTCTTGTACGTTACCAGACCCGTTTGCTCGGCCGGCTGCTCGTCGTCCTTAGGCAGCCACGGAATGTCGTAGGATTTGGCCCATCGCTCCAGTCGAGCGTTGAATGACAGTACCACGCAGTACACCACGTACATTAGCAGCATGAACAAGGCTTCCCCCCTGCAACGAAGCAAACCCGTCAATTCCCTTCGCGCGAAACGCTTGACGAAGAAGAAGAAACGGCGAACTCACCACGAGATGGACTCGTTGGCGATGGTGCCTAGCATCACGAGAATAGAGATGAAGTAGAAAAAACAATCGCGACACAGTGGCCACCAATTGAGCTTGGACACCGTGGTGGTACACAGTCCGCAGACGGATATCACGAACATTATGTTGAACACGGCACTACCGATCACACCGCTCACCCCGATGTCGTCCTTGGCAAAGAATACGCCAATGACGACCGTAGCCAATTCCGGTGCCGACGAACCAGCTGCCATGAACGTTGCGCCAGCGACATCGGGCGACAGCTTCAATTCTGCGGGAGAACAGAGCTCAAGTTATAATATCCACCGACAATTTACAGATCGTTCTGCCTTCGCTGACCTTCGCAGATTCGATCGAGACTGGCGACGAAGTAGTCGTCGCACACAATCGCCAGTCCGAGGAACGTGTAAACGGCGACGACCAAGTGGATAATGAGAGCACCGTGTTTTCGACCCCATGGTCCCGGCCACGGCTTCGGGAATTGCTCGATTGCTGGGGCTGAGCAATTTTCGCGTCTTGGTCGTATCGTCACTCGCTCGTAATCGTACCTTGGCGTTGTCGTCGACGGACTTGGCGTCACCTGGGCGAACAATTTATTATTGTCATATCGCAACGATGTCGAATAAACTTCCAAAACGGATAATACATCAACTGTTGACGGATGTCGTGATTTCGAAACTCACAACCGAAGCGTCATCGTTGACGATTCCGTCGGACAGTTTATTCAATAACGTTCGAGCCGTCGATGCAACGCTCAACAATTTGCGAATGATTCACAGACTGCAACTAACCGAGCTGCTTAAATCCCCGTTAACGGTCGTAATCTCTTTGCCTTTGTCTTCCTCCTGCAGCTTGTCGGCGGGAAGCTTCTCGCTCTCCTTGCTCTCCTTGCTCTCTCCATCGGCGGCAGTGGTCGTGAACGTGGCTGACGGCGCTACGTCCGCGGGTTTCGCCTCGTCGGGCGGCAGCGTCGAGCTCGCCGACGGGTTGGTGAATTGCGACGAGACGAGTTGGAAGAGGATGTACAGCAGGAAGAGGCCTATGTGCAGGGGCAATCTTTCCATGCGCCTGCGCGGCCTGAGCCTGTGCCTCTGCATCTTCTGCGAGCATACGGATGTCCCGATGGATTTAGCACGCGCGGCCCTCGCGAGAGCCGCCGTGCCGTTACGGATACGCATGGCGGCTGGTCGCGAAGCGCCGCGCTAAATTAGGACGTTATCTCGACGCGCCGCGGAAGCGATCCTTTCCTTTTGCGCCGCGCGCGTTCAGACTACAGTCGCGGCGCGCTATATGCCGCTAATTAACCGCGGCTCCAGATTACATCGCTGATTGAAGTGTTGCGAGCTCGCGCTTAATAAAGTTCCCCTTTTCCGGGCGCGACAGAGAAAGAAAGAGAGAGAGAGAGAGAGAGAGAGAGAGAGTGAGAGAGAAAACGCTCAATCCGATTGCTTCGGGGTTCATTTCGGTCGGCTCTCGGTTTGGTTATTGGGTTACCGCCAGCTTTTGTCGTTTTCCAGATCGATTTTATGGTCCGCGCTTCGCCGGAAGTCCGCGATCGATTGTCAAATGCGATTCCGTCCTCTTTTCTATTTTTTTTTTCATTTTTTTTTGTTTTAACTGCGGTAACTTTCCGAATATTTATACCCGTGCGAACTTTTCCGGTGCCGACGCAATTGAACTTTCGTTTTTTCCAACCCGCCGCCAAAGTAAACGCTGGAGAATCAAGTGGAAAAATATAGGAGCGAGCAAACTACTTCCGAATAATAATTGCAGCGCCGCACCGCGAGTTTAACTTTCGCCTTACACATGACGTATCGATTTTTCTCCGTTCGGACGTTTCGCGGCGTCGCGCAGCGCGAACACAAGTTCGCTACGGGTATACTCTTATTTTTCCGTTCTCGCACTGCGGACAGCCAGAACAGCGCCAGACATTTCGTTCGCGCGATATGTCCAGCGCCGCTCCACCATTACGAGGAGGAGGCGAAGGGATATACTGATCGTCATCGCGGACGGGAGATCCGATAATTCAGGGGCACTTGGCGCTGCGAGAATCGTATTGATTTCCCAGGCCGCCCCTGCCGGCCGTGCGTATGTGCAACGAAATGTTGCGCAAGGAGGTCGCGCTCACATCAATTCCAGCGAACAATATCCGCGGGGCCTTGAAAGCGCGCAGCGTCTTTATTTCTCCTTTGGGTATTGCATTGTAAGCGAAGAATGAGATTCCTCAATGGTTAATGCCAGCGCGTGGGTGCAGGAAGGGGGCGGGGGAGAGGGGTCGAGGGAGTGCTAACGAGCTTCTCCGAAGAAAGCAGACTCCTCGTCTTTCGTTCGAGCGCAAGCGAAAGCTTCGCCGCGCTCGCGGGCGATCGATTCCGCAGTCTCGACTGGCGCGCGTTTTGGGAAAGGGAAAACGCGACGCAAATTACGACCTCGCGGAAAAGCACTTTTCGGAGGGGAAAAAAAAACCAAGATGACCGCGAGCCGAGCAATCTGCTCTTGCGGCGCACGCTCGGACTATTTAGATGTAGCGGCTGGCGGTAAAAGCAATGTGAACGCGAGCCATACAACGAGAGAGTGAGAGAGAGAGAGAGGCAGCGGTAGCGGTAGCAGATCGATGATGCGTCGAGTCGCATGCGTGAACGCCGTCGTAGCCGTCGACGAGATTCGGCCGCGATAAACACTATTGATTTTTTTGGGCGCAAGGGCGAGCCGCTTGCATCCAAGAGCTTCGCCGGCCTCTCTTCCCGAAGAAGGATCGACCGGTGGGCGACTAGGTCGACGACGGTTAATTCGCGATTTTCAAGCCCCGACGGTCACGTGGCGCGCGCTCGAACCTCCGCGGGGAGAATTGGATTAGGCTCGCGCGCGCCGCGTGTCGATCGGGCCCGCGCACATATTTTTCCGTCGACGCCGCGAGCGACCTCGAGGCGCGACAGCGACGCAATTAGCTTTCGGATACTGGAAACGCAGGATCGAAGGTGTTTTGCCATCCGCGGTGACTCTCGCGGGCGAGCGGCAAGGAGAACGGCAAGTGGCACTGGGGAGAGAGAAACTTTGCCAATCGAGGGAGCTCAAATACGCGACGCCTAGGGATGGAGCGAGATAGAGAGGGGCAGCTCGCGTCGTATTTTTCCTTGCGAGAAAGCGGCTCCCCGTCAGTCGCTCTCGCGTAACAAGCTCGGCAGTCTAACGCGATTTGCGCGCTCTCGAGAGGACGATTATCCGGCTATCCTTGATCGACTCGGCATTTCCTCGGTTTTCCGGCGCTGCGTCGGCATTCGGTTCGCGACGGTAACGTGCACGGTCGAGATACGTCCGATCGCCTTTGCCACGTTATTTCGTAGTAGAAAAAGAAGGAAATAAAAAAACGTTTGATTCTGCCTGCCGGACTTCGAACGCTAAACGCTTATTCCACTTGCAGGTGCGCGACTCAGCGGGTCACTGGTAATAATTGTCGATGACATATATACTCAACCGAAAGGAGAATGAAAGAGACGGAAATCATCGCCGACCTCTTAATTTGGGCACTGCCAGAAGGGAATCATGGGATAATCGATGCAGTCGCTTCCAGAAATAGAGGGTCAATTGCAGCTTTACCAAGGCACGACAAACATCGGGTCACGAGTCGTCCTAGCGGGCAAATTAAAATGCACACGTCAACGAAGAGAAACACGTCGTCGGGGAAAATATTACTCCGAAGCTAACGGACGTCGCGTAACAAAAATACATACTTTTCGCGAAATGAAAATGTTAAATGCGCGTTTACGTTTCAACGGAAAGGAATAACAATTATTATCAGAGAGCAATTTCGCAATTTCCAGCGACCTAGTTCGTAAGCTCGTAATGTGCGCGCCGATAAATAAATAAATACATGGCGTGCTAATGCAACAGTGATTCACTTTCAAACATTCATGTTTAATGGAGCTCGGTTTATTTATTTATTTATTTATTATTTTTTTTTTTTTGTCGATGAAATTCACATTTTTCGTCGAGTCCCTCGCGTTGAAAAAAAGAAAAAAAATATTAATGAAAATTCCGTTTTAGACGACACGCTCGACCGCGCATCACGTTCGCGAGAAATTGCAACGTGTCTTTCTCTCTCGCTCACTCGGGTACGCTTAGCTTTTACGAGGGCTTATTACGTGTTGCCGGGTAACGAACTGCTCCATTTTTAGCCAACCAGCAAAATGTATTTTCTCTTTTGCCACCGTACATGTTGGCAAAGTGTTTCTTTTTTCTTTTGTTTTTCACAAAGGATCTCATTACCCATGGCAGGCTTGTTATCTTTTACACGGTAATGGCGAATTCTTATAGCGGCTCCGGCGCTGTTGGAAAGAGGGGCGAGCGGCAAGGCGCGAACTCGCACGTCTCGTGTATGTATATACATATCCTTTCGGACGGAATCTGGTTGCGGGAAGAGTCCCTCGATAAATTCCGCGCGTTTCTTTTCATCTCGCCAATTACAGCCCCCAATTTACATGATCCGCCGAGCTCGACCGAGGGAGCCTCGTTAAGTGTTTCTCGTAGAGGCAAAGCGCAGAAGTTAATTGCCTCAAAGCGAGAAATCACGTTATTTCGCGATTCCTTCCCTCCCGTGAGGAATCCATTACGCTAATTTCATTCGCATGATTCGCATCGTTTTTTTATTCCGACCACGACGATGAGCCAGCGAGATAATTCCATTCGAAACAAAAACAAAGCGAAAAAAGAAAGCTCGTTCTATTTCCAACCTGGAGAGGCGAGCGACGCTTTTGCATAGCAACGAGTCATATTTTCTCACCCGCGGAAAAGAAAAACCATCCTTTAAAAGAGAGATAAGGTGAGCGGTAAATCTCTAAAATAAAGTTTTAGAGGATACTGAAATAACATAAGCGTCGCGGCCAAGCCTCGTTCGCGAGGGCATTGATTTTTGTTAGCTTTATCGGCGCGCGCAAGATGATTCGGCAGCCGAGGTAATTAATTAGCTGCCTATTTGTCGGCGGCCGAGCATTGTGCTGCGGGAGTTTCGCCGGGCGAGGCGAAATTGATTGGGGCAGTCGCGCGGGCAAAGGGGTTAAGACCAGGGAAAGCTGACTGCCCGGGCAGAAAGTTTAACCGGGCGAATTCGGTGCGCCGCCTGCTCCGTTTTTCCCCCGGCCCCTCGCGCTCTCGGCGCGATCGCCGGCGAGAACCGTGAGCCGCCTTTACGGCATTATCAACTTGTCCTCGCGGGGGACTCGCGGAGCCGAGTTGGCGCCCGAGTTCGATTAAATTTTCAAACTTCGATTAAAGATCGGAGCCCTCGCCTTTCCAAGTCCGATTGCAGCGGCAAACCGGGAACGAAGTGGAAGACCTGCGAGCTAATGACTCGGCGCACGAAGCGTAGTTCGGCGACTGGAACGAGCGTGGGCGGGCCAATTGACTCGTGGGGTTTCGCCGTCGGTCCGTTAGCCGAGCGTGACCCGTACCGCGATGCTGGACCACAGAGCTAGCTGACGAATGGGCATGTCGCTCGGCTTTTGCCGGCTCGCTTTGCGCGGCTGCGTCCGATCGCTTTCGCGGCTCTACTACTTGCGTGGGAGCCCCTCGACCACACAGATCCGAGACAGAAGGAGATCGGTTCGTTTTTCTCGCGCGGACAATTCCGCGTCCGCGTTATTTTTCCATTGAGAGCAAGGAAGCGACGTCTTACACGCGTCAAAAGTAATTTTTACGGCTCGGATTCTCACTTCCGACAGGCCATCTTTCTCCCTCGCTTGATTGGCAGACGTTATTCAAGTTGAAGTTGTTCGACACATATGTGGATTATACACAAAGCCATATGTAATCCAGGAATTAAACGACTTGTCAACGAAAATAAGAGCCACGATGAGCGTAAATCCGCGAAAACAAAATCATTGCGTTAGGGTCAAAGTACGTGACTTGAGGTGAAATTCGAGAACAAACGTCTCGGCAAAAATGTTTTTTTGCCGAGGATAAGAAAAAAAAAGATAAGAGGGGGAGAAGAAGTAAAGGAAAGAAAAGGGGGGAAAATCCTCGACATAACGGCGACAAAACTACCCCTAGCTTCAAGGGTATCCGAGAAAATAGGAAAACATCGAGACAGCGAGAAAATAAAACGAGAAGGAAAAGGGTCGTCGTCTTTGGCGTCATATTTACTACTTGGATCTCCCCTTCCCCCCTTCCTCTCTGTCGATAAATAATGTAATTCTCGACCGCTCGAGTATATAACGTTTACGTTGTAATAAAAGTTGACAATCCACTCTCGCGACGACGATTACTTCCACTTTCTTTTCTGCAATAATAATATCCGAAAAAAAAGGAAGCAGGGACTTCATTCATTTACGAAAGGCAGAGTCGAGAGATCTAGGATGGAGAATAAAGAATGCGAAAAATTTTCTCGATGGAATCGGAGGTCCGAAGCGTTTGAATCACAGCAGATGGAGGAATGCGCCTTTGTTTGCATGTATATATATATATATATATATATATATATATATATATATATATATATATATATACACAATCCGGTCGACGCCAGAGGAGAAAGAAAAAATTTTTATTCAACGACGGACCGGCGATATCGAGATTTCTCTACTCCCACGCGGGATTCATTTCACAAAAGTTTGTTTCTCTGAAATTCGATCAGTTTCATCCGAGGGATGCGTGTGGATTTTTCTTTTGCTCGTCCTCGACTTCTACTGAAGTACGCTTAGAAGAATAAAACAAAATTGCGTTTTCACCCAAAAGATACCGAAGTGAAAATGGTAATTACGAACAATAATCACTTCGAAAAGCTTTCTAATGGGACTGGGAAATAATCTCCGAGCGTAAAAGTGACTTATATCGCGATAGCACTCGGGACGGTAATCCTCTTTTCCGAGTTCTAATTCCTTAGACAATCGATTAATATTTGTCATTCAGTATGAAAACTCGTTCCTCGCTATCGGAAACTCTCCTAAAGGGCGAACTTTCATTTCCGTCGCTGAATGAAACTCTCAATTCGAAAAAGAAAGAAAAAGACTTGCTACTGTCGGCGAATCGTCATAAAACTTGACAAATCAAATGAGAAGATGCTGCGAATCGCAAAGACGCGAACACGACGTACTGCTTGCGTATTATTGTTTTCCTCTCGCGCTGAATGTAGAAGCGAAAATGAAGCCGCTCGAGGCGCAAAATGCGAAAATCACGTCTTTCTCTCTCCGAGCGCAAAAGTTTGGATTAGCAAATCTGCAAAGATGCTTTTCGTCGTCCTTCGAGCGCAACTGACGTTCGCGGAAAAGGACCTCGCGACTGTCGCGCAGGGCTCGCGTAAACTTTTCTCATAAAGCTGACGCGAGTGCGAAACGTTACTGCGATCACTCGATTCTGGTTGCCACTTCGTTAGCGCGCTCGACCGGGTAGTGCCGTGGTACAGCGACGATGACGACGACGACGACACGCGCGATATTTCGAGTTCGACTCGAGCCACGTACACGCATTTCCTCTCTAGCTCGATCCGGCGAAACTGCTTTGACGGCCAATTTGGGAAAGGAAAAAGCGCCGTAAAAAGATAGCGCACAAGCGGCACTGATAAGAGTGCAGTTTAGATAGAAGTCGCCACTAGCCCGTTTCGCTTTTTTAATTGTCGCAGGCGGATCGATTGGTTTTCGCCGATGAAAACTAGCCCGCAGTTCCGCAAAGGGCCTATTATTTTTTTTTTTTTTTTTTGGCCATTTCCACCCCGCAACCAGTCGCGTCGAAAGCGACATGTCTAAGCGCTGCAGAGACCGAGGAAAACGGGAGGTAACGGAGTCCCCGTAAACAATCGAGTTTTTTAATCAACGCGATAATTCAGTGGGGCACGATTGGTGGCGCGAGAGAGCGTGTGCAATATAGCGGCGGCGACGGCGGTGACGCAGATCGTTATACGCTCGTCAGGGGCGCTTGGCCTCGTTTCCCACGGCCGCGTTCATTCACGAAAACCGCTCGCGCGAGACGGGGGGCAGGGGGGTTACAGCTCCGCGCGCGCGCTGAATATTCGCTGTAGCGGCGAGCGACTGCGAAAACGCGATTGGTAATGCAGGGAACTGGGCGACGACGCGTCGCGGCCGCGCAGCCCCCGAGAAACGCCGAGGTAACTGGGTCGACGCTGCTGGCCACGGGGCGAGAAACTTCCGCGCCCGGGGCGCGCGAGAGTTCGCCGAGGCGGGCGCGGCGCGACGTGGTCTTGCCGCTCGCGGCTCGACTGCAGACTACCAGGGAGGAAGCGGGAAAGCCTGGGATCGCTCCGGAAGCGATGACCGCGCCGCGCCGCCGAGCTGGGGTTTCGCGCGCGGCACGCCGCGTATCGAATCGCAACGCGGGTCGTTCGGGATTCCGAGCCCCGTTCGCCGTACAAGATTTTGCCGCTCCTTCCAGTCCTCGAGCCGTGTCGCCGTAAGCCGGCGGCTCGCTCGCCGTAAATCCACACGCGGCCATGGCCGGTCCCCCGCAACGCACGGTAGATCAGCAGGTCGTGGCTTATTCCGGTTAATAATTCGGACACGCCGCTCTTCGGCCGATAAATCGTTCCTCGCGTTTCCGCGAAAGCCGTACAAAGCCAGTCTGCTCGGCAAAGGAAAAGGAGCCGAGTAAGCGAAGCGACACGGGACGAAGAAAAAAAAGTGTAAAACCGCACGGGGAAAACAATATCGCCGTTGCGCGAGTAACCGAGGTGCCTTGCGGCAACCGAGTTAGGACCCCCGTCACGCGAAGAGCTTTCGTTTTATTTTATTTTTATTTATCCTTTGCGCTTTCGTCTCACGCACGAGGGGCGAAAAATACGAGCTGTCGCGTCGTATTTTAGTCCTCTTTCAATCCGCCCACCCTTCCTCGGCTGCAAAGGTTTTCATTAAGAAGAGGGCGAGCGCTTTGGCGACGAATCGAATGGTCGATTTTTCTTTCCTTCCTCGCGCTGTGCGTGAACTAGTTCACTTGCGCCTTCTTTTGCCGCCTGCGCGCGCGTTCGACTCGTTATTAGATTTTGATACGAGTGCTTCGGCGTGGTTATTACGAGCCTCACAAAGACAGCTTTTCCGTGGGTCGTAATTATCGAATCCTCGTATTATTTTCGATGAAATGAGCTCTCTTGCATTCAATATGCTTGCAGTGTTTTTAAAACAACGCCGTGAAAAATGGACACGCGATATATAACTTCGCTATGAAAATCATTCAATAGATTGTGAATGGCAACGAAAAGCTTCTTGAGAAAAATCAATACGACCGCCGAAACTCATCGGGGTTAAATAAATTACTCACCGTCCAGTTAAGTTACCGACTGAAAACGGTGGCTCTTAAGTTGCCCCTCTGCTATTCGCCGCACAGCACCGTTCCAAAAAGGAAAAACAGCGATTCTGCATTCAGAATTCGCGGTCGAAACGGTCTGCCTTTGGATACGGCCCAAGGCCTCGTTCAACGTCGCACTTGGAACAAAGTTGAGCGTTTCTAAATTCTACTTCCAGAAAAGACGAGCATAAGCTGTCGCGCGCGCTTATTTCCGAGAGCAGCTTGCTGCGGCAGGAAAAACTTTCGACTCGCTCGACGCGAAAGATAGTTGAACGCCAGCTTTTCTGCGGATAATCCCACCCACGTCGACAATTGAAGCGACGTCATTCGCGAAGCGTCGCGATCGATGCCAATCGTTTAGAGAGAGAGAGAGAGAGAGAGAGCAGAAGAAAGCTTAATTGAGTGGTTGAACGAAGCGCGAGAGCCGTCACAGCCTCATTACTTTTGAACGTTGATCGAGTCGTGCCGCAAACGAGGCAGAGTCGCGCACGGTTTATCTTATGGACTATAGCGATTAGAGTCGCGTTTGCTCGGGCACGCGCCCACTAATAATTCAAGCCTTTCCGTCGGTTGTTTTGATTCCTCGCTCGGGCTCGCGCTCACGACTTTCTTGCCACCGTTATTTATTCGCGACGCTCTCGCGCGTGTTTTCGCATCGGTCGGGCGGCTCTGTCGCGCTGTCTCTCTCCCTCTCTCTCTCTCTCTCTCTCTCTCTCTCTCTCTCTTCGGGAACATTCTCCAGGGAGCTTACGCAACGGGATCGACGAGCGAGGAGTCGCGACGCCTCCTGGCCCGAGCAGAGAAGAAACGGAAAACGAGGAAGAAGGGAGAGAAGGTGGGTGATCTATCGGGGTCGAGTAGCGTGCGAGGTGTATTTTTAGGCGTGCGCTCGGCACGCTCTATTGATTGCTCTTGCGCCGTGCTCACCTTGCGCCTCTCGTCGATGGAGCCCCGAGCCCGCTCGCTCCTCGCCTCGTCGCCGACGAGGTGCTCGTGGCTCTCGCCGCGGCACTTCAGCTTCGGGCGGACGCTCTCGCTGCTGCCGTCGGGCCCGGCCCCCGTCAGCCGCCCTCCCCCGCCCCGACACCCACGCCCGTCTGTCTCGCCGAGCGAGAGAACGCCGCGCTACCGCGGCAGGCCACCACCACGACGACGACGACGACGACGACGACGACGCCGCCGCTCGCGCTCACACCATCGCCTCGCCGCGCTCGGTGCTTCTGACCGCTGGCCCACACAGAGACACGCGCGGCCGCGCCGACGCCGGAGCTTCGATCGCGCTCGAGTGCCGAGCCGAGACTGCCCGGCCGCGGCGCTGCGAGTCCTCGCCGCGACGCCGAGCGCGCGCCTGCGCCCCGCCGCCGCCGCCGCCGCCGTCGTCGTCGCCGTCGATGTGCGAGGGTGGGCTCTTACGCTTCGCCCGTCGCCGCGAAGAGCCGGCCGCCGTTTCCTTTCCGAGGGGACGCTGGCTCCGTCGGCCGTCGCGCGAGCGCGCCTCGCCATGTCCGCGGCGGCTGCTCCTCCCGCCGCGGCTACAGTTAGCGCGAACGCGCTCGACGGCGGACGACGGCGCTTCGTCGCCGATTGCGGATTGTCAGCGTAAAATCGGCGCGTCGACCGGTGGTTCATCCCCGGATTGCGATCGCCGTCGCGCATTCGCGGCGCATCTCTTTCGATTCCACGCGCACGAGAGCGCAGCGATGCCGATCGTTAGGCCTGACGGAGGGAGCGTCAGAACCGAGAGCCCGACGACGGCCGGTGTCGTCGACGAGCGCCGATCGAACGTGCGACGCGCGGCTGATTGATGAACAATGCAGTCGCGGGCTCGTGCAGCGCGAGTGACGCCATCTCGCGGCAATTGCGCCACAGTGCCGAGCGCGTACGTGGGTAACGACGCGGTCACCGAAGCAATGCAGCTGCTCGTCGCGCTCGGAAAAGAAGAAATCGTCATCGAATTCATTTTATTTGACAAACACAGAGCACGATAGAATCAATAAATACACATCATCTGCGTCAATAGTAATACTCGCTTGTCACGCGTAACATGGCCGATGATCGATGCTTCGACGTTTATAAACAAATTAACATACGTAAAAAAAAAAAGAACCTCTTTATTTTCTCCGTCCGTCTGTACGTGAGTTCAGGAACGAACTGTGTTGCTTGTGTTGCTTTTTTTTCGCTTCTCGTGCACCGATCGCGTGACAACGCACATCGCCGATCTCCGTTATTTAAGAAAAATCACAGTTCTCACATTGCCATTGTCCATTTAGCTATTTGAATTTGTACGCTGTCGTAAAACTGCATAACAACTTGGTTCCTATATATGTACGCAACTATAAACTGTCAACAATTTTTACCTTATCGCTAGCAAGATATACAACTTAAAAAGACTTAGCGTCACCTAAACTTTCAAGTTTATGCGCGGATCGTCGAGACCGAAACGGTCTTCTCTACGATATTTGCTCCTCTGTATAGACAATTTTTCGAGGAAAATCAATGACGCCAGCAACAAAAAAAAAAAAAAAGAAAAAAAAAACGAGAAATCTATCGCTTACGTTGAAAATTCTCTGAATGAAAAATCGCGTTTTCGTTTATTTTTTCCACTCGAAGAATATAATCATTCCCGACGTCGCTGGATTCGCCTACAAAAAGAAATGTGATTGAAAAAAATACAAGCCTTAGATTATTGCTCGAGCTGCTCGCCGGCGTCCGTATCACAAACAACTGGTGACCAACGGTTCGCGTACAGCGCGTACACGTTTACGCACAAGCCTTGCCTCGATCACAAAATAATGAGAGAATATCGCGATACACAGCTGTCTCGCTCACAGAGTCGCCTACGGTAAGAGTGTGCCGCACAACCTCGCCGCGCGCGAGGCCTCACTTCTCGCCTCTCCGTACATCCTCATCGGCCTCGAAGGCCGGGTTGACCGAGCCGCCGTGCCTCTGGCTTCTCTCGCAGTCGTCGCTCAGCGCCGCCTCCTCGGCGACGCTCTCGACGATGTCCAGGTTCTTGGCGTTGTTCACCGCTTCGATGTCGTCGACGATGTACGGCACGCTCTCGATCTCCTTCTCCTTCTTCTGCTTGCTGTCTTCGATACTCGGAGCCAGGCTGCCGTTCTGCTTGGGGCCCTTTGGCTTCTTCTTCACGATGTCGTTGCCCTCGACCTGCGGTCGCTTCGACAGGTAGAAGACGTTGAAGCACAGGTAAACCAGTCCGGTCAGGAGCGTCGCGCCCGAGAAAATTTGGTAGGTGGGTCGCGTGCCGAACGCCTTCATCAGGTAGCCGCCGATCAAGCTGCCCGATCCCTTTCCTGTTTCGCACAAACACACGTATTTCGGCGCTGTCAAACATCTCGCGCGGCAACTCCTCGCTGCGGTCGCTCACCAACGCCATAGTACAGTCCACCAAGGAGACCTTGAATCGAGCTGTCCGTCGTCGTCGTGGACAGTTTAGCGGCGTAGGTTACGGCTGCTGTGAAACTCAACGACGACGTTACCGATTCGAGTGCCTCGAAGATCAGACACAGCCAGGGGTCGTAAATCAGTGAGTATCCTGAAATGCGCATACAAAAGATCGCGAACGTTAATTTGTTTCGCGATGTCGTGCAACGAGCTCCTGTCGCTTGCCATTGCGCATTCTTGATAAATGTTGATTATAGCAATGGCAAATAACAGCCATCCGTTTTCGACGAACGTAAGCTCGATCGTTGTTGTATCACCGGCATAACGAGATACACAAGAATGCTCTGCATTCCACGACGTCCAAATGAAAACGCAACGAGCGTTCTCTTCGCAAGAGAGAGGCGAGTATCAACCTCACGCAGCGATGACGTGGTTACATCTCTGACAAAAAGACGACTCACCCAACAGCCTGATGGCGTAAAAGATGAAGCCAATGAAGATAACGTTGGCGTGGCCGATCTTGTCGATAATCGGCCCCGACAGTACCAGCAATGGGACACCGGCGATGCCGCCGACCGTGATGGTTATCCCCATGAGCGACCTCGACGCTCCCAAGTCTTCCAGCAGCCAGAAGAGGAACGACTCGATGTATCCCCAAGCCGTACCTGCCAAGCGCACGATCGGTCAGTCCGCGAGTCGCGTGAGCCGCGCCGGCGTCGACACACTCACCGAGCACGAAGCAGGCGGTCAGCAGGGCCACGACCTCGACGTTCTTCAGAACCGTGACCACGTCGCTCATCACGTTGCTCGCCGGCGCCTTGAACTCCAGGTTGATCATCAGCATCAGCAGGCCGGAGAAGATCTTCAACGCGGCGTACAAGTAGAACGCCGGCCTGCAACAACCATAGCCAGTCCCTCGGTTTCACTTGCTTCTCTCTCGGTGGTCGCGCGCCCGCGAGTGCCCGCGAGTGCCCGCGAGTGCCCGGAGCGCAACCCACCTGAAGTCGGCGTATCCCTTGCCGCTGCTGGCGTAGTCGATGAGCATGCCGGACAGCGGCGAGGATATCATGCCGCCGATGCTGCCGTAGATCCGCTGCAGGCCGTAGTCGGCCTTCTGCTCGCGCAGGATGGCTATGACGGCGCCCTCGAACATCGCGAAGGCCGTGCCGCTGATCATACCTGCGAAGCAACGCGACGGTGCGTCATCGGCGCGAGCTCGTCCCCGCGGCCGGCAATTTACCTATGAACACGCGGATCGCGAGGTACGCCCAGAAGGTCAGCACGGTGTTGTACTCGACCACGACCTTCATGTTGTTGCAGACTGCCTTCCTGGGCGCGGTGAACAGGCAGCTCCTGCTGCACCCCTCGAGACTCGCGGCCCCGTCGGTCAGCTGGACCTGCACGCCGGCGGTTTCCGCCCGCTCGTCGTCGTCGTCGGGCGAGCACTCGACGTCCGCGGCCAGGTAGCGACGGCGCTGCTCGGCCGCGTCCGCGTGCGTCGGCTCGATCGTCTTCAGGCTCGTTCTCAGCTTGACTGGTCGCGCCTGCTCGAGCGGCACCTCGTCCGCGCGGGCTCGGAGGCTGCAGGCGGCGCGGCTGCGGCCGAGTCCGCACTCGAGGCCGAACAACCGGGGCCTCTGCGCGGGAAAGAACAGGCTGCCGCTGGCAATTTGCCGTATCGCGATTTCGTAGTACTCGACGTTCTCGAGCCGACGAGTCTCCTTCAGATCCGGAGCGAGTTTCGCTTTCTGGGAACAGAACGCACGCGTTATCGTCCGAATCGGTTCCGCGGCTCGGGGCGAGTGCTCACTTCGGGCATGTCGCTCTCGGAGATCGCGTAGTCGTAGGTGGCGTTCGCTAGAGTTTTCGCGTTGTGCACGCTCAGCCTGTAGCTGCGGGACGACAGGATGTCCTTGACGTAACTGGCATTTAGAGGACCCAGTGGACAGGCATACCTGTAGAAAATTAACAACAGCTAGCATCCACGAGTTTGTTTTTCACCTCAATCTATAGTGTGCACGTAATTTTTTTTATTTTCTAGGCATTAGCCGGTGCGGACAGATGTGGACGTAAATCGCAATCCTAAGGGAACGCTAATTATTGATAAACAGATTTTCAGTGTGGTTATTCACTGAAAAGGCTTGATATATTTAATGAAACAATTTGCTCTTAGCTACGAGATCAACGAGCGAAATGGCAAGGCCCGATTTCAATAATTTTCATTTAAAGCAGCGGGTTACGCGTACGATGCAACGCAATTTGTTCATATGGAAAATTCGCAATTTCCGTCGCAGTCGAAATTTAGCACGCTTAATATCGATCTCCAGTCGCTTACGTTCTATTTATTTTTTTCTTCTTTACGAAACTTCAAGAAGAACGTATCGTCTTGGGTTTCAATTTTATAAATGACAAGCTTTGACAGCCAGTCTGTTTGCTCCAAGTATACGTGACGCTTTGTGCTCGCTGCTCAGAATGACTGAGTTATAGACAAGAATGGTTAAAACTTGTTAAAAACAAAGACACGTGTAAATACTTATCGTGGCTAATTATACAGTTGTATTTGCAAAGCTCGTGGTTGTTGAAAGCTTCGTCGAGTATTTGCAGAATCCTCGGCAAGATTGAAAAGAAAAAGATCGACAACACGGGTACGATCCACTTGAAAACATGTCACTCACCCGCAACTCTTGAGCGTCAATTCCGTTTTCGCCTCCAATTTGGTGTCGCAAGGGTGGTTCTGATAGAGTCCGTAAATGAAATGAGCATCGGGACCGCAATCCTCCGTTGCGAGCACGATACTGTCCGGATACTGCATGTTCGCTCGGCCTACCGGTACCAGCAGCAGCAGCAATGCCGCAGCACCGCCCAACGCCGAAAATAACGAAAGCAGGATCTGAATGAAAAAAAAAAAATGACGTCGTTTGAATAGCTAATCTACCGTTCAGTCGCCTTTCTGTGTAAAAGCAACACAATTAATACAGATAACTGCAAATTATTGATAATAAAAGCATGCGAACATCGGTATCCGTTTGTATGCGCTTTGTGAAAAATTCGATAAATGTATGATGCATCCAATTAAAAACATCGATCGTAAATAATATGGAATTTAAATATTAGTCGAGAAGTGAAAGTAATGTAGATTAGTAAAAATTACAGTAACAGATACAGCTACAAAAGATTTTAAACGTTGTCTTATCCTTTGAAAGGAACGTAATTCTCTGATAGCAATGAAAAATTACCTTGAAATTGCCAATCCGATCGGCAATTAGTCCGGCAACCGGTGGCATTATAATGGCGACAAACGGTGTGATCGCACTCATGATAGCCGTTTCCTCGACGCTGATGCCCAACTCGCGCATGTGGATCGTCAGGTACGGATAAAGTATGTAAAGCGCTGAGTGCAGACAAGGTACATTAGGTTAACGAAGGAGAAGCTCGTCGCTGAGATGCCAAAAACTCACTGGACGTTTGAACGAAGAAAATGAGTTTGAGCGGCATGAGCTTTTTCTGCCGGAAGTCCTTGATGATCCTCCGGAAGAAGCTCTTGATCAGCATCATTTTGGCGTCGTTGGTTCACTCGTCGTTTCGCCGAAATTCGTCGCGCAACGAACAGAAATCAACACGATCACGTCGACTCTTACGGGGAGACGTCGAAGGAGAGAGTGCGTCTACTATCTCCGGCTGGTCATCCTTCTGTCGCTCTTGTACTTCCCTGACAATGTTACATTTATTTAGAGGTCATTCGTCCGACAACATTTGCGGAGTGACGCAGACACGTGTGCAGCTTGGTAATGCGATTAAACAAAGAAATGATTGGCTCTTCATCGCGACTCTCGCGCTCGCAGCATATTAACATTTCGGTATAGTATTGGATTTTCAACTTCGGCCGACGTATCGCGTTCTAGGACGCCAGAGCAAACGTGATAACGGCGGCCCGGTAGGTCGCTTATCGACGCACGGCGAATGCCAATTTGTCGCAGTTGCGCTCGCCCGAAACATTTTCTTCGGAAGTGTGCCGACAAACGTGCGTGCAATGCCGAACGTCATCACTTGCGCTTCCTCGCGAGAATCGCACGCTCGCGAGCCGCGGCGCCAAAAGTGCCGGAGCATCCTCCCCCGCACTCGCATCGCCGCGTCGTCCGTAGCATTTCATCCGCGCGAGAGAATAAACATTCCTTATCTTCGGATTTTAATGTCGGTAATTATTGTGGATTATCGGCACGCAATTAATTGCGCAGTCGATCGTCGATTTTTCGTGTTAGTGTATTGGCAATTAGTTACCCTGATGAAACGAAAGGTCACGACCCCGATTCAATGGTTGTGTTGACATAACGGCATTGATTTTCTTCGCTGACTGGAATCATTTATTTTGATTCTCCTAAGAAGGCTTTCGCTTCAGGGGCATTATCAATGACTGGCATTGGCATCGATGCTTCTGCGCTGTAGTCGGAAGATTTTTTGAAAGATTATCGCTTGAATGGTCAAGTTTTCGTAATAGTGTTGCGGCATCGTCATTGACTACTTTCTAGAAATGGGACTTCTGCGGAATTTAATATTTTACAAGCTTGGTATCAGTGCTGGTGTGAGGTAATTCAGTAACATAATGTGCGTTATTAATAAAAAAAAATACATTTAATACTTCAAGTGATTTCTTAAATTCTTATAACAATAAAAGAAAAATTTGATTTGTTTAGAAAACTACAAATGAATTCTCGTTTTAAAATATTACGCGAGGAAATTATCAAGTATAAAATGTCAGTAATCTTCTACAAAGATTAATTTAATATTCAAATAATTTTTAAACTATTGCACGAATCTTTAGGAAAAACGAAAAAGAAAATTGTCTTTTCTGCGAAACTGTGGATTAATGCTTACGTTTTATGAGTCACGGCGAAATTGTCGAGTTCCAGAAAGAACAAAATTGCGTCATAATTTAAATTACAAAAAATACAACATTATGTCCAGTGAAAATGCGGGATGACCCGGCAAGTTTACAGAATGAAAATCCCCGTCGTGAAATGAAATGCAATGTAACGGCAGTTTCTTTCCCGCTGTTCAAACTAATGTACGATTGGCGTGTATACTTTTAGAAAAGTTTGCTAGTCGCAAAATTATCGTAGACGTACCAAGCGCGCTAATTAAAATTCCAGGCAGACACGTGCACCCGTGAAAAGGAAAAAAGCGCGCAACGGGAGCTTGCATTCCTTCTTTTTTCTTTGGCTCAAAGAAAATAATAAAGTGTCGCGGGCTCGCGTTTGTTACGCAACTTCCCGCGCGAACCTAGCGATGCGTGCAGCTACCGCGGTAATTGCCCGTGACACTGCCGCCGCGAGTGCGAGTGCCATCGAAAAGTCTTAATTTTCTTTTTCTCCTATTTTAATTTTTGCGTCTGTCTGTGCGCATCGACTAATTAACCTTTACGAGCTGCGACAAAAATCATTTTGTCCGCGAGCGTAACGAAGAGAAGACAAAAACACAACAGTTATATTTTTTCCTTTTTCTTCCGTGCCTATAGTTGGAATTTTTGTGACAGATATGAAGGGTTGTCAGAAATAACGCTCCGTAATGTTACTCGCGAAGTCATTAATTATATTATCTCACTCGACTCCGACACATTGTTTTCTTTTCTCTTGTTTTGACGTCAACGGGACAAAAGATACTTACAATGAAGATTAAAAGTTGTATGCTCTTTGACGCGAGCGCGCACCGGTAAGTTATTGCAACACACGCGCGTATTGCAGTAAAATCTCTACTCGGCGAGTGACACATGTCGATTTTCGCCTTATCTGGGCGCAGCATCGCGATGTGATAATTGACGGGAAGCACCTTGGACTAGCCTCTTTTCCGGATTATCCTCGCCTTTTTACTGCCTCGAGCGCGCAAACATTTTCATTTGCCCGCTAAACGAACGAAGCGAATTTCTCGTGCCTCGCGTTTTTCCGTCTGACCAACTTGGCTTTCACGCGAATAATTCAACTAACGCGCAATGCTGTTTATTGATTTTGCGATTGATTATCGCGCCTTGAAAATTCCGTTTCAACGTATTAACGTTTCGGCGATTCGTGAACACTATTTCACGGAGTTACACTTTGCTCGGGATGCCGATTTTAATTTGAGAAGAGCAATTCTCTTCAGTCAAGTGGATTACGCTCAATGACATCCGTAATGCGCGGTAAGCATTTCTCACCAAGGCTGAAAATCAGTATAACTTTGTTGTTAAAAGTAATGAGCATCGCACAACACAATTATCAGAAGTTATCTTGGGAAAGCCAATAAAAAAATTGACCAAGAGTGGTCTTAAGCTGATGACTTTGCATAATTGCACGTAAGCTGTTTGACTAAAAAATATTACTCGTAATTCATCGCACGGTCTATTTACCTAAATTTTCAATTCTCTTTTTATATATCCCGGCCGTTAAATATAAAATCAATCTCACGGTTATTCTTCGCATTTCTTTCTTAAACTAAACAGGACTTCGCATGCATTGTACGTTTCGAAAGTCGACTCGTGTTCACTTGCTCCTTTGCTCGTAACCACTTGATTGGGATTGCGATCCCGCGAAAACTGAAAGTTCTTCTTGCGAAGCCAGACTTGTTAGTCCTTACAAGCTGTAATCCGTCACGAACGGATAACTAACGCGCTAGTTACACTGCTGAGTGCTGCTTCTTTACACGAAGCATCGCTTGAAATGGATCTAAAAACATACCCAGATGTTTGACCATGTCACACTTGTCGTCGTCGTCGTCGTCGTCGTCGTCGTGTATCAGATGCGACATTTGTTTTCAGGAGCACTGAACCGCGGTCGTGCGCAAAAGCACGAGTGACCCAACATCCAAACATTATCAAGTGTTTCGCTAACTGAACTTGTCGTTGTCGAATTCTTTCCGCTCGACGTCCATCAGTAAAGCAAGAGAGCCGAACGCTCGCACGGTGACTCCTCGCACCAAACATTGATCTTGGGGCGCGCAGACGATCGTAGCCGCAAACGTGCGACAGACTACGAGAGAGCGATCGTCGAACCTACTTTACGATCGGGAAAATCACGAACGAAGGCCGGCCGCCTCGAGTTACGGCGCTTTTCTTTCGATCGTGTATCGCGGCCCGCCGCGGATTTGCGACATACCTCAGCTTTGTGCTCTTTTCGCTGGAAAAGGAGATAATTGCGCGGCAAGGAATATAATGAGGGGTATTTCGATCGATATGTCGGTTGCCGTTGCCAAGCTTCAATTCGCCGCGAAATGAAAATGAAAAGTAATCTCCGTGCGTCTATCCTTGGGCAAAAATAAGGAGAGAGAGAGAGAGAGAGAGAGAGAGAGAGAGAGAGAGAGAGAGAGAGAGAGAGAGAGTAGGAGAGAGAAAAAAAGTAACGTCAATTGAGTACGTGTTGAATAGGATATGCCAGCTTCACTTGCGCGACTCCAATGACGCGTCTCGTTGGTGCAAAAGTCGGTGCTCTCGATTGCGCGACTGCTAGCCGCAAAAACTGAACGATTGTCTTTGGCGAGAGAGAGAGTGCCGTTGCGCGATCGCGCGAAAGTGGCCGTGCCGGCGGCACGATCTGCGTCGCGAGTCCCGCTTGGCTTTTGCTTCCCGTCGAACGCCGAGCGGTGGTCCTCGATTCCGTGCGACGCGGTGACGCGCGGCAAGATGCGCGCCGCGATTTCGAGTGTCGCGGCTGCGAAATAACGCGAGCTTTTCGCAAAAGTACGCTTTCATCTGTAAATCCTTCTCCCTTCTCCCGCTCGAACGTGTGTGCAACTTCACGGCAGTCTAAGGTGAACGAACAAACTTGACCTGAAAAATCAGGACTGTAAACTCATCCATCGAAACGCATAAACTTGGCAGGTCAATAAAACACAAAGGACGCCGTTTGTCATTCTAGGCGAGCGAAACACAAGGGGTAGTGGGGCAGAAGTATGAACAACCTCGTCGAGAGAGAGAGAGAGAGAGAGAGAGAATCGGGTCAAAAATACGCGTTCATCGTCATTGTCTGGAAGCTTCTGGCTGCGCGACGATAGCAGCAGCGGCAGCCCATGAGAAAGACCGAAGGCAGAGGAAGCTTGGACAACAAAGATACGCGCATACTATGGACAATCGGCATAAACTGGATAATTGCGTGCCTTGCCAGAGCAGCACTCTTCGGTGCGATGACACGTGCGCGTATATGCGTGTACCGAGATTCTCTCGAACGAGAGGGACGGGAATTGATCGCTCGCGCGGCGCATCTTTCTTCCTCTTTTCCTCCCGCGCAGTGGCACTTTCGCTCGTGGCCCCCTTCCGCGCTGCTCGCCTCGGCAAATAGAATTTTCGCCGCGTACAGAGATGTCCGATCGCACCTACCTGTGACTTAATCCAGCGCAAGCGAGGATCCGACCCTCTCTTCCGAGGCGTCGCCGAAAAGCAAGGCGCGCCCGCGCGACACTCGAATCGCACCTGCAGTCGATGAATAGCTCACTCGCTTTCCATTTCCCAATTGTCGGCGTAGCAGCGGCTGCATTATACATTCCAAACCGTGTTTACGCCTCGTTTTTTCTTGCCTCCCCCTTCGCGCTCCAGTTCTATTTACAGTTTCGCTTTTCGTGCGTGATTTCTCTCTCTCTCTCTCTCTCTCTCTCTCTCTCTCTCTCTCTCTCTCTCTCTCTCTCTCTCGGTTATGCAAAAGTTGGATTGAAAAAAAAATTCGAGGAATGCGGCAACAAGAATAACTCTCACGATTGTTATCTTCTCGCTTATAGAATCTCGGAAAATGCCAGGACGTGCCGTGGGAGATCGGACGTTGCTATATACTTTGTATGATTCAGGCGCTCGGCCGTCTCAGTTGCAAAGGATCGAACATGGATTCTTCGCACGCGTTTTTCAAAAATGACCCTGGCTCGAAAGACAAAACACATTTTCCGTCGACCGGCGTCGCATCGAGGACTAGAAACTGCGCAGCGACCAAGAAGCGAATCCTCGTCTGCGCCTACGACGACGTGCGAGGGGATTTCTCCCGAAAACAAAAAAAAAATTGAATTGAAAAAGAGAAAAAAGAAAAACGACGAAGAAAGAAACGAGATAACCAAGCGAAATTTCTATATCGGGGTCAAGTGCGCGAGCGGTCTTCGCGATTCTCGCCCACGCGGCCATTACATGCCTCGATTGTATAATCGCAGCGCTTTTCCGCTCCTTAGGCCCCATTGGAACAATCTAAGTCGCTACTTTGCCTTCCTTTCTTTCTTCCGTTTCTCTCTCTCCCGATGGCAACGCAGCGCGCGGCGGTCGCAATTAAGACCGCGCGTTAATTTTCGACGGGCGGTCGTCGTAAATTTCAGCGAAAAAATGTTGCCGCTAAAACAGCCGGGAGATATCGTCGCCGAGCCGTGGAAGCCTGTTGCTTTTATCGCTGCAATGAAATTTCGATAGGGTAGAGTGGACAATCGCGTCCGGTCGCGCTTCTCGTGCCGCGGGGAATAGAAAAGTGAAACCGTCGCCGGGAAAGAAAGAGAATCGAAAGACGAGTGCGCGCGTGGGTATGGTTACCTCGAAAGAGAAAAGGAAATCCGTGTCCTCCTCCGAACCGTCGCGCCAACAGATCATCAACGCCACCTCCTCACTGTCACCAAAATGTTCGAGCGCGGAGACGAAATTGGAAACAGAGATTTTCCACGGAGAAAACGGGGACGATCCGCGCCGGCCGGAGTCGAGTTCGCAACTGAACTGCAGTTGTACTCCGCGACGGAGCGCGCGGAGTTGTGCGGCGAGAGAGCGAGGGAGCGAGCGCGAGAGAGATCGGCCCGTGCGATTTCAACGCGCCGTGATTTTCGCGTTATTACTCGCCGCTCGTGGAATTTCGCAATGTTGGGCTCTGCCGCCTCGCCGCGATTATGTGCTTTTTGTGCAATTAATTTTTCCATTGCGCTCGTGTCGATGACATTTTTTCCTTTCCTCGTGCCGATCCATTGTCTCCCGCGGGATGTTACTTCAGCGTCGCCGAGGATCGTAATCGCGCTGAATCATAATCGATTTCGCACTTCCCCTCTTCCCCCGCGATCGAGCACAATGCGTTGGAAAGACTTTTTGCCGCTTGGTTCGAAGTTCATTCATCCTTGTTGTTTTCTTTTTCATCCGGGGCGTGGTTTGCCGATTATTGCGTCGATTTCGTAATTTTGGTATTTTTTCAGGAGCTAACTAGTGGGAAATAACACTCGGACACTGGGAGATCGTTGATGATGCAGTTTGGGTTCGTAAATTATCTCAAGTTGCAGACAGTAAAATTGTGATGTGCGCAACATTGCAATGAGAAAAAACATATTTTCAAATTTACAGGCTTTGAGTGGCTAACTATTCGTTTCGATTTTTCCAATACTTAATTACTGATACGACTTTATCCTTATTTATATTTTGAAGGTATCTTCGCATGATGTAACTCAACCGAACGCCATATTTGACAGTTGAGCCCAACTGCTCGAATTATGACAACGCATGTTCATTTTTAACGCACGTAATTAAAAAAAATAAATGAAAGAAAATCTATTTTTTTCTCAAGCGAAGGCCAGCGCCATCGTTGTAAAAAAACAAAAAAAAAAAATTTTTCCACAATTAATTCCAAATGAGTAACATTGGAATAATAATTAATACTAACGAAAAGGCCAAACAATTGATTTACCGCTCGATTCGCGAGCGCATAAATTTTCCGCGGCAGCGCAGCGTAAAGCGACACCGCGCGCGCAACTTTGCGGCGCGCGAGCGAAATAAACACATCGGAAACGCATTATTGAGGACAAGAGCGAGCGAGACTGTTAAAACTCGCGCTGTAAAAACAAAGGCGAATTGCGCAAATGAATAATTGGCTCGCGATGCCTCGTTCGTCTGCTCCTCGCGCCGCGCGCGACTCCATCGGAATGGACATCCGCGCGGGGGGAAAGCCTTCGACGGCGGAGGAGCTTTCGCGCGCGCGACCACTGCTCCCGCGACGAGTGTCTGCCGCGGAACAGTTTGCTCGTCCTTTCTTCTTTTTACCTCGCCGACTCGATTTCCTTCGACGATTGCACGCAAAAGGAAAAAAAGACAAAAGTACAAATTTCGCAATTCGCGACGATTGCCGTTCTCATCCGACGCGAAAATGTAGTTTGCGAAAAGATTTAAACTGCTTCTCGATGCGACTAATTACGCGAAAATTCGTTTTTAATTAGAGGTATTATCGTCTTACCGCGAATAGCTACGACTGTCCAAATAACAACGAGTCCCATTATAATTAGTGAATGTGTCTCGCATGAAGTGTCGGAAATCTCCATTGTGAAGGATTTTTCGGGGTATTTAAATGATTGTTTAACTAGTTGTATGCGAAAATAAGCCAAGCAATAGTTAACTAGAAATTTTAATGACGCAAACGTCTTGTTTTCTAATTCCTTTCACGACGAATGGAATTTACACAATAATCATTGATCGTAATATTTACATCGTATCCGCCGATTACCATCTTATCATTTCAGGATGCACAATCAGCATGGATGAAATCTCAAGTTGAGAAAAAGAAGCGCGATGTATCCGCGGTCCCATTGTTCATCAAAAATTTCGACTTGTTTGGATTCCGAAGCACTATGAATTCGTCGTGATTATTTTCCGACCATTCGATGCAACTACCATATCTTATGAATTGCGCATCGTCAGGGAATAACAAAGTATCGTTTATCGAAATTTCAACAATACTAATTATTTTTCCGTCGGACGACGTCTATAGCGTTTCAAATGAAAGTAAATTTATTTTGCAAAGTAACGAAATGCATCTTGCAACAGATGGAATTTCTTTATCGCGAAAGTTCTCATTCGCGGAGGCGTAGTCGGTAACGATAACCGAGAATCGATTTGAAATTAGACCGCGATTGTTTTCCGCGATCTCCGAACAGTTACGATCGGCCGGTAACGCGCGCGCAATCAAAGCTGATTGATCGCTCGCTCGCCCGCGAAATAAGAGCAAAGCGCAGAAGTAAACCGCAAGCAGACGAGCGGCGAGGCTGCAGGCGAGCCTGGCTCGATTGTAAACGGATCCGTGCGCGCGCGCAGCGACGAGCGTCGCGCCGCCGTGAGTACATATAGCCTGCGCTCGTCAGTTTCTCGGCTCGCGCGCCTCCTCGTCGCCGTCGAAAGCCGCGTTGACCGAGCCGCTGCGATCGCTGCTCGTCGTCGCCTCGACGTCGTTCGGTTCGCCCTCGATTGGCGGCTCCTTCTTCCTGCACTCGACCACTTCGCCCTTCGGCTCCGCGGGCTGCTCCTCGACGCTCTTGGCCTGCGCTCGCTTCTCGAGGTAAAACAAGTTGAAGCAGAAGTACACCAGTCCGGTGATCAGCGCCGCGCCCGAGAAGATCCGGTAGGTCGGTCGCGTGCCAAACGCCTTCATTAAGTAACCGCCGATCAAGCTACCTCCTCCTTTGCCTATTTCGTCACAAACGTTTTCACGTCATTCCTTTGCGCTCGATCTTCGCTCTCGATTCTCGGCTTACCCACGGCATGATGGAGTCCTCCGAGAAGACCTTGAATCGTGCTGTCAGTCGTCGTCGTTGACAATTTTGCGGCGTAGGTCACGGTCGCGGTGGATATCAATGAATTGGTGATGGATTCCAATGCCTCGAAGATCAGACACAGCCGTGGATCGTAAATCAGGGAGTATCCTGAAAATCAGCGGAGCACCCTGTTCTGATTTGTTTTCCAGCATGCCGCGCCGTGACGCTAATTATACGGGCGAGGTGTAACGACAAACCGCTGATTTTGGATGCTGCGAAGCTCCCGAACGAGCAGCACCCGACGTCCTGAAATAGAGCGATAGACGCGTATATGACCCACCTAGCAATCTGATGGCATAACAAACGAAACCAGCGAAGATGACGTTGGCGTGGCCGATCTTGTCGATAATCGGCCCCGACAGTATCAGCAATGGAACACCGGCGATGCCGCCGACCGTCACGGTCATGCCCATGAGCGATCTGGAAGCGCCCAGGTCTTCCAGGAACCAGAAGAGGAACGACTCGATGTATCCCCAAGCGATGCCTGCAACGTGCGCGCATCCACGGCGGTGAGTTGGTTGCGACGACGGAAGCGTTGCGCAATAACGCGACTCGGCGACGCACGCGACGGGGCTGACGTACCGAGAACCGAGGTGGCAATCAGCAGTGCCACCACCTCGACGTTCCTCAGCACCGTCCGCACCTCGCTCACGACCTTCGAGCTCGGCGCCTTGAACTGCAGGTCGATCAGCGTCATAAGGAAGCTCGTGAAGAGCTTCAGCGCGAAGTACAGGTAGAACGCCGGTCTGCGAATCGACGCCTGGCATTAGTGAGCGAGTCGCCGCGCGGGCGCGCCTTTCCAAGCGGCTGCGGTCACCTCAGGTCGGCGTAACTCTTGCCGCGGCTCGCGTAGTCGATGAGCAGGCCGGACAGCGGCGAGGATATCATGCCGCCGATGCTGCCGTAGATCCGCTGCAGGCCGTAGTCGGCCTTGTGCTCGCGGATGATGGCTATGACGGCGCCCTCGAACATCGGGAACGTCGTGCCGCTGATCACACCTGCGAGAACGCGGCGTTCGATCGATTCGTCGGCTCGGCGTTAGAAGCGCGGACCATCACCTATGAACACGCGGACAGCCAGGTACGTCCAGAAGGTCAGCCTGGGGTTGTGCTCGACCACGAACTTGGCGTTGCTGCAGACGTCCTCTCTGGGCGCCGTGAACACGCAGCTTCTGCTGCATCGCTGCAGCGCGGCAACTCCGTCGGCCAAGTGCACCTCCACGCCTGCGCTTTCCGTCGGCACGCCGCCGTCCGAAGGGCATCCGACGCTCGCGGCTACGTAACGACGACGCTCCTCGGCTTCGTCGAGGGCCGTGGGCTCGATAGCTCGGAGGCTCGCGTTGAACGCCACCGCCACCGCTTGCCCTCGGCCAGTCTACCAAAGTTTATGTCACTTTCAGAGCGCGTCCGCTCGTCGTAGCTCTGGTTGTCGCTCGTGGAACTCACTGCCGCCGATCCAGGCGCGAAGGCGCACGCCGTCGAGTTACGTCCGACGACACACTCCAAGCCGAACGGCCGGGCAGGCCTGTGCGCAGGGAAGAACAGAGCCTCGCTGGAAAGGCGCCGTATGACGATTTCGTAGCCCTCGATGTTTTCCAGCTTGCGAATCTCCCGTGGGTCCTGAGGCGCATCCGTCCTCTGTGAACAATCAAACGTCGTCCGTTATTCGTCCGACGAGAAGCGGCTTTCGTATTCGCGTGTAGCTGGATTTCACTTGAGGCATGTCACTCTCGGAGATCGCGTAGTCGTAGGTCGCCTTCGACTCGGTTCCCACGTTGTACACGGTGAGCTGGTAGCTACGAGACGACAGGATGTCTTCGACGTGAGTTTGGTTCAGAGCACCCAGTGGACATGAATAGCTGCGAACAACATTAGTAGGCTTCGTTTCGTTCTTCGTCGCTGATGTCTTACGGTAAAGTCACTCACCCGCAACTCTTGAGCGTCAAGTTCGCGTTTGCATCCGAAATCGAATCGCAAGGGTAGTTCTGATAGGCTCCGTAAATGAGGTTGCCATCGTCGCTGCAACCCTCGGTCGCGAGCACGAGGGTACTGGGGTACTGCACGTTCGTTCGGGCAACTGGCACCACTAGCAACAGCAGGGCTGCCGCGCCGCCGAATGCCGAGAATAACGAAAGCATCAGCTGGAAGGAATTTCGCACAAAACAAGCGTGACGTTTCCGTTCGGCGAAGCGCTTTGCGACTGCAACGTCGGAGCTTCCTCCCGCCCAATGACAATGATTACCTTGAAATTGCCGATGCGATCGGCGAACAATCCGGCGATAGGCGGCATGAGGATGGCGATGAAGGGCGTGATTGAATTCATAATAGCCGTTTCCTCGATGGTGATCCCCAGTTCTCGCATGTGGATGGTCAGGTACGGATAGAGTACGAACAACGCTGGAAGCATTTTCAATTGCCATGTCAAGCGGAATGTTGCCCCGTCCAGGCGCATCCGAAAACTTACTGGAAGCCTTCACAAAGAAAATGAGCTTGAGCGGCATGAGCTTCCTCTGCCGCATGTCATCGAAGATTCTTCCGAAGCAACCCACGATTAGCTTCATGTTGCTGGCTGTTATCAACTCTTTTTTCCAGCTGGATCAATTCAAGTCGATTGCTTTCGTACGATCGCTCATCGTATTTCTACGGCCCCCGCACGTGTCGTCGACGTTTATCAGGCGCGAATATTATCGGCAAACGAAAAACAGCGACACTCAAGCAATCGAACGAGAGAGGCAGCCTCTCATTGTCGCTCGCCAAGTTTCGTCCGCGGATGTTGCAAATAAACGATGCACGCTGGTAGAAGTTACGTTGGCAACTGATCGCCTGCTCTCTGCCTCCGTAATGCCTGGGTACTGTCTTGGTTCCAGTGAGCTTGCTCGGCTGAATTTCAGCGCTGTGCTTTTTATGTTTATTACTCAGCTAAAAAATGCCTGCAATGAGCTTGCTATTTTTCCCGTTACGTTTTCGCGCAACGAGATTTATTGTCTTCACTAATTTGTCTCATCGACGACGAACTCCTCTTCTCGACGTAGCTGACCATCTCATTTTAATGATATAAAGTTACGTGGACGAGGCATCCGCTTAATTACATTAAAAGTATAAAAAATCATTCGAGTTTCCTACATTCGCTAAAAATCTTACATTGTGATATGCAAATTGTTTGCCGTCTCACATAATCGAATATCCTGTCATGCAATACTATAGCTCAAGAAAACCTTATTTCGCGTAAGTCGAACGTCCATGTTCGGTTGTTGTTTATAATTTATTAATTTTAACAATGTCGATTATAGATGTAGACTTGTGCTTGCACCTTATATACACTTGAAAAACTTTTCCCTGAATTCAAAGCATCCGGGGAGAATTTTAAATTGCTCTCCTTTATCATTTTTTCCCCTCGCTTGCTGCGTGCTTGCGGCTTTCTTTATTAAATGTATATCAAGTATTGAAAGAAACACCACTAATTCAAGACTATTATTGTTTCTAAAATTAATAAAAACAACGTAGAGATCAAACAACTGATTTATGCTGAATGTCAAGTACAAAGCAATATAAACTTACCGCGAAAGAAACTAAACAAGTAAGGCATTTGAATGAGATTCCCTACTGCCGGATTAAAAAAATTTACACATGAAAATATTTTTGTGAGGGCTAAAGTTCTACAGAGTAATAACTAATAATTTTACATTTTGTTCAGATGCATATCAAGAATTTTAAATTATAGCGATACGAGTTAATTATTGTTAATGAATACTTGAATTGTCTAAATATAAAAACATGAATTTTTTTTCCGATAACATTGATAACAATAGCAAATAATACATAAAAAATGAATAGAATATTTTTCAGAGGCTAAAAAATGTGTCCATCAAAATTATTGTTTTAATGAGAGTTATTACAATTAAAAAAAAAAGAAAATTTTAATTTTTTTTCTCGACATAAAGATTTTTGCGACCGATTATTTTTCATTTTCATGAATTTTCAGATGTTTTACATAATTGGCGCGTCAGTAATATTATTTATGCGCGATTCAAATGAATTGAAAAAAAAAATTATTTCTTCTTCTGTTAATGTTAACATTCCATACAAGGTTTACGACAAGGAATCATTCTAACAATTTGACAACAATGGCGACACGTGAGCGAGCGAGTTGTAAAGTCAAAGTTTTTTTTTAAGTTATATTATACATTTGCTTATTGCATTGGCTTTACGAAACTGATCTTCAATATAATTCAATTTATTTAAATGTCAATGATTGTCAAAGTAACTTCAAGAAATTACTATACAATTATAGATGTACGTAATCACCAGCGTATACATAGTTTAAATGTTTTAGATAAACAACGTACAAATAAAAAAATTCCTTGCATTGAGAACAGTCGAGTAAGTGTGAGCTTATATTTGCGACCGACTTCCAGAGTTTTCAGCATTGCTGATATTTTTAAATTCTGCAATCCTTCATTATGAGTATACTTATTACAAACACTTGGATTTACATAACGGAAGTTATGATGTGTTTTTTTTCCGTAGTTAAAGTTTGAATAAAAAGTTTGTAAGCCAAAAATTTATGATAGCGTCGTTTATGGCAGTCATTTATTTGGAACGGGATGGTGCATGGCGGATAATCGATTTTTATTGGCAAATATTGTGGCAATCAGAGAAAGATAGTAGAGAGAAAAAACTTCGAAATAAAAATGAGTCTCAACGATACGACGACTCGTTATTTCACTTTTCTCGGCGATGGTTTAGAATCGGAAATTAAGGTCGCTCCTATAGCCAAATTAGATGTCAAGGATTCCGATATAATATGAAATATAACCAAACTATTCTGTGCTCGTCGACGCCGAAAAAACACGTTCTGATTTCATTACTTGTGAATTTCAAGCACTGTCGAATCCCACGAATGAACTTCTGCCATTTGAAACGTAAATTATCCACTATCCTTCAATAATCGATATCTACAGGTAAATAAAACGTTGAATATAATTTTACACTATATGTTTCAAGTAATGTTGCTGCGTGTTTTAATTTTTGTTTCCTACTATAAAATTTTTTCAAAACTGATTCTTCGTGTATTATTAAAGCACAATTGGCAAGACAAGTTTTAGTACCAACTAAAATAATTAAAAATAAGTGTTTCATAAAGTTTGAAAATTGTTTACTCTGAGTCGACTAATTTTGTGAGCCAGTAATTTTACAATTGTTTATGTATATACTACATTTCCGTCGCACAACGTATACTCAATATTATATAATTCGGTTAATTTTCGGACAATTGACTTTTATTTTCATGCAGTCGTTGGGCTTGTCCATTGTGGTCTTAGCAAAAGGTAACATTTATCAAGCACGGCAGTGAAGAGAACCCGTTCTAATGTCACTCGAAAGCTAACTGTGCATTTTTGAAAAATACCGAGGGACAGAAAGTATCGACCGTGACCTAGATATCAGGACGAATCCATGTATATATACAGATCGTCGATCCATTGCGCAATCGAAAAGAAAAAAAAAACCAAACAGTTGCACACGGCAGAAATTGCGAACTAAAGGTCGCGCGCGCTCGCTGATAAACCGCAATGCGGCATGGAAAACCGAAAAAAATTTTTTTTTCCAAACTGCGTACGAAATTAGTCGCGCTTGATCAAGTATAATTGCTTTCGCGTGCAATAAGTTTCGCAGTACAAAAACGATCGCTCTGCAATATTCCGCTGTAGATCATTGACCCGCTGTCGATAATGCAGATTTTTCGCGCGTCTGGAAGTTATTTTTGTTTAATTATTATTTTTTTTAATTTCGCTTAAAATCTATGACGAATGTCTAGCAAGTACAAACTATATGTAAAAAAAAATGCAACGCTAAAATATAAAGTTACAGACTAGGACAAAACGCATCGTACATACAATTGTTAACCCTGAATTAACGAATCGAGGAGCGATTCTTACTTTTAGACAATACATTTAGTCGTTGAGTGTTTTGAAGTGCTATGCATAAGTAATAAACTATTTACTCTAGCTATGTTTTGGTATAACAACAAAAATAACCAACGGCGCATATTTTCACTGCCTTTGAGTATTCTTCAACAAAACGCAGACGAGAGGTCGACAATCAATACCGTTATTTTACAGATTTCTTTTTTTTTCCATGCCAAACTGTATAATTTTCTTTCATTTAAAATTTTTCGTTTTCTTGTTACTGGTGAACCACTTTCGCACACTTGCACCGACGGCGTGTCGTTCCACGCGGATAATCGCGACGCATGGAGATTAGTATCGGACAATAGGGAGAGAACGGAGCGTCGACGCCGTTTATTTATTTTTTTTTGTTTTTTTTTTGCCGGTTATACAAATGCCACTTGTTTCGCATTAAGAATCTCAGCGAGAAAGTCTCTTGGGTAAAGTGATATCGCTCTTTCTCTCGTTCGCTTCGAGTCCTTCACTGCACTTCGCACACGAAGAACGTTTCGAAACTGCACGGACTGTCGTTCCATTTTAATCCCTTGCCGTCACGGTTCCACAGCTCCAAGCAATGCTCCTCCTCGCCGTTTTCGTACCTGTTTTAATGAATATCAAATGATTCATTTGCTCTGCAATAATAGTTTCGACATTAATGCGGAATTTCCAACGAGAAGCCCATTTTCTTAAACTAAATGAATTTTCACATTTTCATTCAAGTTTGCCCGGTGATTTGGCTTTGATCTGACGATCCAAGCGGTTTCCACGATTGATACTAATATTAAACGAGCGCGGTCGCAATCATTGTATTTCAAGAGGACCATTCGAACGGCGAGCCCGCGTCGAGGCGCGTCGTTGGCTGGCGCTAGTCGTGCAAAAGAGAGAGAGAGAGAGAGAGAGAGAGCGCGCCTCCCGCGTTCCGATTGCGCCTCCTCGTCGGACACGCGCTCTTTGCGTAAGTCGCGCGCGCCGGCGCGAATAGCCACTCGCATCGAAACCGGCGGATCTCGCTTTCTTATCTAACGGTCCGATTGATCCGCGAGGAAAGCGCGTTTTTCCTTGGCACTTTTACGCGATCGGCGCGTTCGCGCCTCGCCATTATACCCCTGGACTCGTGTGTTTACCGTCGTTACGTAAATGCCAATCGCGCCGCGCAACGTCGCCGAATAGCGAATCGGTGCACGCGTCGGGTTGCGCAAGCTCGAGCGGCGTCGCGGCTGCCTACCGGAAGTTGTTGGGCTCGCCGGCGTTCCAATTCTCGAAGGTGATCGGCCTGCCGTTGGCCATCCAGAAGAACGTGCCTTCCTCCGCTTGATCGGTGCCCGAAGTCCAGAAGTGCTCGTGCGCCAGGCCGAAGTCCCTGATGTGCTTCTCGAGCTTGTCGTTCTCCTCTTGCGAATTGATGCTCGCCAAGTGCATACCGTGGTAGCGGCAGTATTGGGCCGCTCTGTACCAGTTTGCCTGCGCCAGTTTCACGTGCCCGAGTTAGCTTTTATCATTCGATCCGCAAAGTCGAACGACGATTTTACCTTGAAAAAGATTCCTAGGTAATAACGTTTTTCTCCTAGCTTCAGCAGCGGCATTGTCCATCTTGCAGCGCCGATGCTTAACGCCGCGTCGTCCGCACAATTCGGACAGTCATCTGTAACACGTTGAAAACGCAAATTAAGAATCAGTTAAATACATTTTCAATTCAAATCAAGCCCGAAACGATCGATTTAATATTCGTGCTTATGTCAAATTATTAAATGGGGAGTCGGAATTCGATGATAAATCTGATTTTTTTTATCTTATCTCGGAAGATGTACAATATAAATTCCCCTATTTTTTTTCTATCATCATTGATTTTCATCGAGATATTTCATTTTTAATCATCATCTCTCTCTCTCCAACTTCTTCCATTTATTCAGCAAAATTACACGATATCTTCGACCTGTCATCGAAAACAAGTAAATCAGTGTAAATTAACGTAATATAAAACAATATTCCACGCAGACATCTGTATTCTAAAAAAAAATTAAGAGACGCTGATTACCATAAATCACGACATGGCACGTGTCGCTGCGAGCGCGACAAAAAAATCATAACAAGATTCCTTCGCGTTCGATGTTCTCGCCGCTTACCAAGTCGAAGCTCGCGCACGCACTCTTGTGCAAAGAGAGGATAATGATAATTAGAAAGCGTATTGACTTCGAAAGATACGCCTCTTCCACTCTCAGCACGACAATATATTGCCGATGGCAATGGGCAATCGTTTCGCTCTCGGATTCCTTTTTCTTTTTTTTCTCTCCTCGACTTTACATCCTCGCGCGCCGATTCATTATTTATCACCTTTCGTGAGCGTCGACTTCACTGTATCCACCGATGTGCGGCAAACAACACTGTTCGTCGAACGCTGGTCAAAAGGATATCCCGTGATCTGTCGCGTCTTGTCTCCTTGCCGCGCGAGAAAAGGCCGGAAATTTCCCGATTTTCCGTAGTCGACGCGAGCGAGTTGGCGAAAATGACGGTCGGTGATTTACAACCGTGGGATCGGCGGCGCGATAAAGTAACGTTTGATGACTTCATACGTTGCTGATTATTAAGATTCTTAGATTGCCTTTCATTTATACGTTCGTTCCAAATAAATTATCGACACTTTCCCAAATTCGAAGACTTATAAAACTTCAACGTCCGGTATTATAAAGCTACTTTGAAAACTAGGCGTGTCCCGACTGAAATACCCAAGTGTTTGTGAAATTATTAACAACTGACGACCTATAAGTTTGAGAGTAAATCGAGTCTGATAGTTTCATTTGAATTCTTACGAAGGTTTCATTACAACAAAATTTCTTACTTGCGCAGCACTTTTAATCTTCAACGGCCTTAATTAGGAAATTTCAAGTACAATTCATTTATATAAGAAAAATTTGTTGTTTTGAAAAGATGTTTCTTAAAGAAAGTAACAAAAACTTTTTTAAATATCAATATATTTTTCTTAAATAAGATTTTTTTTTCAAATAGTAAGAGAAAAAACTGCTTATCTGTTGAAAATAAAAGAAAATGTATTTCTTATTTTAAACTAACTCTCGGGCTGTTCGATCTTAGTAACGCGTACAGTTTAAATCGTAGAAAAATAATCATCTTATTTTAAGTAATTTCTGTTTCCTTTGCTAGAATTATGTACATTTTCAATCGTACATTAGTCAAACTAATCTAAGCTTAACTTGTAAGCCGTTGTCCAACGAAAAATTAATTCAACAAAGGAAATTTAAATATCTTCCTAATCCCATACAAGGAGTTGACCTCGATAATGCCTACTAAAACATTCATCAAAAAAGAAAGAGAAAATAAATGAAAGGAAACAGTCAAATTTTCACGACGTCCCAATGGTGATTGTGATACACGCATGGAGAAAGTGAGTAGCCGATGGACAAGGTATAACGAGGATATATCTGGTAGGTCGATCGACAAAGGCGAAAATCGAACACAAGGTATGTGGGTCGGCTTGACTTCCGACTCGACGTCGTCTCTTCGCGCTACTACAGTAGCAACCTGTTCCGTCAGCCCATTCAAGTTTTCTTTTACTAGCAGCGGTGTACGTACATTTTTGAAAATTGATGTTTGTAAATAAAAGAACCGCTGCTGCCCAAGATATTCCAACACGGGCAAAAAAAAGTCCTTTAATTAAGAAAAAATTGTTGTCGCATCCCATCGGTGCGTCCGGCCCTTTCTCCTTTTTTTTATAGTCCCCTGCCATACGAAGTTGGATTGGTTCCCAGCCTAACTGTTAAGCCGCTTGCCTCGGGGAAAACTCGTCACTGTCCTATAACCCAGGCTGCCTCTCCCTTACTATGTTCCTCGAAAGACGAAACGATCTGCTGGGGTCGATAACAATGACCGACACTCTCGCCGGAACATCGGCAACCGTAAGCTATTTTCTTATCAGTCAAATATATAAATCTAGCATACTTATTCCGATACAGCGTTCTGCGATTACTTACCCCCGCTCACGCACTACTGTTTTAAAGATGAGATATAATTTTTTTTAATTTTTATCCAAACGTTCCCCCATTCGAAGAAAGGCCGTATTTTTCTACGATTCACGTAAGAGTCAGGAGCCAAAGTTTCCTCCTCAAGACAGAATAGCCGTTTCATAATTCGACCGCTCGAAGTGACGACTTGGAACGGGGCACAGAGTGAGAGCCAGTCGGCGCGGCGGCGGCGCGAATACGACGACGCAGAACGTAAGAATGGAAGGCGCGCGACACGAGAGCGCATAGCGGGCACATCGAGGCAGTTTTTCCTGCTCGTCGCTCGAGCGCATTGTGCCGCCGTGGATTTCCGCGAAAGTCGGCTTTCCACAGAAAATTGCAAATAAATTGGCCGGCTCGCGAACCCCGCGAACGGAGCGAGTGGTTACGACACGCGCGCGAGTCCCGTCCGCGAGAATTCGCCTTCTCTCTCTCTCTCTCTCTCTCTCTCGCTCTTTTTTCTTTTCGAGGGGACGCGAGTTTTAGCGCTGCACCACCGTCGACCGACGATTCGCGACGGTCTTGCATCGAGAGCGAGCGAGACAATTGGAAGAGCCCGTCGGATCAGCGGGGAGTGGCGAAACGGCGCGTATCCGCCGCGCGAGCATTGCGAAAGCGAGCGATCCGCACAATGGGCCGTGCGCGCGTACGTACGTATAGGAAGTGCATACGCGCGGCAAGGCCTCTGGCGCAACGTATCGCGCGATAACGAGAGCCGCGTCTTCTCTGGACACTCGCGAGCCGCGGTCACGCCGACCCGGGCACCGACGTCGCTCGGCCCTGAACTTGCCGCGCGTCGATTTCCATCCGCCCGTCGACGTTTTCGCCGCGCGATTCGGGTCGAGCGCTCCGCGAACTGCTAATCCGCGCGCGTCACGGTTTCAAATTCGGATCAAGAGTTCTTTGTCTTTCCTTTCGTATATGAATTGCATCTCGCACGAACGCGCGCGAGGACGTATTGCGTTTCGACTGGGTCTCGCGTCTCCTATTCCCGGGTATAGCCCCATTTAGATTGATTTTTGACAGTCGCTTCACGGCGTTATCAAGTCGGGGCTTCCACGGGTTAAGGAGCGCAAGCTGTGGACTAAGGTGCGTTTGCGCTTTCTGTCCGTTCTCGCTGCTCGCGATGTGACAATCTCCCACGACGACGCGCATTAATAATTCATCGGAACTTTGCTTCGACGGGCGAGTTCGCTTCTCGAATTGATCGAACAAAAAGAAAGAAACGTATTTCTGTTGAAAAGCATTTCTGTTCTGCGACGTGTACAGTTATGCAAGGATCCTCATTAAAAACTTTCGCGCTTTTTTTATTTGGCGTCCCAATTTTTCGTCGTCAATAGTCGCAGCAGCGATAAGATCCATCGATCGCAAACTCCTCTGGCTCTGGCGCGCATAGTTTCGTTATCCGAGTCGAGGTCAGACCGCACGCAAACTTGAGATTTTACGGAGCCGTACGCTTTCGTTGGGAAATTGCGCGCAGGTGCGGTCTCGTAAACGAGGCATTACGGTTCATTAAAGCGGGGCCACGAGCGCGAAATTCGGAGCGACGATCGAACAAAAGATCGGCACTGCTGGAGTTGAGAGAGCGAGAGAGAAAAAGAGAGAGAGAGAGAGAGATAGCGCAACCGAGTAGTCAAGCCAATCACCCAGACGAGCAGAGCGAGCAGAAGCAGAGGCGAGAAAGGAACGCGTGCGAGAACTTACATGCAAGCTCGTTCTCGAAGTGCTGCGGCTCAACGCTCTCGTCGATTGGACTCGACTGCTCGAGCGTCTGCTGTTGTTGCTGCTGCTGTTGCTGTTGCTGCTGCTGCTGCAGCTGCTGGTGCTGCTGCTGCTGCTGGCGCGTCGCATTGCCGATTCCGTCGAGCTGACGCTTTTTTGCGGCCCTCGCCGCGATGGCAGAGTGCGACGCGCGGTAATTACTGGCTGCGAGATGTAGTGCAAGTGTGATTTTACACAAGCGAAGGTTTTAATGATGAATTGCGAAAGAGAAAGCTTTGATTAGATGAATCGAGCAGCGGGCGGTTTTCGGTACTTTTACGTGGCTGACTTTGATGAATGGACGGCCTATCCGGCCGTCAGGCAAGTATCGCCCCATCAATACCCGAATGGTCGAGAGGGGATCGTTGGCATGGGAGACCAATTTCGGCAGACGACCAAATCGATGCCTCTTTCATTCGGTTGTTAATTAGTGGCGTTTTATAAGATCGAGCGAATCAACTCATATAACAGGAGCAACGAATGAAAAGAAAGCGCATGAGTAGAAACGAAGTAAAGTATGGGCAACGATGAAGAGGTAAAATATCGGTGCCGTGCGGTGGACATCTCCGACGGCTCCGATACGTAGGTTTCAACGAGGATCGGCGAGCGGGTCGATCGCGAGGGCTTTCCACGATAATAATTACGGCTAATTCGAAGAGGCGGCAGCGTCGCGCGAAACGAGCATCCAAAGACAGTTGGATCGAGCGTCGTTGCTCTATTTAAAATCGAAGTGAAAGTCGTCGGCTTGTTTTTCACCCGCGGCGCGCAGATGAATCCACGCGAGCGAAGCTCTTGCGAAACTCCGCGCGCGTATCCATCGGGCGAAAGGGCGCGCGTTTTCTCGCTTCGGTCCGCGGCCGACTGATAAGAGGCTGCGCGCGTGGATCCCGCCGCCTTTCCAACGGATCGCGCCGTCCGCCGATTTCCCTCGTTAACGCTCCGCCGACACTCGGATTGCCCACCGGGCGCGAAACGCTGCGAAGCTTCCATTCCGCAAATATTGCGAGGCGATCGTCTAATCCGCTTTTAATCCTCTGCTGGCGGCACAATGGGCTGCGCGCGTCTACTGCAATTGGTTGCGAGCTCGGGGAGGAGAAACGAAATCGAGGGCAGCTCGGTGCGGTAAAAGTGTTGCGGGATTGACCTTTTTTGTCCGCTGTATCGCTGCCGTGCGATATTTGGATGTGGAAAAATCGGCTTTCGAACTCGTATGGTAATTTCTATGTTTTCGCGTTAATGAGCTGAATATCCTTGTACAACTAGAAAGTATCTTTTAATAGATTCGCAATGACGAAACGACGAATAAATAGTTGACCCTTAACATTCCGCCACGTCGTAAGCGAGATGCGCATCTTGAACCCTTGAAGAAACTTTCGAAAACACGTTGGTATCTTGTTTGCAGTTATACTGTGCCTGTGTACGCCTAATTTCGACTGTAATTCCGTTGGTTTTTGCGCACGCGCTGCCGCGGGCGACAGTGCTCGATGAAGACACCAGCGCGCGAAGAACTTGGCCGAAACAGAGGAAAAAAGGGAAATATCGGGGAGGCGCGCGCGACCAAGGGACGCACAACTCACCGTTAAGCCGGCCGGGAACAGCGCCGACGAGGGCCGCGGACGTGAGGCACAGCAGGCTGAGCAAAGTCGGCGCCAGCATCTCTGCGACCTTGCCTCGGCACTTGATTACACACTCTATCGTTCGCTTCGCGCGGCCGGACTCTCGGCAAAACTTTCACGCGCCGCGCGACTATCGCTGCGAGGCCCACGACGGCCACAGGCTGAATGCTCGGCTGTAACGAGCTGCCGCGGCATTTCTCTTTCGTTCGGGACGGGGACGACGACGACGACGACGACGACGACGACGACGACAACGACAACGACGACGACGAAAGGTGGGAAAGAGGGTGGGGAGACACACGTATGACCACGGCTGACTGCATCGGCGTCGTCCTCTCCATACGCACCGGTGCGTATTAGTGTCGCGCTATTGATATCGAGTGTATTGTACGTGCGCGGCGGAGACAGGATCGAGCTGGCAGAGTAGTGTAGAGATGCGATTGCGGAATTGCCCAGTGGCGCTCGGACGTCTCGTCTGCAGTCGTTCATTCTCCGATTATTGCTTTTTCGCGAGATCGTCGTGATTTTTTTGATTTTCCATGTAGATTTCGTAAACAACTACATAAACTATGTCTTGATGCACTTTACGTCACATTGAAAACGCAGAAAGTTTAATATTTTACCGATACTAAGAAAGTGAAACTCGTAGACTTGGGATTTTTAAAAGTTTTTAGGAAAAGTCCCTAAATTTTCGCAGATAAGCCGCTAAAATTTTTAAATTTTAATAACGTTTAAAAATTGAAAAAAAACACCAGTACAAGGAGAAACATCATATCTTATGAAACCGCCAGATTAAAGTTTTAAACTTGGTCAATTGTACACATCTACGTAGTGGCATATTACCAATCAATATAAAAGGTACTCGTGATGGATTTTGTTTTCGTAATATTCAAATAATAACCATCGATCTGAATTGTAAGCAAACATCCAAGCATGACAGTAACGTGATAACCGTCCTACCAACATTTTTGAAATGAATGATTCGCAGCTCGAGAGGATGATCGATGGGATTTCAAGTCTGCAAGTGCAATTACCCTTGAAGTGTTACTGTTCGAAGGACTTATGTTACCTATACCAGTTCGGTCAGTAAACAGGCGAATTGCGAACATCGGCGATGCATGTAAGGTTGAACATTTTATCATATCGAATGTTTTACTTCTGCTTATACGGAAATGCGTGAATTTTTATGCATTTTCAATGGGGATAAATGATGCGGACGAGGTTCAATTCAACATTTTCACTTCTCTTTCCAGGAACAAAGGATTTTTTTAAATTCTTCGTTTCAACTTTTTAAAAATGTTGACGAACTCCCAGAATCCTTCACTTAACAAAAAATTCCTTGTCTGACTTCATTCGCGTCGACATTTCAAGAACAATTTAGAATTTTTTTCCTGATTTCGCGTTTACCAAGTCTTCGCGCAAATCGCATTTTAATTGCTAGTTAAATAAGTAAAATTGTATTTTTCCCGTGGAAAAAAAATGCAAATACTTTGCCAGGGGAATTTCGACATTCGGGTATGCGAGAGCAGTAGAAGCTTTGTGACGAAATTACGTTGACTGTAGATTTTCTAAAAAGCGTCGCTTTAGAACGATACCAGAATGGCATTTCAAGAGTAAAAATTGTCACCTGCCTCGGCTGACCGATGCGACAACTGGTTGCCGTAAATGCAATTGTATACGCATCGGAAATACGCGCAACACAAAAAACCCATGAAGGATCCACGTTGAAAATTGCTCTCGGTCGTTTCTTAAAGTCTGCCAACGAAACTCGTTCTGTATATGTCCTCTGTGTCGCGGACTTGTCTCCGTACTGCGACCTTATTAATCCTGCGAAGAATGTTGCAACGAAAAAATCTTCCTGAAAATAGTCGTAAATACTGCTCTTGCGAATGTTTCTTTTTGCAGCGGGATTCTTTACATCGCAAAGAGGAAGAAAAAAAAATTATGAGCATCGCGCGAAACTGGTTCTCCAAATCGAACCACCTTGGTGCTACAATTCATGAATATTGCTTCCTTGAAGGGGAAAGCCTTGAAATGGGGATCGTTTTGAAACGCTCAGCTGTATCTTTTGTTGCACTTAGAAGAGCAATTTTTCCAATTGTACAACGAACGTCCTGCTTTCAAGTTTCATTTGATTCGAGACGCCGAGCAGTTTTTAAACACATTTTTTACTCTATATTCAGTCATTTTTATTCAAATGCCGAGGCTATTCGATTGTAATTATCACGAAAGGCGATCGCGATCAGACGAATGGTCTTCAGGCATTCTGCTTCGGACGTGTTCGGTATAAAATGCTGAAATGCGGCCTCGCAAAACACTAGCATTGTTTGTCTGCTGTTAAAACAATTTCAAAATGTAAAGAGTATTTCCGTCTGTCTCGAGAAGCAAGTTATCCATTCCGTTCGACGCCCATCTTCATTTAGAAAATTCTATCACGAACGTCAATAATGGAATTGGATGGGAGACGAGGGCCGCTGGCATCTGCGGCGTGCACGCCGGGTGCAGTCGGCGGCGTCACTTCTCTTCCTTCCGAAAGCGAGGGAGAGAAAAAGAAAGATCAACGACGACGCTGGGAAACGTACGAAAGCTCGCGGAGTCTCGCGGCGAAAGTGAACGTGCCGCTGCGAGACGAGGCGAATTTTCGCGGCCGAGCGCCGAAAACAAACTCGGTTTTCCGCTCGCAGGTGCGCGCGCGCACGGCCGCGCCAAATCGAACTCGGCGCGCTCGATAACGAGACGTTTTCCCATATAGGCAGGCATATGGAACACGCGCGCAAGGGCGCATTCCGTTACGCTCTTTTCTCGAGCTCGTATACGCGGAGAAAGTTCGCGCTTAGTTTATACGCAGACGCGCTTGTTGGCCGTGTGCGAGTCGATCGACTTCTTTTTTTTTTTCTTACGTGTAGGCAAGGAAAGTACGTTTAACGGTTTGGCGGGGTTTGGCGAGGTAATCGATGTTTGTTTTCCTTTGCGCTGGGAGAAGGAAGAATCCAAACGAGAAGGTGCTCGGCGATAGAGTAAAAATGTGCCTTCCGGGACATGTTAATTCGTTGTGGCGAGATGGTTGCATTATTCATGCAAAACGGTGAGTGTAGGTACGTACGATAAAATCATCCGAATGGGACAAGTTGCGCTCCAGAAGCATTCTAGATAACGCGGGAAAAGAAACGTGTCTGTGGTCGAAGGTTAATTGTCGAAGAAAAGTAGGCGGAACGGCAGATACCATTGTAGCGCTAAATACCTGCGACGGCGATCGAATATGTAAAATACGCAGTTGCAACGCGAAACAATGAAGTTACCATAGACGAATCGGGCGCAACCCGAGACAATTTATCGCTTGTTTACCGACTGTAAGCAGCTCCTTTGTCAGCTAATTAGCATCAGAATTCACTCGCTCGGGCGTCTCGTAAAAGCTTACTGGCTCGTAAAATCGAGAATGGCCGCTGTTTTCTTTCCTCCACGACGTACGGCCCATTGCAGTCGTGATTCAGTAGCGATTGCCAGGACCGCTAATGCGCCGCGCTTCGCAAATTAATCGATCCGCTGCGTGACTCTCTTTCGCCCGTCGTCCGGTGGCGTCGATTTCAAAATTTTCATTTTTTTTTTTTTTTTTTCATCTTCGGACCACCGATCGTCTTGATTTAATAACTGGCTCAACGAGGTTGGCGAAATAATCATATCTATAATTCGATAGAATATATAATTGGAGACGAGTTTTTCGTTCGGACGAGCATACGTTTGAGTGAAATGCTATGACGTCGAGGGATCGCAAGGACGCAGTGTTCGACGCCTCGTAATTACGCTCAACTTCGTACGTTCCCGCGCGCCATATGAATGCGAGTTAGTTTTTGTCCGCACGCCGCGGCGAAGGAAAGAAAGTACGCCCGACGAAGCCAAAGCGAATCGTGGAATCTCGCTTTCGATCGACAACGATGCCGGGGTTCCGGCGTCGGCGTCCAGCAGTCTCGACGCGGTTACCAATTTGACCCGCACCCAGCGCCATCGACTCGAGGAGACAACGGCGTGTCCGCGCTCGTCGCCTCGGGGCAGTCGCACGTCTCGACCTCGCCGAATTGCAAAAAAAGAACTCTCCTCGACCTTTGCGCGAACCGCCGGCGCCTCGGGCAGATGACCCGCGTGAAATCCGAAACTTGCGAAAAAAAATTAGAGAATAGCTTTCGACGACCGGGGAAAGAGAATCGATTAGGGGCACCAAGGCTCTCTGGAACTTTACTTTCACTCGATTAGAATCACGAGTCAACGCATATAGATGTGCATATATATATGTTTCGCTCAATGTTGGAACCTTGAATGAACGACCGACAAGGTCGCAAGATCTGGTCCGACTTTTGCTCGGGCTACCGGTTTGCATCAATGCATTTTTCCTTCCGAAGAAGAGGCGCGCATTTAACAAAAGCGCCTTGCACGCTGCCGCGAACGTCGGACAATTGGCAATAAGGCGAATTACATTATTTCTTGATGGCCTCTCCGATCGTTGAAAGCGATCGATTAAAGAAACGAAAGAAAAAACGTGAAGCTCTCACCGGTGATTTTACTGCGTATACGCACTTCGTTATTAACTTTGATGAATCCTTAAAAAGTGAGGAACGTTGTAATATATACATTCATAGAAGCATAGTTCTGTAAGGAGTTTTGTACGTTTATATTCGTTGGCAATACATTCACTTACCTTTTCTTTATTTGCTTTGAAGCAACATTTTTCCTCCTTTCTTTGGAACAGGCGTATTTAACAACTCTACACGTGCAATGGCCGTAATTCAAAGATCAACAAGTGAGGCAATCGGCTGAAGCTAAATCGGAGGAGGAATCTGCACGGAGAATCCAGCTGCGTTTGTTACGGAATCCCTTAGACACTTTCATTTTCTCGCCAAACGCGACAAATTGCAACTGACACGTGATGCTTGTTTACTTGCTTTTTGCGTTACCGTTAATTCATCGCGCGCAGACTCGTGTTTTCTTTTTCTCGATATGATTCAATTGTCTTTGCAATCTTGCTCGGTAGAATCATTTCTCGATTAAGCAAAAATTGGGAATGCGACTTTAAAATTCACGAATTAAGCTTGAAATTTCCGGAGCAACAAAACGAAATTAAAACGAACAAGTGACTGAAAACCAGTCTCCTGCTCGGGAAGATTTCGTGCAACTTTCATTTGCTATGGCGCGACAAATAGTTGTTGAAATTCGCCTGTGTATTTGTAGTGAGCAACGTATATTTATTACAAGCAAGTTCTACTATTTTTTTTACTTTCGAGTAACGTCAAATCGTGCGATTTCTGCTTCCTTTTTTTTTTAGATTTATATCAGAAACGTGTTTGTGCCCTAGAATCGATATATTTTTTTGGGCGAAAATTGGAGACGAAATGAAATAAACCATTTGGTTCTTCATGACTTTTTTATTCGAATCTTGAAAAATTTATTATTACATAAAACTTAAAGGATGAACAAAATTAAACAAAAATATACACTTAATCATGAACAAGATTAAACAAGAATATATTAAATATATTAAATACACACTATTGGATAAAAACTAAACTATAAAATATAGAAAAAACTAAACATTGTATCCGATTTCTTCTCAATTTCAAAGCTAATGTTCAACATTAGCAGAACAGAAAAGTACTGAAAAAGAAAATAGAAAAATAAATTTTATGTCGACAAAACATTAAAGTTCTTGATAATTAATTTGAATAGTTTGTTTTACCTTGAAATTGTATAAATCTGTGGTACTGAAGGTGCAAATACAATTTTTTTAATAATGACAAAAACAAATTCGAATCACTTGGGAAATAAAATATTTCCTATCATTCAATGCAAATATTCGGCGAGGCGAGCTCAGTCAACTCCAAAGTCTCAAAAGCCGGTTTCAATGAAGATTTTCGTAAAAAATCATTTCACGAACCTAGGAGAGTGAAGCAGTTCCTGTCGATCCTCGCTGTACACGTAAGCACTTCTAAATAGAATAATTCTATATTACAAAGGCAATGAGTTATCCATTGACATAAACAAAATCTTGGTAAATACATCTGATTTAAATTATTTGTAATCTCTTTTTGGAATTTAAGAACGATGACAAACATTTTCTCTAGAAGAAAAAAGAAATAACACAAAATATTAAATATGCAATTGCATGATAACGCAAAATTGTTGAAAATCATTACCTTCACCTTACCTGAAAATGAAACACGTTCTTGAAAAAACATATAGTTGTTATTTTCCAATCATTATAAACAGGTCTCCATTGCTCAAATAGGCAAACATGTATTCTACGCATATCTCATGAAGGCGGATATTTGTCAAACGATCCCACGCCATTTTCGCCAACGGCAACAAGGATCTCCTAGTCATAGTTTCCTGAAATTTATTCCGAATAACATTTGCATATCTAGGAAATTTGGCATCTAATCGGTGCGAATAAATAAATTTCCGCAAATCTCTGCTCTGGAGGTATATACGTCTTTGATTAACATCCGTGCGCAGCAACTGGTAGAGTGACGTGTCTGGAAAGTCTTTCGATGTTTGTAAGATTTCCATTTCAGCCAAACACTCATTGCGAATGTTATTGTATCTTTGTAGCTGATAAATATCTGAATAATCGTCAATGGAATTTCCTTTCAGGTTGGCAACGTCGAGCTTGACCCAATGCTTCAGCAAAAGATCGAGTTCCGAAGTTTTACGGTGATGCAAAGTGTCTATAATAGGTGGAATATCACGAGGTTTAATGAACCTACATCTGCTTTTATTTGTGGTGTAGTTGCGCCACACTGACATCTGCAGAGCCGTGCAGCCTTTAGGAGTACGCGCATTGAAATCAGCGCCAAACTCCAACAGAAAATTAATCAACCTTTTGTTTGACTCTGATGTGTAAGAAACGGCCGCTAAATGTAAGGCTGTGAAGCCATAGTGATTCCTGGCATCCACATTAGCGCCGCGTTTTACTAATAATTTAGCCAAATCGTTGTAGTACCCGTTGACCATAAATAGCAGAGGCGTCTCATATCTGTCATTTCTAAAGTTGACGTTGACGCGGTATCTAATTACCATTTTGAACAATGCCAGTCCGTTTTTATCAATTACTCTACTTTTGTGTTGATAAGCGAGTAAGTGCAGCAGGTTATTGCCATTATTGGTGATCACATTGAAGTCAGCACCATGTTCTTCCAAAAACTTGACCACAGGGAGATTGTGAGTTTCGATGGGACGAGCCAGCGGAGTTCTTCCGAAATTATTCGGTTCGTTCACTCGTGCACCTCTGCCTAGCAGAGAAAGCGCGATCGACTTCCAATGTTCGTATTCCGAACTGTTGCACGTAGACCAGTACTCGACTACCGAGTAGAACAGTGTCTCGTCCCGACTATTTCTAAGATCAACGTCGGTCGCATTCTTGAGTACGAGGTCCAGCAACTTGATTCGCGTGTCGTTTTTGTTGTGCCAGTAAAACTTAGCGGGAAGAAGTAGGTGCGCGAGGCTATCACCCTTTACGGACACCAGGAAATCAGCCCCGTTGTCTCGCAAGAACTCGGCCACGTGCAAATTCCGCGCCTCGATCGCGCAGAACGCGGGCGTCGCTTCGTTTACATTCTTTCGGTTGACGTTCGCGCCTTTGGCTATCAGGAGGCGGGCGATTCTCTCGTACTTCTCGTTGTGTATTGGCTTGGACTTGGACCACACCTTGATCAATGCGAAGAACACCGTCTCATCTTTCGCGTTTGTGAGCTCCTCGACTTGCACTTTATCTAGCAGTAGCTCGAACAAAGCTTCATCCGTCTTGGCGCTGATCTTCACATAGTACCCGTGTGTAATGAACTCGTGCATCAAAGTTTCGCCGAAGGACGTAATCAAGGTGAAATCAGCTCCGTTTAGCCACAAGAAGGCGATTACATCGGCATTATATGTCTCGATCGCATGGGTCGCGGGTCGCAACCCGAATGTGTCTGACTCATTGACGTCTGCGCCTTTAACAATTAGTGCGCGGGCAATCGCCATGTAATAAGGCACATCTTTTGCCGTCGCTTCTGTCCATTTTCTGATAACGGTGTGAAACAAAGTCTCCCCGTTTTTACCTTTATAATTCACGCATCTTAAGAATTTCAGTAATGTGGTGATTATATTCATGTTCAGTTTCTTCGAAATTGCTATTCCAATAGGTGTACGTATGTAAACGTCTTTTGCCTCCGCGGACAATCCCCTTACCAGCAACATGCTTATGATCGTATTATTGTATCTTTCGCCATACCAATTGTTATCAATTCCACAGTCATCGTCCTTTTTAATCAGAAACAAGTGAAGGAATGTTCTCTTCTGGTAATCTACGAGGTCCAACTTCTTCGTGTGCTTCACCAAAGTCGGAATAACATGTTGCAAGTTAAGCTCGATCGCCAACTCAAGTGGGATCCTATCTTCTTCGTCGGTGTCATCAAAGTCGATTTCCCTCGATGCCAGCCACTCCAAGAACTCGGCCGCGTCGTTCTCAGATTTTCGAATGTCGAAGTTATACGCGGTGATACTGTCAGCCTCGTCTAGTTGCCTATTGAATTTCTCGTACTCGTCATCGATGAAATAGTGAAGGATGCATTTGTTCTTACGATTGCGCAATAATAAAAAGTCTATGAAATATTTCATTCTACTACTAATTGCCAATTGTAGAATCGCTCTGTGTTCCCTTTTCTTAATGTCTGAACGAATGTCTCTGTCCAGGAAAATTTCGAAGGCTTCTTTCTTTTCGATGTCCGTGTAACTATGATTATGTAATATTAATTCAAATATCTTGTCGTCAATTTGACGAGGATTGTTAATATATAGGTGTTTATAGTTGTACACTATTTCGGAAATCTCTGCCATCCTTTTTTCTGCAGCCAAGAGTCGTTCCTTCATTAGATTTAAATTCTAAACTTGATTTCTCAAAAACTTTGATCTACTTTGATCCTCAGAACCTGTAAAAACTTTAGTACGAATGAGATACACTGACGTTCGCGCGAAACATATGCATATGTATCGTCATTAATATTTCTAAGAAATGTCAAAAGCGAAAAGAAAAAGTATGTAGACTGATGGCACATACCCCCGGGGGCTCCCCTAACTCGTCTCGCCGAAACCGATTTGCTCTTAAATGTTGAAACGACACTGCTTAACGGATCATCTCGAATAAATTAAAATTCGCATTTGCCTAGGAAAACTCGCGATGAAATATTCTAGAAATGTTTTGTTAATCGAGGAACGCGCAATCTACTGACACTATCACTTCACGAGAAAGTGAAAACACAATTACCGTGCTTCTTTCATATTACAGATTTACAAGTGAATTATTCATTGGAAAGCGAGCACAAATTACTCTTTAAGTACAGTTACTTCATTGATATTGTTACTTTATTGATAAAGACTTGTACTTTAATAGATTTTTCGTCGCTAATGATCATTCGAGACGCAGATAATGACCGACCCGTAGTGGCCGCTTAGCCGTGCACAAACCGAGCCGAAGTCCCATTTCCTACCTGCGCCCTCCCCCACTTTTCCGCCATAGATAACTTCGGCAGACTCGCTGCCCGGCGCGCCTCACGCTGGGAAAACTCACGCCACGGACGCTCAAGCAGATGTGTCCGTCGCCTGCGCCATTTCGAAAGATCTTTCGTCGCCATCGAATCCGCCGACTATCAGGGTTTCGCCCGTTTGTACGACCATGATCGGCATGATTTTCGCGACGCGTTCGCCACGGCGGAGGCATACGGTCGAAAAGGCTTTCCAAAGCGCGCATCGAAGCTCGCCTCGTGCGTGCTTCATATCGAAAGCCAAAGCTCCACGCTTGCAAGGATAAAGCGATATAGCCGTGGCGGGATCTTGTTTCGTGTGCGCGCGAACAACCACGCGAGGCTCGCCTCGGCATGCCGGGATGCGCGAACAACCACGCGAGGCTCGTCTCGGCATGCCGGGACGCACGACTTCGGCTCACCCGAGGTACCGTCCGCGACGTTGTCCACGCGATGAGATACGTACGGCGTCGTCGACGAGTCACGCTGCCTTAGAGGTGTTCGGCAAAACGTAAGAATTTGATAATGTAATGAAACTCACCCGTTCGGATTGTCCTGTCGCTCCCTAAGACGTCCGTCTTGCTTGGCTGCCAGTGGCCGAATGAAAATTGGGCAGCCGAGGAGTTTTCTCCTTCTCCTTTCCCAAAGGGCATTAGTGGGTCCGTGCGCAAAGCTCGCCCCATGCGAACTATACCAAGCGCCATAGTCAGTGTGGTCTCCAAGTAGCTTACCAACGCGCGAGGGTTGGTCTGCTATTATCTCGCCATTAGTGCTGCGCACACTGTTTGCGCATCTCATTCCTAATCGTGCTTTCACGAGGACGATCCGCGTGTCCTTCACAATATCGCTTTCTCCTTCGAACTGAACTCCCGTGACGCTGCTGGCTATCAGGCGCGCGTGAAAGAGGGTAGTCGATTTGTGAGGCGCTTTTTAAGACGCGACGACTACGAAAAATGCACCATCTAGAGCCGCGACACGGGACAATGCGATATCAAACAAGCTGGATTGCAGCGTACGAACTTTGAGCTAGTACCGCGAACCGCCCGTTCTAGAAAGCGTTTTAAATTTCCACGCGCAAGCTAAATTGTAAAATTTGGAATTTACACCCCGAGCCTGTCATCACCTTAACAAGATTAACTAACATTTGTTACTTTGTAAATAACGTTTTAGAATGTATTCAACATTATTATCAGCGGACGCGTTTCAAGTGATAATACCCGTCGACTTGAGATTCATGCTTCTGTCGAACACTCGAGTAACAGCTTAACATATGTCATACGTTTGTCTTGTTTAGAGCTGTGTCCATCTAAACAGTAATTCTCTACGACGTCAATGAACCATCCCTTACATCTAATAAAAACTTAATATCAGCTGCATGACTAAATCGCAGTCATTAAAGGGAATATTTTTTTATTCACTTCATCAACAAAATAAAAACCTATCATAAAGTTCGATAAAGCTGGCAGAATATGTTGTGAATTCTAATCAGTGTTATATATAGAGTGCGCTTTATTTTCATTTTCAAAATCGAAATCAAATTTGTTCAATATCGACCTCTTGATAATGATAAAATTTTTATACAACATGGTCAATTATTCGATCGTATAACAATCCGTGTTATGGTAAAAATTAATATTCTCCATATTAAAAGTAAACGTAACCGGAATAAAATGGTAAAATACGCGAGTAAAAAGACATAAAAATCATAATTCGTTATCCTGAAATGAATTCCAAGTCGAGTCATGAATATCAATCGATTGTCGATGCCGAGTACTTTCTATGCAAATATGCTGAAAAAAAAATAAAAACAAATCGAAAGCATTAAGCATATGCTGGTATAAACAGTTCTCGAGAACTGATGTCGGAGATTCAGTTTACCCGATAAATCAGCGTCAATCATAAGGAACAGATCTGCATTGCTCAAAAACGAGAAGATGAGATCAATGCAAATGGTTGGCATGTTAATCCTTGTCAACGCTGCCCAAGCGTTCCTCGCCGGCGCCATCAAAACTTTCCTCACCGTGGCTTCAAAGAAGCAGGCGAAAATCAAATCCGCGTACACGGGAAACTCGTGTACTGAAGAGCGCACGAGTAGTTCCATTTTGTTGTTGTTCAGATAGATACGCCTCCTGTTGTAGTTCATGTGGAGAAAATGGTAGAGCGACGTGTGACTGTCGATCATCGTGCTCCTCAAAGCCTCCACTTCTTTCGCGCTTTTCTCGTAGTACAGTTGACAGAACGCTTTGGAGCTGATCGTGGTGGCGCGGGCGTCAGCGTCCACAACGAGCCCGAGCGAGCCGTTAATCCGCTCGTCCCACGGCAAGTTGGCTGCCTTGAGTTTGACCGAATGTTCTGCCAAACGTAGTACCACGTCACTCGCGGTGTCCTTTATACCGCACTCGCCGATGGACACGCGCAGTGGCGAGTAGCTGGCAAAGCCTTCCCCTGTCCGACGTCGCAACTCGTTGTAATCAAGTATGCAGGCTCTGCACTTCTGTTGCCAATCGTTGAGATCTCGGGTGCGCGCGCAGCTCAAAACCGTGCGATTTTCCGAGTCCCGCGCATTAACATCCGCTCCGTACAGCAAAAGCATCCGTAACATTTTGTAGAAGCTCTTGGTCCTCTGCTCAATGGCTATCTTGTGCAGGGGTGTTTGGCCCTTCGAATCTTTGGCATTGACGTCGGCTCCCAACTCCACCAATTGTATAGCCGTACTCTCGAATTGCTTGTTTCTCATTGCGAAATGCAGAGGCGTTTCCATGTCATTGTTTCTGCAGTCAACCCGAGCGCCGTGCTCGATGAGCAGTTGAATAGCGCAGGAATCGGCATGCATGGCAGCGACGTGAAGGGGCGTCGAGCCGCTTTTGTCTCGCGCGTCCGCTCGGCAGCCTTTGCTAATGAGCAGCTTGAAGATTTTCATTTCTGCTTCTTTGTCATTGGTCTGCCAGCAGCCGCTGCTTTTGACGAGCAGATGCATCAACGTCTCGCCGTCCTCTGTTCTCATGCTGAAATCCGCTCCGTTGTCATCTAAAAACTCGACTACTCCCAGATTGTGCTTTTCGATCGCGTCAAACGGGAGAGTCTCGCCGTAACACGTGTGCGTTTCATTGGCGCCGTCGAGTCTGTCCATGAGAACTCGAGTTACCTTCGTGTAATAATCGGTATGTGCTTTTTCTGACGTCGCCCATTTTCTGATGGCCATGCGAAGTGGCGTATCTCCAAATGAGTTTTTATGATGTATATTTGTTAAATATTTGAGCAAGAGATCAAACAACTTCATTTCAGGTTCGTAGTTGCCACTCTCGATGAAGTCGTTGCTCTTGACGAACCAATGCATCAGAGTATCGCCGTTCTCTGTTGTCGCATCAAAGTTTGCACCGTGTTCTCTCAAAAACTCGACTACCCGCAAATTATGTCTCTCGACGGCATGGAACAAAGGAATCGTTCCATAATCGTTCGCTTTGTTAACGTCTGCGCCTTTATCTATCAGAGCGCGTCCGATTTCCGCGTAATAATGGTTCTCCGTATCGGGCGAGCACAACCACTTCCAGATTAACGTGTGAAACGGCAAGTCCCCGTCAAAATTTTTATGGCAAACACCCGTCACATGCTTGAGTAGTAATTGAAATAACGTCATATCTGCCTCGTTGCTGGTGTTCTGGCAAATACTAGTGAAAACTAAATCCACCAGTGGTTTTCCATCCTTCGTAGTGACATTAAAATCCGATCCGTTGGCTCGTAAAAGTTCGACTAAATGCAGATTACGATTTTCGATCGCGTAAACCAGAGGTCTCTTTCCATATTTATCTGGCTCGTTCAAATCAGCGCCTTTAGCTATAAGAACTTGCATGATTTTCGAATAATAATCACTCTTTCCTTCAGCCGAGTTAATCCACTTCCTGATCACGACGTGAAACAACGTCTCGTCTTCGCAATTTTTTCGATTAGTGTTTGTCGAACGCTCGAGCAACATCAGCACCACGTCCACGTCTTCCTCGTTATCAATAGCTATTCGAATAAGGCTGCGCTCCGAATTATTTTCGGTATCGACCGATACTCCTCGGTCTAATAAAATTTTCACAATTTCAGCCTCATATCGCTTAGAGTACCAATTTTTATCAATGCCAAAATTCTTAGTTTTACTCTCGAGAAAGTAACAAAGTAATGTTCTATTTTGTTGATCGACTGAGGTAATTTTCTTCGTGTACCTCAATAATACTGGCAGAATATGTTGTAAATTGAGCTCTATGGCCATACAAAGTGCACTCTGGTTTCTTTTATTGTTGCGATCAAAAGTAAATCCCCTTGATATCAACCATTCCACGAAATTTGCGGATTCAGATTCGACTCTTCCGATCTCGCTATCCAACTTGGTTTGCCTTGAAAATTGAGAGTATTTTTCGTATTCATCTGTGATGAAAAAGTGAGCTGCCGAAGTGATGTTAGTTGCATGAGTAAGTAACAAATTTATGACATCTTGCATCCTGTTTTTTAATGCCAATTGCAAAATCGTCTCCTTTTTCTTGTTTTCCATATCTGGATGAACGCCCCTTTCAAATAAAATCTCTAACACTTCAATCATTTTTTTCTGAGTTAATTTCTTATTTTTTATAGTCTGATGAAGTACTGTGTCACCATTTGCATCAGTATCTTCTATTTTAGTAAAACCATACTGTTTCAGTAACTTTGTAATATGCGCCATTTTGTGCTTATACACAAAGCAAATCTATTTTTCAAATTCGTTTTTAAAATCGATTCTCTAAAATTTTCCTTTGCATCTGAACGTCTGTTAAAATATTTTGTTTTATGCATTAGAATCGTTTGCGAATGGAACAAATATTATCTGTATCAAAATCAATCATCAATATTTTCAATAATAAAATCACCAGTACTCTAGTTTACTATTGATTAAAAAATTATAAAATGAGAAAGTTGCTATTCATTTGTACTCTTACAGTTTAGCTATGCAATTAAAAACAGCTAAATAACTTTCATAAACATTATACTGAAATGTCATTCTGTATGTAAATCGATAAGTGAACTTTACGTGGGCTAATTTCAAAATTGTAAAAGTCAAGACATAACACAAACCATGTAATAAATCATATGAAACTTACAAAAGTATTTCTATACATTCTCTTCACTCGACCTTCAGTCGCTTGCACCTATTCTGCGGGTTTTAAAAGAATAACTTTTAATTGCCAAGATCGTTTGAAACAACTGCCTGAAAAAAAAAATCAGTAAATACAGAAAAAAATAGTATATTAATCACGGGAGTGAAAATGGCAAGCCCCTAGCACCTATTTAACATCCAAGGCGAGGATGTCAATTTACGCGTATTTCCAATACTTTTACTCCCTTGGTTAACCCATTATTACCCAAGTAAAATCCAAGCCAGATAGCACCAAACTAACCATTGGATCACTGTAAAAATGGAAACAAAATTTACCCAAATTTTTTTATTTTTGCGATTCTAATTGCTTATACAAAAATATTTAAACAAATTAACAAAAATTTTACAATTTCAAAAAACTAATAATGCCAATAGATTCTACAAGAAAAAAAAACATCGAAAACCTTTATACCATTTTTCTATTAGATTCTATTTTGTTAGTGTATTATCATTGTAAATAACGACAACCCGATAGCACTAAACTAACTACTAAACGACTTACCACACGAGATAAGAAATAACCCGTATTGTTCTTTTTGCATATTTTTTTTGTGGAATCGATTGGCATGATCAGCTTTTTTTAATTCTAATTTTTTTCGTTTAAATAATTTCTCATAAACAATTGGAATCGTAAAAAGAAAAAACACGGATAAACTTTTTTCCATGTTTTTTCAGTGATTCAATAATTAGTTTGGTGCTATCTGGCCTGGATTTTGCTTGAGCAATAATGGGTTAACAATTATTATTTCTTTTGACTTTTTTATAAGTTTTTATTTGTCAAATAGTGACGATTAACACTGCACTTTGGTGTGTGTAGCAACAATGAATCGATTGCCATAAAAATAAGAATACTCGTATTTGTAGTGAAAATTGAAACTTGCTTTAATTTTAATAGAAAAACATTCAAGTATCATAAGACATTTGAAACGTGCGAGTTGTAAAAGTGACTGTCGACTCATTCTCAAGATTAAAAATTTCGATATGAACGTAATATTGAAATGTGCAAAAACAATCAACTTTATAAAAAAATTTAAGGATTTTTTTTTTAATTTATCGTTTGTTTGAAACTTACCTATAAATTTTTAGAGATTCTCTTTAGCTGGTTGGATGTGTTACAGGTCTGCATTGACATTGAACGTTTGAAAAAGTTTCTGAAAAAAGTTATGCCAATTTATCCACTTTTTACAAGTGAAGGCTGCCTCGGTAATACATTTATAATTTAAGAAATATTAGTGTACGTTGATATTAATGGAAAACAGCATTATCACGCTACGCATCGCTTTGCATTTAGAAACCACAGGCTTGTAACAAACGTCGCCCCTGGACACAGACTAAGCGCTCCCTTTCCTATCGAGCACGGACAAGCTTGCCTTTTGATTACCATAGGATTCGTTAGCTTTTATACATCTATATTTTGTAATTGTGCTATCAAGCGGTAATTTCATTTTGAAACCGAGAGAATTGAATATACCGATAATTTCACATTGACAGCAGTAGTCGGCCAAGTGCTTGTGGTCCTCCTTATATAAATAAGGATTAAGACGATGAATGCTTTACTAATTAACAGAAGTATGCTTATACGAAGTATGCTTATATGAATAGCGGAGATGCAGATTTTGTTTCTAGTGCGAGTAGAATTAAAAATAAAATTGTATTTTTACTATATAAAACTATTGTTGTGAGATTAGATTTTATTTTTTTTTAATTTAACCAATTTTAAATATATTTAACATTTATCGAAACTGGACGAGAATTACCTCAATGTGACCGACAAAACCTTTGCCCTATCAGATATAAATATTTACTCAGAAGAGAAATATACGTATGCAATGGAAAACGTGTATCGAATAATAAAAATGAAACACTTCCTTAAAATAAATGTTATAAACAATCATTCCATAATCTATAGCAATCAAAAGTACACATTTTGATTAAAAAAATATCATCATGTTGTAGGTTATGAATATTACCGGAAACATAAAAATATCGTCTGATCGGCATGATAAACATAATGCTACATTACCTTCTTCCATAAATGGACGTATGGAAGAGTTGTCCAAAATATTATATCGATTAAAGATGCATGTCGACGATCAAGATAATATGTAAATTGTCTTTGCACTGTTGTATAATAGCCGCATCACGTGAGAATTGTGTTTACTCGTCAGCTTGATTTTCACCACAAGAATTAACGTATTGCGCGAGCGATGAGCAGAATCTATTTGACAGCTGGCAGTATAGTGGCGCGAACATAGTGTTGTCGCCGTTTCTCGAGAATTTTATAGCGTAGTCTTCGAATTTCAAAACATTTACGGCGCTAAATAGCTTATAATTTATATTAATAGTACAATAAATCAACCCACAGGAAATTGCAATTATTCGTGTTTCTGAAAATTTGGGTTTAACTTTTTTTTAAATTGACTGAAAATCGTAAGACACTTATCAGCATACTGGCCACCGGAACTGATTCGTTCGCTAGAACAAGTACCGTGCATGCTTAAATGTGCGTCATTATTGGTTTGAACTGAAAGACAAACTCAATTTATCTATAATTATAAGCTTTGGTTGTCCAATAAACAAATATTATATGAAGGTCAGTATCGTCAATGAACGCATAGATTGTTTTATTTTATCATCGTTACTGATTATATACATTCGTTTATAAACAATCACCGGTACTCAGTGAATGAATCAGTTATCGACCAATGTACGTATATGTACACGAATATTTTGAATTATTTGACTGCTGAAGACAAATTAAAAAACTGATTTCGAAATTATCGATAGAAATTTGATTCTTGATATTATTACAAATTCAAAACGTTTGCACAGAATCAATATTCAATTCAATTGCCGATGGATGTACAATGTACATGCAGTCAACGCCGACAGCGGTATTCTCGCTCGCGATTTCACTTGAAAAATACAGAAAGATTATACATTTATAACCTATTTATCTCCCAACCGTTATAAATATGTATTAGAAAAGTGTTTATTTTATTGGTTACAGACAATTCGTACTTACGTGAATCTTGCAAAACGATTATATATAGTTTGGGAGCTCTCGTATGGAATTATATGTATGTCAAAGCAAATAACATTATAATTTTTATGTATTTGTTGCCGTTGAATCCAATTACGTTGGTGCTTTTAATTCGAAAGAAGGTACGCTTTTTTAGGTCGTAATTGTTATAAAATTATTTTTAAGCTACTCTGAATTTTGCTTAAAGTGGAATGGAATTGCATTCGACTGTCGTGATAATTTATCTGATATGTTAAATTCACACTGCTTTGTCCGTATAATGGAATTAATTATATATTTCTTTGCTTATTGCAGTTTACACCGTTAACGTTTTTTAAAAAAAATAATGTGGAACGAATTAATAGAATCCGCAAGCTTAAAAATTGCATTGCGCTAGGGGCTTTTTCGGTTTTCAAAAAATATTCGTATAGTAATATAATTTTATGTTGTAATGTTTGAAATGACGAAAAAACTCAATGCTGATTTTTATAAATCTTTTATTTATTAATCGTTACTAAAATTCTACAATACAAATATAAAATTGTAAATACGCGTACATGATAATCGTAAAATATTTGCTTGTAAAAAGTTGTGTCAATTTTAAAAAGTATGTACAATTAATAATGCATTTGCATATCATATATAAATTGGAATCTTCTCATTCTCATGTTTTTTCGTTCTCAGTCAATTCAAGCTCATTTGTTTTTGTATTCATTTTTATTTATTTCTTAAAATTTAGATATCACAATTTTACTTGAAAAATATCACTTATTTTCAATAATGACATGTAAGATATCTAATACTTTAGATAATTGCAATATTGAGTGTGTATGTTTTAATTCTTACAAAATAAATGAACATACAATGAAAATATAATGAATGTGTCTACAATGATAAATCTACCAAAATAACACTAGCTACAAATGAGTTAATTGTTAGAAAAAATTGCTTTAAAAACTTTAGTTCTAATGAAAAATCATACAAAATGTATTCTTTATATTTTATATTAAACAATGCAAATTAGATATTCGTTTCCTTTGGATTTCTACTAAAAGATTCATGAACCAGTCATATTATAAATTCATCTAAATCAAATACTTTCAATTTCACCCTGTGGTTGTATAGTTGTATAGTACAATTTCAAACAAAAAATGTTTGAAATAAAGGCACGTTTAGTTTCGTCATATGAAAAAATAGTCTAATAGATATCGTGTTAATGATTAATAATCGCTCAAAGATCTGTGTCATACCATGCGGCAACTACGGAGTTATGATCTTGATTGGAGGTTGGTTGAGATTGAAGAGGTGGCTGCAGATACTCGAAACTCAAGTTATCCTCGTGCGACACGTCCATCGCGTCCATTGGATCGTAGGTTGATCCATCGCCACCAATTTCAAGACCCTACATTGAATCCATAGGTATAAGTTTCTCATCGAACAATCAAATTCTAGTCGGCTTTCTTTGACTTTTTCGTTAATACTATTACTTATTGCTTTTTAGATTGTTTTATATAAATTAGTTACAACTGATTAAACTATGTAAAGCTAACATGCTACTGTGATGTATGATGGCAACGACAAGCGTAATAGCTTCACTAATAAGAATAACTTGTGACAATATACATGGCTTCACTTTTTTGCAATTGAACCGTCAATATACGGATAATAACTATTCTATTTCGCTTAGTAAGCAAATATATCATTTTACCTGTAAATCCGGTCCCACGGCAAAATCAGCATTATTCCACATGTTAGGATCCTCGCGCAATAGCGAGTTGGTTAACTCGACGGACAATCGTTTCTTGTAATCTTGAGGCTTATCTTCACTCATACGAAATAAAACAGCAGCAGCGTAAGTGGCAACACCTTCGTTACGTGAATGTAGAAGTTCAGTGAGAGGTGCGGTTGCCCCTTCTTGCTCGATCATTTCCGCACCTTCCTTGTCAACAGCTAACTCACAAAGCACACCTGCGGCGACACGTTGAATGTTCTCGATTTCGTTGAACAAAAGCTGAAGAAGAGTTCACTCATGAATCTTCGACGTCGAAGAACTGTATGCACAACGATAGACGAACAAGTAAGGAAGATCATTTACCTGCACAAAGATGGGAATAATCATCTGAGTGCGGATTAGAGCTCTATTCTGTGATTCTCGAGCGAGAATGTGCAGTGCGCCAACAGTGCCCTCAACGATTTCTTCCATTCGTACACCATCGGCATAGGCTCCAGGAGCTAGGCCAGTTCCAGTATTTGCTAATGAAGATTGTTCCTGTAGAAGCAGAAAAAGTGGTTAAGTATACTTTTGTATTTTATATTTATTATACTCATTTTTCATTTCCCAATAAAACATTCTATTTGACCTTATCTATTCATTTAATCGAGAATCGTAAACTAGTATTGAAATTTTATTCAATGTGTATCAAGTATTTAATACATAAAGACGTGCGGTAATCACTCACTCTCTCGATATCCTGGAATGCGCGCATAAGTAGTCGCACAAGATGATGAATAGCTCCATGCTCTCTAAGTGGTGTATGATTAGCCGGGCAGAGAGCCAAATTTCTAGTCAATCCAATAACAGCCTTGATGAGTGGCCATCTCGACAGCGGTTGCAGTAGATTCACTATTACTTGAATGCCATAATTCAACCTAACAGAATTCTGCGCCATCTCAGCTTCTATATGTCTCGATGTCAGATGACGAAGAGCACAAACAGCTGGCTCGCTGATCTCCTCACGATCTCCAGCGTTGATAATAGTACGTACAAGTGCATCAACTCCGCCAAATTGGCAAACGGCGAGTTTATTTCGTTGGTTGTTGCAAGTCAAATTGGATAAAATACCAGCAGCACAGGTGACAATGTTTATGTCGCTCGAGGATAATAGTTGGACAAGACTTTGCAAGAGATGCTCCATACCGTCGACCTTTGTGCCTGCATCAGACAAGTTACGCAAGGTCCACAAACAGTTTTGAACTAACCGTTGACTTGTATGACCGAGATACATTGCCAATGCTTGCATGCCGCCTGCTTCTACGATAGATGGCTTATTACTCGCACACACTGAGAGTACTGAAATGATAAAAAATGTTGTTTTAATCGCTAACACGAATTTTATTATGGAGCTCGTGGGAATAAGCCACGCATTGAAAGTTTACTGAAGAAAACTTTATCTTGTAAACAAATTATGTAAAGTCGTTTTAATGAAACGGAATTAGTGACAAATTCAGGCAAATTATTTAAAATTTTTCCTTTTCGTTATAGATTTCAACATATTATAATCAACAATGCCAACCTTTTAAAACTCTTGAAGTAGTCCACAGCAACTTCTCGTAATCATAAGTGCGCATAATGCGCACCAATTCAGCAGGTCCCTGAGAGGCAAGAATGATAAGTTTGCTCTCCTGATTGCCATAAGCAAGAATCTGCAGACAGTCAGTGACAATAGCCAGGAACTTGACGTTGTTTCGTTGTAACAGTAGCACCATACGTTGAAGCCCACCGGCAAGACGCACATCCTTTTTCGAACCATCTTGATGAAGAAGCAAATTGTGCAGAGTCGTAATGGCGTAAAATAATACTGACTCGATGTTTGAGCTGAGTAATTTCACTAAGGCTGGAATTCCGCCGCTCTTGAAGATCGATAGAAGACCTTGTCTTTTGGGATTGGAAAAAATATTAAGATTAGTAAAGCTTTCATGAACAGACCTACATAGTATTATGCTTAAATTATAAACAAATTTCCATATTTAAATGTCATAAATTTAATTGTAAAAATTATGCATTTACTCTTTTCTAAATATTCATGAAGTATACTTCATTTAGAAATTACTAAATATTTTAATAAGTATGAATTTGAATGTTAAGTAATAATAAACGATTATCTTTGATAAATATATGTATTCTTCACATACTTTACTATTCTAATTTTGTTTATATATTGGGCTGAATCTTTATATTCTTTTGAGATTCCATTCTCCAGAATTAAAAAAAGCACAATTTATAAAAAAAAACTCAACTGACCTATGATGCGACAAATTGTGCAGAGTACCAACAGCAGCCTTAGTGGACTCAAGATCTTCACTATTAGAGATAGCCCTGACCAAAGTTTCTACCATCTGCAAGCTATTCATAATCGCATGTCTGGAAGCCTCCTTCTTTGACAACTGATGAACAACCATCACAGCCTGCGACACAACGACTTGATCTTCGTCATTCAGCAACTTGATCAATTCGGGAATAGCGCGAGTAGCGAGATCAGCGTCGTCTTGGAAGTTGATCAGATTGACAACAGCGTGTTTAAGCATCTGGCTTGGCTCGCTCAAACGTTGCACCGCAGTTGGTTGAGCTGTATCGAATTGGGTTGATGGAATTTCGATACCTTCTTCGAGGGTTTCCGGAAACATCGCTGCACGTACTCTCTGCGAACGAGTGTGGCTTAGCTGCTGATTCATGTCTGAAAAGCGTAAAACAAACTTACAGTTTCCTTCCTCCGAAATATTGTCCGTGAACTTACCGTCAACTTGATCAGGTGTAAAATGCTGAGCGAAACCCTGATCGAGATCGAACAATAACGGATCACCCTCTATTTCGTCGTCATCTTTGCCGGTAACCGACGGTGCTTGGGTTGTTGCCCCCGATTGGATACCAGAGTCCGCCATATAAGAATTTTGCTGCCATATGAGGGTCTCCTTGTTCGACATCGGCATCCTGAGATCGCTTGCTGGGTTTTTCACCTGCTGGTAGTTGCCGTGCGACACTGCGTGGAGATAGAGCGTTAATCTTATATTACTTTTAATGTATATTTCACGCTAAGATTGTTATTTAAGTTGGCTAATTTTTGGAAAGGTGTTACTGCCGTTGTTTATTTTTTGACAATTGAATTTGAGAGTTGTTTATTTTTCGAGAACAATTAATGCACGGCAAATAAATTTACTTTTAAATGAGCTTATTCCAACCGTTATTTATTTATTCTTCCTACTACAAATTTTTTTTAAGGCGGATCTGTTTAGCAGATTTAATCGGTGACTACTGATTTTATTTGAGCTAGTAAAAACTGTAATTTCGTACTTGAAGCGCATTCCATGCTAGAAAAACTTTTTCTAAAACTCTCTGTTTCGTAAATTATTGACGTATTCGAATACCTGCATTTCCTCACTCGAAATACTCCTTAAGTATAGAAATGCAGGTGTAATAGAAAAAGATCGTAGCTACCAGTTGCCTATTCATTCATCGTTTCCCTCTGCCCTTGCTTTTATCTAACACTTTTTCACTTTCTCTCTCTTTCTCAACAAACTTAAATTGTCGATCTCTCGCCCCTTTTCTGCTATATGGACAGTTTCAATCGTGGTCGCTAGGATCGCCCCGATAAAGGCTTTCAGCAATCTTCCTCCTATAGTTTCTGTACAGCACGCACTATACCTGCATTTTTCAAAGAGGTCCTCGAGAACATCTCGTAAAACAAAGACAGGCAGCGAGAGAAAAAACATGTTTTCTTTTAATGAAAGGTGATCGAATCCACGAATCTGTACGCGATTACACAGCTGCCACATGATACACACTGCAACAACGATATGTCTACTGTTGCACATTTGTTTATTTACATTAACGAGCGAGCATAGTCGGCACATAACAAAGACTCCATACACCCACACACACATCAGGATCGATATCCTCCCAAGACTCTTTTCGTTGCATCTTGCGTATACTCACCGTTGATTATGTTAGCGACTTCTCCGAGACAGCCGCTTTAACTGTATTCGGTATAAGGATGATTCACCGTAGTGAGCAATTCGCGAGTGAAAAGTCGCGACGCCGAGTTCTATCCCTCTCCTTCTTTTTAGGCAACGCGCGTCAGAAGAGAGTGGGAGACTATAAAAGACGGACTAGCGTGTGAAAGTAAATGCTGCATGCAAGAGTATATATATATATAGTATATATGAGATATATAGAATATATGTATGACTAAGTTTTATCGGCTGTTGGTATTTAACATGCAATGTAAAATTTTTTATTTGTTTAACACACATAGTTCGTGTGTAAATTGTAATAAGATTTATTAATAATTTTGTAAAGAGATTTTGAAAGTTACAAGCGTTGAAAACCTATAATTAAAAATGCATTCTGAACATTTTTCAAAAGAAAGCGCCATGATCAGACTTCAAAATTTCGCCAATGGCCGGCGTTGATGTCTATAATTAGCCGTATGCTTATTTATTTACATAACATTACTTACGAATTACGATACGAAACGAGGATTAAAATGTAAAAAAATGAAAGAGCTTCCGGCTATTGTTAGATTAAATTCAGATTATGTTGATTTTCATGAATAATTTATTACATGATAATTAGAATAATTGAAGAATATAAAAATGGAAACAAGTGAAATTACAACACCGATACCAGCTGATGAGCAGCATCAGTCGCAAGAAAAAAACAAAGAAAGTGTAGTGTTGGAACATGATTGTTCAGTGCTTGAAAATATTGAACATTCCCTTATTGAGTCGAGGTTTCTGATTGAAAATTTGTTCAGTGATGTAAAAGAAAATGATGCTGTGGTTGCCAAAGAGGTTAGCAATCTGTCATCATTTGAAAATCAAACATTGCAACAAAACCAAATGGATGTTGATGATTACAGTAAGAAAATTCAAGATAAAAATGACACTTTGATCGTAGAAGAATCAAAAGAGGTAACATTTTTTCAATTGTTATTGTACTTCTATGAATGTTAAAAATTACTTGTATGATTATAATTTATCTTAGGATTCAATAAATACTATAGAAAGTATTCCAACTGCTGAGCCTGAAAAATCAGAGGATAAAAATATTGAGAATGCAGAGTACATCCAACTAACTTATAAATGGACTGCACCAAAATTGTTATGCTCAGCTAAAAAAGACTTTAAGCCAACAGAAAAATGTGAAAATTATACAAAGGGTTGCTTTTGGTCACCAGATGGAACATGCATTTTAGTACCTAGTGAAGATTTTAGATTTAGGATTTTTGATGTCCCACGTGAACTTTATACAGGAATACTACCAGAAGATTTTCATGTAACTGAGTTGGAATCATCTGTTAGGATCAAAGAAGGTGGACTGATCTATGATTGCTGTTGGTATCCTTATATGAGCTCGTGGCAGCCATCAACATGTTGCTTTTTAGCAGCTAGTCAAGGAAGTCCTATACACTTGTGGGATGCTTTTACAGGTCAACTTAGAGCAACTTATAGAGCATATAATCAGTGAGTAATTATTCAACATTTTAAGAAAGTTTTAAAGTATCACAAACTGATAAATTCTCTCTTGTAGGGTTGATGAAGTAGAAGCTGCTATCAGTGTTCAATTTACTGACTCTGGTACTAAAGTGTGGAGCGGATATAAAAATGCTTTACGTACTTTCGACAGCAATAGACCTGGACGTCAAACAGAAACTATTTACTTGAAGAAAGATTTTCCAAATGTCACAGGCTTAGTTTCTTGCATTCGAGAAAATCCTGGAATGTCTGGCTTGATAGCTTTTGGAACATATTCTAAGTGTATAGGTATACAATTTTATTTAATAGTTTCTATATCAGCTTTTAAAAAGCAAGAAGACATAACATCACGAAAATATTTTTAGGGTTGTATAAAGATGGTCCACTTTGTTGTTTCCAAACTAGCAGTGGAGTAACTCAAATAGAATTCAGTCCATGTGGAACAAAAATTTACTCAGCCGTTCGCAGGGGTAGTGAATTCCTGTGTTGGGATTTGAGAAATCCTGGTACAGTTTTATATTCACTACAAAATCGTCAGTCTGACAGCAATCAGAGAATACAATTTTCATTGTCATACAACGGTGAACAAATGGTTTCTGGTGAGGCATTTTATTATGTTGGAGAATTAATATATTATTATGGAAAAAATTAATGATATTATATGTTTTCTAGGAGGTACTGATGGTACAGTGAGAATATGGGAAATGCCAAGTGATCTACAAGTTGAAGAAGAATTAGATCCTCGTTATAAAATAATCATTTCAAAAGATTGTATCAATGGCGTTGATTTGCATAAGAATCTTCCAATGCTGGCAGTATCAACAGGTACTAGGATTTGTGATCAAGAAAATCATTATCGCGATAATAGTCTTCGCTTTTACTGGGTTGGTAATAGATAACGAAATATGTTTTTGAAATGAGTTATTTTGCAAATTTGTTTGCGTGTTAGTACGTTAAATGTTAATTTTTTATGGATAATCTTAAATTTTGAAAAAAAATTGTAAAAATAATTATAAATACCTGAAGTTGTGAATGATAGAAGCATATTATCAAGTGTTACAGTTTAGTAGTTTCGTCTCTAAATCAGCTCTAAATGAATTTCTTTTTAAGCAATATTTTTACGTAAAAGACAAATGATCCAAACAATCTTGAAAGGTGTGTACAAATAAGTAGTAATAATAATAAATATTTTATTATATGGCATCTTATAATATTATAATTTCTCATTTTTCATAAAAAATCTTCAGCTATCCATTATTGTCCACTGTGAATATCGGAAAACATTTTTCACACGAAAATATAACGTACGCACTACACGTTGGTGACATTTTGAATAAAACAATATTTTTGAAAAACATTTTTTAATTATTAAAATTTCATAAATTTTGCAACACAACGTCTACTAATAACAAATGTAGTTACTACCGAAGCTTAGTGGCGTACAGCCTGACTTATTGAGATTGTTACTCGAGAGGGGAGCATATATGCGTGGCTGTACGTTTTGACTATTCTGAACTACATCTGTCGACTCTGTCGTATTGCGCCTGGGAGGATCATTCAATTATGTTGACAATCACGTTAAAGATGTGAATTTTCGTTGCCTTGTTAATTCTGCAAAATATGTTTCGATTCTGGCTATAATTATCGCGAGCCGCAGCGAGAAAAATATGACGTGCGACCTGACCGAAATCAATTATAACCGGGTATTTGCGTTGGACGTGTGTTTGTTCACGTGAGTAATGTTGATCTGACGGTTATCATACCCACACCGCTGCCCTGTGGTCACTCGGCAATTTCACTGTCAAGAATAATTATAGACTCTGGCATATGCACGCTGCCTGCATAAAAGAAACAAGGCACATATATTATCAGCTATATTTTTGGAACGATACTATCAATGTTGCTATTTTTTTACGACAGTGAAAAAAAAATATTGTTTTAGATAGAGACACACGAAGAACCTACGAAATTGGTAATATCCGATCGATTTTCTGTCATGATAAATAAAGATACACTCGAAATCGAACGAGAATACAGAGTTTGATACAGCGAGTCCTCGTTAATCACGCGTGATGAATTGTTCAAGAGACATTTTTCCAAGCATCACGTTATCGCGAAATCGTAACAAGATCATCATTGAAAGTTGACAAAATGTTTGCTGCGTCATCTGGTGAAAATCGATGGACTACCGAAGATGAAGAAATAATGTAAATTTCTGCCGGACGCAGCGTCGCAGGATGCATTTCAAGTGTTGACCTAACGATAGCCGAAAGGTCCGTAGTAGCCGCGCCTACTGCACACAGCAGCTGTCGGCAACTCCATTGAAATTCAGGTGAAAGCCAGCCAGGCAAAAGTGGCTATGAGCGGCGGGCGAGCAGGCGGAATTAGCGCGATAGCCGAAAACGATCGATTTTCCTCCAGGGACGATAAGGTCAGCAGGTGGTAAGACGCAAAAATAAAAGGGGGATAAGAGTTCATCAAGGAGGCTCGTTTGCCGGTGGTGTACGCGCGTCGGGGGGTGGAGGTGCGACGGCCAATGAGCGCCGGCCGCGGCTATACGCAGGGAGCCGGGCGAGCATCCCGCGCGTACGACTCCTTCGCTCCAGCAGCAGCCCCCTTCGGTTCCAGGCGCGCGCGCGCGGGGAGGAGGCAGATGTTGGCCGCGGGGGCGCAGGGGACGCCGATTCCGGCGTTTGCAGTCTATCCCCTGCGTGCGCTGCGGCTGGCACGCACCCGACCACCGTCGGTCGCAGGCTAGGGCTCCGAGACTCGAGCTGCCCCTGTCGCTCGCGCGCCCCGCCGAATAACTCGACGAGTATATGTATACGCACACGCACGTACACATGTAGCTTTGCTCGCGCAGACTCCTCGCTGCTTGGCACCTTTGCGCGTATTGCTTCGCTCTGCGCCCGATGGAGCTTCGTCGGGCTGGTAAGTGTTGACTGTGTTCGCACGGCTCGAGCACTCGGTACTCGCGATTTGTGCGCGATCCACGTAATGACTTTCACGCGGAGAACTTGAAACTACCTGCGTTCGATCGTGAAATACGCGAGTGTCGACAATAATTTACGTATCGACTCATTTCCGTTTCGTGAACGTTGAATTTGTTTTCGTAGCTACGCAAATTTCGAGTCGTACGTGAAAACCACCAGTTAGGCATACTCGAAGGAGATGTTTTTTACTTTTGCAGGCAGCAAAATGAACGAGGATCGCGGCGAGCCAGCTGCGAAGAGACAACGGACCGTGAACGACGCGGCAGATCTGCAGTGCGCCGTAATAAACCAGAACATCGCGATCTTGGAGATGTTGAAGGACAACGAGGTTTACTTGACGATTGACCTGACGTGCACCGACGAAGACGGCAACACAGCGCTCCACTTGATATTCCACCAGCTAGAGGAGAGCCACGTCGTTCAGATCCTGCAGATATTCTTCGATCATAGGGTAGACTTGAACATCGGGAACAAAAAAATGGAGACGCCGCTGCACCTGGCGGTCGCGAAGAGAATGAGAAACGCGGTCGAGCTGTTGATAAGACACGGCGCCGACGTAAACAAGTGCGACGACGGTGGCAACTCGATCAGCCACTACTTCGTCGAGGACGAGTACAAGAAATTCCTGGCGATGTCGAGACTCGAGGAGGACTTCAGTCTGGGCCTGAAGAGGAGGGCCGCGACGGAGGCCGAGGGCGCGAGCTTCGTCGACTGGCTGATCAGCAGGGGATTCGACTTCGGCGCTCCGAACCTCTACGGCTGGACCGCGCTGCACATGGCAATCGAGCGCAATCTGCAGCACATTCTGCCGACGATAGCGAGGCGAACCGAGGCGATCGACTGCGTCGACGAGCAGGGCAGGAATCTGCTCCACCTGTTCCTGCAGATGAACCACAAGTACCGGAAGAGGGGAGTGTTCGGCGCGCCCGCGGTCGGCGTCTGGTCCACGGGCTTCAGCCGCGGCTACGCCGTCGAGATCGTGGGCATCCTGCTCGACGGGGGCGTGTCCGCGGACGCGGTCGACTCGGCCGGCGACACGCCGCTCCACCTGGCCGTGAGGAACATGGAGGACATGGAGGCGGTGGAGAGGCTGCTCGGGCGCTTCAGCGCCGTCCACCGGCGCAACGGCTTCGGCGACACGGTGTTCCACGAGGCGATCCGCCACGCGTCCTCCAAGTTCTCGTCCAAGGTGAACTACTACCTGGAAATCGCGCGCGCGCTGCTGGCCAAGGGTGCGGACGCGAACAGCCGCGACAGGTTCGGCGTGGCGCCGATCTACTACACGGTGCTGGAGAAGAGGCTGCCCGCCATCCAGCTGATGAAGGAGTTCCGCGCGGACTTCGGCTACGTGACCAAGTCCGACCAGAACCTGCTGCACCTCCTGGCGTTCAAGCACGACAACGACAAGCGCTCGGACCGCTCCTGGGAGAGCATGTGCGAGCTGCTGTTCAGCGAGGGCTGCCTCGAGCTGGACAGGCCGGACCGGTCCGGCCAGTCGCCGCTGCACCTGGCCATCAGACACGGCAACCTGATCGTGGCCAGGCGGCTGATCGAGGGCGGCGCCGACGTGAACGCGCGCGACGCGGAGGGCGCGCGGCCCCTGGACCGCGTGGGCGCGGCCAGCCGACCCGGCGACGGCCACGCGGTGCTGCGCATGCTGCTCGGCCACGGCGCCCACGCGAACGCGCGCGACAACCACGGGGGCACCGCGCTCTCGCACGCGCTCGCCATCGGCAGCGCCGACAACGTGGCCGAGCTGCTGCGCCACGGCGCCGACGTCAACGAGCCCTTCTTCCTCGACCTGGTGGCGCTGCAGCCCGGGCCGCCCCACGACGACCGCGCGCTCGACCTCGTGCTGCGCCACTGCCTCAAGCTCAAGGCCGCCGGGCTGCCCTGCTCGCGCGAGTACGACGGCCTCGCCCGCCCGGACGAGCACCGGCGCGCCCACCAGGACTGCCTGCGCGAGGTGGAGGCGCTGCGGCGCACCCCCGTCGCGCCCGGCACCTCGCTGCTGCGCTGGCTGCGCATGGGCCCGGCCGACAGGTGCGCCCACGCAGGCGCGCTCGCCGGCCTCGTCCGCTGCCGGCGGCTGCGGCGCCGCTTCCCCAACTACTGCGCGCTCGTCCTGGCCGGCTACCGCGAGGCCGTGGCCCGGGCGCCGATCGCCGCGGCCGCGCGCCGCGCCTGGCGCGCCCTCGTCGGGCCCGCGCTGCCCGACGGCCTGGTGGAGCGCGTGCTCGCGCACCTGCACAACGCCGACCTGCTGAGCCTCGTCGACAGGGCAAGCGACGCGGGGGCGCTCGCGCGCGACAACCACCTGTCCTGTGCGAGACGCGACCGTCGATTCGCCGATCGATAGCCTGCACGCGCCTGCCCGCCTCCCTTCGCTGCGCTCCTCGCCGGTGGCAACTAGCCTCCGACGTACGTATGTGCGCTCGGCCGGTGTCGGTTCCATCGCTTTTGTTCCATCGCGGCGCCCCAACTCGGAGTATTAGAATAGCGATTCCGTGTTTCGGTGCTGTGAGCAGACGCGGAATAAGCTATCGATGTATTTAAGAAAGACGTTTGGCCACGGTTTCTCCGCGTTGTTTTTTGTTACTCAATGGGCGACGGAAGAAAATTAAGTATTTTATAAATTCAGCTCGGTATCCCCAGTCACAGCCGGAGCAGTACAACGACCAAATATTTCGCCACTCGATTTCTCTCAAATTTTCGAAATGTTTCCGTGCTCGAAATTCAGCGCAACAGCAACAGCTGACCGAAACCACGCGATTCGCCATAACAGGGCAGTCGCCACGCTCCCCATTCCGTCACTCGTCGAACCTAATCGAAAGCGCCCCTTCGGCTGTACATAGGTGGGCGCGCGCAGTCGTCCCCTTGGGCACCGTGGCGCGTGATGAATCTCTTGTTTTCGCTCCCCGCCGTCCTTCGCGACGCGCTGGCGAGCGCACGTGCACCTATCTTTTGCAGCTCGTCGACGTATTGCCGGGCATCGCGTAGCCGCCCGGTCTTCCGCGCCATCCGGACGATCCAAGCACCGAGGAACTCGCGCTCGCGTAGCTACTCCCCGGAGGCGCCGTCGCCGCTAACATTACGCTGTCGGAGCGGACACGCGAATGTAATTCGCGCGCGCACAAACAAAGACCGAGTGAGGAAGGAACGAAAAATGTCAATATAGACAGGTGAAAAGCGCGCACGCAACGAACGACAGCCGAGGTGCCGTACACGCACGCGTACCTATACTCCGGGGCAAACTCCGCGACTCTCCTTTCAGTCACCCTTCGTCCTGCCCGCTCGCCCCATTCGTTATGGCCTATCGGCGCATTGAAGTGTATCAATTGCAGCGAAAATCGCTTGGATCTCGTTGCATTCGGCGACGCTTCGAATTACGCGACGACGATGACAGAAGCAGTCAATTAACAGTGTGCCACTACAGAACTTGTACGAATAAAATTCTAAGTAATGCAGTAAAAAATTCTAGCTTTCGATTTCTTTCCTATCTCTCGCCCATTCGTTCCCTCGTCCTCAGCGCTTCCTGCATGAAGTAAAAAATCTTTTTATTTTTGTTTAACTTGGTGCCATGGGCATTTTCCTGTTAAAAATTATTATTCAGTAGGAATAATTCTTCATACAGTCGCGCTGCATGAAATCTTGCCAGAAATATTAGAAAAGATGCTGGAGTCGACGGTGCCATCTGAATTACTGGAGCAGCGACTTCAATAATAAAATCTGAAATGCGCGGCTCAACGTCTCTCCAGGGATGTCAGCCGGTCACAAGAAATAAAGAGGGGATTGGGTCGCAGCCTCCGGCCGGATCAATATGTTATCACGCTAACTATACATATACGTGCACTAAAGTATTTATGTTATCTCGATGGCGAAGTTACTCCGCGATCGCAATACCCAGAAGAGACAAAGCGACGAAATACCGTGATTTTGGAGCAGTTGTGCGGGCAATTTTACAGCGCACGTACATTTAGTGACACTCCAATGTTTTGAAAACGTTGCCGAATGTTAATAAGCACCTGTTGATCGAGTTTTTTAACCTCACTTTTCGCACGGCCGTAACCATTATATTATCTTGAATGCCAATGCGAACAAATCAATCGTAACAATAGACAATATGAATAGACGATTAAATGATTACCAATGAATTTTATTTTTCATGCAGGTATTGAAAGAATGAACGATTCTGTTCAAGTATTTGTAAAAAGAAGACGATTACATATAATTGATGTTAATGGGACACAAATACAGCAGCAAAATAAGGTGAATTTGGGAGTCTCTGATAGACATACCGATGCGGTGCTGCACGTGGCTTTCAGAAGAAACATATTGACGCAACAACAAACCATCAACATCGTGAAGGTTAGCTTATTACGAGCAACGTAAGTTAGCTATAAAACTGTTTACTATGATGTGATGTTGTGTAAAACGTTGAATATAATATCCATGATATTGTTTTCTAAACTAGTTAGTTAAAGTATTACTTTCAACTTTAAAAATTGTTAACGCAATAAAAGGGCTTAAAAAATCTTTATTACCTTGTTGTCTCTACCTTTGCACTTAAGATAACATAGTTTCTTTTGATTTCAGTATTTATTCAGAAGTACAATTTCATCGTGATCGATCGAATGATTTTTTCATCTTTGAAAACGGCAACTAAATCTAACACATATATGTACTTATATTAACAATTAATATAGGTATTTAATGATTAAATTTGGAATATAGGTATATAGGTTAATTTTTTATTGACACTCAAAGAGTATGTTGGTTATCTTATCTAAGTCATTAAAAATTTATAAGCGCACATTAATTGGTGTCGAAAGAGATCAGACTATTTTTATAATATAAGGATAGAATTGAAGACTTTTTTTTGTAAAATTAGTTGTATGATGGATGAGGATTAAATAAATAATGCAAGCGACTTTTTATCAAACGGTACGGCTTTATCAACAAATAAGTGCCACAGTTTCAATGTATCATCTCCAACCCCCTCCGGATTAATAAATATTGAATAATAAATAACGTAAATAAATAACATTAATATTTAGAATTTTGACATAATTTAATGTATAAAAAGTTGCAACAAATTACCAAAACTTTACAAATTGACTTAGCGAAGAGTAAGCGATGTGACTGTATAGTTAGAAATACATCTGAGTATACGAAAACAGCTGTGAATACAAGTCTTAACTTAAATGTGAAATTATGAAAAAATATACGAATTATGTTGTATTTTAGCCTGAAGAGAACCAGAGATTATATCTCAAAACGGTCGGAAGGACTGTCTACATTGGCTAATACAGCTACACCGTTTGATGAAAAGTCATTAGCGTCATTTATTTGAATTAATATGAAAGTGACATAAATCATTATTTTGTTTCAATTTTGCTTAATAAATGCAAATGCGCATCAAATTGACATTTTTATACATGCACGCTTATACAAAATGGGAAAGCTTTCGCGGTTGCGTCAAAATCAAACGAAGCAAATCAACGTCAGTCCGTGTTAAAACAAATATTTATTTTGCAAAATTGTGTACAATTCATGTGCAGAACTTTCAAATGTCATTTTTCCCCTAATATTGCAAGCATGTATCAAATGGAGCAAGCGTTGAAACAAGCACATCACCTGATCTACGCATCCCCTCCTCGCTAGTAAAAATTGTGTATATATTCGCAGCGTTTTTCGTCAACCGTCAGTCAATCGTCGAGCTGCACGAGTTCCTAGTAAACGTGCGGACGTATTCGAACGGTGTTGATCGTCATGAGCAATACGACGCTGATTCTCTTGGTCGTGGCTGCGGTGTTTGGCTCTCAAGTGAACGCCACCAAAGTCAACAAATGCGATGGTGAGTGCTCGGTTAAAAATGTGCTTTGTTCGTCGTCACACAATCGCTGTATTACTTTCTTTCTTTTTCTGTCCGCTCAAGGTTACCCCAATCCCAACAACTCTGTGGTGAGTATCACGAACTGCGACGAACCACCGTGCTACCTAAAGAAGGACTCCAAGATGCTCGTCATGATAAGGTTCACACCCGATCACAACATCTACGAGCTCACAACCAGAGTGTGGGGGAAGAAGTGGATTTGGATGGCCTATAGCGGCGTTGATAGCACTTCGGCTTGCGATAAGGTCTACTACGCTGCCGATGGTACGCCTGCCTCCTGCCCTCTCATGAAGGGTGTTGATTACATCTACAAATACGAATTGTACATCGACCCTTGGTATCCTTCGGTGAGTGATGCTTTCTATCGGTCACGTATATTACGTAGCCTCGATATTGCGGTTTGATTATAATTCGTGAACTTTTTGAATCCTTAAAACTCAGTTTAACGTTGAGCAAGATAGACTGACAAAGGCTTAACCTGAATTGAAAAAAAAACCGAAGAGTGAACGATATTTTTCGGCACGTTAAACTTGAAAAAACATTTTTTTCATCGTCACATTTGGTTTTTTTACGTACCTTAAAATATAATTTTGTTTAGTGAACAAAATTATTACGGAGAAAAAAATTTTTTTTTATCACACTGAATTTTCTTTATTAAATTTTTCGTCTCTATGGTTCTTTAAGACCGGGTCGGAATACCATCAATACCCCCTCTCTCCTTTCGTAAAGGTTTTAAGATTTTAAATTGTCTCTACTAATGCATTTTCAACTACTTGTATGGGAAACTGATAATATTGAACGGAATAATCGATTTAAGCTGTTTAAGCTGATAAAATACAAAAACAGTTAATGGTGATATTATTTAAATTTCCTTTCAGATAAGTATGATCATACACTGGAGCCTTCAAGAATACGGCAATGACATTGAGTGCTTCCAAGTTGACGGTGAAATAACCTCGTAAAAATACAGATATTTTTATCGCACAACATTTTTATAAATAACCAGAACATTGCCAATGACAATCAACAATTATTAGTCTTCCACGGTTATGTTTACAACCCTTGTTGTATTTAAATTACAATAAAAGATTTTTTTAATTACTTGTAAGCAGCTCATGACGTAGCGTAGACTCAAAAGTAAAGGACCGAGGTGCGCGAACAGCTGCGACAAGAGCTGTCGTCGCGACGACGCACCGACAGAACTTGTAACACGCGTATGCGAAAGCGTGTAAGACGAAGATGACTGGTGCACGTTTATCAGAATGAAATATAGAAGCGCTGCAACATTCGCACCCATTGCAAGGAATTATGCACAGAAAATGTGATTGAAATATTTTGATATTTATGTGGCTACTATCGCATATTCCGTACGATGCGATAATTATACTGAGAATCGCTGGTGCATATCAACATGTATCTGCAACATTTCATTTGTTGTACAAGGCGCAAAGAAAGATAACGCCAATAGTACAAAACAGCGGTCAATTATGATTCGCGTGTCACTGCTATGGGCATCCACTACGCTGGAGTCAGCGTTTAAACTGAAAAATAAATTCAATTTTGTTAACGGCTATCATAAAAAATATCGCTTCAATCGAGCTGCACACTTAAAAATTTTTCCACGCGAAACTAACTTATTTATACCAGTTATTTGTAACGAACTCTTTGATTTGCCTTGTAGTCGATATACAGCACTGTAAATCGCCATCGGCTGTACTAGCCATCAAGGTTAATTACGGATCGTTGCCTGGTCGGTTTACATTGACCGCGCATTGGTATTTCGATCGAATGCAGTCATTGGGCGAACAAATGTCAACTATGCGTAACCAGCGAGTCCCACGGCGTCTTCGAGGTCCGTGCACACGCGGCACACTTCCTGTGCCGTAACTAGTTTGTTACCCTAAGCTTGTTGCCGACGCGATCAATGGGCATCTCGAGTGTCTTCGCGAAGATTCTTAATGACAGCTTGCGCGCGTCGAGGCAGTTTTAAAGGATGACTGACTACTTTTACCGCTGAGCGTTTTGAAAGTGTCAAGACAAAGGATGGTCGTGCGCTAAATATCGACTATATCCGTTCTACCATTTTCTATTCTTTCGTTTAACTTTTTTTCTTTACACGGGTTCGAGTAAAAAGTTGCAAGCATTCAACCATAATTTCAAAGAACTTGTGTTATCGGTATTATTTGCTCGATCGCTACATTACTAAACGAAAACTCTTATTTAATAACATTGAATATGAAAAATTATTTTGCAAGAATATGAATTTTTGTTTTATAAACTATCTTCTCTAATATTGTTAAATATTATCTTTCTTGTGAAATGTTTCGAAATAGACGCTATTAAAATACTTGGCTAATTGTTTAAAAATATTGAATTCTACCTCAATCAAGCTTTTCCTAAAAACATTTTTTACATTAAAATATAAATGCATCACATTTACGATTCGGTAGCTTGACTAATTTAATTACTGTAAATATATATTAATAAACATCAATCGATTTATTCAATCACTTTTTTTTCACAGATTTGAAAAATGAACGCTGAAAGTAAAATAAAGAACAAGTACATCAAATACAATTTGCATAGTTTTCGTCATTTATTTGGTTGGTAAGGAGAAGCTGAAGATGATGAAGATATTGCAGTAAAGTGAAATCAATTTAGTCGCAACGGAAAATGATAATGTAGTGCTAGATGTCAAGTTTGAAAATGCGAAATTTTCAAAACAAGAAACAATTATGAGTCTAAAAACATGTCACGATTGCTACTCGAAATGCGAAAATGTAGATGCGAAGATTTTGTATGCGACCATAGCCGATCGAACGAAAAATGTCGTTGAACTTTTGATAAGGCACAACGTCAAAATAAATAAGATGAGTGATTTGGTAATTCGCTATTTCATCGAAGACGAGTACAACAAATTTTAGAAAGGGCAGTTTAAATCGAGCGAAACTCCATTTGAATGCCATTCAATTTTCGAGTTTTTGAGAGACAGTGCTACCGACTTCGGTGCGACGACCAAGGATGGCAAGAACCTGCTTTATCTAGCAACCGAATTGAGCGCGTATCCGCTATGTCAGGAGTCGTACAAGGCGCTATGCGGGATACTGGTGTCGAGCGGAGTCTGCGAGTTCGTGGCAGCGGATATGTCGGGCAACTCACCACTTCACATGGCAGCGGTGACAAGCAACTACGCGGGCGCTCGGCTACAGCCTTTTATAGCTACGCGTTTTATTCACTCTTATCGCATTTCACAATTCGGTGAAGCCGATAAAAACAATATCCTAGCGTCACGCAAATAGTAAAGCGATATTGGCACAAGTAAAATTCAAACAAACTATGCGTTAATTTTGACAGCACTGTCTTTCAATAAAAAGTCATCAGCGATCTATGAGTATTCATCAACTTGTCAAAAAGTAGCTGCACATTCAAATTCAATGGATCTCAAGCGAATCAATAATTGGCCAATTGATTGAACAGCGCGAAAATAATTTTCTCACCGGTAATTTTTATGTAATATGTAAAAAGAGAGATTTTAGAATAATACTTTGCATAACGGATAGACACTTACGGACAGAATATTTCGTTTATCAAAAAATTGATTCTGGTAAATGTTTAATCTACAGAATTCGTAAGATTCTATAAAGGAACAAATAATAAATGGAAAATGCTTAAAAAATCCACTTATCTCAAATAAATAAATAAATAAATTAAAAACGTCACGGTGGCACAATCACAAAAATACATTGTTTGAAAAATCGTTTCTCGCGATCCGTATATGCATTTGCATAAGCATACAACTAAAAGAATCATTTTTATTGAGCACGATGAAAAGCCCAACTTTTCACTAGAGATTATATTAATGATTGCAAGAAAATACCTCGTTTAACATCTATACACGTAATAACAAACTAAAATCGGAATTCAAACGCTATTCCCCGTGAGTGTTCGCCATAATACCCCGTGACGTCACTAGTAAAACCCGGTTGTGCGCGCACTCGGAAGAAAAAATGTATACTCTAGACTAGTAGCGTGTCTGCCGCGATAGATATATTACAACAATAATCAATTATTCATTCTGTTGAAACGTTAATGCCATGTTGTCTGTAATTTATCTCGAGAAAGTGTACATCAAGTCGAATGTTTACATATACACATTCCGGGGGTTCCCCGCAGCTTATCGGTTTATTCGCGCAGTTGGATCAGTCGCTGCGATATGGCGCTACTGTTTGATCAAACGCGATTTTATACACAACGCCCGTTTCTCGCACGCGTATCGGTTCCGTGATGTAACTCTTGAATTTGTGTTGTAATTGTAATTGTGAAACGGAAAAAGCTTGCAACGGATGCAAATCCGTTTGAAAAACTGTCGTGGAGTTACTATGACATTTCGAAAATCTTCTACTATGTATATGTTACCTATGCAAGCGAAATGTAAATGAACCACTGTCTAATTATAATACTATAATCGGTTTAAATACAGGTGTCGAGAAATTTAATACGTGCATAATTTTGTGCATTTATTTTATGTAAAAATACATCCATTGACATTGTTATTGTACCGAAAAATCATGGTTTGAAAAATCAATTCATGGTGGTGAAAGGTAAATAAAAATTGGTATTACAGTAATGTTCGCTAAGTAGGGCTGTGTGTAGTATTTTACTGTCACAGGAGTGAGCAATTTTGCAAAAAAAATCTCTGTCGAAATGAATCAGAACAAATAAAATATATGGATATTATCATTGCTCCAAGATTTAGGCTTCAATGATAATTATAGTGCAAAATAATGTAGAAATTGATAGGTTCTTCCAATAACACATCCATTTATTTTAACATCCATTTCATATATTTTATGATTTATTGTTGAAAAATAATTTTTAGAAATGAACCTTCGAGAGAAAACCAAACTTCAAAAATATCAAAAATGCATTTATAAAAATTCTTTTTTCACTATGTTAGCTCATCATTAATTCAGTCTTTAACATTATTTTTTGCAGTGTATCACTTTTACCTGTGAATTAAATTTGGGTGGTCACTCATACTAATAATAATTATATGTAATCGCTGTATATATCACTATATTCAAGTTTTGATCTGACAAACATATACAAATTTCTGTTCGAGATTTACGGCATACTGCACAGTCGAATCCTCGCGTTAACGATCATGCAGCGTAAAAGTGTGCCATTTGTATTGGATTTCCGCAGTGTATCGGTATGAGCTCTGATGTCTCAATCGTCGGCTGCCTTTATGCAAATATAATACTTGCAGATATGTATAGCAAAACTCCACCACAATTCTGTCATCTGTGTTATGATTTTGTAACTCTGAGTTCCTTTTGCAAAGTCTTGTAGGTCTCGTTGATCAAAGAACTTTGGGAAGGTATGGTAAATTATCTCCCATGCCTGATCCTGTTACGTATCAGTAACACACATGCGATTGTTCAGCAAGCAGCGTATAGAATTTGTTGAGATTTCATAATGCAAAATTTTTAAATATATCATTTCAAAATAAGATATTGAACAAGAATATATTTACCTTACGCTATACATTTTTTATGTAAAATTGACTATTATTTTACGTAGCTGATTTGGCATATCTATGCCCCTATCTGGCATGTTTATCTAGACCGGGGTGCAAGCCTACTCGGCTTGTACTCTAACAAGTCTGTGATTTCCCTAATCAAAATGTACATCAAAGGTAAAATCCATCACGGATGACCTTTTTGCAATTCCAGAACAGTATCAGACGCTTCATTGTTATTCGCTAAACAACCAACTGAATCGCGATTGATTTATATAATTTTATTCAAATTAGTAAGTGGCATTTCCTTGATGTTAATCTTGACACACAATGCATGATCTCGAAAATAAATTAATTCTACTAATTTGATTTAAAATGAGCCAACGCAAAATGTAATAAATAATTATATGTAATATACAATGTAATATATAATTATATCGTTTTAACATATAAATCAAGAATAATGACTGATAGGTGACAACTCAACTGGCTGAAAAAAAATTGAAATATAAAAGAAATTTAGTATTATAGTCGTAAATTAATTTTATTTGTCTTTATAACGCTATACATATAATTAGTAAGCAAACACATAGTTATTTACCTATGCAAGCGAAATGTAAATGAACCACTGTCTGTAATTATGATACTATCATCGGTATAAATGCAGGTGTCGAGAAATTTAATACGTACATAATTTTGTGAATTTATTTTATGTAAAAATACATTAAAAACAAGTTTTTTATATACGCCTCTATATCGTATCATAAAATTTCTTATTTATTATACAACGCATCGAAATCGTAAATAGTAGATGCTTATATTAATAGATCATGAGATCAACGCATTTGTCTTTTTTCCTGATTATTAGATCAAAATGATAGAGTATATTATTACCTATAGTACTTGTAGTTATAATATAACATCATTCAGTAGCCTTCAAACAGATTTTTTTCAAATTTTATAGGCTATCGTGCACTTTACTATACATTTTTTTTTTCATCATATACTATCACTAAAATAGCAATATTAAACATAAAGACATTAGAAGTTAATTTCAAGTTCCTGTTCGTACATTTGTGTATTATTTTAATTTAGTCAGCAATTTAAAAAACAATCTATCCTTTTTAATTTAATTTAATTTTATATTCGTTCATGTTATCTGCAAGAAATATTTTAATATAAAAAAAAATAATATTTAATGTTGGTTGAACGAGTATACATTAATCCTCAAACTTTTTCGTCTAACATTTGGTGCCATTGTGTCGCTTACTGCATCATTAACATCAGTCAGTTTTGCACTTGGATCAATTTCAACTTGTTTCTAAAAAATAAAAAAGCGAAATCAGTCTACATCACGTTCTTTAATAAAATATAAAAATATACTGTTTTCTATGTTATTATATTATTACATTATTATTATATAAAATATTATTATATTATTAAAATATTATATTCTTATATCAAAATATTATTTATCTGACGTACCTTTAAATTTTTCCTATTGGAACTAGAAGTTCTGGATAATTTTCCTTTTGTACCTCGAGCAGACTCTTGTTCATTAGGTTCAATGTTTTCTTGTAATTTCTAAATGAAAAAATAATTAATAAATTATTAATGGATTCATATAACTATAATGTACAATTAGTACATTTTAGTAACTATAAGCTATATATACTATATATATCAGTATATATGTATAGTAAGTATAACATGCCTTTATATTTTTTTTCTTCAAAACATCTTTCGGGCTATCTAACGCATCTACTTTTTTCACGTTCAATGACCTTGTTCTTCTCAATTTAGGCGAAACAGTATGTTTCACACTGTTCTCTACGTTGTTACTAATCTTTAATGATCTAGTCCGTTTAAGTGTGGACGATTGTGTCGAATTTTCTTTTGATTCAAATTTTGGCGTTTTTTTATGTACTTTTGGTGTTTTAGACTCTTCGGTACTCACGTCAACATTATCTTGAGTCAACGTAATATCAGCAGGAGATCTCTGAATAAATCATAATGTTCACCAAAATTTTTGTTATATAATGCAAAAACGTAATATTTAATGTTTTGTTACATGAATAAACAATAATTTATTTACGTACTTTCGAACTTTGCTTCTTGGCGTGAGAAGATGAATTATTTTTCTCAGTAAGATCCATTAAGACAGTCGTTGGAGTAGATATTAGAATTTCAGGTACCTACATTAAAATTATTTTAAAACGTTATTTGTGTGCCGGGGGGGGGGTATGGGTGGGAGGTTGAGTGGGTAGTAAATTTAATACACACGTTAAGTTGTCGTCTTGCCTTTACAGTAACTGGTGTGTTCATCGTGTCATCAGTTTCAAGTGTTTTTTTATTTGTTTTTTTTTTACCCGTAGCCTGAAAAACCAATCGTAAAATTATAGTACTATAAACAAAAAGAATATCAATTAAATTTTTGTTATGCGTACATCTGACATGCTTCGTTTCAGTTTTGATCTAATAGATGTATTTTTTTGTACAGGAACAAATCTTTCGCATACGATTCCTTGCTCATTCAGATATATTTCCTGCACAAAAAGAAATTTTCATTTACAAACCGTAAATTATTATTATTATTTAATGTAAATATTATTTAATGAATTATTTCAAACAACAATATATACCTTAACTAATTTTGGTCGTGGTGTATCGCCACTACTCTCTTTCGCAGCATTATTTAGTTCCATACTCACATCTCCTTCGCTATTCTATTAATAAAAATAATACAACATTATCGGAGCCTTAATCACCTTGAATCAAATAATATCTACATAATACATCTACATAATAATTCACCTCTTGATTTTTGCGCTTTGGTATCGGTGTCAGCGGCGCAGAAAACTTTCTAGTTCTAAGAATTCTTCTTGATTGGTTTTCATCGGAATTCTCTTTAAAGGAAATCTGTTTTTTCGTTTTAGTAGATTTCTGCATCCCGCTAGAACTTTCCGATTTCTTATCCACTAAACTCAATGGCGACATGGAGATTGTTGGACTCGCCATAGGAGACACAATTTTCGAATTTTTACGAGAACACTCGTTTGAAACAAATTGTGACCGTGATGGTTCATCTTTATTTTCAACGTTTTCTGCAAAACTGTCGTCCTCAAAATTCAATTTTCTTTCGATGGGTTCTTTCATTTCTCCTATATTATCTGAGATTTTATAATATAACAAACGATTCATAATGGAACCAACAATCTATGACAAAGCCCGAGAAAATGCACATTGCAATAACTCACCCAAACTCATGTTACCGTCAATAAAGCTGTTTCTACTCTCAAACTCCTTAACCTCGTTGGACTGTTCTCTAAAGAAGACCTTGTTGGTAGACTTTGACACCGAGCCCATTACTTCATCTTTCTTAAGTATACTTTTTGCTGGCGTGCGACCAGAGTTAATATATACTATCGAGTCATCAAGCTGTACTTCAGGTGTTTTTACCATTTGACTAAGTTTCATCACGACTAATGGACTCGTTGTAGATTTGCGTGTATGTGAGACTTGTACTTTTTTTAGTAAGTTACCCCACTTATTTATAGATTTAGAAGTTGACGAGAGGCGACAGTTTGTTTTTAATGGACTAGCTGGCCTTTTAGTGCCGCTGGACTCTTCAAGTGAGTTTTCAATTGAATCTCTGTAAAAAAATGTAAGGATTTTAATTTATTGGCATGCTATAAAAATAAGCTCGCTTTTCATTTTCATTTCAATATAAGAATAATTATTAGTGAGTTAATGAATGAAAAAAACTGTTGACTAATCAATGAAAACAGCGCGAGAGATGAACAAAGAATTATATGTAATGTATTACAAAATAACTTACATTTCCATATCCTCATTTTTTTCGACGCTGTTATCAGTTTGAGACTTCTTCTTCCTAGCAGCAGCGATCATAGCCCTTAACGAACTTGGTTTATTAGATGCAGGTTTCTTAACGACAGATTTTTTCACAGGTGCTTTTTTTTTTTTTTTATCGACAGGGACCTGATCTTCCTTCGCGATCCAATTATTCGACTTCATTTCCGCGAGTTTATTGAAACGACTGTCGCAGTCGTTAATCTCCATATACATCATATCCCAAAAACCTTGCAAATCCTTGCACGTTACTAACATTTCACCTCGTCCAGTTTCGCAGTCTTGAACTAAGCTACGAAAACGTTCAAATTTTTTGTTGATGAGTAGTTGAGTTTGGCCGCAAGCGGCTTGGATAATATAACGAGCTTCTTCGGGAGTTTTCGGATTTTCTTTAACCTCATTCCAATGATCACACAACTCATTCAAACGTTCGATTTCTTTGCTGAGGATAAGCTTGTAATACTGTAAGACAAAAAGTTGTATGTATTGTTTAATATTTTATCAAAAACGAAAAAAAGAATTTTTTTAATGCTTTAATAACATTTTCATCACAACATAAGTAATAAAGTTGTTTTAATGTTTCATCATGCAGAAAATGGATAGATTTGTGTATACAGAAAGCTTTTTAAATTTAATTCTATCTTAAAACCAGGATGTAACTTTAAGCAGTTACCTGAGCGGTGCGCTCCTCTTCCTCAACTGAAATATTAAGCTTTTGCATGATATTATCTTTGGTAGGAATATCCTCTGACTCTAATCCAGAGTGGCTAAATCTCTTCTTCTTCATTTCCTTCATAGCACTATTTTTCCCTCTGCTCTGTACGATATATGGCGAGAAAAATGCTGGTGGCTTTTCTTCTCTCGTCTTTTCTGGCAACGACATATTTAAACTGAGATTCATAACGTCGTTGGGACTGCGTTGTCTAACAGGCTCTGAAGAACTAGATTCGTTAATCGTCGATGTAGGAACACAGAACGATGAAAATCTTATTAACGGAAAATCTTCATTCGGATTGTTTATGGAAACAGCTGGTAATAGTCGCGATGAACGACGAGGAGTGAGATTTGTAATAGTATCGTCGAGTAAGGATTTTGGTACATCTTCAACTTTTCGAGGAAGTTCCCTAGGTGCTGAAAATGTGAAGTCCATGAGATTCGTGTGATACAAGTCGACGTTTCCTTGGCCATTGGCGGTGAACCGTGTAGATTTCTTTCTGATCGGGGACTTGATTGATACGTTAGGTTGTTGATTTTTCATAAGCGATTGATGCACATCAGCAATGGTAACGATGTTATTAGAATGTAAAACATCTGTCTCTTCGTTGTCAATACTTCCACTTGAAATTACCTTTGTAGATCTTCGCTTGTTTTCCGTCTTTTTTAATGAAATTGGCACGGACTCCTCCATATTCTCTACTTTTGACGACGATTTACGTTTGATCGTCGACTGGTTTAATTTATTATCTGGACTTGAAATAGAATCCGTCTTTAAATTGATACTTGCAAGTTTCGTCGATCGACGCCTACCAACCGACGATTCATTTGAAGTCAAACTCTGTTCTTTTCCTGAATAAGCGCTATTAGTCAACGCAATTTGTACGGATCTATGTTTATCTGATGCACTTATAGATCTGGTACGTTGGGGCAAATCAGTTGCAATTTCCTTAGATATCTTAACGACAGATTTTCTCTTACGTGACGGCGTCTCGCTGTCCTGTTTTAATGAGATACTGTCGTCCTTAGCTGACACAACTTTGACGGGGCTTTGTATAACTTTTAGGGACGTTTTCGTATTTACAGGTGATTGAATTTTATCGGGTACCGAAAAGCTGCTATTCATGTTTTCAGAATTTGAAAACTCTACCTCCATCATCTCTTGATCGTTAGGTGTAAACTCTTTATCTATGTTCTCATCAGCCGCAAGCGGTGTCAAATTTTTTGACGAACGTCGACTCACTGGCGACTTGACTGCGTTTGTTACACTGTGATCCAGCATCTCTTGATCGTCGGACGACAATTTCAACGAGACAGCTGATTCGTTGAATGACTCGCTAAACGCATCAGCATTGATTGTCGTAGGAATTCGGAATGAACTAATTTCAGCCTGGATGTTCTCTTTTGTCGCTTCTAATGCTAATCTACCAAATAATGGCATGTGTGTGATACCCTCAGGGGCTTTGAACATGTGATTTTTTGGAGCTATTTCCACATGGTTATCTTCATTTGCTTGATTGTGAACCTTAAGAAAAGAAATATATTAACAATAAAATTAAATACTGCATATTATTGATAGATATTTATAAATTTATTGTACCTGTGGTTGTTCTCTCTTTTTAGATCTCATATTTTCTCTCTTCTGTTGTTTTACAATATTTTTTACAGCTAAACGTTTCTCTGTAGCTCTAGTCACTCTTTTTGGTACTGCTTGTGACATATTAGTTGATATGTTCCTGCAGAGTTTTGGTGGTGGCAAAGGTGCTGGCTCTTTGCTCACTGGTGGTGAATAGATACGGTGATGCACCACTCCTACTTTAAACACTGGCTTGGCTTTCTTCTTTTCAATCTGCTTACGCTTATTTTTTTCTTCTCTCCACTTTTGTAAGCGCTCCCAACGTTGTTGAACTGCTGCTTCGTGATCTAATAGAAAAAAGCATTATTTATTATTGCATTATATTGGGATGAAAGAACAGAGACAACATTAGTATTTTATCATTTTGCAATTATTCATTTTTTTGTATAAAATGAAATGAAATTAAAATGCAGCAAATTTCAAGATCTTTGATCAAGATGCTATATTCTAATTCTTCATAGAAACATTTATATATGTCACTATAATAAGAGTTTATTATCAATTCAAATTACTATTATTATTACTACATGTATTTAATTTTTTTGCAAATTCAAAAAAATTATTTAAAAAGTTACCACAATAATTTAGTTTGATCCAATGTAAATGTATGCATATGAATAAAAGCAAAGAAATAATTTTATCAAATAATGTTGAATTAATTTTTGTGATTTACACTGAATGAACATTTGTTTTAATTAATTCTTCTATTGAGAGAACACTTATTTGATCAGTGAATAAATTTGTCAAATAATAAAATATAATTTTTTTTTTTCTGTGCAATTGCATGAAATCCTATATCTTATCATCTTAAACTCTTAGCTGCCATACTAGGGTTCTTTGCAATAATGTCTCCAACATTAAGCAAGTAATTTTTGAAATTTTTTGCAAATTACATGCTTTTAATATATTAAATTTAAAATCTTTTGTAAGTCAAATATATGCTTATAAAACAATGGAAAAAATTATACCATTTTTTTCGTCGCAATAATCAAATTAGTTTATTCAAAATTGATGAATATGTGACTGGGGATGAAAACATTTCAGTGTAGCAGCTAAGTTTGGCACCAGAAGTGTGGCAACTAGTGGCTAAACAAGTCTCAGAATTCCATACACTACCAATCAACCCCTTCAAAATCAAAATCAAAATCATAACAAAAACACTACCACCATCATCATGCAGATATTTGTCACAAAGTACAAACCTGCAGCAGCCTTAGCCTTTGGATCTTCCTGCCAATCTGTACTCTTATAATTAGCACTATCCTGAAAATAACCACTGAAGACACTTTCTTGAGTACTCGCAGTTGTGTTATCATCCAGCGAAAAACTGTCATCATTGTGAGCACCCATGTCACGTCGAAGGCTTATCTGTTCGTCACGAAAACCACGACGAGCCTCATTGCGACGTTGACTCCTTAACACCCGATTAGCCTCCGGGTCGAAACCCAAACGCTTGTATCGCTCCCGAAAGTCCGTCATCTTCGAGGGTAAGTGGACTACAGTACACGGACACTCACCGCACGCTACCCACGTAATTGCCGTTGCAAGCCAACTCACCAACTGACTGTTTTTTGATTTGAAACATGTTGGTACGCTCGCGCGTCACTAGAGGCGCTTCGCTGCGCGGGAATCATGGCGTCAGTGGTTGTCAGTTGTTGTTTCTGATGGATGTTGTTTCAGGGGCGTTTTTATATATATAGACATACACGTACACGGGTACACATGTATTTATGTATGTATGCCTGAATGTATGTATAGATATATTAGTGCCATAGCTATTTAGTGCACTAGTAGATAAGTTAGGTAACGTACTAATATTACATCATGACAGATCCTTTCCGATCTACAAAAATAACAATCAACAATTGATACTCTGAAATGCGATCTCCACATAACAAAGTAATTCTCATCCCTATTATATAATATACACGCCAATAGCAACTGACCCTCTAAAGTCATTCATCAAAAATCAAATCCAAGCTATCCAGCCATTGACGAAAATGGAATTCTCTCTGAATAGATTGCGAACCGCTGCATCTTTTCTACCACTCAGCTTTTCAGTCACCGTTTAAAAATTCAACCCTCATATTCTGTCATTCCATAATACAAAGCAATCGTTCGCACACTTAATGCTGAGATAAACAATTCTAAACATTTATTGGAAACAGTAACAGTGTAGATTATTCGCTACAAAACCACGCCAATAATCATCAAATTACGCGATTGTTTACTTGCAAACGTTACGCCGCGCAATTGTAACCGCCAAAGAGAGAGACAGTACTAGAGACATAATAAGCAGAGGAGGGGGTCAACACTCACAAACGGTTAGAGTTACGAGCTCAGTAGCGCAAGTGCATATCAGTAGAGTATGTTGTACAATCCACAAGATTGATAAATGATATAATTTGTTTCCTTTCTGTGTACAAGCAATTTGTTTTTTTTTAACTTGATGAAATTCAGAATTTAGAAGCCTTGGCGATGAGAAGTTGAGGTAATAATGGATGAGGAGACGCGCAAACGGGGCGCTATAGAGGCTGGTAGGGAGATGGTGAGCATATATTTAATATTCTCTCTTCTCATGCACATATGCATTTAAGGGTCGGCTATTTTTAACCTTAGGCCCTGCGTGATCTTGTATAGTAATTCCGGGATTAAGTGTATAAAAAGGTATGACTGGGTTAATCGAGTCGCTATGTCTCTGCCAAATGGATATTCTTTTTCTTAATTTTTGCAATTATTTTGTTGCCAAATTTATAATTTCAGATATAAAGGATTTTTATCATTACTATTATTTTATTATTTATGGTTTTACGATTTCTGAATGCTGTCAATATTGCTCATGTAGTTAAACTTGTTAATTCAAACAATTAATGCTAATATTTTCAAGATGAATATTCACAACAAAAAGGATTAATTCTTGCCATGAAACTTATGCTTATGTCATACACCACTCCATTTTGGGAATGTCCATATAAACATTCAAATTACTACTGACTGCGTAGTTTAATAATATTAACAATCAGTGCATGGTATTGATGAATTTTTTTTTGCTGTAGCTTCTTGCCTACCAATCTAAGCGTGCAAACAAAAAGTTGAGCAACAGCAGTGTGGAGCCAGCATCAGATGAAGAATCTCTCTTCAACGAAACTGTCAATCAATCTATAGATCTAAGAAGCATTAGCGTAAATTTCTAAATTTCAGTGACTTATTTCTCAAATTGAATATTTTTGGTATAATTTGTGTTGATATTGTTCCAGAACAATGAGAGTGCTTTCTCAAGAGATGTCACAGTCAGCAGTGTCAGCATGAGTGAAGGAGAAGGTGATTATGATTTAGAAGGCTTGGCTGGAAGAGTTACCGTATTGAAAGAACAGCTTCAAGGCAAGGAAGCTGTTGTCCAAGCTTTATCTGCTGAGATTGATCATCTCAGAACTGATGTCTCTTCTCCAACATCTTCTCACAGCCAGAGCAGCAATATTCCACTATGCACAGATCTTCTTGGCACTTACCATACAAAGGTTAGTTTTTGTTTAGATTAAATACAATTTATGTTACTCATGAGTTATTAATATAATTGGTATTCATTAGTAAACTGAATTAATTTTTCTTGGCTATAGAAAATTATTTTTTCAAAACAATGTTACTTACTTTACTGGGTTCAAAGAATTATATGAAACATTGACCATGGCAACATTCAGAAAACAGTAAAACAAAACAGAGTCAATATTTTTTAATCATAATTTAAACTTTACTCTACAACAAAACTCTACAAACTATAAACTAGACATGCACAAAATTCAATAAATGATTGCATACTAATATACTAAATTTTTCTTAGCTACAAGAATTTGAACGTGCTCTACAACATAGAGATGATTTAATTGAAGATTTGACCACATCATTACAACAAGCTCTAGCCTCTAGAGATGCCTTACTTGCTCAAATTACTATTTTAAATACATCTGAATTAGAAAATACCAATGATAATGATGACCACGATGGAAAGGTACTAATTCTCTTTAAATTAATTTAGAAACTTTGAAATATCTCTATAATTGTAATTGATTTTTCCAGATTGTTGCTCTAGAGGGTGTATTAGATACTCAAAAGGAATTGATTACGAGTTTAAGATCCAAACTGGAACAAGCACAAGAAAAAATTGAGAAACTAGAAACTGAAAACAGCACAAAGAATAATGAGTTGGTTAGCTACAAGGATGAAGTTGAAAATCTAAATAAAAGAATAAAAGAAAGTACTAGTAACCCGGAAGAACATCTTTTACAGAAATCATATGACCAAGTGAAGAAAATTGAAAAGGACATGAAAATTATTATTGACAAATTTGCTGCTGAGACCATTGCAAATAAAACTGAACATGATAGCCAGATAAAAGTCAGCATTATCTGTCTTAACTGTATTTTATTGCTTTAAAAGTATAAATTTGAATTAATGTTATTTTTAAATTACAGGAGTTGAAAACTAAACATGAAGAAGAACTTAAAAAGTTGACAGATGAAAATAAAAATTTAGAAGCTCGTCACGCTGAAGAAATGTCTGCTCTCCAGAGTCAATTGTCTAAATATAAACAAACGCTTGAGCCGCTCAAATTGGAACTTCTCACTAGTAAACAGTCATATATAAAAGAGAAGGAACTCCTCACTGAACAGATCAAACTGCATAAATTGCAACTTGAGGAGATGACTACAAAGTATGTGGCGACTGCTAGTGTTTGGGATTCCAAAGAAAGCATCGAAAGATCTTTGGAACAAGCTTTAAGCGAGGCTGCTAATCTTAGATCGGAAAATGAATCTCTTAAGGTACGTATTTATTTTTTTAAATAATTTGCTTTTCCCGAGAAACTTGAATCGTTTGCTTTAGTTTAAGTTAGATGATCTCTCATCGAGATATTCAGCTGCACAAGGTTTAATTGAAAATGGACAGCAATATGAACGACAACTGAGCAATAAGATTTTCACTCTGGAAAAGTCTTTGTCAAGGCTTAGTGGTATTAGTTTTAAAGATCTGGATGAGACTACTTACCAAACTTTTGACGATGTTGCTGTTCAATTCCAAATCACTCAACAACGATTAGGTAAGTTATATCAATATTAATGAATGCGTAGAATTAACAAAATCGTTTTATTATAATAGAGGAAAAAGCAGCTCTAGAAAAAGATCTTCTAGAAAAGATTAGAAATTTCGAAGATTTAGTTTCCAAGAACAAAATTGAACTTGAAATTGCCAATCAAGAAAAAGAAAACTATGAGAAACAGATTAAGGACATGAAAAATACAATTGATCAACTGAAAGCTGAAATGAAAGATCAGCCAACTCGTATGTCGACCGATTCTTTAGAAATGATGATGTCTAGAGAGCCATCTTTCGAACAGAAAATCCTGGAGTTGAAAAATACTATTCAAAAACGTGACGAAGAAACTGCTGAATACATGAAGAAACTCGAAGAATTAACGAAAGCTAATAGCAGATTACTAGAGGAAAGCGAAAAATTGAGAAGTGGTCTACAAACTGCTTACGCTCAATGTGCAATTTTTGAGGAGAAACTTGATCAAACTTTGGCGCTTGGTGATTCCACGGTGATGTTGGACCAGACTGAAATACAGAACTCAACATTTAATCTTGAGGAACTTCTTCTCAAACAGACAAATTACAACAATGTACTGATTAAGCTAGACTCATGTAGAAAGCAGCTTCAAGATTATGAGGACGAAAGAGCTAGATTGTTGAAAGAAATTGAGGAGAAATCCAAAGAGAAGGAGGTTATTCTTGGTAAATATTTTCTTTCATTTTACATTCAGTTGTATTATATTAAATGACTTAAATAAGTAATTTTTTATTAAATATTTAGCATCCGTGCAGCAAAAGGAAGAGCAGCACCGAGAGGAATTAAATGTTATGAAAATGGAATCGGAAGCTGAGTCGCAAAAATTTGAAAAGTTGTTGCGTAATTTTGAAGAAGGTAATGAAGGGCTGAAGCAGTTGAGAGACGATTTGGAAGAAAAACACGCGAAGGAGATGGAAGAATTGCGTACATATTTTGAGCAAAAATGTTTACATTTAGAAAAACAATATTCTGAAGAAGTCTTCAGTCAACAGTCAAAGAAAATGTCAGACAATGACAGCGAGCTTGAAGAATTGACGGAAGATTTGTATGTTGGTGGACTTGGTGGAGGTGGTGATGCAGAAGGCAAATATAAATATTTTATTAAATGTTTTTCTATTCCTCATTTACATTAACTACATTGCAATATATAATTTCAGGTGCGTCCATCGGAGAAGCAAAATCTGAATCTAATCGTACTGCTTCAGCTGATGGAAACGAAAAAATTGCTCAGGTCATATCCAAGTATGAAGAAAAGTTAGAAATTCTTAAAATACAACTCAACGAGGAAAGAGAAAAATCTGGACGTACTATGCTCCTGAAAGCTATAAATCAGGTAAATTTCAGTTTGCTCCATATGTTAATTATAAATAAATTATGTCTTTTATTTTACGTTTTATGGTGCTGGGTGTATAGCTTTATTAAATATCGAGGTTGACCCAGAATCATAATGCAAAAATTGCTTTATTACATTGAAATCATTTAAAAAAAATAGTATATTTTTATTATTTTGCCGTGAGCAGAGCATGTCTTGTTTATTTTCATAAAAACATCATACTACATAATCATTCATTCGTGTTTGTGACTAACGATTGTCTCTCGAAAACTCGCATGTAGTTTAGTCAAACGGAGCAGAACAGCAGTTGCAACAATGACTCGTCTATGCAGGAGAGTTGCGAGTTGAACGAGTTACGTGCGGATTACAATCGGCAACTCGAGGAACAAGTTGGTCTCGCTCGTGTCGACATTATCAATGCCCTACGAGAGCAGATTGAGGTATTTGTCGTGAGCATGTTTGTTAAGTCTTTTATGTTTTTGTCAGTCATCGCAATTTATTGTTTTATAAATTCTGTAAAAACCATTATTTGAACTTGAAATATATTTTTAGGCATTAATTACTATGGAATCGGAATCCGACGAAAACTGGCCAACAGAGTTGCTTGAATTGCGTAATAAATTCACAAGTAACACAAAACGAGAGATTCAGACTCTCAAGGAGAAGCACCTTCATGAGATCAGATGTTTGAAAGAAGAAAGCAATCAAGTTATTAACGAGTTGCAAGAGGAGATCAGAAGAATTCGTACTGAGACTCACGAATCTTTGCAGAGTAACCTGATGAAAGAAAGGTAATAAATTCAGTCTTTGTTAATTTATGATTTTGTATTTTAGCAATGTAAATAATTTGTTTGTATTTACTTTACAGAGACACTCTTCATAAGACTTGCGAAACACTTAAAGGTTTAGTAGGCCAGCTGATTGACTACTTCGTAGATTGTGAGGAGGAGCTGAACAATACTTTGATTAATGAAATTCTCAAGAAGCAAAGTCTCACTCGTGCGGATTCTAGTTTCGAGAATGATAAGGTCAAAAGAGTTCATTTTGCTCCGCAATCCGGTGAGATTGCATCTATAATCAGTAGCGATAGTGATTTGCAACAGTTGATTAATAGCGAGAAAGATATTATGAAAATTATGAAGAAAGATTTGGACGCTTGTCTACAGAGATTGAGAGTTGATAGTGCGAGGATTATGAATATTTCTAGTTCAGATTCCGAATCATGGTCTATCGGCATTGGGTAAAATGATACTCATTTATTATTCAATTGAATTTTGTGCTATTTTTTATTTCAATTTTCGCTTTCAATTTTTTAGTGCTTATTCATGTAATTTGTAAAATGTCAATATATATATAATATTATTATGTAAAACAAAAGTTACGTGTTAAATAAAATTTTGAAATTGTTTTCTTTTTCAGCGATAATCAAAGTGAGAGACTAACCGAAACGGAAAAGCTTCTCGCCTGCTTCCAGGAAGAGAACGAGCACTTAAAAGTCAAGATAATTGACCTGCAACAGCGTCTCATCAATGCGGAGTCCAAAAAGGAAGTCATCTCCGAGGGTTACGGTGAACAGGATACTACTGGATGCGACGTCAACGAAGATTTTATGCAATTGCAAGATCGTGCGAGGAACGTTGTGATGCACGGCAGTAATGATACAACATATCTTATTCAAATAATCGACGATCTTTGCAAACAAGGGGACAAGAAAGAAGAAGATCTAAAGAAGGAGAGAGAAGATCTACAACATCAAGTAATATCAGAATATTTTTCTTATTTGCGTGCTTGGCATTCATTGCATGATGGTTGTTATTTTTTTTTTATGGCACAGTAGATTAACGCTTAGATTATCATGTATTTATATATAGTACTTCAAAAAAAGTCCTGCGTAATCATTATATTATTGGTTAATTCACACGAGTACAAGGAAAAGGATGTAGAAGGAAGGATAAGTTTGTTGTTCTGTTTGCCGGCAGGTCTCGTTAGTTCTCCCCACTCCTACCCCAAACATGAGCGAGCTCCGCTGCTCAAAGGTAAATAACACAAATTCAGTCTTTCCGCGTTCAGCATCTTCTCTACCACCATGTGCAACTACATCCCTACCTTCGCTAATAATGCGATTATCAAACCAAATGGAATTATGGTGACGGGTCGCAAGATCGTTTCTTTTCGAGAAGTAATGATTTTCAATATTCGATGTATATATGTATGTATATGTATATATGTATGTATGTATGTATATACACAACATACACACACGCATATACATATGTATGTATTATGCATGCAAAAGAATTTTTATATATTTTAGTTGTTGTCGATGTTGTATATACTGAAGTGATGTGTATTAAACACGTGTTTACTTATCAATTGGCATGTAGAGGTATAAAGATTTACATTGGTTTAGTGATTTTAGATTTTGTGGATGCACTTTTTTTCGTTGTTTGGTGTAACTTGTTTTCAGATGACGTGCTAGTTAATCAGTGTTGGTGGAAGAATATTAATCGCGTAATCATTTGAGAATCATAAATTTTTTAAATAAAGAATAACAGTCATGTTGAAAATCATTGCTGAAACATACATGGGAAATACGCTTAATTAGCTTCCATTGCTTTGTTGCAGACTAAAACGATTTGATTTTATTTTAATAGAAATGAAAAGTTTTTGAACCTACGTTTTGAAAAACTGCTCGACAATTTCAAAATGCTTTGGCAGAATACATGCCAACAGAAAGCAAAATTTTAATTAATTCTGTTTGAATGTCTGTTGTACAATGCCTGTTAATCTAAATAATTTCCTGATGATAGATTGAAGCTGCCGATAAACAACTGCGGTCAACTCGCAAATTCCAAGAGGAGCAAGCAATCGAACGTGAAAATGAACGTGACGAAGCTGCCAAGACCATCAAATTTCTTGAAGATCAATTAAAAGAGCAGAAAGAAAGATCTTTACGTCTTGGCAATGAGGTAAAGAATATTAATTTACGAGGTATCACTTATATTTACCTCCAGTTTTTAATTTTTTAAAGTTGGCCACGTAATGTTTACACGAGTACTTATTTGGGTAAAACAATTGTGTTTTGTGAAGGATAAATTATGAATGTTTTTTTAACGATGAGATTTTTAATGATTTTCACAAGACACAATGGTGGTAGGTTTTCTTAATGCACAATTATTAATTGAAATTTATACTGATGTTTACTGTCCTCAATAAAAATAACAAAAATAGTTATCTAAAGAAGATTTGCACTAATTACTTTTTGATCAAATTGATTTGAGCTGAAGCAGCTTATAACACTATACACTGCTATATAATGTTATATTAACACAATTTTATGCGGAGAAAAAACTACTCAAATTGTTGTGGTTTAAAAAATAAAAAATAATAGTTTTTAAGAAAACAGAGTAGCGCATCCTCCAATTGGTTGAAGGTTTTTTCTCTATGCACTGTGGTTTTGGTTTTCTTTTTTTGGTTTCTCTGTTTGTCGCACACCTAATTGCAAAAAAAAAACAAACTTAGCAGTGTGCGCTATCACCTGCCTCGTCAACCGCGAGCAGCTCTACGCTTCGACCGAGTGACGAATCCGAGGTCGAACTCTCATCAGTGAGTGTTTAATTTTATGCACACATACCTATACACGTTTGAATATTCACCATAAAATTTTGAAACTGTAGTCCGTATAAAAATCTCTTGATGATTTGTGAAATTATGTTATTTACAAATATGAATGCGATTTATTTTTAGAGTCGGGCTATAATAATAAAATGTTCAGATTTTAAAGTAAACTTTACTTAATTTTTTATTGTCATGACAATTAATGTAGGTGAAGTCATATATGAAAAGTCATAAATATGTAAAGTTTAGAATACTTACAACATCGAAAATTTAGTAAGCAAAAGGTATATTATTATAGAACTGGTAAAATAAATCTAATGGCAAGCTTGATACAGCTTCATGGTAAAGGTTTCAAATTAAAAAAAAATTAAATCTTTACAAATATTAGTAAATCGGTATATTCACAATTGCATGCTCACCTAACGCTCGAACTAAACACGCTTCACTATATAATTTGAATTTTATCTCACTCTTATCCTCAATCACTCCAACATAAGATCTTCACTTATAAACGCCTCGATTAAATTAGATGGAATCCGTTACCGGACAGTTAACCAAATTGGAGCGTCAAAATAAAGAACTCGATTGCGAGCTGAAGGAAGCCGTTGCTAAGATTTGGGAGCTCAAGGACATCATTCGCGATCTCGAGCAACAGATGCTCGCAAAAACTGATAGAGAGGATATTTTGAATAATCAAATTCAACAGTTGGAAGAAGTGATTATGGCACAGACTAAAAATCAACAAGATCTCGTGCAAGAACTCGAAATTGTGAAATCTGGAAATGAAAATGCACAGTTGAGTGATCACATTGGACATCTACAGGTTTGTACATTTTTTATCATTTGTAAATTACATGTATATAGAATTAGCTGTATCATTTATTTTCACACAGGAGGAACTACGCAAACATCAACTGAGTTCCGAACAATTAACCGCCAATTCATCCGCTCTACGTCAACTTCGTATGGAGATTCGCGAATTACAAACAGCGATGGATCGCAAAACTCGTGAACTTGAATCATTGCACGTATGCGGCTCCAGTTTGAGTATTAGTCAGCCAAGCGAGGATGTATCGATTCGCGATCAAATTGATGCAGCGAGATGTCCAACACCCGACGATCCAACATCTCCTCCAATTTTGCCATTGGATCATGTCTTAAAGTTGAAGGATACTCTTGTGAAGCATTTTAGGGCTGAAGATGTAGCGTTGAAAAGGCTTAAAGATTTAGAGATTCAGTTAGGTAGCCTGCAGGTGAGATTTCACATCAATAAATTAAAACTTCATAGCTTTAAATTTTTTTATGATAAAATCTTATTCGTCCATTATTGATTGATCTACATAATTCTTATTTAAGAAAAACGCCATTTGAATATTTATCAATACTTAATAAAACAATTCATTACAAACAAAACTGAATAAAAATATTTTATTTATAGCGACAAAACGAAGAGCTGCTTGCTGAGCAAGAACTTATGCAACAGACGACATCTGAGCAGCTTTTCCAGATAGAAACTCTTCGTGCTAGGCTCGAGCAGCAGAAGCAAAATGCGCCATTTGCTCAGCGACAAGTCACCTCGCGACTCGAAACTCAGCTGTATGAAATCAATGACAGGTTGGAAGTTGCCGATCGCGCTCTCGCCGATAAAAACATGGAGGTAATAATATAAATTTAAAAAATCATTTATAATATGTTATTAACGATTAATTATCCTGCTTATGAATTTTAATATACAACGCACTCTTCTTTCATTTTAAGACATACGCATTATATGATTAAGCTTTGAGAATGCTATTTAACTTTTGATTACAGTTGAATGAAGTGAAAGACCAGCTAGAACGCGTGACTCGTCTATTAGCCGACAAAGAAATGGAAATAGCAAATGTCGTTCATTCAGAAAGTGACGTTATGAAAAAGCTAAAGGATAGATTAGAAATAGTCGAGGAAGAGAATCGATTGATGCAGGTAATTTACTTCTCATTTGAAAATTATTAACCTGTTAATCGGGGAAATCCCTTTCTAATTACGCAACGTATAACGGGCGCGTTCTTTTGCACTAAGACGTGTATGAATGACGTATTACCATAGTAGTAGTAAAATATATGTCCCGCCCGTTCCAGGGCGCAATATAAATATCGAGGACGTATTCATATGTCCTACCTGTACCCGATATTGTTTACTTTTGACGTATTTATACGTCCCGCTCGGTTAACAGGTTAATTATGATTTCGATTAATAAAATACAATAATAAATTTCTTTTTTTCTGTCAGACAAAGATCCATGCACAAGATAAAGGCCAAAATCTTCCTCAAATAATCGACTCAATGCTAGCTGAGAAAAACGCCGAAATTGATCATCTAAAGGAACAATTAGTTCACCGTGAGAAACAGTTAGAAGTCTATTTGTCTATTGACGAAGCTCAACTTCGCGAATTACTTCGTCAGAACGAGACTCAACAAAAGCACAGCGCCAGAACGCTCAGTGACATTCTATCTATTAATTCTGAATGCGAGGATGCTTGCGAAGCAATACGCGAGGCACCAAACTTCACGCGTTCGCAGAATATTTCACTTTTCAAACTGCCAAACTCTGATACACTTCCTGGTAAGCAGGATATCGTAGATTTCTCACATCCGATCACAGAAACACCAAGAGTGCCGAGGCTTGAGCTTGGCTCAGCAGAACATAGCGATGCGGAGCATATCGAGTCTAATGTCGAAACTTCTAAAGAGGTATTGTATATTTTATAATTTACGTAAACAAATTCAAAAGATAATATTATTCTTATTTAAATAATTTATGTAGCAGTTCTTCCACATGGAAGTACAACCACACAGTGAAGTTCCTTTGGTTAACATTACAACCATTCACGAGTTGTCTAGTGGAACTCACGAAGACTCGACAAATTCAGAAGATTCAGATGATGTGTGTCCTCGCCACGGCAAAGTGAGTAACGCAAATAACTCCCTACCACACAACAACGAGACTCTTATGTACAATGCCCAAGCCATCCAGAGAATTAATGGGCTTGAGTGCCATATAAAAGTTCTTAAACAAAACTTGCAAGTAAAAACTGAAGCTCTTGAGCAACGCGAGGCTGAACTCACAGAGATTCAGAATAGTCTTGAGCAATTGCAAGAAAACATCGAGTCGTTGAATGAAGATCGCTTATTCTATAAAGCAGAATACGAAAAATCCAAGGATAATGAAAGTAAGATTCAGCGCGATCTCGTGGAAGTGGAGAATACCTTAAAAGATAAAATTGAAGAGTTTGAAGAGTACAAGAAACGTTATCAAATCGACGAAAAGATTCTTGCTGATGAGTCGAGGCGTCTTAAGCGTAGCGAAGCAGCTTTGCAAGAGAAACTCATGGAGGTGACTAATCTTAAGGAGATTATTTCGGAAAAGGAACTTGCCATTGCCACACTGCAAACCCGAAATACGGAACTTGAGGACGAATTAAAAGAGCTACAAGATTTCAGGCGAAAGCTCGATACATATAAGCAGGAAATCGCCGAGTATCATAGTGAGATTCGAAGATTGAGCGAAGGATTAAATAGTAGAGATCAGATGATTAGGAGGCTTGAAGAAATGGCGAGAAGAAGTAGTTTGTCAGGTGACTCTTCACCTAGTGAGAAAGATCAGGAAATTTATCATCTTCAGGAGTACTTGAAGGTACGAAATATTATTAGTTTTATCATTTACAGTCTTAATTACATCGAAGAAACGTGATTTTTCCTTCAATCTATCCCATTGATCATCCCCAGCATCCAACATCCTACTTTTCCTTGCAGTTTCTGCAACAATGCTTATATAATCCTTCAAAATTAAAGGAAAAGGACAAAGTGATTCGTCAGATAAACGATGATAGCAAGAGCCTTCACCGTGCTCTCGAAACCATTCAAAATAAAATGAAGGAATCGGGTAACGTCGTGGAATTACGACGAAAAATCAAAGACGAGCGTAAACGTAACGTTGAATTAGCCGAGGAGAATGCTAAACTTCGTACCGAAGTTGAAATGCTTGGACACGCTCGGCGACCAGACGAGGATCATGATATTACGGAAATGGTACAGAGGGAGCTGAATCTCTCGGCTAGATTGGACCAACAACTAATGAATGTGATTGATAGCGAACCTGATGGAGTATTGAAGAAGTGTGGAGATCTTAAACAAGCGAACAAAGAGATCGAGGAACTGACGAGATTGAAGAATGATTTGGATATCGAAAAAGAAATGTTGAAGTCTCAGGTTAGTTTTGAAATTTCATACAGCAATTTAAAAATTATAAATTGTTTTTTTTTCTTTCGTAAAAAATATAAGTACAAATGTAACTATTAATATACATTTTGTTTTGTATTTGATTAAAGATCAGCGAATATGAGCGGCGAATCCAAGAACTTAAATCTGACGTGGAAGAAGAGTCTCTAAAAGTCTTGAAATTGGAAGAATTTTTATCGAAAGAAAGACATTTGGTAAGACAATTGCAGATACGAATGCAGAGAGAAAAACGGGAAGCTGAAGAGAACAAAGATAAAGACACAGAATTGATTACAATGCTTAGAATAAAATTAAATGAAGCGTTGGAGGCTAGAAACCGACTTATCGATGAATACAAACATCTTGAGATGATGAACGCTGCGAGAAAAGGCTTACCAGGTATTTAACAAAAAATTTATAATTATATTAGTTTTAATTAATACTGTAAATAATAAATATAAAAATTAATTTAATTAATATTGCACAATCATTATTGTTTAGCAGTTAACGTTCAAGAAGACTTCAAGAAGTTGCAAACTGAACTAACGGAAAAACTTGAAGCAGAAAAGCGAAAAACCGAAGAAGTTCAAGATGCCCTTAGCAAGATTTCATCTGAAAAAGACCGCTTGCAAAGTCAATTCGAAGCTGCAAAAGCTGAAATTGAAAAGCTTACAAATAATTTCGAAATAGCTGATTCCACAAAGGATCAACTCAAAGCAGATCTACGAAAAGCTAAAGAGGAGTTGAAAGCTCGGACAAAAGAGTGCGAATGGCAGAAATCTCTTCTCAAAACCGTCAGTGATGCTGAGACGAAGAGAACCCAGCATCGCACTAATGCTGATGCTGAATTGAAAAATACGAGAAGAGAACTTAAAAATGCGCAAGAAGTTATGGTAAATTTTATGTTTTTTTAATTTTTAATAATTTTAATGAGTTAATAGTGGGAAATGTACTTTTAAAAACGATAATATTACAAAAAAGGATAAAGTACAGATTATATTCCTTAAAATAGCTTGTTTATTTACAGAACGACTTCGAAGCTGACATGAAAACTCTTAAGCTTCAACTAAACGAAGCGGCAGAGCGTGAAAACCAGCTTAGTCTTGCAGTGGCTTCTCTCACAGATAAGGAAACAGAACTAACTGAGAAACTTATTGCTGCTAAAGCTGAAGATAAGAAACTACGAGAACTTATTGCTGAACAGCAGGCTGAATTGAAACGCTATCTTAGTCGAGAGTTGGATTATGCTGATGATTTGAGGAAGGTGAGAATGTTATATGAAAATGGAAGTTCACCGAGTAAAGTTTGGAATAGAGTTAAGGTGAGTTAAATAAACATTAAAGAAGTATTCTTTAAAAATAAATTTATCGAATTTATTGTAACTGAATTTCTGTGTATAAGTTACGTATATAATGTTCTATGTCGAAATCCTAAAACATAGTTTATTTTATCGCAGGAATTGAATGCTACAATTGAAAACCTGTCAAAAGATAAAATGAATTTATACGAAAAAGTTGAGCGCATACGGGAAGAAAATAACAGGTACCTTGAACAGATTCGATTCTTAGAAAGTCAACTCGCGCAAAAGATGTCTAAACCGTCCAATATCAATCGACAAGACTACGAAGAAAGAGTAAGTTTTACAATCTGTTTTTAAAAATAACTTTCTTTTGCTTCAGTTTCTTATTACATTAAATTTGTTGCCAGTTGCAACACTTTTACGGAAAGTATCTTCGCTCCGAGAGTCGACGCAAGGCGCTCATCTACCAGAAGCATTACCTCTACTGCATCGTATCGAGCTATCAAATAGTTCAAGAAAATACTGTTTCCTTCCTGGCAGCACTCACTCAGGCGCAACGTGTTTATGTACGTCCTGGTCCCCATCGAAAAAATGCCAAAGTCAGGTTCCGTGCCGCTATTCTTGTTGTCATTGGACTGCAGAGGATGAAATGGTTGATTCTGAGGTGGCGAACGGGAAGAAGAGTTGGTGCTAATGTTGTCTTGGGAAGTATGGACCGACCGGTCATCTACCAACCACCCACGCAAAGGGCTCCTCTTATCGGATCAGGACATTCACCGCCAGTCAAGGAAAGAACAATTAAGTAAGCTAGAACATACTTTTTTGTAGCTAGTTTTGTCAATTTTAATATTATTATGCTTTCAAAAACAAGTTTCATTTTATGAAAAATCTAGAGTACCATGTTATTAAGTTAAAGCTAGTTGAAGTTTGATGGCAAAATATGATTTTTTTTTACAGTAGGACTAGCTATTTCTCTCAAGATCCATATTTTCGGCGTTTCACAGACATTCAACAAAACCTGCACCTGCAAGTACCTGAATCCAACGCCAATACATTCAAAGTGGATTAATTAATCGTGTTGATTATTAATTGTGTATATAAGTGTATATTTATGGAGCGTGTGTTTAAATATTTATATTTGTGAACGAGATTTTTACGAGCAAATGTTCTTTTTTTTTATTTATCTACTTGCGACTACGGAAAACGAGCGAAAAACATCGTCACTCCGTTAAAAACTACATCGAACCAAAGCCTAATTGTTGTAGTGTAAGCAATGAAAAAAATGGAGAAAAGTACTCTTTGCGACGACACGCGAGTCGTATAATTCTTGGTTACCAAACTGCGATCGAAATTCGATCAAAGATTGAAGTTTACCAGTGCCTTGGATTGAGATACCAGCGTTTTTTATTGAAAATAAATAATAAAGATTACCAGTTTTAACATTGTACCTATGCGTTTCATTGCCTTAATCTAATTATTATCCTTATAAAAACATTACAAATAACTTTTTTCCCCGTAAAAATTCATTTCTCATGTACAATTTACCATACATTTTTTATTCAGTATAATACTCGAATAATAAAGACGACATCATGCCTACATGACTACGTTACATATTCCATGGTTACACAATGTACAAGTTTACTATTATAATCTGTAAATGCTGATTTAATCGTTGAAATTTGAAAATATTTTAATTCCCTTATCGTAAGCGTTCCAGCGTATTTCACAGGCATTTCCTCGAAACCACAAGACTCAGGCAAGCATTCGTAAGCATCCCGATACTGCAAAAACATGAAATTCTAGCGTAACTGCATGTCTCACACATTTTCCCCTCCATGCGGTAAGCGGCTCTTTAAAGCCCCACCACGTGATTCCATTTCCCGCCTTAAACCTACAGCTATACCTCATGCTACAGTCTAAGCTCCTTTTCTTTCTCTCTCTATCTCTCTTTCTTGCTCGTGTATATCTATATAGGTTTTCCGCACAAAGAAAATTTACGTGCTGCGGCGGCGCGTCGCCGCCATTGTGAACGCGCCATCAGTTTCCCGCGCGCGCAAGAGGAGAGCGACTCAGCGATCGTGCACGCACGACCAGCGGGGCACAGTCGAGTCGGAAGCAGAATTTTTAATACATAACGCAATACGCATACCGCAATCAGAAGTCAGAGACAGAAAGAGCGGCAAAGATTTATTATACACTATGGCGAGTAGTAGCATCGTCGAGACGATGCGTACCCTCAAAGAAGTCAGCTCACCTCAAGAGTCGCGTATATTAGCCCTCACCTCACTGAGGAGGTAAGCAGAGAGTCGTGCGCGCGCGTGTGTGTGTGTTGCTTTTTGTTCTTTTTTGATCGAAGCCATCAAGGGCCACCGCCGCAGCGCAGCGCGCCAAAAACTAGTCACCGCCTGTTGCGGCTTTTTCGCTTTTTGGAGGGAGTTAGTACATTTAGGCTTGCGTCGGTCCTCCTCCCTCTTAACGTTTCATCCTCACTTGGAGACGCCGTTCGTTCTTGTTGAAGTCTTACTCGATACCTAATTATTAACCATGAGTTTTGTAAAAAGAATTGGTGGTGTGACGTTTGTAATGCAAGTGGTTTAGTATTTTTGTAAAAAAGTAGCTCATGAATTGATCGATGTAATTGATTAACAACACAATCACGATACGACTCCATGTTGCAGGTCTCAGCTGCAAGACGACAAGAAGATAATGTCGTTGAAAGATGGTGAATTTTGCGAGCTGTGCAATGCGGTTATCGAAGCGAGCCTTACCGACGACGAAAAACTCCACATCGAGGCATGTCGTACCCTCGACATCGTTTTGCCTGAAACGGTCAACAAGAGTTTCGACTTTTTCAAGTCAATTTTGCAGATTAATCGGAAAAAGAGGTACATAAAATGCACTGTAATTTTACGTGTAATTTGTTGGATGAGACTGAATGTTAATTGTTATGAATTGCAGGCTGAAGTTACTTGAGTCTCTGAGTATCTTAAAGGATGATACAGTGTCAGTTATTGGCAACAAACCCTCTGTCATTGATTTCTTTAATAACTGTTTTGACACTGCTCAACCTAAAACTATGGAGTGGTTGCGAGATGAAAATGCAGACAATATTGTTCTCCTTAAGAATTTGGAGAATCGAACACTATCAGAATCTGATGAGCTTGAAGAGAAATTTGTTGATCAAGCGCTGAAGTTTCTTGCAAGACTATGTGGTCTCTCATCATTGGGTCTCAATGTCAGACAGTTTGACACATTTATAATGGAAAAAGTGGTTCCACTAGCATATATGGGTCACAGGAAACAGCGAACAGAAGCGCTTAATGTTCTCCAGTTAGCTATCAAGAATGACATTGGCCTCAGAATCAAATCGTTGCATAGAGAGATCTGGGAGAAGTACAAGATTACTTTGCAAAACTTCTACTGCAAGAGGATGCTGCTTTTGGTTAACTCTTCTGAGCCTGATTGGGCTGCACTATGGGAAAATAGTATCACATTTATTGGTACTGATTTACATCGAGGCTCTGGATTAGTAAATAGTTTGCTCAAAGTTGAGGAAATTGCTTTCAAATCAGCTGATCCAAACAGAAAGTAAGTATTTCAGTATTGCACTGCGTTTGATCATTTTATTATGCTTATATTATGCAATCTCTAACACTTGTAGGCAAGCCTTTTTATCCTGGAAATTGTTGATTGATAATTTTGCTTTGGATCAACATGAACTTGCAACAACGCGTCGTATAAAGCTTCTGTGTACTCCACTGAATGCCAAAAATAGCAAAACAGAAGTGATGGTACTTACAAAATTAGAAGTCTGGTGGCATCTTATCTACAAGGTGTATCCTAGCATATCAGAGTGTGTAGATTCAGTGCTCATTCCATTTCTTAATATGTGCTTTGGACCATTTGGCGATAAACCATTATTTACTCAAAAAAGTGATAGCAATGTTTCTCTAGGCAAGAAGTTTCCTAAAACTCAGTTATTTGCAGTCAATGCTTTGGTACAGTTAATTGTAGACAAAAAAAATGAGTCAACAGCTATGTTGTCAATGATACAAGAGAAACTTCCTAGTCCTGTGAATAGTGCAGTTTTTGAGAGTAAATACAAGATTTTTATACATTGCTTTGGAGAAGTGCTTCTTAGCCTAAGTTTATTGCCTGATGAGGAAGTTCAAAATAAATCTCTAATTCCTAAAATCATCTGGGATAGCCTTATCAAACGGATAGGAGAGTACGATAAAATGAAAGTAAGTATAAACACCAATAAGGTACTTAGAAATTGTAAAGTATAATTTTTCTTATTTATGAATTGATGTTTAATGTGGTAGGTTCCAATGTACAAAGAAATTGGGAGTGTTATAGTTGAGTTAATAAAAAATAACTTTCATAAAATGGCTCTCATCAAGAATTTCCTTTTAGAAGTCGTGCTCAAGAATTTTAACAGTATTTCGAATTATATTCAATTCACTGAGCAAATCCTAGCAGATTTAATCAATCTATATCTTCAAGTAAATCACTTCTCTGGTTTTTCTCAGTAAGCATTCTACTAAACAATAACAATCATTTTTTAACAACTACTTATGAACTATTTTAATTTATAGTGAAAATTTTATTTCAATTGAGACACTCTTAATGCATCTTATCAAGCCTAAAGATTCTAACACCTATTATCCAAAAACACTTGAAATGATGCAAAAAATTCTTCAAATACTAGATGATACCAGAAAAAATAAGTCTCATATGTAAGTATACTTATATTTAAGGAATACATGTTCATCTCATAAGTATTATGTAACAAATATATTTTTGAAGGTATGCAACTTGTGAAGTATGGTGTATACTTGCAAGAATAGCCAAGAAATATGTAGAGGATGAGCAGCCAATCAACGAGAGTAATTTGATTGAACACAAATTCGAGACTATTGAGAACATTATCAAGTTTCCATTCGTCAGTCTATATACAGATAATCGACTTCAAGTAAACTATTTTACCTTCAATTAAAATATTTTACATATGTATGTATCTCATAAAAAAATTGTTTCCGCAGTTAAAATCAATGGCAGAGGCATGGATGGAACTGTATAAACAATTTGATTTGCAAGCAGAATTGATGGTGACGGTAAAGCCAAATGAGATTCTTAGTCGTACGTCTAACATGATTATTTTGGCTTTGAAGTGGGAAAAGAAATGTTATGAATTTGCTGCTGTCTGCATTGATGGTCTGCTTTCTGTTGTTAGCTATAATGAATTACCTGGTTGTGAGTATTGCTTCTTTCAAACCTATTTTTTCAATCAACAATGAATTAAATCATTATTTGTTTGTTGCAGCCTCAGAGATTCCACCATTTCTCATACTTTTGAAAAGCCTAAGTGTACAGTGTTTATCAAATAAAAGCTTCGCCACGGATAAAGTATTAAAAGCTTTTTCATCGTTTCTGCTCGGTGTCTTTAATTACAGTGTAGAAAAAACTGCTGTTTACCTGAAAGTATCTGAACCAATGGTCAAAATATTGCTCAAAACGCAAACAGACGATACCAATTTAGAAAAAGAGATCTGCAGAACTTGGCATACAATTGTCAGTCTTTTTAAAAAGCTTCAAAAGCACTTCAACTATGAATTACTTAGCTGCTATCGACCAACAATTATTATGGCTATGTTACACCTTAACGACGAGATTTCATCGGCTGCTCTGTCAATGCTAGATATGAAAGATAGCGTTGATGACAAAATGAGACAAGCAATTGACGACATCCTGAGCGAACTTGAACAATCATCTGTAAAAAGCAACCAACTAGTTGATGAAAAGAAAGCCAAAAAACCCAAGCTCCCGTCGATAAAGTCTGTTGGTAGTTTTCTTAATCGTAGAACTACCAGCCCTTCTGGTTTTAAAAGAGATATTAATGGTAAAGAGATCACAGCGAAGAGTAAGGTCGTTAACATCGAGCCTGATTCACAAGTATGATTCATCTTACTTTCCAAATTCAATCTTCAAACCCGTACTATTGTAATGAAATTCATATGCAGTAGCTTATTGTCCTTTCATTTTTTATTTTATAGGATTTCGTTGTGATAAACACCGACGTCAAGCTCGATGTGAATCGACTAACGGATCACCAAAAGGATATGCTGAAAAAACGTCGCGAAGATATACCAGCGATGTACAATGAACTCACAGTTTCTAATTCACAAGATACGCAACAGCTGCAACAGTGGTTTGACTCTAAGTCCAGCGTTAATAACAACGAGATCGCCGTACCTAAAAGTGCCTCTTCAGACACGCTACACTTCAAGAACATCATGCAAGCGTTCCCTGAAACACAGCCCAAGAAAATAGTGACGTGAGTACTTTTTTTTTTAAATTAATTGATGGTACTGTTGATGATTGATGATAGTCTTAAAATTTAGTTCATAATGATTTATTTGGCGATGTTTTTTCCAAAACTTTCATTTTTAATTTAAATTAAATTATGGAATTCAGATTAGATTTTAAAAAATTAATAGAGAAATCGAATTTTTAGACAAATAAATTAAATTAGAATGTATAAAATTTCTCAAAAAATTGCGAAAAAAATCATGTATTATTCAATATAAGAATTCAGGTTCAACATTTTTTGTTTCAATGCGAGAAAATAAAACATACTAATATTTCGAGGAATTGAGCTTTGCATGCCATTCATGTGGAAATGATATCTTTAGAATCATTCGTAATAAATTATTCCCTAATCTACATTGATTTTTTTACATTGTACATCATATAACTGAATTATAAGCACTTTAATTGAATCATTTGGAAGTACAACGATTCAGACGAATCGTAAATAATTTTTTTTTCACGCTTACAAAGTTTACAAATTTAAATCTACAAAAAAAATTTACAGCTCGCCAACAAGTTCGCCAAGAGCGCAGACAAGACGACAGTCAGCAGCGGCAGCAGCGGCGGCAGCGACAGCAACGGAGGAAAGCTTGCCGAATCAGCAAAACGAAAAGTCGGTCGAGCAGTCGTCAACCATCGTCAAAAAATTGGACTTTGAGTCGCACGACGAGTACCCCGTTGTTGACGGCGATAATACACCAGCTGAACAAGTCTCACCGTCGATGATTGACCAAACGAATAAAATGCGTCGGAGGAGTATGGCCGAAGAAAACAATGCTATCAGTTAGTTTTTCTGTTCATACTTTTGTTTGTTTTCACGGTGTGGTTCAATGCTACATGTTATAATATGCTTCTGCAGTCGTGCATTTGTGCAACGTATAGTCTATCGAGCGCGATTTGCCGATAATAATTTAATGGTACAGCTGTGCAGTGCTGGATTTACCGCTTCGTTAAGAAAAGTGAGTGGGATTTTGAATAAAAATTGATCATGGGATGCTGAAAACACCTAACCTAAAAAAATAAAAAATAAAATTTATATCGCGTAGCGTGCATATGTGGGAGGCGGGAATCAGTGAGAATATTCAAAAAGTCAGGTAATAATGTAGGTCATGTCTTTCTAGTTGATTGATTACACAGCTGCATCGAAAGATTACCACAGATACCATTAATTTGACGTTGGCATTCATACCAGCAATGACAACTATCGTGAATGCACGTTATTTTTATGCGTCTAGAAATCGAATAGCGAATAGCTTGACTTATTAATAATTAGAAATTGACTTTTGTCGATCTCTTAATTTGAAAAATGAATATTGAAACGAATTGAAAATATAAAATATCACAAAAAATCATCAATTTTTTACAGACTCGGCAAAGAACAATCAATCGAGATTGACAAGACGCTCGCTGCAGCAGCCACTAGAGAAAACGGGAACTCTACGAAAATACAACAGTAACGAGCAGCTGATGGGCAGTAAACGTGGTAGAAAACGACGCAACTCAGAAACCAGCTCAGAGGGTACCTTGGACGTTGAGCGTGAGAAACGACCTAGAAAGGACAGCACGAATGAAGTACTCCACACCAGCGAAGAGAGTAACAAGTTTATCGAATGCACGGTGAGTTTTCAATTTCTCAACGACAGAAAATCAATAGCGAATGTCTGCTATTTTTACAAAATGTATAGAACAGTAGAGTAAGTATATTGCAAAATGAAATTAGTAATTTCTGTTTTAATTGACGAACTGTCGTTTAATAAAAGTTGAAAATTATGATGATGAATTTAGTTCTGATTGAAGTAGCTAAATTAATTAAGTTAATGAGTTTTAATTTTTTCCTTTTATTTCAATAGCAAGAAATAGATGGCAAAAAGTTCTCTAAACGTCAGCTTAATGAAATGTCACGGCTAAAGATCGATATGGTGTTCAAGCCTCTGCCAAATCGTCGTAGTGTTGGCAAGGTAGGTGAAACTGATAAGAAGTCTTTACTCAAAGAGGATAAGCCAAAAGAAGAGTCCAACTCACAACCCGTCGTTAAAAGGCGTTCGATGAAAGGTAGTGTAATTATCGAGAAAGGAACGACTAATTCAGCAAAAGATGTTGAAAATAAGAAACCAGAAACCGCGCAGAACAAAGTTCGTGGCCTTAGAACTATAAATGCTGGTAAATCTGAATATACTGCTGCCAAAAAAAAACATGAAGTAGTGCCGGATTCGCCACAGGAAATCAACGTTGAGGATGTTGCCACACAGGAGGAAACTGTTGATAATATTAAAGAAAGTTTGAGTGAGTTTATTTAATTCTTTTTGCAGTTGTTATACACTTACTAATTAACCTCTTATTAATGCTTTATCGTATTTAAAATAGTCAAATCCACAATTCCCGAAAGCGAAGAGACACAAGAAAGCTTAAAGTCGTCGTCGCAGGAAAGCGATAAGTCATCGCAAGATTCAGATATTGTGGAGAGTTCACAGGAGCCGACTGTCTCGAAAATGGACAAGGTCGAGTGTTTCATAAAAATTGCTAAAGTAGAATTAACTCAGGTCTGAATACTAACACGGTAGTTAGCTCAAAAATGATAATGTTATATCTATCTAACTTACTTTTAACTTTCTTTAACAGACTACGGCAGTGAAAGACGAGGAAACAGAAAAAGAGTCGACGGTTATTCCAGCGACACAGTGTGGTTTAGACGATTCGTCTATATCAATTATACCGCCCACAGTCGAGAATGAGAAGCCAGTGCTTCTACAAGAAGCAAAAAGGCTTGAAAACAATAATGGTAAGATTTTTGTCATGTAAATTAAATTCGCATTTGATTAACAGTTGATTTCAGTTAAACAATATTTTTTTTAGGCAAACCAGTAGCACCAATAACATTGCTCTCCTCGCCAAAAAGTACACCAACTCGAGTTATTCGGTCGAAAGCATTCCCACTGCAAGGCCGTGCCGCTCAAATGTTAGGTCTTGTTACGAAACAATCAATTGCTGAAAAACTCGCAGCAGATGGTCTAAAAGAATCCGCGTTGACAGACGAGGTGACTATTGTACCTCTGCCAAAAAAAGATAAACTTATCGCAAAAGAACACGAACGAGTTTCAAGTCCAGGAGGTAGTAGACAAGTCAAGATGTTTAACAACATGAATAATAACAGCGTTCCTCAAAGATGTTCATCACCATTGATGAGTAAATTTAAAAATTTGAATAACGATGGGGAAAAAGTCTCGCCGAAACTTGACAAACACGAGTCTAGCGAGAAAGAAAGTTCACAGTCCAGTGGCGACGAGTCGCCGAATAGTAAATCTAGGAAGGAATTGCCATTATTAGAGTGGTCAAATGCTAATCCTCCGTCGTTGACAGCTTCGCCCAGTGCCAGTATTTTGAAAAGAAATCAAGAGATTGATGTGGAAACGCCAAATAGAGTGAGTTTACTATCCATACATGTTGGTAGAGTACAATTGGATTTTTGATTAATAAAACAAATATTTTTTCTCATAGAAAAAGCGAGTGAGCTTTGCTGACCCGCCAGTATCTCGCGAAATGGGTTATGAGATAATGACAGAAACATCCTCACCTCCACGACTGGAGAAACTTCCTTCGATGCGCAGTCCAAGTGCTCGTAAAGAATTTAAGCGTCAGTCAAAATTACGCTTCGTACCAATGGATTCAGACACGAAAGAAATCGAAGCGATCTCTCAACCTCTAGTGGATGATGAGATGATACCCTCAGCGAAAATTAAACTTGCCACCGTATTAACAGAGATCTCGATCGAGGAAGTGAAAATCAACGAGAGTACTGATAACGTAAAAACGTCAACGCAAGAAGATAAAAATGACACGTCTATCAAACTCGATTCAATTAATCTGTCGAATATTAACAGATCTAGTGATAATCGTCAAACATCGTTGGATGATACCGTTGATGTTGAGAACATATCGTCGAGTCTCGAAATGACACAAGAGAAACCAAATTCGATACCTGCGTCGCAAGGAAGTGGAGATGATAGAACCCTGCCGGTTACTGACTCGTTGTTTTCTAATTTGCCGCTTAGCCAGGAAACGCAGAACAGGTAAGTTTATTTTATTTTCATTGTCAACTTTTTTGTGATAACACATATTTTGTATCTGAGATTCCAGTAAAAGTACAATTTGAATATACGCTTTAACCTAATTAAGTTGAAATATCAGTGCGTTATTATTCCGCGTAAAATATAAAACATTACGTTTCACAATCGGTATGCTAAGTGCGCGTAAGTGTGCCACTTGCGAAACCGCAAAAAATGTAGACTTAGCACATACGAGCAATAACTTCTGTATTCATTGGATGGCGAGTCGGCATTTGAACAAAGTAGGTCCAAGTGAGTCAACGTTTTTCTTTCTTTTCCAATTGCAGCGTGGCGCATTTGATTGAGCCGGAGAATCTGGACTCGACGTTGCCTGTTTATCCGTCTCTGATTTCGTGTTCTGATGCCGTGGAATCTCTTAGCGCTGATTTAGTAGATCCATTGTTTACATCAAATCTCGCAACACACTTGTCCACACGTTGCATTCATTCGATCGGTGACTTGGCCCAACTAAACGAACGCGACATCAATCGATTGCCAATTAAAAGTCCAAAGGTCGATTGCGTGAAAAAAGCTTTATCGAGGTACGAAGAGAGAGTTAATACATCTTCGAGGACTCCTGAGAAGTCGACAGCCAACATCGTCGTGCCTTCGAGTACACCACTTGGTCACAGAAGACCGATGAGAACAAGGCCCGACAACGATTCATTTGAAGATCTCATGAAGACCAGCGACTTAATGTCAACCAATGTCTCGGCGCTCAAAAAACCTGTCAAGAGGCCGTCGAGTGACAGTTGCGTGCAAACAAGTCCTACGAAGAGAACGAGAAGAGACGATGAGATACAATGTCTTGAGCTTATGGAACAATGTGACGAAGATGTATTATTTGATGCGTTTGCCAAGAGGTTCGGTGCCGACAAAATTTGCAAGGGATATAGGGTGAGTTTTGCCTTTTTTTCTCTTTGAAAATTAATTATAAATGAAGAAATGAAATTTAAAATTAATTTAAGATGAAAATTATCCTTAATCAATCAAATTTGGCAATTATATCAACTTAGTAGTTTTGATTATTTTAATTATTTCGAAAAGAAATTTTATTTTATTAATAAGCTAATAGTTACTTCTTATGTTTGTTGCAGAATAATATCAGCGACATGTTGCAAACAGATCGTAAACGAGAAACTTTGAACGATATCAGCCTCAGCATGGAAGACGACAGCGAAGCGAATTTGAAAGCGTCTATGAAAACAGCAGGCTTACAAAAGATACTGCAAGAGCTACCAAACATATTTGAGTCTGACGAAAAATTCATTGACACTGTGCTAAAAACTTACAAAAAGAAGTTCAAAATCTCACATGTGTTAAAAATGTTGAAACCCAGCGAGTTGAAGGAAGCCGTCCCCGATGAATTCAGTTCGAGCGAATTGCTTAGCATGTTGGTCGAGCGATTATCGAGGGAAGACAAACAATTAACTGACTCGAGCGATTTGCAAGCACTGCAAAGTAGAGTACCGACAAACGTGATAATCAATCAAGTTAAATCGAGAGCTGATTTTCATACGGAAGCATTGCTGAACTTCGCTTTGGATAAGTGCCCGGAAAAACCGTCGACTGGTGTAAGAAAAGTGCTATTAAGGATTCTCACGGAGAAATACGAGTACGAAGATCTGCTAGATCTGACTCAAGAGGCTCAGAGACTCGGCTGGCGAAAGTCGAGCGGGAAATGATTTTTAAGGCGACGTAAACTGTGAAACAGATAAACTTGTCGCAATTCAAGTTGTAAAACATTTCTTGGCAAAGACTGAAGGTGCCATCATCGTGGGTAGTTGTTCACTCGCAACTATTAATCATACCTTGCGCTATTAATTTTTTACTTGTAATCATGTTGACAACACAAACCATTCGAGTGGTTTATGAATAAAATTCTTTTTTAAGGGAAAAGATTGTATATACGGTTGCGGTAAAAATTATTAATTTTCTGAATCGTAAGATTTGTTTGCACAAAATTTGATCATTTAAAAATTTTGTTTCAAAACTACCAATTGAATTTGACTTGAAAAAATACAGAGGTATACCTATTTATAGTATGACAATTGAACGTGCTTCAATTCTGAAAACGCTGACGCTTCTATTACATTAATTTTTTTTATGTAAATTTTTCTTGACAGAAACGTGATTGCTGCGATCAATCTGGATGATCAAAGTATTGAGTCGTAGCATACTTTTAGGAAAAAATCTTTAAGTTTTTGATTATAAGGTTTTAGTATACATTTAGACTCATTTTGATAACGCTGTCATTTCTTTAGACATCATTGTTTATATTTTATACCCCGTATTGTAAGATAAAACTCTTGATAATAAAATATTAAGTATGTATAATATATTCTTTCCTCATATTTATTTATTTGCAGCTGCAATACCTTTTATATACTGTAGTATTGGCACTGATGCACTGTAAGATGGTGTTTGCATGATGCGAGGTTAGTGCGTACCGATAAGCGAGCGATGCCTCAGATTGTTCTCTAATTTGACAAGACTTGGAAGAGCATGCTCGCATCTTCACTCTGCATTTGCAGTACCGAATCTCAACTGTTGTGATTAAAGATAGCAAGTTCAATTAACTGTGTTTAATTATTTAATAATTCCTCCAAAGAACCTTGTATAATATTTAATTTATAAATATATGACATACTACAGATATGATGCGTGAATAGTACGTCAATTTGAATAGTATACAAGTTGTGCATATTTTATTTTCATAAATATATTGAGATATAAAAAATGATATGAAATTTAAAAAATAAATGATAAATTAAGCTGAAAAAATTTGACTTAATGACTAAAAGTACAAGTCTAATTTTATATAACTTTTTTTGTTAATTAAATAACTACTACTGTTGTTCAATTTTTATAAATGCACTAAACTCAAACGCGTGGGTTATTTTTCTAATTATTGCAGTTTACCAATTAAAATGATTCGCATTATTGCGGAACGAAGGAAAATATTGAATATTTAAAAATTTCCAATTTTCAGGTTCGATCACTTAAGCTTTTATTGATTTTTCTATAACTAATAACAATTTGTATAATGTGGTCAACAATTATTGCAACACATAATAAACAAACTCGCTTTCACACTCAACAGATGAAGTAGTGGAAAGTTGAGCGATGTAAGTGCCGACCATGGTGCATAATAGTTATTCACGTATATCTTGGGCTATACCACGTTGTAATGTGTCGAGGAACGTTGTGACGAAGAAGGGAACAGTGTTGCGTCCGAGACCGCGTAGCGGCCGAGGAGGCTCCGCCCCCTTTCCCTTAAAAAGTCCCGAGACGTAATACAATGTGTCATACAATACAGCCCAAAATTCGTTAACAATTTTTCAGCGTTGGCTCCCGTAAGCTGATTTTTAACCCTCACCCGACTATAATTGAAATTTATGCAATGATTGTAAACAGTTTTGTCCGTTTTTTGAAACACGCTTTAACCAAGATACATTGCTCGTCGATCGCGCAGGGGCGCTCCAAGCAAAATCGTAGAGCAAAGTTAATTGGTCCAGCATCGTCGCTGTTCTGATGAACGGCGGAGGATTTTTCTAATCTTTTTCCTCGTTTCTTCGTGCTTCGACTTGTCACTTTTTTCCTAATTATACGTGTGATATTTGTGCACTAGTTACGTAGCTGTGACGTAGGTTACTCGAGAAACGTCTCAGGATAAAGCTGAATTTTATTCCCGCTTTCAGTACCAGATCAAATTTTGAAAATTTGGCCAATACTTGTAACATAATCATTGAAACGGTTTTATATACAAACATATATATACATATATTGTTTAAATAGTATGTTAATTTTTTCATTAATATTTCAACTTAATAATTACATTCAATATTTTCAATTAAACGCGTTTGCTATTATGCGAAATCACAAACGCGTTCTGCGTCCGAGTGTGTTATTTGGTAAGGGAGTATCGATTCAGATATTCGGCAAGAATTTTTATTCGAAATCAGCTGACGATTTGAACTCTAGCATCGAGTTCGTAGGCAAACGGCGAGATGGCCCGAACGTACTCCTCCAGGCCGCTGACGTCGAGAGGGCCGAGTTGGCGATTGCGATGCTTGTCGGCAACGACCGTGAGGCCGTCGCCGCGGTTCAGGACGAACGACACCGCCGCCACTCGGTACCACCTGTCGCGATCCAGCGGCTCGTACCTCGGCGCCCGGCAGTCCTGGCACCTGCGTACCGAGCGGAAAGTGTGAGGATGCGGCTAGCGGCGGCGGCTCGCGCACGCCTACCTCACGCTCAAGCTCTGCACGCGAGACCAGGCCGGCTCGCTCATGTTGTAGACGACCCTGACGCCGGACCAGTGCAGGAAGCCAGCCTCCGAGAAGCTCGCCTTGTCGCGGCCGCGGGATACCGACTCCTCGAGAGCCTGTTGGGATCGCGAGTGGATTCGTGAGAGGGCCACGGGGGGGCGCGCGGGCGACGATGCTTACGCCGAGCAGATGCTCTCCCTTGAGCTCGACCACGTCCCAGGTGTGCTCGAAGGGCAGCACCGTGGCGAGGTCACCGAAGCTGACGCTGCCGGCTGGAATGTGGGCCCGGATGCCGCCGGCGTTCGTGCAGCCGATCGCGGCGTACGTCCACGAGTCCGCGCCCTCGGCCTTGCCCTGGTACTGTCCAAGGTGGCGCCCGATCTGGCGTTAGCCCGCGTCTTCCAGTGCGTCGCCGACTTACCGCGTGGACCATGGCGTCGGTCACGAGATTGGCCATGTTGCACTCGCTGGACCGGCAGCTGCCGTTGAGGAAGCTTCTGGTCTCGCCCACCAGCTCGCTGCCGAACGCGTCCACGGCCTCCGCCCAGGGCTTCAGCTCCTCCAGGATCTCGGGATCTGCGGGAGGCGTCGTACTCGGCATCGGGGGATCTGGGGGGCGCGGGGCCGAGGCTCACCTTGGGCGACGGAGCTATCCAAGAAGACCGGGTTGCCCTCCCAGTCGACCACCTCTCCCTGCTCGTCGAAGCGCACAGTCAGGTTGCCCAAGTACCTGGAACGCGCGAGCACGGCGTTTGAGCGTTCGCGTCCCGAGCGAGGGTCGTCGCGCGCACCTGGTGAATGCGGACGCCTGCACGACGAGCACGGTGCGCCCTGTGGCGTTCTGCCTGACCACCACGGGATACTCGTCCGCGGGTTCGTCCACGAACGGCGGCGCTCCTGCAAACCGTCGCGGGCACGGTCGAGCGCGGCGCTCGGGGCAAACGACCGAGCGCGGCGCTCGCCCCACCTACCGGAGTACAGGAACGTGTGGCTGTGTCCACCCACGATCACGTCCACCTCCGGGCACTCGGCCGCGATCCTCCGGTCCATGTCCAGTCCCGCGTGGCTCAGCACGACCACGACGTCGACTCCTCGGGCCTTCAGGCGCCCGGCCTCCGCGTTCACGCTGCCCACCTCGTCCAGAAACTTGATCCTCCCGGGTTTCGCCAGCGTCTGCGGGAAGCGCGCCCGAGTAGCTCGCGGCGACCGTCGGAGCGCCGCGAGCGAACGCCACTTACCTTCGTCGTCTTGGTGAGAACGCCGATCACCCCGATCCGCCGGCCGGCCCTCGCGACGATCGTGCTCTTCTCGTGGAGACCCTGCGGCAAGGCAAAATCGACGAGTGAGCTCGCGCGGCGAGTTCGCCCCCGGGCGTCGCGGTTACCCGCATCGCTGGCTCCTCGCTGTCGTCGAGGTTCGCCACCACCACCGGCGCGCGGATTCGCCGGAGATACGGCACCAGACCCGCGACGCCGTCGTCGAACTCGTGGTTGCCGAGAGTCTGCAAATACGTCGCCGGTCGGTCAACGGCCTAACGATCGCGCCGCTCTCGCTCTCGCGAATGTGCCTGACCAGTGCGTCGTGAGGCAGCCTGTTCATGAAGTACGCGGTGGCGTTCCATTTGTGCACGTTGTACCAGATGGTCCCTTGGAACTGATCCCCGGCGTTCAGAAAAATCGGATTCGGCCGCTCTTCCAGCAGCTGACGGCTCACGGTCGCGACGCGAGCCAAGCCGCCGATGCACTCGTGCTCCTTGCTTTTCTGGCAAGTGCTGGACACGGCGCTCGTTTGGACGAATCTAAAGCGTCGGTATCCATTATTGGTTGACATTTATTCGTGCGAGATATACGAGGAAAAAGTACGTATAATATAGTTTAATATTGTTGAAATGCAGTGCTTAGTATCGTTTTTTAATAAACACCTGGAAAATGAATTAATATATTTATCATTAAAGACTTTCTTATAGGTGCAAACAATTTTTTAATGGCATAAATAAACAATGAAAGAAAATGTTATGAAAGTAAATATTCAGTGTGAAAAAATATGATTTTCTTCGGAACAGTTATTTATGTAACTTGTCGCGGCCGTGGTGCCTAAAAATCTTTTTGTGCTCGGCATCAAGGCCGTTTTCGCGCAGGTGGTACCACGGCCGAGACAAGTGCAAATAGTTGTATCGAATATAATGATATAAGCACACACATGTTTTTTTCACGTGCGTTTAAAGGAATAATCTAGAGACGTATTGTAAAATTAAATTGCGTAACTCTACACCATCTTGAAAATGTAAAAATACGCGTAAACCATTTATGTCTATGTTATATATATATATATATATATATATATATATATATATATATATATATATATATATATATATATACACGCACCAGCATGTTTTACTTGCACGTTTGCGTCACGCGCGAACAGAAGCTAAATAGCCAATAAATCGAGATAGAAACAAAATATCCGACTCACCTGGCGTGAAAATCGTTGAGGTGGATGATGGACAACTCGAAAAATTCATGTTGTCCAGGATGGAGTGTCCGTCTGGCCGTGAACCCGTGAGCTTGACAGTATATCAAGATAACCAAGGCAAGAGAAAGCGCACGCGACATTTCTCAATCCGTCGATCGAATGTGCAACAATATTGACTTGGGTCGGCGAGTGCTTGTCGTCGATTCTTATCTGCCGCTAGAGTCGATGCTTTTTGAAGTGCTGGATACCGCCGCGGGGGTATTATCCATCGCGACAACTCGCCTACGTAACTTTCCACGAGGACATGTTAATCACTAGCCGAACAGTCTGCGGAAATTCCTAAATGGTCCCGCAACCGATGAAATCTCTGTTATCGCCCGCGAAGACAACGGATAATTTACGAGTTTACGCAGACGCGGAAATTATTTTGCACGCGCGCTCAGCTCTCGGCCTGGAAAAAGTTAACTCGCGAATCGCGCCAAAACGAAAAAGTTCACGCGACTTCGATCGCGCAGTCGATGTACGCGAGCCTGGCGTCGACGAAGCGCACGATCGCGAACTCTTCGACTTTGCACCCCCTTGGCGCGCTTTCACTTTCTCGTAGAACACCTCGCGCAAATGCGAATTACGCGTGTCCGAAGATGCTATCCGACGAGCGGCTCGTTGCAATTGCGATCCACATCGCGCGACCGCTGCGATCGGCATAAGCGCAACTGCTTTATTGTCGGCGAGCGGCTTATGACTTTTCGATCGCGCGCTGCGTCAATATTGCGATGCACCTCGATCGCGTTTTATCCGTACACTTCGACGCTTTAGCGTACAAGCGATTGCGAATATACTCGGCGGTCGTGAGATTTCGGCAAGCGGTGCCTGCCCTTGTAGAAAATATTGCAACATGGTTACCTTTTCAATTTTAGGGCTGCTTTTGCTTTTTTGTAATTCTTCCTGTAATTCCTTCTTTTATTTTTTTTTGTAGGTTATTTATCGTGCGTTGATAAAACTCACTCGTGAATAATTTTTTTTGAATTTTTCTATGCTTATTTTATGCGAAAGTACAATTAGGATGCATTGCGAACCTTTGTACTTTCGACTGTCTATGTTGCAATTCTATTTTAATTTTTAATTTTGTGTTATCTTGTATAGCCGTGATGTTTATTTATTTGAAGAATTATTGTTATAGAAATGTATATAGTAATGTAAACAAAGTATCGCAACATTTTTTACGACAGAATTATTTCGTTATTGTTTCGTAGTAGAATGAACGTTTAACATTTGTATTTGAGTTATTTTTGATTGAAATAGAAGCTGTATACATCGCGGGCAGTCGATATTCGATATTAATTATCCACGACGCGTACGAAGGTCGATAAACTGTCGCTATTGCAGTAACTGTTAGTTTACGGTGTTAGATGAATGATATCTTACGAACGATTATTTTTTCGATGATATTGAACTTGAAACGTTCGATCAAAAGTAAGATTTACGAACTCTTCGAAAGGAAACATCTAAAAATCATGTGAAATTAGGTAACGTTAACATTATACATATAAAATACGCTTATTGTTTGTTACTAATTGTTATGGCCTGAGTTTGATTTGGTCTTCATGATCGTCCAGAATGATTTAAGTAAATGGTTACTAGGAAACATTCAGATCTCTTAAAGAAAATATATGCGTGATAACATTTGCCAGGTCAAATATGGATCAAGTTCATGCCGCACCAGACGCGGAGCGGGTCCAAAATATCAGGGAGCTAATTTTTTCATTTTCTGAACGTTTCCGCCTTCTGATAAATCACTTACGACGAACAAATTAATTAATGTGCAGAACGTAGACGTGTGAAAAGTTGAACGAATCCCTTGAAAATATCAAGCATACGATAAATGAAGACGGAAGAATTTTCTTATATCAATCTCCCCTTTCTTGTCTTCTTGTCTTCTTTTAGAATAAAGCGATGACCTACTCAGTGGAATACTTTTTTTTATGATCTAATTGGCTAAAAGGTAGTCACATGGCTTACTATCGTGTAAAAGCACATATATAGGTATGTAAGCCAAATGGGCAGCAAAAGTAGCAAATTGGTGGTAATAAATAACTCAGATAGTATTGTATTGATTTACTATCGATTAATTGATTGAATAAAAAACAAGACGATTCCCACGCATTAAGAAAGGAATAATGCTCGCATTTGCTGAACGACTCAACGTTAAAATAGGAGCGAACAATAATCTTAATGTACTAAAATTTTCAGATATATAGATGTATGAAATCTTTTCTCCGTACATTTTTAAGAATAAAAATAACATAAATCAATATTGCAAAGTGACTTCGCCTTATCGTAATAATTTATTTAAGACAATTTTTTGAATGGGAATCAATAAAACATCAATAATATTATCAGAACATTTATTTATTGAATATATTAAATAATCCAATAATCCTATGAATAATTTTAAATCGAAGATAAATATCTTTAACACTAAAAAAATTTGTCAGGCGCACCTGGTAGTACAACCTATTGAGAAAAATACAAAGGAGGAGCACTTAAAATATCGATGTTATTTCATTAACAATTATATAATAAAATTAGCAAATGTCATTGGATTTTTATTTGAGAATCCACGAATATTAAGTATGTCAAAGCACAGAATTATTTTGTCTATAGTGTATTTTCGAATTTTTAATTCGCCTCCTTGAATGATTCAAGCATAAAACTAAATACTGAAACAAATGAGAGAGGAGAGCCCGAGGTACGCCTGACAACATATAATATCATAGAAAATTTTTATAATTGTACAACAGTTTCTTTTCGACATAGTGAAAATTGATAAAAGTATCTTAATAGCTATAGCACAACACTATATAGAGCTTATTAATATTCTTAAGATTAACAACATATAAAATCATTTCACAGAAGCTGAATTATTTATACTTGTGCGTAGAAGTTAGTAAAATATTAATGAATACGTACATAAGCATCTGATACAAACATTGAGATTGCGATCGTGTGTTACTCGTTTGAAAAAATGTGCTCGGGATGAATTAGGTGAGCACTTCGATTTTGTCGCATTGCTATTTCCATAATGTGTACAGCTTGAGAAATTAATGAAAATGTTTGGCCAAAAAAAAATTATTGTTTACGCTCTCACAATCCTCAATGTCGTCAAAGCAACGAATGAAATAAATAATATAAATAAATAATGACTGGACGTGTTGCGGAACATGCGTTAAGAACAGAGTTCTTTTCGGTTAAATTGACTGAACTAGTCGAAAGTTACTGGGCTTTCTTTCACTGTCACCTATTTCTAACCTTGCGTGGTTATCGATAAAATAAATGTATTTGTCGTGTAATTTTTATTTATCTGTTATTGAAATCATTGTATTAATAGACGGAGAAAGCAAGCGAGCCAACTTTTAATTTTTTTTTCATTTTTTTTTTTCATAGTGATAATTTTATGGAAAATAATATTAAACAATAGAATAAAATATCGCATAAAAATCTAACTGGTTTGCTCATAGCACTGTCATGCTTACAATTAATTTTAATTGCAATCGTATATATATATATAAATTTTTATTATCTTATTCAACGACTATGCATGATGTACTAAATATGGATCGATCATTGTATAAAATATGGCCAGCTTCTCAGATAGTTTCGGATACGTGTATAATGCGCAATATATCTGCATTACTTACATAGTTGAATACACGGTCACTGCAGATATATGGCCAATGCCTTTTGGTGAGTTTGGTTAAACTCAGATTGCCCAATGGCAGTAACATTTTTCTCGATACGGCCTCGTTGTAACAGCTCTGAACTAGATCGTATTCGACATATTCCTTCTGGTTGTCGGAACTGTACAGAAAATCTTTTAGATTCTTATTGCCTACGTAAATGCGCCTATAGTTTCGGTCTTTATGCAACATGTCGTACAGGGACGTCCCGTCGTTGATAAAATAATTTTTTAAGAATTTAATATCAAACAATAATCGTGTACAAGTAAGTGCCGTTGATTCCTTGACAATTTTCGATTCCTCGATGGCGTTTCTGTTGATATTGGCAAGGCGCATTTTACACAGGTGAGTTATCACGATTTCCCATGCCTCTAATCCTCGTCGTAGATGACATTTGGCTTTTAAAATTTTGCGATCCAGCAAGTCCGCGCCAAACTTTATCAGCTCCAACGTGACCTCTACATTATTGCGACGCAGCGCGTCATACAGAGGCGTCCTGCCCTTGTTGTCCAGTGCGTCCACGTGCGCCCCAAAGTTACAGAGCATTCTGACGGTGACGGCGTTATCCGCAAAGTGAAGAGGCGTTTTTCCATACTTATCTCCGGCATTAACGGGCATCCCACTCCTGTATAACAACCAGGGAGACATTATCGGAGAATCCAATGCGCTTCTCATCAGCCTTATATGATAGTAATGCCGTTCTTGCATGTAGTACCAATCCGGACTATTACCACTGGTGACACAGTCGACACTATCGTTATGAGCGTCCAGACCAGCTATAAACAGAATCTTCATAAGTGTCAACTCGTTTGCTGCCACGTGCAAGAGTGTCTTTCCATCGGCGAACGTGTAAGCTAAGTCGATACCGTCCTTTATTATTTTGTCGGCGATCTTCACTCGATGCATTTCGAAGGCCAGCCGTATAGGCGATACGCCGTTGTCGTCGAGGATATCAATTTTTGCCCCGTGGTTGATTAATGACTTGGCAATAACTACGTTATCCGACGCGATGGCCAGGAACAACGGCGTTCGCCCGTGGCAAATGTTCATATTCACGTCGCAGTTGAGCTCGTCCATCATGAATTTCAATAAGCTTTCTTGATGGGCAAATTGGCTAACCAGCGACATGAAGTTTTCGTCGGGGTTTGACGAGTTCACCTTTAAATCTATCTCCGACTCCTTCAACATCTTCAGCACTTCGAGTCTTGGATGGCGAACGAACAACTTGCGCGCGACTAATTGCCTATCTTCGAATTTCATGCCTTTACACTGCAGGAATAAAGTCCGCAAGATCTCTAAGTCGTGCTTCGTTTTCTCATCTCTTATCGGCATTATGCAGTCTATTTGAAATGAGTTGGAAAATATGGTGACCAATGATCGGCAGTGTTCATCGCAAAAATGGACGTAATTTGTGCGCCTAACCTTATCGATTAAGATATCGATAACTTTTTTCTCCCTATTTATAATCGCCAAATACAGTGCCGTACACAATGTTTCATCGGCAATCGTTTTATCCTTCTCCAGTATGAGTTTGACGATGTCCTGTTCGTAGCATTCCATGTGGCGTTTGGAACGGAGTGACATCATTTTACGATATGTAATCAAAGGCGTCTCGTTCACACCGAGTCTCGCGAGACGGCGGTGCCCGTTTTCGTGTTTAGTATGATTAGTGCAGGCGACGCGCGCCATTTCGTTGTAATAAAACTCTGTCTGATAGTCCAAAAAGCCTTCTCTATTGAGAAAGGCTAAAAGTAATGGCGTATGATATTTCTGGACTCTGGTGAAATCCTGGATGTAGGTCAATAAAGCCATCATAATGTGATACAGATTAAGATAGATGGCCAAGTACAGTGGGGTGAAGCCTCGCAAGTTTTTCGTAAAGAAAAAGTCGAAGCCTCTCGACGCCATCCAGGCTATGAAGCACGAGCCTTCAGTTCCCACTAACATCTTTTTGGATTTCGCGGCCGCGTGCATTTTTCTGAATTCCTCCTCGACCGCGAAATGAGCTATCGAGTACGAGTGATCGATGCCGAAATCCGCGGTCTTGGCGTTTCGCCGCAAGCAAAGTTCGATTACCTTTTTCATTCGGCGCTGGACCGCCACGTGCAAAATCGTGTTGCCTGATCTGTTTGCGTGGTTGATGTCGGCGCCCTTTGCAATGTACAACTCCAACAGTTCACATATCTTTGCCTCACTCAACTCCCTGTTCTCCACCAACATGTGCAACAGCATTTCATCTTGTTTATTGGCTAGTTTATTTTCAAAGCAGCGTTCTAGTTTCGCCAAAATTATCTTATTACATTTCATTTTAGCGGCTAGTTCTATTCTCGTAAGAAGGCTGAAGGTATAATGTAGTTTATCCAATCCTCTACGATGTCGATACTGGAAATGAAAGAAAACTTTTATTTTTATTTTTATCTTTCTCTACGTTACGTTTATGTGTGTACACGTAAAGTCAACAGCCTAGTCCAATGACCGATTGTTTTTATCTATTAGATCTTTAAAGAATGCGACATCACAGGTGCAGGTAAGATATAATAGATAAATTCACTAATCGGTCTGGCGCACGTTACCTCGTTGAATGCAACCATACCGTAAAATTTGACCAGACACGTGTAACTTTAATTAAACAATTATTTAAACAGACGGCATTTCTCTCTTATCGCTGGCCGAATTGAAAAAGAATAATTCACAAACATTCGACATCGTAGACGGCACAGTGGAACTAACGTTTTAAAATTTCCAAACTCGTTTTCCTGAAAAATGTCTGCCGCAAGAGACTGAAGCTGCTTCGTCACCCCGCTGGGTTTGCTTTGTTAAAAGGTCAGGCGTCCCACCTACGCAGCACCGACGCGCTTTCTGCTACGCTACTGTATAGTTTTCAGCGTTACTTTCTCTCTCTCACTCTCACGCTATCATACAAATGTACAACCACAAGCTAGATCAATCTTGTGCACGCGTAATTGTCAATGCGAGAAAACAATTGAGCTCGTGCAGCGTCTCGACGCTACAGCTTCGCTCGAGTCATTTTATCGCATCAAAATCTAACTGATTCGGCGTAGAACCACACGCACCGCCACTCATGCGCCGGTCCGTTATTATCGACAGATGCTTCGACAAGAATGCTTCTCTCATTTCAAGTTTAAAAAAGTAATCAGCATTGTTGCAGTCGCAGCTGCAAGCAACAGATTATCGAGGCGTCGAATCGCCAATGAGTTTCATCCGATATCCACGTACAAAAATGTATATTGAAGAATATTTCTTGACAACAGCAACGTGAGTTTTTCAAGAAACGTAAACGAAATTACCATGGGAGTGTAAATACGTACTCGTGTTAAATTGCGTCGATCAGAAGCACTGGACTTTTATTGCGATGCAGATGGGAAAGCCGTGGTCCATTCTCTAGCAACAAATATGGCGGAGACCAAAAGCAGCGTCGATGCTCTAGCTTGGAAGAGCGTCTATTAACTGACTGAAACCGAAGTGAAGACGACGAGAGAAAAATATAATTGTGTTGACCGCCCATAGGTTCATGGTGGTGGAAGTTAGGAGTGGGGAGAGAAAATCGTTGCTTCAAATGACTATAATACCACCACTACCTGAAAACTCGTCCTGTAGGTCTTATGTACATTTTCGTTATGCTCTATCCTTTAACCGTACTGCTTATTTATGTCATAAGATGTATATGTTATTCCTGGTCTTTATACAATTTACAAAAATGTCATATGTTTAATTATTCCATTTTTATATTTGACGCTATTCTTTACCCTACAGACAATTTTCATACGGCAATATTCAAGAGTATAGACTTCACAGTGTTTATTAATTAACTGATAGGTGCATTGTATCAATTTGAAGATTCGCGTGTGGAAATGTTGTAAACAAAATTAATATAAAAAGTCAGCATTTTACTGGCTAAAATGTTTAATCTTTTCTAATTTTTAAATTGGTTCGTGATGATAGTAATGTAGATATGATTATATAAAATTTGATAGATAATATTGCAGGCTGACTTTTTTATGAACATGAACAATTTACAGTCCCATTTTTATTTGTGCCTCAATAAATTCACGATATCCATGTTACTTTCGGATATAACCGCAGGAGTAGAAAACACAAGCACACCCATACACTTGTACGCGCGTGCGCGCGCACACACGCGTACCCACGCACACATACGCCCACGCGCATAGAGCTTTTCCACTAGTGTGCAGTGTACTCGCTCGATTATATTAGTAGAAGCGTTGGCCCAACAAGCTGTCAGATTGTAACCCTGAATTTCTCGTTATCGTAATTAATTGGTTATCGGAACTGTCCGATCGCCAGCAAACACGTCTGGGTCAAGTCGACAGATCATTCGTGCGCAACATTGTAAGTACGTGATACATGCGTCTAAACAAAGTATTTTCATATGCATCCGCGCGATATAACGCGTACTTTCTTCAATGTGCATGCGCATAATGAGAACAATCAACCGACGATCTTTAGCTTTGCGTCTTCCAAGCTCTGTTGTCGTCATTTTCTTATCCGAATTACCGAAAAAAATGGGACGATCAGCGATTAAATAGACGGAGTAAAAATTGGTCTGTGGGGGGACGCGTCCTACGAGCTAGGGTGCCGTTCGAAGTCGAAAATGGCGAGCTGTCAACGTAGTCCGGGAACTGGGTGGGTACCTTCTCGTATGAACTTAAACGATACAAGGCTAAAAATCCTTGATTCTTCTCTATTTTTATCCTCTGAATCCAAATCCGTAAGTCGATTTTGCGAAAATGTGGCACATCCTTTGTTTAAGCGTGCGGACACTTGTGCACGGTTTCATCATACGCATAAGCTATTGTGCACAATAGCGCGGCATGAATCGGTGTGTATCAATTTTTACACTGCGTTTCAGACGAAAATGCCTCTTGTAAGTTATTCGTAAAATGCGCAGTTCAAAAGTCATCGGCGTTTGAAGGTAGAAAAATTTACGTTTCTTTATTAACTTTGAATGTTAATAATTATTGCCTATTTAATATTTTTTAAAACTGAAAAGACCATTTTACTCCTTAAGCCTTGATAGATATTGATATATTTCAATATTGGCTTACGTTTCTTCAAGACGTATTTTTTTGCGATTAACCATGCGGTATTTCAATGCTTCGAATATAGCTCGTGTATTGTATTTACCATACTTTGATGCACAACATCAATATTCCTTTCTTTGTGATGTTTCTTTCAGCTTTGTAAGTATACACATGATTATTTACGATACTTATTGCAATAGTTTTATTAAACTGTGCGTTATCTTCTTTTTCGTTTCTTAACATATTGATAAACGCATTCAACATAGATTACTGTTTTCAAAGGTGAATTTTTTAATTTTCACAGCGGAAAAATGTGTATTAAGAAAATAGATCCATGTATTCCAAATTGATGATTTATCATATCAAATCTACTATAAATAATGTTTTAGTTCTTTTCAAATATACAGGTAAAATTATTATTCAACGTTTACATTGGTTTTAATCTTAAATATTCACATATCAGAATATCGATTAATAATAAAAAATAATCAGAACCATTTCAACGCATAGCCTCATGTTTTGCATAACAATTATATTCGCTGCTCATTTCATAAAATACGTTAAAACTATAACACTGCAACCTATTTTTTTTAACTTTCGTTATCTTCGAGATGATCCGTATCAATTATAATAAATTCAATTGTTACTACTAAAATCTCAACTCGAAATCATACGTAATCGCCCACTTGCCCCCACGTAATAGTATATCATACGGCCATATTTGAGCTAATCAAATCACAACTTCAACATTGCATCCGTCATTTTTTATGAAAGGAGGATTTATAATTAAAAGGATTTATCATTAATGCAAAGGTAAAAATTCCTATGATTTTTCTGTTTAATTTATAATATTTTTTAAAGACTTTAACAATATTACAAAATTTCTTTCTTTTTATTTAAGGCGTCATATCTCAGCAATAAACAATCATATCGGAAAGAACTTTATGGAGAAATACTCAGAAAACGAACGAAAAATAACAAAAACGAAATTTTAGTTTACTAACAGTGCAGTGAAATTTTGTTGTTTATACGAAAATTGTTAACTGTGTTTTGGTAACCATTTGCTTATTATCTTAAAAGCTACAATTATTTTTCGAAAATTTATGTTCCATTTTATTTTCCGAGATTTTTCAGAAATTATTAATAAAAAAAACGTAATATTTTGAAAAAATGTTATTCGAGAAATAGAAAGCGGAGCAACGCCCCGAGTCCCCTCGTCGCGTTGCGCCACACTCCGAGGGCCGTTTAGTATAACAATTTTAAACGATAACTATCGTTGCATAAAAATAATTTGCATAAAAAGAAATTTCAATTATTACGCGTAAATAATACAAAACTGTATTTCTTTGTTACAGACATGAATTGTCAGTCAAAATTACAATACAACGAAATGGATCAAAACTAAAAACTTGTCGATTAGGAGCTGCCGCAGAGAACGCAGATAAGGAAGTCGTATTAGATATATTTTTGAAGTATGACGTGAATTTAACACGGCGTCGTATGTATAGCGATACACATATTTACAGTCAGTTTTCAAAAGTGTATCCAAAGGAGGATTAACATACGGCAAAATGACTGCACTGGTACCACTGTTCTTTGATCTCAGTCTAAACGTAGATATCAGCAATGAGTGTGAACACACGATTTTACGCTATACTATTCCGTACCGAACCAAAAAATTAATAGAGCTCCTCATCGAATGCAACGCTAACATCGATGTGGTCAATAAAAATGGCAAAATCGTAGTTCATCACTTCGTCAAAAATAAATATAACATATTTAGATACATACCGCCGGAGACGATAATGGAACAGCGACCCTTGATAGAGAAAAGCACCGTTGATTACAGCAACTGGCTGATGACTAAAGGCTTTGATTTCAAATACAATTATCATAAGTGTCCATTAAACTTATTTATGGTAGCCAATTTACACGAAATCTTACCCGCTTTGGCATCACGTAGAGATGACATGACAGATACCGACAAAGATGAACGAACTCTGTCTCAAATTGTCCTCCAAGTGAGCTTTATTGAATATTTTAAACTAAAGCTGAGAAATAAATTATACCAAGGTCCTTATATGTCAAAAGTCATTAAAACTCTACTCAACAGTGGCGCATCTTTCGATTTTGCCAATGAACTGGATGCGGTTTTGAAATTCACCTTTACCACAGAACGTTTCGACTTACTAAAGTTTTTAGTCGATAATATCCCTGAAAAACACGCTATGTGCTTAACCAAATTTTTGCACTATCTAATCAAAAATATCAAATCGTATCACTTGCACTTCGGCAAACATGATCTTCAAGATGTAATCGAAACTTTGATCTGTAAAACCATGCAATGCCAATACGAGCCGATATCCGGATACACAACTGTCCAATTAGCAGTTTTGGAAAAACGCATAGACATACTCCAATTTTTATACGATTACGGAATAGCGTTCAACGTTTTGACGGCCAGAGGTGAAAATCTGCTGCATCTTCTCTGCCAAAAACCGTTCAACTTAAGAAGGATCCCCATCAGTGATAAGGAATACAAAGAGACGGTCGATGTTCTTGTGAGCCAAGGTTGCGACGTAAACGCTGTGAGCGAGACGAAGCAAACTCCACTACACGAAGCTACGGCCCACGGAAGAGTAGTAATAATAAAGTCACTGATAAAGCACCGCGCCGACGTGAACTCCAGAAACAAAGCGCTGATGACTCCGCTGCACATAGCAGCGGCAAAAGACCGAGAGTTCATGGTGGGCCAGTTACTGATAAAGAGTGGAGCAGACGTGAATTTGCAAGACGAGATGGGCAGGACGGCGCTGCATTTCACGCTGGAAAACAAGGGAACGCTAGCGGAGCTGCTGTTGAATTCGGGCGCTCGAGCAGACGTGCAGGACAAATGCAAGCGCACGCCCTTGTACCTGGCTATACTCAGGCGGCATCTCTGGGAAGTCGAAAGGCTAGTCAAGTACGGCGCCAACTTTAACGATTGCTTTCTCGTTAAGACTCTCGCCTCGCAGTGGTACGGAGATCCCGCACCGGACAGAATTTTGCAGGACTTCATTTTGCCGAAGCACTGGATCAAATTGTCGGTCGCCGGATTGCCCTGCCCCAAGGAGTGCCAGGCCCTCGCTCGACAACTCGATTTTAAAGGCTGGCAGCGCGAGTGTTCCAAGGAGCTCGACAAATTGAGACGCTGTCTCATATACGACCGATTAACGTGTCTCATGTTTATACAGATGAATCCTAACCGTCGATGCGCTTACGTCGATAACCGGACGATAAAGAATTTTATAAAATCTCCATTGTATAACAGATTTCCGATTTATAGTAGCATCATAATGTCTGCTTATAACGAAGCGTTGGCGAGGAAACCATTGTTAGAACCAGCTACGCGATCTCTGTTAGAGTTGACGGAAATTGCCCTGCCAGATATATGCGTGGATCGTATTTTCTCTTACCTAAATAATGCTAGTCTTATTAATTTAATAGAATCAAAAGAGTAAGGAAATAAATGTCACGTACGAATAGCGAGATGCATTGCAGGTCATTATCTCTGCTAAAAAAAGTACACTCATACGCATTGTTCGAATCCCATTTCCAAATATATATTTTCAGAGCTTTTCTTGTGCTCCAATTATTCCAACTAATTATAATTATTTTAACTTATTCTTAACTTCATATTAACATATTCTATTCTGTATAACTATTTATTATATTAACTTATTGTATTCTGTAGCTATATATAAAATGCATATGTCATTCATTAACGTTTAATATAAATTAGATTTCATATTATCGGGATGGCCTAATCAACTATTTTAGAAAGTTTCGCCTTTTTTCAGTGTTTAAATAAAAATATTCAAGAAAATAAAACTTATATAATGAACTATCTGTTCCTGTGCGTTTTTACATGTATAAATTTCATAAAAAGTAAAATAAACTTGGAAAATTAAGAAGTCTAGAATTATTGATTCCCTTTCATTTTGCAAAGTGAATTCGTTATAATAAACTTTTATATGGTAAATTCAATAGTATATTGATATTTCATATATATATATATATATATATATCCTATCTTAAAAAAAATAACGAGTCGCCGATATCCAGCGTTGTAATTAGTTAATGCTAAAAAAGAGCGCGAAATTTTCAATTTTCGTATACTTTAAAATATTTTTATTATAATTGTAGAAATGTGAGATTTATATTCCAGTTCTAAATTCAATTTATGAATAACTAACATGAATAATAATCGGGAAAAAATAAAAATCTACCCTTAATAAATTGTTTTGAAAACATAAGACGTTATTTTTTGAAATTATCAGTATTATTAATTTTATAACAATCTGTGATACTGAAACGAATATTGTCATGTTAAGATTTGGTAGAAAGGGAAAGAAAATGAATAGAATAAAATAGACAAAAATACATTTTTATCTTTCGTACATTGTAAATTAAGAAATATGCGAGTTAAGGAAACAGCGTTGCCACTGAAAAAATTGCTCTCAGGGACCCTAGAAATTCTGGCACTACATTTCTGAATGTCGACCAGTACCGTATTCATCTGCAACTGAAAACTTGCCGGTGCCACTGCCCGTACTTTTTTCAAGCAATTTTTTCCATGGGCAACGCTGAATAGAAACTATCAGAATATTAAACCCGTTAAATTTGAACAATATTCGCATAGAGGCAACAAAAACCACACAATATGAAATGTATTAATCATACATACTAATATAAGATTATGTATTACTCATACACACTAATATAATATATGAATTCTGTGCTTTGTAAAGTTTGTTTTTCTATTTTTCTGATGGCAAATTATAATGTTCCAATCTAAAGAGAGTGCATATGCGAACGATATTTAAGTTATACTACGTTTGGATTTTGGCATATCGGGTTCTCAGCTGTAGGGTATAACAGGGAAACAAAAATCTTTCTTCTTTTTTTTAGTTGGAAAAACAAGTTAACGCCAGTTACCGGACTAGATAAAATGCCGATCGGTTGATGATGATGCGCCTTTTCACTTTCACAAATAGCATAAACTATAGTTCTTCATTATTCAACAGGTGTCCTGCAGTGTTTTGTGAAGTTTGGTTGTGATTAATCAACTAATTTTTGTTTTTCTTATTGTCTGAACTACTACGTCGAAATCTGTCAAAGTAGCGCTGATAGAAATTGATCTCAGTAAGGTTATAATTGATCAATTTTCGATCGTAACTGAGACGATAAATATTTGAAAGTCTATGATATAGCTAGTGTAGTGATTCAAAATCGAGAACTTTTTAGTAAAAATATTCAATTTAATATATTGCACTTTAATCAAATGTTGACGAGTTTTTTTAAATTCTAAGGATTCTGTCAAGGTTGTAGAAAGATTTTAAGAATTTATATGAATATTACATACATGTCTCTTCATGTTCTTATATCTAGATGTATTGTAATATTTACTAATTATATATAGGATTCAACCAATAACAAAGCTAAATAATTTTTTTTCAAGCATTAAACAATTATAATATAGTTAATTATCACAGGTATATAATTTGTATTGATCTTGTTTAAAAAAATAATGTATTTTTACATAAACTATTATTTACACTAGACTAATAATTTTTTGTATCAATACAGTTATTATTATTTACAAGAAAAATGATTTTTAGCTCAATAGAGCTCAAAAAGTTTGAATAATAATACTGATAAAGATTTAAAGAAGCCAAGCCAAACTACAGCAAACCATACTTTCAGTGATATAGAATCTACCAATAAACCAATGGTAAATGTTTCTTATATAGTTTTTACTTATTTATTTTATTTTCTTACTCATACTTTATTTTATTTGCTAAAATCAAATCAAGCTTTGATTGACTTTTCAATTTCTAGTCAGAAGTATCACCACAAAACATTTATGTAGTAGTCAATGGTCAGTCAGCAGAACCAGAAATTACAAAGAAAAAGAGAGGTAGACCAAAAACAAACAAAGATGAAGCAACTATTACACTAAAAAAAAAAAAGAGCAGAAAAATGTTTAAGGTTCATATTAATAATTGCTTATTAAGTCTATTTTCATAATAATTGCCTATTAAATCTTACTATAGTCTTACAAAAAGGTTATACACTCCAGCAATAATTCATCTGATGCCTTAGCAATAACAGCATCACCATTGGTATCCAAGATTACTAATGAGAATAATCTTGTGTTAGTTGATGAAGTCAAGGTATATTAAAGCTTAGAATTAAATAATGAATTAAAAAGCTTAATGATTCTCTGTAATTACAGAATAAAATTGATACAAGCATAATTACTAGCTTGCCAATTGAGTTACCAAATCAAAAGCCATCTCGACCTCTAGGAACAGCTCGGAAAAGAATTAGTGGCGAAGGCAAAGTTGCGAGTTTGCAAAGAATTTTACTGGAACTTCCAAATCTCTGTGATCCAAATGTTTTTACAGACATATTGATGAAGACATATGGTAGTAGATTTGAGGCATCAAAAATTTTCGAATGTCTCAAAACCAGTGATTTGAAAGATGCTATAATGAAAAAATTTACTCCATCAGAGATGATAGCATTAATTCAAAATAGTGGTAGCGTGACTGGTCAATTTTTGAAAATGGCATCTAGTGATGAAATTTTAGATGAAGTGCAATCAAGAGAAGAATTGAAAAATTCTGGAAAATTGTTAGATGTAGTTTTGACAAACAATAAAGCTGTAAACAATAATGACCTTGTCAAAAAAGTACTTAATACAGCGTCTATTGATGCAGTTGTCAACACAGTGAATTCAAGATATGACTTAAAAAATTCTGAAATGTTATTTAATGTGTTATTACATAACCTACCTCAAAAAATATCTGATGAGATGAAAAAAAATATAATTAATATTTTAATTAACAAATTCACTACTAGCGAACTTGTGGATATATCGCATGAAGCTATTAGATCAAGTGTTACCAAGTATCGGAAAAATTAAGTTCATTAATTTTATTCTTAAACGTGTACTCTTGTAGTCTTTTATTATAAATTATTGATTTAATATAAATACTTGTGTTCATATATTATGGAATGTGTGTAAGTATGTTATGTTTTAAGAAAGAAATTAGTTTCCTGTTTCATTCTCTCAAATACTTTGATGTCTTACACATGTAAATATGATTTCCAATTAATGGAATTGTTGCATGCTTAGAGTAACTAGCCATTTGTAGTATGGATATTGTACACAAGTACTGTATAAAAAATTGGAATTACTACTATGGAATAGTATGTCTAGATCACAAAAAAGAAATTATGTGTATTGCTATACATAAATTTATCATACTGTATGTTATACTACTGTTTTATTTTGTATAAATGTTATATAATTAAGCACTTTGCTCGTAATATTATAAATAAATTTGTTTTCATCAAATTGAATAAAAGTGTCAAATATAAATGTATAGATTCTTAAATACGTAGTTACAATATGAAGGATCTAAAAATTTATAAGGATATTTTCTCTACACCAGTTAATTTAATTTTGATTAAAAAACAACACATTTGATATTATATGCAATTGGACTTTCACAGAAAAGCTCCAAAACAATACAATTAATCAGACCTTAGGATTTGCCAGTACACTTTCTCATACCGAACTAAATACTCAGCTGCACTTTCGGTACCTAACTAACAAATGTTTCCAAATTATTGCCAAAACATATTTTTGCCAACATTTAAGCAATGTTTCTAAAACAATATAAGGAATTTAATTCAGCAACTGAAATTGTTGTGGAAACATTTATACAATATTTTGGTAACATTTTCGGAAAGGTTTCTAGATCATCATTAAAACATTAATAACAATGGTATTAAGATTTAACATTAATACATAAAAAAAAACAAGGGTTAAGTAGCTACTGCAGGTAAATATCCTTCTGGTTAATTCAATTACCGTTTTCAGTGTTTATGCTTACGTTTTTATTACTTTGAAAAGTGGTTAAAGTATTGGTATAAATTCTTAAAAATCTTAAAATTTTTAAAATATCTATTATTTGAAAATTATTACATTAATTCTCCAATCACAAAAATCGAACGTGATAAGCAATTTTCAGTGGATTTTCTGCTGCTGCCAACTTGAAATGACAAATGCTTAACATAACCTCAAAATGATTAGACAAACTTAAATACAATTAGTACATTTTAATAAAAGTATAAAAAATATTCAAATTTTTAGCCAATAGCTACTACTAAAATATTGCTTAGATTAATTATAATTAATTATAATATAAGGAAACGCTTGTAAGTTGGAGTAATTTCGTTTTCACTTGTGAGGTTATATTGTACGAAATTACAAAGTTAAGTTATTTTAAATTCTTTGGTTGACAGCAATTTGTTGCGAGCAATTTTCCTGTCTATTCGAGAATCAGCTTTTAGTGTCTCTCCAATAAAATAAACGCAGTTATACATGCGGTTAGCGGTAACCATACGCGTACAGAGCTAATTTCGAAGTTGTTACAAACTTTGGGAACTTTTGATTTTACCCTGAACCCATAACGTTGTCGCTGGAAAATTTTTTTTCAGGATTTTTAGTAACTATTCCATTTAATATATCGTAATAATTTCTAAGAATCCTAAGAAAAAATTTTTCATTGGCAACGCTGTTAGAATCATTACCGGTGGAAAATTTGTTCCAGGGTCCCTAGAAATTATTGCATTATGTTAAAAGGGGTAATTTCTAATAACCCCGAAAAAAAATTTTCCAGCAGCAACACTGCCCTGAATGATGAAATCTCGATTTGTAGCATATAACCTCATTTGAATTCATAATAAATATTTAAGTACTATTTAGATAGTAGATTTTAGGTAGATACAACTATAAAATTGTTAAGTCTTCAAAAAGTATTGCAGAAACTTTTGAATTTTAGAGTCAAGGTCAAGAGTCTTAGAGCTGAAAATCAGAACATATTTTTTTGAATTTTTTGAACTTTTAGATGCTCAACAGATAAAGAGTTATGTCAAAAGTTGTCAAAGTTTGCTTCGACAAAGTCACAACAGAGCTTTAGTTCACCAAATGTTGGAGTTGGCATAAGATGAAACCATTATTAATGAGATACAAACTAGAAATAATTCTGAAACATCACAGACACTATTGAAAGTTCTCTTGGAAATGATTTCAAAACGAGGACCAGATGCAATCATTGATTTCATAAAATCAAAAAAGTTGTTAATTGTTATAATTATATGTTAGGAAATATCTCAAAAATATTTTCAATGAAAACAAAAAAGAATATTCCAATTATTTTAATCAAACATTTTGAAACTGATGAGCTGGTTAATCTATCATACAAATTTATCAGATTACACTGAAACGAATATAAAAAGAGAAGTTGTTTGGTTTAGATTAGTGATTTGTTTATTTGTATTCAAAAGAGAACTAAAAGTTTCATAAAGTTAATTAAACAGTTTATATTTATATATACATTTTTTTATAAAAACTAGTTATAAGAGAACTAACTTGCTAAAAATGCTTTGTGAACGTTACAAATATTAGAAATTTTCAAGTATTATGTTTTTGATTTTCTCACAAGAAAATGTATTATGGCATTCATATGATATTTGTCAAATAACAATAAGAAGAATGTTACAAATTTTTATAGAAATTTCAACATTAGTAAACTTTTCAACACCACATACAAATTTATTTCAGTCATTATGGATAATTAAAGATATTATAATTTTCTTTATTAATTTAAGTTAGCATGTTGTATATATATTTTTAAATATTATTATATGCTACTTAAAAGAATGTTCTTAATAGAAATATTAGAAATTATTTAATATTTAGCAAAATATAATTATATATAAAGTTATTGCATTCAGTGGTTAACAATTTTTATGTTAAGGATTTACTCTGTCATTTTCTTTCATATTTGACACGTTTTAGGTAGAAAAGAACATCTGAAGATTTGTTAGGAAAATTTAATACTGGCAAATTTTTTAACTAACACAATTAGTATGAGTATATAAATGTTTAGTTTTACAAGTTACTTATAAATTTTGAGAAATATTTTATAATTTGAAAACTACTTATATAGTGCTTTGAGATAAAATCTGTTGAGTAAACATGAATCAATTTAATATATTATAGGTATTTATACTTGACTTTACACAATCTCAATAATGAATAATTAAGTTTGTTAAAAGAAGCTAAAAAAATCGAGGAATTGAGAAATTTTTATATAAAACCCGAAAAACTGAATTTTTACTTGATTTTACTTCTGAACAAAATTTTGATCACAATCTTAAGTTATAGTTAAGGAAGACAAAATAAATTAAAATTATGAGCACAAAATAATTCAGTGTAACAGAATAGCAAGATTTCGTTTAAAAGGTTGTGTATATATATATATATATATATATATATATATAAAGGAAGCCGGGGGGGGGGCTTAGCAAAAAATTGAAAAATTATGCTCGATTTATCTTCTTTTCCATTTATTTAAATAATAAGCTTCATTCAAAAGTAGGTATTTAGGACATATATAGCCTGTTTTCAAATTTTCGTGTAGATTTATTCTCAGTGCATGAAGAAATATATATTAAATTTACTTAAAATTATAAGCTTGTAAAAAATATTTCATATAAATAAACTAATAAGCCAACAAATTAATTGATACACGTATATCGCATATAACTTCTCAATTACTTTAGTACAAAAAATGAAGGGATATTTTTTCATGTAATTACAACTACATTAATATTCCTTTCAAAAATGGGATCAATCGTCAGTCAGTTCCGTGGTTCGGTTTTAACGATCACATTTTCTATTACGAATTGTATTTAAATCTTTGTTTTGCAGACAGTTCTCGCTAGTGTGAGCTATATAAATATAGAAGGTAAATGTGACAAAACTTCTATTAAGCCATTGTTTATCCTTACAAAGGCCAGCAACACATTATAGTATATATAGCTGCTTCGACTGGAAAAGGATCGCAAAGGTTTTCGTACACGTATAATATCATGAATCATTAGTTGCACAACATCGATCTTGTGAACAAATTATAGGCTCTGAGTATGCCTTAAATTGTGATAATAACGAAATTTTTTTTATTGACACTGTCGATTGCATTGAAAGTAGTTTTTCACCAATAACTTTGTTTGCTTGTAACTTACACTAGCCTAATTTTTTTTCATAGTGTTGATCTATAACAGTATGAAAAAAAATGCGGCTAGTGTAAATTACAATCTATCGGTATAATTATGATTATCTATAGAACAAAAACAATGCTAATCACAGAATATTCGTGAAAACATGGGCGATACATCACTCAGGCATGAAGATGCAGTCGTTGATTATTTTATTAAGCTCCAGGAGACACAGGTATATGATTGTAAATAATATAACGACACCATAGAAATAATAAATAGTAATTGTAAAGCTATGTAAAAATAAAGAATATATATATATATATAAATTATTCATATATATATGAATTTATTATATATGAATAATTTATTATATATAAATTTTAATACGTCCCAAACAAATGCTTTATTTTTACATAGCTTTACAATTACTATATATATATATATATATATATATATATATATATATATAATACAATAAATTAATGGATAATTTTTTAATCATTTTGCAAGTATTTTTCCATTATTATTTTTTTTTGTTAAAAGAAAATTCTTAACTTTTTACAGGTAACCGAGATAGGCAGATCTAAAGATAGTAACTTTTCTTCCAGTGATTTACCAATGCCAGTAAGAATAGTAGGTGTAAAATATATTTGCCTAAATTTTTTATAAATAAATATTTTTGTCATTCTATATTCATAATTACATTGTAAACTGCTTACATAGACACTTGTGTAATTGAAAATTGCAAGTTACTTATCTTATTAATAGCTATTCACTGATTTTTGCTATATTTTATCCTTTAGATAAACTTAACAACACCAATTATAGAACAACCTAATAGAAATAATCGGGATGTCAATGTAGTAACCAATCCGAATGATTCTTTTAGCATAAACCACAACTTATCGATACATGTAAGTACAAAACATTACTAAATTATATTTTTAATATTGAAATAATATGATTTATGGTAATTTTTGTAATACAGTAAATGTAAAAAATTTCATTAAAACAACATAATATAGAAAAATGAAATGTCATATTTGCTACGAAATTCAAAAATATTAGTAATATGTATGATGCATAGAGATTAACTAAATATTAGAATTTAAGATTTTGCTTTTGTAATTTATGTAGGGAATATCAGTGGATTATAATAATACACAAGAAAATATAGATGAAAACCCTATTGCACTTACTGTGAAATCACAAATTAAAAATGAATATGCTATTTCTGACTCTTTATCATTTAACGAAAGAAATATGATGGATGAAATGCCACTTGGCAGAAAAATCATGATTCCAACTAATCAACTTTCAACTAGTCAAATGACTGAGGATGACGCATCTCTGATAAAGAACAAGCAGTGTAAGCGGAAACTTGTGGTAAAGCGTAAGGGAAGGTCATCGAAAAAAATGAAGAAAAGCAAGATAGACTATGAAAAATTCATTGAAGAAAGTGATCAAACAATACTTTTTAATCTACTCTCAAAAGAACTTGATGCTCAGACAATCCTTCTGAAATATAAAGTAAGTACCATTCTTCCCATACTTTTAACAACCTTTTTGATAATTATTACTAAAGAGTTTCAAATAAAATACATAATATTTTAGGAGAAAAGAAATGAATGGAGTAAGGATAGAATACAAAGCGAAACATCCAGAATACTCAATATCAACTTGAATAATGACAGTTCAAATTCAGATAAAAAGAGTTCACATTTGCAAAAGACTTTAGAAGGACTTTATAATTATGTTGGTCATGATTTTATAGAAGCAATAGTAAATGTATGTGGCTATGAATTGAAAGCTAAAATACTAGAAAATTTGAATACAGATGAGATAATTGATATTCTTGAAAATTTTGGTACAATGGAATTGGCTAATATCTTGAAAGTATACAAACATGAAATATTAGAATCAGTGTCAGTGGATGATATTTTAAATCTAATGAAGTCCAAAACTGATTTAAACAAGTCTGAAGAATTATTTAATCAAGTTTTACAAAATGGACCAGAAGTACTATCAGAGGAAAATGAACAAAACGTTAAGGACGTCTTAATAAAAAAATACAATATACACAGTCTTAGATATCTAATTCATGATGTTATAGATATGTGTATGGTTCAACCAAATAGATAGGTAATGATTATTTAGATTAATATTGACTTGTGTTTATAACTTGAAAAATTATTAGGATTTGTATTTGTAATGAAGTGTATATAATTTTCTTGTTATGTGTATCAATTTGTTGATAATGACTTAGTTACTGAAATATCATTTTCTGTGGCTTTACTCTAAACGCTTATAATGATAATCAGATGCACTATATGCATTTACATATTATAAATATTTTAAAATAATTGTATTGTGATAGACGTCATAATTTTTGTAATGCATAAACATATTTTTTGTACGTTTGTTTATTTAAAAATTATTTTTCAGTTACTATATTCAGTGTTAAATTTCCATCCGCCTAGTTTTTCTACTTGCGCATCGAAAATAATTACTATAAATTTTATTTTTAAGCAAGAATATCTCAAAAATGTACATGTGTTACAAAACCAAGATTTTTAAGAGAGTAAATCAAAAATTTGTCTATAATCAATTAATGAAATTTAAAGAATCGGAAGATTTTTAAATAAATGGTCGAAGATTATTTCAATTTCTGATCTAGCTATTTATTTCCATAATACGAGAATGTAACGTTTCATGAATATTGGATCATAATTCGTCTTTGAAATCAATTTTATTGACCTCAGTTGCCACAGTTAGATCGATCTAGTCACAAATGTAAGATTATATAAAGTTTAGAAAAATACTGAACAATTATTGATACAAATTTATACATTTAAAAAAAAAACTCAATATTTGAAACAGAATAAAAATTTGTTTTATAGGTAAATTGATATAATATTCATATACAAATTTAAAAACTATGTAGTATTTTTAGAAAAATTTTAAATTTAATTAAAGTATATAAAAAAAAATGTATACAAATTTCATTACCGTTTCCAAATCGGAATATTTTGTTACAACTGAAAGGAATATATCTAATCGGAAATCCAGTGTGAAATTACAAAAATGTTATTTTTATAATATCATATCGAGATTATAAAATAAAGTTTTTTTTTTACAATGACAATGATTTTTTTAATTACAAATAATATTTTTTGGAATATTACAAATGCTTACAAGTATTGTTAATGATAATAGCTTCGAAAGTGTATTGCATACCAAACTAGCTGAAAATATCATTTTGACGTATTTTTGTAATGTAGCCAAAAACAGGAATAATTATTTACAAAGTTTGATGTGAAAATTTAATATTTGTTGGTTGTTATGATGCATTATAGGCTTAAAGTAGTTTCAGGTGCAACTAAGAACATGATATTTGTTTTAATAAAAAAATTCAGTGCTTCTGAATGGAATGATTTGTATCGCATGAAAGTGAATAGCTTGCAATTCTACTTGTTTTATAAAATATTGCAGATACATTAAACTATGCTAAATATTAAGAATTTAAAAATTGATTGACATATGCTGCTAATTTCTTTGTTGCGTAATATGTAATTATATGTTGGCATTGATGCAACAATTTTTTTTTCTTAAAAATAATTTGCTGCTATTATTAAATTTTGATAGCATTACAAAAACCTTTAAATTGTTATTAAACGTTCAATTTTTAAGCTACAAGTGCCCCCTTGCTGGTGAGAAATCCAGGTATAAAAATACTTTAAATCTTTAAAGATATACCGACACATGACTAAATATTTCTTTGAGCACGCTATAACTTGGTATCTTCTACATATATATTTACCATTATTCTAACTGAACATGATACTTATTGCCCAGTAGTTCAACAGCTGTTTTCCAATGATGTAACTATAGCCAATCATGAAGGCGCGATATAAAATATTCGCGTGATCTCAGTAGATTATACTGATATAGATTTCTTCATTAATATTCATTGAATAGCAGTTGACGGTCACCACTGCATTTATTAATTATGTACTCTAATTAACACTGCTGATTTTATTTTGTTATTTTTTTTCTTTGTAGTGTTTGCAAGAAACGATATTGCTCATTTTGACAATAGAATTAAATCAAATCAATTTTCAATATCTAACGCTTAAAGTATAAAGATTATAATTTTTCTTTCGTATCGAATGGCGGACATATAGAATCAGTTTTTATGATATCATTTCTATATTACTTTCACGCATTATGTATGGGGGTCACTAAACTTTATTGTTGCATTACTTTAACATTAACGTTGCACAATTTCTCAAGTTTTCCGTATTAATCATTCCTTAAAATAATTTCTTGAATTATTAACTATTACGAATGGCGAAATATGCTTTACAAATTTATTGTATATTTTTTGTCCGATCCAATCAATATATATATGTTTGCTGTTTTGATTTACATGCAGTTTAATTATTGGTAAGATCAAAAACCGAAAACATAAGAGAACAGTTTTTTCGCCATAAATCTCATAAGAACAGAGTTATTGTCGAAACTAAGAAGATCAGCGAAGGTTGTTAAGATTAATTACTTTTTTGACAAAATTATACCTTGAAAGGTTCTAACACAATGTATCAATTATAGGAAGCAAAAATCCAAAAGCCGCAGATTCCCTAAAAAGAAAGGATATTATAGAACATTCCTACAAACACTGATATTATTTTTAGTAGAATAATTTTCAATAATATATTTTATTCCATCATTTTTTTATACTGACTCACTACACGTTGTCAATAAAAACCACACGAATGTTGAAAAATTATCAAAGTCAATTGATGATGAAATATTACGCTGATTATTATTTACGCTGATTCTAAAAGAATTATAAAAGGATTAATGTGAGTATAGTAATAGCAGTTCCGATTGAAAGGAAAAGTTGAAAAAATACTTTTGTATCGGAAAGCAGTCATTTTCTATTTATACCATCTAACAACTTTACATATGTAACTTACATAATAGATAATAATTTTCGTTTATTTTTTATAGAAAGTTAAAAAAGGAGTCATAAAATGATGAGCTAAAACCACGTAATGGTTATTATTAATTGTAATTTTATAATATTAAGTAAATAATGAAATCTATCAAATATTGAATTATATAGTAATACAATGAAAAAGAAATTTTTCATTTCATTTCCGTAATTAGAAAAAAGCTTGCGCGACGCGCGTAAAAAAACTGACATGGTAATCGGACAGTCACGTTACGTTCTCTATATCTTTTTTTAGTCTCTGGCCATCGTTCCGTCGATCGCGTGCTGTGTACACAATACTCAGTTTTCCCTCGGCGACCGATTAGTGCATAGCACGGAGTATCGCGTGCGCGCGAGTGTAGTGAAAAAAGTGTGTGTGCGCGCGAGAGAGAGAGTGAGCGAGTCGCGCGAGTACAATTGTATTATTAAAGAAACCAGCAATAGAAAGCGTCGTGTTCTTAGTGGAAAATGCCCGTGGTCATCTGATTGTGAAGTTCATCGCAATAGTTTTTTATCGAGCCCCTACATTCTTCGAGTAGTCAAATAGGTGAGAAATTGTTTCTCACGGACATCTCTAACCTAAAATCAAACGGAATGATTCATGGCTTAAAGATTAGGTGGCACACACACAGACACATATATATACTTATAACACACATCTCTAAATGACCTTTTAACGTTGTTGACCAATCGCGTGAGGACCTCTGCCTAAATCTAATCTGACACACTGATCCCAAATTTGTATTGACTCAATTAATTTTCTCTGCCCTGTCTTAGAAGACGAGTGTCATTGTAAGAGAGCGATGAATTTTTTTTATCGCTTATTTTCGGAGCTTCGCGTCAATCTATTTTTAGCCGATTCCTCGTGAGCAACAATAAAATTCGCCGTTCAAGCGTGGAAGAGAGTGAGAGTATCAAGCGAAAATGAAAAGAAAAATTGATTATTTCACTCGACAAATTAGTAATATTGTTCACTCGAGAAGCGGTTTACCATCTCTCAAAGCTTCGGAAATTAGGATTCCAAAGTAGCACAGTGGAGGCCTAGATTATTTATTATCAGTGAATAGTGTGTGAAAATCCTCGAGTTATGTGCGTAGATAAACGAGTCCCAGGCAGTTTTATCAATTGCAGTCTTTAAAAAACCGCTCCAATGATCTTGATCAATCAACTGACAGAGTTTCTGAGAAGTTGGCTTTGATAATTTTTAATGCTGATAATTATGAGACTTCCTTGCTCGATAACAGTTTCTGTTTGATTTACCTGCTTTCATTTTTTTTTCTCCTTTTTCAATAGAAAGTAAACCAGAATAGATTACTTTACATACATTCACATTGTGAATCAAGGATTAAAGATAAAAGTGAGACTCTCTTTGCAGAAGGATTTTTGTTAGTGCCTGGAATGATAAGCTTGGGGAGTTCAATTCATTGAAGTCCTATTGCAAATTTCCATTGATGCTTGATCATTCTAAGAGTAATTACTCCAAAGTTATCTTTCTTGAGAAATATGATAGATAATTAAGAGACATAAAGTGCCGCTGACCCATGCTATTCTTATTTTGATTAAGTACCAGAACATAATTTTCAATGTTCTTTTTTTCATTTTTGTTGCAGATAATTCAACATGGGGCGTTTTAATGGAAAAAAATGTCGTCTGCTGACTATGCTCTGGCTGACAGCATTTTTCTTCTTGGTAGAGATTATTGTGGGATATATGACTAACTCCATGGCGTTAATAGCGGATAGTTTTCACATGTTGTCAGATGTGGCTGCACTAGTTGTAGCTTTCCTATCAGTAAAAGTAAGTATAATACAATACATAATTCTTGTAAATCCTTGTATGAATTATTAACTGTAGGTAATCATGATGATTATATAATTCCTAAAAATAGTCAGAGTGTTACATATGATCAGACGTATCCAATCCATTTATCTGCAATAATCCTGAGCTGCACATATAGAACAATATAGTTTTTTATTAAATTTTTTATAAAAAGCAATTACTTGAGCACAATCAAGTTTCCTGTTACCGTGACTTTATCCAGTAAATTTCAAGGTTTTCTTGGCATTCCTTTTCAGCATCAAATATGATCACACAATGCCTTTTTTTATATACTTGATTTGCCATTGCTTCTTTTAGTCTATCTTTGTGCATTTGTTTAATTGGATGTATATCAATTCATTTGAAATGATGTAATTAATGAAAACAATTAATTTATTTATTTCTCTGTTGTTTCTCTATCAATTTTAATACTACCATTCCTTTTCGAAATTTTTTGTATCTTATGCTAATCAATATTGAGGTAACAATAAAATTTCAGTATTGAAATCAATTGTATGCGATATAATCACTGATTATATCAAAACTTATCATGTAAATATGTGCAAATTACTGTACATTAATTTACACAGCATGACAAATTTCTGATTCAGAAACGAAACCTTGCGTACTCGAAAGATTTTGATGTGCTAAATCGAAATTCGACATCAGAATTAACCTAATATGTCAGATTTTTGAGATATCCTAACCTATAAGTACGAAAAACACGATTTTTAGCTATATTCGTTGATATCTACTACCAGCAAGAATTTTTTTTAAACGAATTTTAAAGAACTGTCATCCTACAAAATCCTGCCTCCAAATCTTGTACATCTTTTTTTTTACTGGTATATCGAAGATTGAAATTTAAGTTTTTTCGAAATTTCACTAGTACTTCGAAAACCCAACCCAACCCGGCAAATCAAGATATGAACCGATATAATATATTCATGTTCTATGAGACGTACAATTTGTTACAACTATTGAATACTAAAACTACTTCAGAATCTCAAAATTTCTAACCTCAAAATACAAAAAAACACTATCCTTGATTTTGAAAAAAGATATGAAGAGAAAAATTACTTTACATATGAAGGTATATCGTATTTCCTCAAATTTCGTACCACATATTCTTTGAGCGTATAATGTTAGAGCCCTAAATTCCAATGTTCTTAACCCCCGAACCCTGTAACCTGCGAATCTATAACCTCAACTAATGACGTACTAGTGAAATATCAAAAATACTTAAAATTCAATCTTCGATATCTCTGTAAAAAGAAAAGAGATATGTACAAGATTTGTAGGCTGGGTTTTTAAGGTAAGTGTTCTGCTTCAGAGCGGGGCTATCCGTTTAAAAAAAATTATTGGTAGTAGTAGATAACCACGAATATAGACAAAAATCGTGTTTTTCGCCCTTATAGGTAAGGGTATCTTGAAAACTTGACGTAATCCTTCGGGTACGCGAGTTCTTGTTTCTGTTTCAGGATTTGGTTTTATTTTTGTCGGCCTGTGTTATTGAACAGTTGTATTGTAATGCTTGATTTGCAGTTTCATATCCTCTTTGAAATAATCATTTATTAGCTATTAACCTATCATTCTAATTATTTTTACATAAAATTTTCAATTAATTACCATCTCAATTATAACTTGTTTAATATTTTAATTTTCATTTATGAAATATTTAATCTTAAAATTTGATAAAAATATTATTTCAGCAATTTTTTCTGATTATTATTAAGTCAAAGATATTTCAAGTTGCAATAGCTTTTGTCCAATAGTACAATAATGCTATTGTCACATGAACAATACATATGAATGCGTACATTGTTACTTCAATTATGCTCAAGATTTCATTGCTATGTTACTTTAAACATTGGATTGTTTCAATCAGCTCCACTATTGTAATATCAAATGATAATTTTCGTATTGACGTGAAGCTTTACAGTTTCATCGCAATAGTTAATTGAAATTATATCTATTCATCATCACAGTTGAAACTTTATCATATAACCATTAATCCAATGTATTTTAATTGTAATGTCAAATGTGAATTGGATCATTACAGATGTCTCCGAAGAAGTGGTCGAAGAACACATTCGGTTGGGCTCGCGCAGAGGTTTTGGGCGCACTGGTGAACGCAGTATTTTTGGTAGCCTTGTGCTTCAGTATAACTGTCGAAGCGTGTAAACGTTTCATCGAAGTCGAAGATATTCACGAACCTGAATTTCTCGTAGTAGTTGGAGCTCTTGGTTTACTCGTCAACCTAGTTGGACTTTGTCTTTTCCATGGTTAGTAAAAAAAAATAAACAAAAAATAATCATCATTCGACGATCAAGTAAAAAGTTGATAGCGCGAACGCAGTAGTAGGAAAAATCAATACTAAATGAATTCCATCACCATCTAGGATACTAATTGGTTTCTTGGAATTGCTTTTAGCGACGGGGAAATTTTCTACTGATGCGAGTTGTCATTTGATTTTATCGTTTCGCAAGCTGTGCTTCTACTTTTTAAAGTGTAAATTGATATGCGTTGTCTGTTGCGGTTACGCGGGTTTATCGACAATTTTCAACTTTAATCGCATTCAAAGTGGCTCACACAATTTTTGTGACGCTATTTTGTACATTTTTTTCTTCCACTGTCGCAATTGTGTAACAAAGTATTACGCTAATAGATTTTTCTCGAAACTAATTTAAAAAACATACCTTTTGTAGTAGCCAAAAAAAAGTATGTACAAGGAAGTTACGTAATATTTTACTTAAAAATTATGTAGTGTTCAATTTCACCTACAAAAAATAACAAAAGAAAACGTAAAAATTTCGCAATCCAATCCTGTACTCTAACACGTTTCTGTGTGAACCGAGACATTCATTAATTGTTTTTTGACTTTCAGAGCACGGTCATGGCCATTCACACGGACATTCGTACGGCATAAGTCACAACCGTCTGAGTACGTTGGTTGGTAGCGACGACAACGAAAACGACGAAACATATCGTCCACCTTCACCGATCAAACGTATCGGCAACGGTCATGGACATCACGGGCATGCACATGGAGATGCCAGTCAGATGAATATGCGTGGTGTATTTCTTCACGTCTTGTCAGATGCTTTGGGATCAGTTATTGTCATTGTTTCGGCTTTGATTGTCTGGTTAACAAACTGGAAATACAAGTGAGTGCTCTTTTTATTGTTGTTGCACTCAAGGTCAAGGTAAAAATGTATAACTGTATAGAGAGAGAGAGAGAGAGAGAGAGAGAGAGAGAGAGAGAGAGAGAGAGAGAGAGAGAGAGAGAGAGAGAGAGAGAGAGAGAGAAGTAACGGTGGTGCGTTTCACTGTTAGTCTTTTTTTTTATTGGTGTTATGATTCGTTAATTTTGTTCTTACTGCAGTTATTTTTTTTTAACACGATTTGTTAATTGAATAAAAGTTATCAATTCCGTTTTATTGACTCATAATCTATATTTAGTTGGCTCATTAAAAAAAAACGACAAATAAAATTGAATATCATGACAATAATTCTTACGAGTGCCTTATTAGACAAAAAGAAATCGAAATCAAGTTACGTAATATATATTGATTGTCATGTAACTAATATGCTCTCATTTCTTCAACGCAGGTCCTACATTGACCCAGCGCTTTCATTGCTGTTGGTGATTCTCATATTGAAATCGGTTTGGCCTTTACTGCAAGAATCCGCCTTGATTTTACTGCAGACCGTTCCGACACACATACAGGTAGAAAACGATTAAGATTGAATATAATCGGTTTTATCAGAATTTCGAGAGTGAGAGAAGTAAAGGTCCTGATAACGGCCTTGACGTGTTTCTGATAAAAGTCCATGCGTTTTCTTTTCTCTTGATGCTGATAAAAAAAAATTCTGACTTAGAATTTTAGAATGTAACAACTCATGGTTTATTATATTATCGATGATATTGTAGTTTTGTAGGCATGTCTGCTTTTAAGTTGTTACACGTGCAGTAAATTTTCTTATTAATGATCGATTTGAAGTTTTCGATTAATATCAATGTAGGTTAATAATTTTTTTTTTAAACTTATCCATTCGAATTAGTTGTTTTTAGGATAAGATTGGAGAATCGATAAAAAAGTATAAAGATAATTGAACGTCTCTCATTCTCTTTCTTTCTGTAAACAATTGTCGCTTATCGTTTTACTGATGGATTAAGATCGATCTTTTTTGTATAACATTCGTTCATTGATACTTTTAAAAACTAATCAACGAATGTACAATGATAAGAGTTATTAAAGTTGTAATTAAATTTGTATTTCCGATAGTGATATGAAGTATTTAATCTATGTGACGAAAAGCAGTTTCTTTTGTTCGCGACATTTATTTTTTTTCTTTGTTAGGTCGATGCGATTCAACAAAGACTACTGGAAAACGTCGATGGTGTATTGGCGGTTCATGAATTTCACGTGTGGCAATTGGCTGGTGACAGAATCATTGCTTCGGCGCATATACGTTGTCGCAATTTGTCTGAGTATATGAAGATTGCTGAACAAGTCAAAGAGTTCTTCCACAATGAGGGCATTCACTCCACGACCATACAGCCTGAATTTGTTGATGTCAGAGTTAAATTAAATTTTATTTTTCTCCTGTTATTTATTATGTGCCTAACAGTATTTGTCTTTTCTGCAGTATCAAACTAATAGCGAAATTAAGCAGACTCCTACAGAAGACTGTGTGCTTGATTGTCCAAAAACTGACAAATCCTGCAACCAAGCCACGTGCTGTGGTCCTTCGAAACAGGTCAGCGCCTATACATTTATATCTAATACATTTTTCCTCCATGAAATATCTCTCCTGGATAACCCCCCTTCCTTCCTCTATCCTAAATAGAGTCAATTACCACCAAGAACCGAACCTCATTCAACGTATTTCAACACCAAATGCTTCGGTTCGTGTTTAGAATGCGTAAGATCTGAGACAAGTATTTTCATGGGTAACTTTTCTTACGATTCCTTCTTTTATTTTTTATCGCTCAATGTTTTCTCAATGTTTTGTAGCGCATTGGATAAACAAAGGAGCGCCTATAATTCTTAAATCAATATAGGCTTGTGTCCACAGTGCTACAATGCGTTTTCCGATTAAAAATAACTTTAATAGTAGCTTTTATATAAGCAGAGGAATAACCTGCACACTGGTAATTGACAAAGAATAACCTATTTTTTAGGAAGTTTGGAGTTTTAATCTCCTACAGTTTTTTATACGAACTAGTTAAGTGGAAACCTGTAAGATTTACATTGTGCCGTCGTTTCTTAAACGAATTAATGATCTGTTTTGTTGAATCATTTTTTAAACATTGAGTTGTTTTGAAATATTCTGTGAATGCAATCATGCATAATTTTTATACAGCAAAAATATGTACATGTATTTATGTGCAGTATTGTGAAATGAGTTGTAAAGAAAAATAAGAACAAAGCACTGATTTTCATGATAAAATTAATCAAGCGCACGTGGTTATTATTCTATTCTAATTTTACATTGACATTGTTGAAATAGAAACAAAGAACTATTCGGCCACGTCTAGCTTTCGTCTTTTATTGATTTAAGACTCTTTATCGCTTTGTGTTTCTTTCCTTGTTTATAATTACTACTTTGATGTTTTATTTATATAATTTCCCATGAGTGCCTATGTAATTTGTTATTAAACTAAACTTTTATAAATCAATATAAAATAATTGATGACTTGATATTTAGGGCCGAGAAACACCATCTCCGGGCGAGACACCATACCTGTGCAGACAGCGTAGCAACTTGGGTCGCTCAAGTAACTCGATTGCTGGCGCGGTATTGTCGGGGGTGACAACGTCCGAGCAACAAGAACTCAATGAAATGGAACGTGGACATTTACTTTCACCACCACCCACTTCCGTCCAGATGACTAGCTCGATTCTCATCTCGCCCTCGGTCTAGAGAGAGACCAATTTTAATTTAATTTTTTTTTTGTTAATGATTTGTTTTTCTCGCTTTCTTGATGAGGGACAAGCAAATAGCGACATGACAGTAAATAAATTTTTATACAGTTTTTTTATGATTGAGGATATGTAGGAAACGAAACAGATATTTGTTATTGTTTTGCAGTCCACGAACTATTCAGTGACGTTTACAAAAATTACAGAGTAAGCTGAAAGCCTTAATCACTAATCAAATTTTTTATACTTGTACATCAAATTTTTTACGATAGAGAAGTGAGAAAGAGGTTCATTGTAAATAGCCCAACGATGAAAAAAAAAACATTTCTATTTATATGTTCAACAAAAAAATTAATTTAATTTTTATTGTTGTATTAATGAGAGAGAGAGAGAAGAGAGAGAGAGAAGAGAGAGAGAGAGAGAGAGAGAGAGAGAGAGAGAGAAAGAGAGAGAGAGAGAGAGATCCCCCTGCAAGAAAGAAACTAAAGAGAGAAAGAAAAACAATCATTGTCACGGTCTCCTTCCTCCTAGTAAGAAATGCCCAGGCAAGCTAAGAGCCGTGAGTGCGACGAGTTATTTATGCGCGCTGATTTGCATTTATATGAAAAAAGCTGCGCCATGAGAATATATTTTTTTGACTTGGCTGTAAATAGTAGGGCAAGTTTAGAGAAAAATTATAGTTGTTGACTAAAAAAATCTTATCTAGTTACATTTAAGGTTACAATGTAGGGAGGAACAAATTGAGATGAAGTACTTTTTTGTGATCGCCAAGTCTTCTGTGAATTGAACCCAAGATATACTGTATTTATTGACCATTGAATATTGTATTCGATGGACTGAACAATTTTCTTAGCAATTTCTTTAATTTTTTTTCGTTTTATCTAAACGAAGCACTTGTACCATCACACTATTATTACTATTGTTGAATCAAAATTTGCGTACAAGTGCTTGCTCTCTATAAAAAACGTTGCAATATATTGGTGGAATAATTTTTAAGTTGATGGAAAAGCTTAAAAATGCGCATTTCCTAGTTAAGAAGAGGCTTAGCACAATAGGTATAATTTACCTTTTATCGCGTATGCGTAGCCCAATTAATTATTTTTTTTTTCATTTTTTGAATTGTACATAACTTTTTAATTCATTTTAAAAGTAAAAAACAATTTCTTCGAAAATCATCGTTTTACGCATATTTGTAATTTAAACTCGAGCACAATAATTGATACGAAACACATAATATTCTTAGCCAATGTACACACTTTTTTACAAAGAATGTGAAAAGGAGAGAGAAAGAGGGGAATACAAGTAAACGTTTTTTCTAATCTCACCGAGAGCTTCTTACTAGTTATTATTATATATATAATATTATAAATAAATGCACGCGAACGTTTTTTGATCCGTCGTGTGACAATTAGTGTTCGCGTGGAAAATAATGAATTTTTTTACAGATTAAATAACGAAGTAATTAAAATTAAGATTACGCGTATGACGAATCTTGTCATTTGCCAACTGTAGCTTTGCGTTTACTTCTTGAGTACCCATACACAAAAAAAGCCGAAAAGCACCGAATAGCGCTCGAGAGTCTATACGTGTTTTTGCGAAGCGTAATCGCATACGAGTGTGTATATACAAAAAATGCAGAGCAGAGTATGGAATTATTATTTATAGTCTAATGTTGAGATACAATGATGACGATTAAATACAAATTTTATCCAGTCTGTAAACATGTCACTGTTTCTCGTTTTATTATCCCGTCTTTTCAATCACGCCGTCGTTATAGCAGCATTAATCCAAGGCAAAAAGTTCCAGAAGTTGGTGTAGACGCCTGGCACATTTGTGTTCGCGCAGCCAATGCCCCAGGCGACAAGTCCGACCACTTGCCACTGGCCGGTGTTTGTTTGACATACTAACGGTGAACCTCCGTCACCCTATTAATTTTCAATATTTTTTTAATGTATAATTGCGATTTTTCAGCGATCTTTTCATAACATGATTACCGTGCAAGCGTCTTTTCCAGATTCACCACCAGCGCAAATAAAACTGTTTCTATTTAATACAAAATTAGGTCCAAGCCTTGTCTGTCTCAAGCGAGCCTCACAGCTAGCTTGGTCGATAATGGGTACATCTACTTCTCTCATAATCGCTTGATATTGGCCATTCGGAGCAAATGCATTTTTACCCCATCCGGAAACGTAACACCTGCGTACACAATGTCTCAATGAACTTTTAGGTATAATTTGAAAAAAAAACAAATCCTTCCTAAATGAAATGGTCTTTTTAACTGCACAATAATTTGGTTAATTATTATGCTTGGACAATTGTCAACTTACAGTACTTGAGGTTTGTGTCAATGCTAACAAATCGTTCGCTGTTTAAATTATTTGTTTCTGCGATGACCTTGAGAGAGGTAGGTTCATTAAGTTTATTGATTACTGTTGGGTGGGCGTGTGTGCAATAAATCTAGTTACGATAACAATTGACCGTATGTTTTTATTATTGGAAAACCAGAGCGAGATCCTGCGTGATCGAGCTTGGATGCTCGCGGACGATTAACTGAATGTGCAGATGCACGTTCATGCGCGGCTCGAGTGAACTGACGAGTATCCTTCGATTCTTTGGGGCCATAAGCATCTCTTACCTCTGATTAGCAACAACTGCAGCAGTAGGCTTGCAAGCGGTGTTGATGTTGGGATAAGACGCGATGGGAACGACACCGTTGAGCCTTATCACAGCCACGTCGTTATCCAGATTGACCGAGTTAAAGTTCGGATGGAGGACGACTCGCGCGACATTCACCGATACAGGTTGGTACGGCTCGGTGCTCGCTCGTCCATTCCAATCCCCTAGGCGCACCAGCATCGCCTCGGGATTGTTTCTGCGGGCAAAGAGACAAGGCAACGATCTCGATGAGTCTCGCGAACGAGGATGCTGTGCGCGTAACCTGCATGCGGCGTCACGCCTCGCGACTCGGCGATGCGTTTCCCGCGCGGGGATTCCCCCGACGCGAAAGCGTACTCGCGTTTTTTTTATACCTGCCGCGAGATGAAAATCAGCGCGCACGTGCGCTCGTGGGAACAACGGCTGTATTGCAACAGAACGAAGCGACGCGCGATTTACCGGAGCGGAAACATCATAATCACATCGACGAGCTTGTCCTGTTATAACGCCGTAAAAATTTCACAAGTCATTTGTCGTTCGAAACTGCCTGCTTTTTCTGCTGCGTTGAGTTGATGAGTTTCGCGGAAAAGAGACGATAAAATCTTTGCACGAGAAGAAAGCCGACTGTCGCTTGTAATCGTCGTAAAATCATGTTGCAAAAGGTCAGTGTGACGATCTTCCCGTCGAAATTCGTTATTGTTGTTTTCGTTAATTTAAAAAACTCAAATTTTTTGTTCGCGTTATGCTCATCACTTACGCGTAAGCAGCGACTTTATGGGCAGCAGTAACGACATGCGTGGCATCCATAAGAACACCCGAGCCGAGATAATTTTCGCCAGCCTTCGTGAGAAGTGCCGCCTGCCAGGGGTAAGCTCCGAAGCTCGCTTGTCCGACGACTGGCTGACGCGTCACTGGTATCTTACGAATTCCACAGGTGGTGTCCGCCGGTGGTACTGTACTCGGTTGACTGGTCGGCGGTGTGCAGCACGATTGGTAACCAGTTTGACAGGGTGACGGGGTAGTTCCCTATATGTATTTTTTAAACAATGTTTTCACTCTTTGAGCTTCGCGCTTCTTTTGAAAAGTAAGTAAGAAAACTTACGACGTTGACTATCCTGATGTCGATCCCATTGTTTCCGTTGAATGCGCAGGTGCCAATGAGTACACACCTGCAGTTTTGCTGGTTAACGATAAACGTTGCTAGAAGAAAAGAAACAACTCTATCTTCAATGTGACTTGGCGCGTTGTAAAAATCAATACTCGAGCTTTCGTTATAACGTGCACTTCGGCTTTATCTCTCGATAAACTGCTCGATAAACGAAAATAAGCGACATACTCGCCGCCGATTGCGTGGGCTTAGCCGCGTTCGTGCTCCCCTCGCTGAACGAAATTCCATTTTCGAACTGCGCGACTGCCGCGGAGGCGCAGCAAGCCAGCAGCACAGCCAGCGCGATCGCCATCGTTGCGCTCGACGCGGCGCGGTCGCGGGAAAAACGACGAATTAAATGGGAGAAAAATTGGTCTGCTCGAGTGACAGGTGGAACGCAACTGTGTCGCTGCGCCCAGACGTCGTCGGCTTTTTATATCGGGACAGGCTTCGCGCGCTTCGCCGGCTCTCTTTGCATACACCGTGCTTCCGTTTTTTTTTTCATCTTTTCAGCGATGATGCGACGTGACTCGCCAGTGGAACAGCTGACAATTCGAGAGAGGTGAGAGTTTGACAAAAGGAACGCTCGGACATTATTGTTAATCGCCATGAATTCCGCGAACGCAGGGATCGTTTATTAAAAGTGACGCGGATGTCGATAAGTTGCTTTCAACTTGCGACGCGCAAAGTTGTCACGCACTTGCTTTTTGTAAATTGCACAGCCTTTCATGCTCGACTGTCGCTGGAGAGGAACAGAAAATCAACGATGGCAAATTGTTAACTTTAGAAAACAAACTGCAAGAAGTATAATCGTATATGAGCGCGTGGAATCGAAATGTTGTCGAAGCTTTTGAAATAAATCGCAACAATAAATTCGTAAAAGGCGACTATTTACAAAGTGCGAATTTCCACCAGTTTTCGTGATCGTTTGCAATTTTTAATACAATTGAATAATTGACGAAGTCGAATGTTCGAAAAGAAACATGGGAAGATGAATTCCCTTGTATAAATGATCACGATACTTTTATTGGGTTCGGACAGCTTGAGCCGACTCTCGTGAAATATTGAAGTTTAAGGCACACTTTTAAATCGTTATAAATGGTAAGAATTAGATCATACAACCTATCGATTGCCAGATATACACTTCAAAAATTATTATAACTTGGCTGTCGTTTAAATTGCGTTGTTTAACGTTGACGTGGGTAGTGCGCGCGAAAACACGAAGCTCGGTGTACAGGGAGTGGTCGACGAGGGTATAAGCGAGCGAGAAATAATTAGACGAATTACAATCAGCAGAATCTCAATGGTAATTGGAATTTTTTCAGCTGCGAGCGCGAATTGCCGTACGCCGTTGGCGTTGCTTCGGCGCCGAAGTGCGACGAATTGCGATATTTTATCAATCGACGGAACGGGTACGACAGCTTCCATCGTCGCGCGTTCGGCTTCCAGGTGTACGTTTATCATTTTCATCCGAAAACCAGCGAAGCCGGTGCGGCTGGCGACTTACGGTTATCCAAATAGAGGCGGTTGTTAAAAGGGGATATTAAATCACGCGCGATAACGTACGTCGTAATTAGTGTCGCACGGCAAAGTGTCACGTTCTTAAAATAATACACAATATCCGCAGGCGCGCGCGACAGTACAGAAATAAAAAAGAAAAATAAGCGCGCGTGGTCTAAACGACTTCCGTTGGCAATATAATAATCTGCCGCTTGTGTGAATCCTATATATAAGTGGGTCAATCTCGCAACGCTGGGCAAGTCCAAAGTCGCGCTAATTGTTACGCGGAATGACTTCTAATTGCGCTCCAACGGGGAAATACGCGTTGACTAATTTTTTTTTTTTTTTTTTTTTTGCTGCAATCTCGATCGTTCAAAGAAAAGACAACAAAACGACGATGTTGTTCGATTGCACCTTGGATAGGAATCTCACCTGCTTGCAAAAAAAAAAAGGAAAAGGAAAACGCGATTGACGCTGTACACCCGAGGTAATCACGCCTCCGCTCTTTCCGTTTTTCTTTTTGTTTTGTTTGTCGAAACGCGAGTACAAACGCGAGACGATTTCACGCAACGACGCGTCAGCGCATAGCAAAGAGCGAAAACAGCGCCCAAGGTGTTTGTCATTTCTAAGCGAAGGACGGGCAGAAAGGATTCAAGGGGAGATTCCTCGCGATAGGAGAGCGAAGGCTGCAGTGGTATCCGAAGGCGTTGGTCTTAGCTCCCATGTAGCCGTGGGAAGTGTAGCGTGCAACGGAGACCCGTCCGCCACTTTTGGGAGGCTGTGGCACGAGAATGTTCGCGCTCCCATCACGACGGCGAATAAATTGGACGAGCCGATCGGTACAGTTGTTCGTTTATATATTGTCGATGCGTAAGAACTGGGCGGGAGGGGGGTGAATCAACTTGGATTATCCGACCGAGATGGTACGATCTGTACTCCCCGTAATGGAGCGCGCGAGGAAACAACAATAACTGCCAAGTAATACCCTTCGCGCGAGCAAACTTTCAACGCGAAAGTGGCAAGCAGAGGATCGACAAGATACTTCGTCGATTTGCGATCTTCGCGCCACTCGAAGTTTCTCGTTCGATCAGTGAATGTGCGCAGGGACAGTGTCACGCTTGGCAGCACTCACCGCGCAGCATCGCTGCAAAACCTCGCGATTGCGAATGCGCCCTCGACTACGGCGAGGCCCGGTCGACGCGAGCGACGATATCGAAGTTCACTTCCCAACCGACTTCCGTGACGTTCGGATTATCGCCTACCGCGCGCGCTTTCGCGCCATTGCTAATTTTACGCGCGGTCGACGCGTTGCGTACGCCACGTCGGGTGAAAGGCACGGCATTGTCGTGTCGGAGAATCTTCAGATTCATAATTACTGGACGCCAGTTTTGCGAAGGGGACGGGTGGGTTTCATTGAAGCTTTCAGCGATGCGACGGAGTCTTTTTTTGCTTTTTGCAGAACCGGAAGTGTTCGCGATATCACGGGAGCGCATCGGGTGTCGATGTTGCCGTACTTTGCTGCACCGGATGTTGATCCTGCGGCGAGCGTAAAAAATGGTGCAACGCGAAAAATTTTACTGGAATTGAGCTGATTGCGGTACTCGCGTTACTCACTCGAATTGGCACCCGAGAGGTAATGAAAATTCGAGTGACTTGTCTTTTTGTTTGGGATACTTAAGAAAAGCAACGCCACGGCGAGTACGACGTGCCATTTGACAAAGCAAAAACGTCCACTTTGAAACGCCGACTGTTCCGCTGCTCGCGCGGCACGAATCTATCGCCGCGGAATTGTGCGCAAACGCTGACACGCCCGGAGAGTATGAAAATCGCGAGACCGAATTTCGTGCTCACGCACGCAGAAGGAATGTTGAAAAACTTCGTTGAAGCGTCGATGTTTTCGATCGACCTTAGGGTGTACTTTTCTGAAGAGTAAAGCTGAGACTAGCGTTTGCTTAACGTACCTTAAACGCAATCACGACAGTGAGATGAGATCGCGAGAAGCGCGTGCAGCTAATTGCTCTTCCACTGCAAAACGACGTTTACGCGTTAATTTCCTTGTTTTTCCCGTAATTCATATACAGGGCCTCTAATATTGCATAATCTTACCGATCTACTGCACGAGTTTATGATAGTTGCGCATAACATCATTCATCAGTCTGACGACGGAAATTGGCATATTACGAATTGAGTGACTCGTTATAACTGAATCTTACCGTAGAATTTTACGATAGAAATAGATAGACTTAAGAAGAAATGCCGAGATTGAGAGATTTATTTCTTGCGCAGTAATATTTTGAACTGGTTTTAAGAGATATTCTTACTCAAACTCAGAAACTTTTGAAAATAAGAAAACACTTTATTTATTGCTAAACCAGGTGAATTGACGTCTAAGAATACAACAGGAATGAGAATGTTTTTTTATTTTTTATTTTTTTGGCGTTGCAATAATCTTAAAGACTATTCACGGTCAGCCAAATCGTTCGTGATGGGCGTAAGGGACGACATGCGGTTGACTGGACGCAGCATCCGTGTCGTCGCGATTCTGAAAGCGAGCCAGCCAATGTGACTTGCCGTATAACGCGGACTGGTCGTCGAGACTTAGACGACGATGAGCAAGAGACGTACGCTACGACTGCCCCCACAAGCTCGCCTACTGTCAGAGGAGACTGCTGCCGGGACCGGCACAATTGTTTTTTCTTCTTTTTTTTTTTTCTGTCGGCTCGCACAATGCGCGCGTCGCCGTGAATGAAGAGAATGGCGCGGCAACGTCATCGCGTTTAATAAACCCGCGATTCGAGCCGAAAAAATGAGAAAAAAAGGTCGACGTAATGCCCTTTCGCAACGCTCGCACTGTTACGTAAGCTCGCGCGTGTCCGGCCGCGAGTGCCGCACGCGAGGCAACATCGCAGCGCGAGCCTCGCGAGCACGTCGAGGCGATCGACGTAGGAGCGTCGTCGCCACCAGCGCTGACGAGGCTAACGTCGAACCCCTGCTCCCTTATTTTTTCATTCTGTTTTCGCTCTTGTTTTTCCTTTTTCTGCAGCGGGCACGATTCGATTGCTCGGCTGGCACATGTTTTTAGGTGAGTAACAAATGAATGCGATCTCAAATAAGCGTCGCATGCTTCTAACGAAGCCACTCTTTTTTAAATGAATGTGCAAAAAATCCATGTGTACCAGGTCTTATAGCAGCAACTAAAAATAATTATAATTATTTGTAAATGAAGCTCGTGTACGTATGTCTATTAAACAATTAAAAATTTCTACGGACAAGTATAAATAATTGAGCATCTGCGAAATTGTTCTATATTTTGTTAATCTTAAAAATATTAATTAGCTTTATGCAATGTTGCGTTATAATTATTAAGATATTTTTGTGAATTTGCATTATGTCGAGAACAAACTTTTGTACAATGATAAAAATTCTTAATGACATTTATTAGTCGTCGCGCCAATAGTTGCGAAAAACTTTTCTGCCTTGGTGGCATCCACAATTGTCGCTAAATAGCTAGGATTTGTAATCGAGCGTGCAAACAGGCTGCGTCTCGCCACTGTTTCTCTCTCTCTCTCTCTCTCTCTCTTTTATTCGCGACGCTTCCGATAAAATCTTACGCCGCAACGAGGCCGGCGTCGAGTGCGCCGTGCTTCCTCGCGACTGGCTGTCGACGACGAGCGATCGTCGCGTCAGCCCGCCCACCCTCGTCACGGCTCGAATGCCGAGGCGTGCCAGGAGCTCCGCGCCACCCACTTTCGCTCGTCGTCTGTGCGCGAATGCCATCGACGTCCAGCCTGGCTTGTCGACGGTGCCGTAATCACGCGAGCACCCTCTTCGTCGCTTCTCTTTCCCTGTTTTTTCTCTCTTCTATTGCCCAGAAGACATTCGCGTTCCGGTGGAGACAGTTGCGCGTCGCCGACGCGCGTTGATACAGAAAACATTTTTTTTATCAGGCTCTCGAAATTTTCGTAGACGGTCTCCGATCCGCTGTCTGTCGCCTTGATAACCGAACGAGTCATGACGATCCAGCATGGACCCGATCGTTCTCCACCTTCTGATCTGTCGCTGTACCCACTCTTCTCTCTCTCTCTCTCTCTCTCTCTTTCTCTAGGAAGACTCACTCTTTCCCTAACCGCCAAACATCTTATTTTGGCAAATCTTTAAAATTTTGTGACTCTTCACCAATAGCCTCGTAATTTTCACTTGAAAATAATCGTCCGGCACGTCGGATAATTACGTGTCCCGAATAAATGGGACAATGAATTTCATTGCGATGAAGTCGGTAACCACGTGCTGATGTGAGAGTCAAGCGAGAGTGACATCGTTCGACAGGTCGCAGGTGGTCCTTGAGCACAGCAACCACTGCGTTCCCTTGAAAAGTTCGTCGCATGACTTGCGTGAGTGACTCTTGTGGACATGTCTGGATTATCACCAACAGTGCGCGTCTAACATTGTTCTAATATATTACGTACATTATCGAACCCGTACAGTCATTCGCGATGATAAAAAGACTTTTCTAATCGCCACGTTTAATAAAATATCAATGGTTTCTCTTAGAGACTCTGTGGCATTTTTTAAAACTGATTTCAACGTCATATCATCTAAAGTATTCCTAGGCAAGTATCAGCAAGCCTAGCTTATGCCAACTGTAAAAGCTCGCATCGACTTGTTTCTCCGTTCTTGAATACGTATTTGTTGAAAATATATTTTTTGTCAAAGAGCACTTTTTTTTCTCAAAAATTGAAGTGTCGATGTCTGGAGTCCACAGGTCGCGACTCAAACAAATCCATTGTATTAAGAAGACTTCATTGGGAATCTCAACACATGTACGTTGAACTGAAAAATCAATGAACCCCGTGCGATATTTTCATCGGCGTTACTTTCTTTCGAAAGGCTGATTCACAAGAGCATTATTTTCAGTATGACTCAACCGGGGAATGCCAAAGAACGCGGCATCTTATCTCGATCCGCACAGACAGTAACTATCGTCACTTTCTCAGAGCGATGAACAAATGTGTAATCAATGAATGACCTCACCCACGAGCACAGCTTTTAAAGCACAACAGACGTATAGTCATAGAACATCGCAAATAATCGCAAATGATTTTCGGCAGCTGATGAATCGACGTGTTCCGCGAATCGTCGCACTTACAGGGAAATGTCGACTATTTACTTGGAAGCGCAACGACAGACCGATGAGGTATGAATGTGACGCACAAGTGTGTCTTAGGCTCTTTGTTTCAGATACGAGCTGTACGGTGCACCGTGACAAGTGCGAGCACTTGGATTTCGGAGGTCGACGCAGCATTAGCTCCACCGTGGCAGCGACTCGTTCGTCTCGGCCATGGCTATCGGTGTGTACGACCAACGGTCGTCTCGTCTCAAAGTCGCACCGCAGTATTCACACTCTCGCTTGGAATTCGCAGGATTGCAGCGGCTCCTGGGGATTGCACTACTCTCGAGCGCAGTCAATGTCGTCGCGTGCTCGTCCGCGGATCTGTCAAAGGTGAGAGAGGATTCGACGATCCATCCAAGGGCAATTCAAGCGGCTAAAGCGCGTTCTCTTCGTTTTAGATTCACGAGCGCATGACGGACGACGAGCTTTTCTCCATATTCAAAGTGAAAAATCGAACTGCAGGTGAGCACTTCGGCCGAAATTCGAAACAACCATCGGTTCTATCTCGAAACTCATGCTCTGCAGTGCCGGACTACGAGCTCGTACCGATCTTCCACAGAGAAAGCACTCGCGAGGGACACGGAGCTCCTCGGTCTATTTGGCCGTCTATCAAAGAGATGCACTTCACCGTGTCGAGGGGAGCGGTAAAGTTGTATCTCGAGCCGCTGGATCACCTGCTGCTGGGAGAAAATACACCGGTTTACGTGGCATCCGGCAGCAAAGCACATCCGCATGCTGTTCGCTACGAACGAGTGAGAGAGGTAACGACCCGACAAAATTAGTAAAGAAACGTGTGATGTAGCTAGCTAATCGTCATTTATGTATACAGGCGTGGCCATCGAACTTCAGTATGTATCAGGATCTATCCAACAACGCTGCCGTGGCGATGTTCACGGAGCCTAATGGAAAAGTTCACTTTGTAAGCCCACGCATTCCCAATTAATTTACGCTCGATTATTAATTAATATTTTTTTAAGGAAGGAACAGTCGGCGACAATCTCGTAATTAAACCTATGCCATTCAGATTTCAAGACACCTTTTTATCTTTCAATGATAACGAATACGACGCGAGTCATCACTTCGTTTACAAGAAGCAACCATGGAGTCTATCTAGCATTTTTGGTGAGTACTGCCATTTAAACGTTCTCGTCACTGCATACAAGGTATCTTTCGAAAAAAATTTTCGCAGATGAAGAATCGGACCAGGGCAGATTTTTCAATCTCATCTCGAAAAGATACCACACCGCGCAACCATCACCGCCGAAAGTCGAGGGCAAAGTCGATATCGTCTACCCCGAAGTGTTAGTGATAGTCGACCACGAGACATATCTCCAGCACGGCAAGAACGTACAAGCTTTGTGCAAGTACATGGCCGCGTTCTGGAACGCCGTGGACTTGCGTTTCCGTGGTATGAGCGAGCCCATAGTACGGCTAAACATCGCCGGTCTGATCGTGCCGAGCGACAAGTATGGGGCACCTTATATGGAGTATCATCGCGTGGGTAAGCATTATCTGCGCACCATGGAGACGCACGAGGACATCGGTAGGTATCTGTACAAGGACGACCGGTTGGCGAAGAGTTCGTACGACTTTGCGGTCGCCATTACCAAGTGAGCGATACTTTCGTATTTCATTGGAGCGTCATTGTTTAATACGCGGAGTAATTTTCGATCCTCCGATTCAGTTTAAACTTGTGCCTGACCAAGGACAACGGTTGCGATCCTTCTTCGCTCGGTAAGCAACGTGATTTTCTATTCGGATCAGTGTGTCGCATGCGTCGATCGATCGAACCTCTGCCTCCGCGTAGGTGTGGCTAAGATCGAGGGAGCTTGCGATCACAACGAGAACGAATCCGATGTGGCGGTCGCTCTGTTGGAAGACGCCGGCGCTTTCGACGGCATCCTCACTGCCGCTCACGAAATTGGCCATCTGTTAAGTTCGACCGCGTACTCGCTGTGTCTTGCTTTCAAGCGCCAAATATCACTTGACGCGTGCATTTCGCAGATTGGGCTCCGTGCACGACGGTGAGAGTTCGTATTTGGGGCCTGGTGCACTGGACTGCGGATGGGACGACGGTTACCTCATGAGCAGTACTCGCGAGACGAGCAATGGATTTCAGTGGTCCAGATGTAGCATCGAACAGATGCGTTATTTCCTGAGGTGAACTCTTTTAACGAATAATGATTCTTCGATTATGCGTTCGATCTGCGTGAATTATGTGTTTTTATATCTGTTGTATAGACGAGGAGGCGAGTGCCTGCGTAACAAACCAGTTGTCGATAAACCCTATCCCAAGATTTTGCCTGGACAATTGTTGTCGAGGGACGAGCAGTGTAAAATCCTGAACGGCATGGTTGAATGCAAGGTGAGTGTTAAAAAACGATCTCTCGAAAAGTAAAAGACGCGATGGTTCGAGTTGTTGATTGTTTTACATTCAGGTTGCCGAAAACGAGTGTGGAGCACTTTGGTGCAAAAAACCCGGCCACACGTTCAATTATCGCTGCGTGAGCACACGGGCACCGGCTGAAGGTTCATCGTGCATCGGTGGAGGTGTAAGTTTGTCTTCGGTCAATAGATGTCTATTGCCGTATCGATCCGTCAGTTTCCGTGGTGTCTCTTCTCGTTTACAGATTTGTCTGGATGGCAAGTGCGTGCATAAAGTCGAGGAGAACAATGGGGTGGCTGAAAGAAAGACCGCCGTAACTCTATTGGGATGGAGCTGATATTAGACATAGATGGACGGCTCAACCACACTACCAAGAATACTTGGTGAATAGATTGTCAGGTCGTGCCAGTTGTGCGTAATGATGTACAACAAGATCAAAAATTTCGACGACTCACTGTAATTTTGATATGTTGTGCCATGCTCATAATATTTCATTAGAATTTTATATTTACCACAATTGAATAGTTTCCACTAATTGAATAGTTGGAGGCATCCAAGATGATATTATTCGTGACACATGAAAATTGACCAATTGAATTTATTTATATTATTTCATTCGACATTTATTTAATAAATAAAACAATTAAATAATTCATAATATAGTTATGATCAATTGTCGTGAAATGACTCTTTGCAAATATACTTTTTCATCCATTCTATATATGTATTCGTAAAAAACGCCGAAAATTTGGAAGCGTGTCGTTCGTCACCGTCTTAAATTTGCTTTAAAACTAACTTATATTTTTAACGCAAACTTTAACCTCAATTTTAGATACAATGTGTGAAACGTTTCTATTGTTTCTTGAAAATGTTTCAAAAGTATTGCCGCGACTTATCGAATAACGATTCTCAAACACCATTAAAACTTTTTGGAAAGAAATTTTCGAAATATTTTAACAACTTTCGAATATGATTTGGTTGAAATATATTTTTTAACGAAAAATAAAATAAAAAAGTTTCGCTAAAACTTTGCAGAGATCTTGCATAAAGATCGAAAAAATAATTTCATAAAAGTAATACTTGATGCGTATTTGAGCCACACAAGCTACAAAAATACCGCGGAAAAATTTATCGTATATTTATCTCTAAAAAATAAAATGCAAATATCTAAATATGTACTTATAAGTCGATAAGTAATATTGTTTTGCGATATCGAAACTCTGATTATAAATTCGTTAGTTATAACAAGATAAAAAGATTAAAGTTGAATGGAATAATATACATTTACATAATCCACATGTAAAATTTAACTACTTGTAGGCGAAATGAAGAACTATATCGAACAAGCGAAAATAAGTAATTAAAATAATAAGAAAAGATAAAAAAATCTACCAAACAAAAATGAATAACGGAAGCTATCACTGTTAATAATGTAATAATGAAAAAAAGGTATGTAAAATATGGAAATTGTAACCTAATAACGGTGAATCTTTGCGAGATCATGGAGATTCTATTATTCACGAAACAGTATCAAGATCATATCACGTAATTTATTATTGATGTATTCGTTCGAGTGCATACTTACTCAATAAGTTTTGACTGGTCATGCTGGGATACCAGAGACGAAAAATACTCGGCAGCAACTTGTGATGTACCGCGAAAAAAATCGAGACCAAAAGGACGGGACTTTGAGCGAGCGCTGTGACTGCTATAAGATAAAGACGTCAATGGGTTTCCTCGAAGCACGAAACAAGGCACGAAGAACGAATTAGGCGTTCTCGGAAGCGCCGAGTGGTATTCGTAGAAGAGATTAGCGTCACGCGAGCTCTCGTCTGGAAGTCACATTCTTACGAGTGGGCGGCAAACGAGTCCCGCGACATTGATCGTTCAATTATTTATCGAACGAAGCGGAAGAAGATGCGACGGTGGCTAACGACATCCCCCACTCACTTCGCTCGCCTTTGCCCCCTCCCCCCTCCTCTTGCCGCGAGACGGCTCGGGCTCGCCACACAGGTCTCGAGCTGTTCTCCGAGTCGAGCTTACCGTAATGCGCGAGTGCCAAGTGTCGAAAAATATCGCCTTTGAGTCGCCGAGGCTGATCGCGGACTAGTCATTGGCGAACGATGAGGGTGGCCGTAGCGTCAGCCAAGGAGGGTCGAAGCGAAGCTTTCCAAGGTGACTCTCGCGCGATCGAGACTCCTCGAACGTAGCGAACGTATAGCGTGCACTGATCGATGTAAGATTTCAAATGGGCACTGGGACTGAACCGGCTAAGCCTGCGACTGATGGGCGTCTGGCCGAACGAGCGCGATCTGGACGAGGAACTTACGAGTGTGACGTTCCGAGTGCCGGCAATGATCGCGACGATATCGCTCTGCCTGTTCCTTCCGCAGATGTACGCCTTGGTACTCGTGTTTAACGAGTTGCCACTGGTCATCGACAACCTCGTGACCAGCTGCTCTGCCTTGACTTCCTGCGTGAAGCTCTATTTCGTCTGGCGCAGCAAAACACGTACGTAACGCCGAGGTCCCCCACTTACTCCGACGCTCCTCTAGCTCACCGATGATTGTGTAAGCAAGTGCTGTGGCCGGTGGTGGAGTCGGTCAAGTGCGACTGGTTGCGGCCGAAGCGCTCTTGGGAACGGGAGGCGATGAAACGAGAGGCAGCCCGAGCCAGGCTGTTCACGATAAGCGGCTACGTAGTTCTGGCCGGTTGCTACTCCGGCTTCGCCTTCGCGCCACTCTTCGGCATAAACATCCGCATGATATCCAACATCACCGACTACGGCGACAGATTGCTGATGGTGCAATCTTACCTGCCCTACGACTACTCCAAGAGTCCCGCCTACGAGATCACGCAGACTTCGCAGCTGATCGCCGGCTTCTTCATTGGCATGGCCGTCTCCATACCCGACAACTACTACGCGGCCTTGGTCTTTCACGTGAGCGCCCAGTTTGAGATTTTGGGCGACAGAATCGAGCGCTTTATCAAAACGGATCCCGCGGCTGAAACCTTTTCCAGTGACATAGATTTCCAGAGAAGCGTTGGTGTCTTTATCGATCGGCATGTCCATCTGATTGCGTTAGTATTACGATTAACAATTAAAATTATACACTCGAGTTATCTAGATTATTGCAGGTTGGTTACGGCCGTTGAAGAGTCTTTCAATTTCGTGATCGCAGCGCAAATCCTCTGTATGTCCGTGGTGGTTTGTTGCTTGGGCTTTCAAATTTTAGGCGTAAGTCCACTTCGAGTATGTCAATACTTTAACCTTTACATTCATTGCGGGACTGACTTCTTTTCATATGCTTAAGATAATTGGTGGCAATGAGGATAAGCCATCGCTCCTTCAAATAGTCACACTAGTCGGCACTTTGTTCACACTGATGATGCATACCCTTGTGGATTGTTTTGCCAGTGAAACTTTAGCCTCTCGCGTAAGCTTCATTGCCTTCTCTGCCTGCAAAATGAGTACATAGTTTTTCGGTAACACGTTCATTTTCATTTCAAGAGTTCTGGCTTCTTTCACAACGTCTACAATTGCAAGTGGTACACCATTCCTCAGTACGACACTCGGCTATTGATACCTATGATGCTGTTGTCCAAGATCCCCCGAAAACTAACAGCAGGCAAAATTTTTCACTTGTCTCTTTCAACCTATTGCAACGTATGCATAAATCACGTTTGTTGATGTTTTTATCAGCATTATTTAAATAATGCGTTTTTTTACTCAACAGATTTTGAAGTCCACTGCTAGTTATATTTCGATGCTGTTAGTCGCTAGCGGCAGGTAATATGCTCGGAAAATGTACAATGTCCTACAAGGCGTAGATCCACCCGTAAAGCATATAATGGATTTGATCGGGGGCTGGTTCACTGCCACGAAAATATACGAGATACTAAAATATAAATATATTTTGTAATAGAAAATTATATATATTTTATTAGTAAAGAAATTTGTCGCACTCGTAGGAATTGTTTCCTCGATGATAATACAAGCATCTCTAGAGTGCTTTGTCAGCCCATTTCATTCATCGAATATCAGTCGAATATCTAATTATCTCATTTATTATATCAAATTGCTATATTTGCGTCGTCGGTGTTATGGGACGAGTATCACGTTTACGCAAAACTTATAATATACGTTTCATAGCAGGGCAGACTGTATCAGTAGTCGGGTAATCACAATTGCATTTTTTAAATATAAGGACTCAAACTCTACAGAACATTTTCAAACCCAAATAGTTGAGATAATTTGTAATCAGTGAAAAGATTACAAGCGAAAAAACTCGGAAGGGAAACCCGATATATATTAATCTGGAAGATTGATCTTGATCGTAAGATTTAGATAATATTTCTAAGTCGGAGTTTTCAAAACTCATTTTATAAGTCTATTAAGCTGTTGTCCGAGGTTAAATGCAAATTAAATAGAAAAACTTTAACCGATATTTTTTACAAATTATAGTCAAAGTTTGATACAATTATTACAAAATAGCAGTACCTAAGTTTTGAAACGGTGATTATTGCTAATAACATTTAAGAATAATAATTTATATAATAATTATTGCTACCGCAGCAGCAATATATCGATCCAAAATAAAAAAGAATAATTCTTTTGCAGACCATTCATTTTGCTATTAACGGAAGTTATCTAATTTCCATAAATTAAAATATTTTTTGAAAAGACAATAAAATTCAGTACTCTTTGCAGTTAAGTTTCGGCAGTCATGATGAGTGGTCGACATTTTTAAATTGCTCTTAAGCAAAAGTATTCTACAGCCAATTGGCAATATTTATATATAAAATATAAGGCAGTTAGTTTCAAATGGACGTATTTTGCGAAATATGTGAAAACGAATATCCCAAATCGGAGCTAAAGAAATCAAAGGCTTTGACATTGAGTTAAATACTGATAATGCTCAGATCCTAGTAGGAGGTTTTAATTGCAAGCAAAATATTGATATCTCAAACGAAGAAGCTAAGGAGAGTCGGTTTATCAACTTAAATTGTGACCGGCGACTCTATTTACAACATTATTTGCGCGGGGCACGGGAGGCACGAACGCTTCAATTGCTGAGCAACCGGCCGGGCGTACAGGATGCCACGTTCACGTGCGTGAGAACTCGGGACAGGCAGGAGAGGAAACAACATAGCAAATTACGCCGGCAATTTAACGATGAAAAAGAATTTAATGCCGGCCAATTACAAAAATAGAAATACGTAAAAGAAAGCGCCGAACAAAAAAAAAAAACAAAAATGTAGCTCGGCTACACCACGTCCTCTGCGGCGATCGATCGAGGCAGTGTCCCCGGAGCGGAAATCAAACGCGAGGATCGTGAATTGCACCACCGTGGTACTAATTCTCACGGTTGGGCAAATGGATCCTTGGATCGGTGACACCTGCGGATTCCGCATGCACACCGTGGCAGGGGAGGGAGAGAGAGAGAGAGAGAGAGAGCTCTCGCTCTCGCTATCGCCGCTGCTCGAAAATCTGCTGCTGCTGTTGCCGTCGTTTGAAACCTCCTGGCCGCGCGGGTGGCAGCGAGTGATGCGCCGCCAGAGCCGATGTGATTTCAAAAGCCATTCGAAAAAGAGAAAGCTCATAAAGAAACACTCGATAACATAACACCAAAGGTAGTGAGTGATAACGTGCTAAGGTAAAATTTAACAATAAGCGGTGACAAGGAGAATGATTTTTCTGTGATGAAAGAAGAAATTCACCTACCTAGGCAGTTGAATGATGAACTACAAGAGAAACATAGCTCGTTTAAATAAATAATTAATAAAACATAGGAAGGAAAACATTATCTTGCGCGCCTCGAACGCGAAGCGAAGCACGAATCCACGTCGTCGGCAATTATCGCCAGGGAGCCAAGATTTGTAATAGAGTATGCAAATGGGCTGCGTCGCCACTGCGCGTCAATAGCACACGACGTCGCCCAAATTATCGTCACGCGACGCGCGTAACTTTCCAAATGCTTTTCAATCGATTACTCCCTTGGAAACCGTGGGCACCGAATGTGTCGTGTCTCCCCGCGATTGGCAATAGCGATGGATTATCGTCACGCGAACCCGCCCATTCTCAGCGCGGCTCGAATGCCGAAGGCGTTCTGCGAGCCTCGCGCCACCCCTTCTGCTCGTCGTTTATGCAAGCGCCGGCGACATCGAGCGCGCTTCTCTTTCGCTTTCTCGCCAGTGACGAAGTTCCACGTCAAGCTTTGTCGCGCGAATCACATGATAATTCATACGAATAGTAAAAGCACAGATGGCACTGGCTACATTTTTTATTAGATTCCCGGAAACATTGTCGCCTATACAAGCCAACCACCCTTGTGAGATATTGTTCTTCTTCTATTCCTCTTCTCCTTCCTCTGTACTTGCTCTCTGCTTTTCTTAGCAGATATTCGTTGGCCCTTCGTTCCGCGTGACCGCGAGCTTTTGGCTTCAAAATGATTATCCGGAACCTAGGATAGTCACGTCTAGTGAATAAATGAGATAATGATTTTCATTGCGATGGAATCGACCTCTTAAACATCTAATCGCAGCTAGTAACGTCAGTAATGCTACGCGGAACTTTTATCTTTTTGTTACCGCGTCGCCCATCGCCATTTGTCACCCGTTCCCTCCAATAGTACTGCCGTTAGCTCTTCTTTCATTAGTCATTGACGCCGTTTCAATTATGACCAGAAGTGCGCGCCTAACATTCTTCTAATATACATTCATACAGTCGTTTTCGTAAAACCTGCCAATTTCTCGACAAATGTTCATCGCAATATGTAATAGTCGATATCAGAGTCTATCTATAAAGATTATAGCCAATTATTGACTTCTACGGCACGAAAGTCAATTCTACAATTATTTCAAAGTGACAGCGATATCGGAGCTTCGAAATGAACATGATATCAACAAAATCAATTATTATACTGCGGACTAATGGAATAAGAATAACAAGGGAGCACATTTGACAAATCTCCACGTCTTTACGTAATTGCCTACGTTGAAACTTATTTAATATTGAACTTTGCTGATAACTACAGGCTTAAGGTGCAGCTTTTCCGACAGCATTATAAAAAAGAGTACCAGCAGTAGCTTGTCGTCTATACTTTGTGAATTCAAGTAAAGCGCAACACTTCTATTTTTCTAATATATTAAAAATACTCGAATAATATTTTATTTCTTAAATAGATTGTCCCAGTGTTACAGTCGATGACACAAGATTGGCACGAGTCGATGGACAGTTTGAAATTGACAAAAATAAAGGATCAAGCAGCTCGTTCAATACTTACAAAGTATAAAAGACGCAATGTTTTGATTTGTTGAGTTATTCGCTAGGGGTTAAATAAGGGTTTCTCAAAACGAGCATGGAGTAGTTTAGCGCAAAACACTTGGCGGCTAGGCATGGGTTTGTCTCAGCCCTTTTCCAGTGACAAAAATTGTCAGAAAAACGATCGAGTCTTTATCGACATGTCCATCAGACGCTGGTCGGCACCTCTTGTTCGAACTCACAATGCATATCTCTCTCGTAAGTTTCCATAAGTTTCATTACCCTCTCTGTTCACAAAAGGAGTATGTAGTTTTCGATTGCACGTCAATTTTTACTTTGAGAGCTTTGGTTTTTTTCACAACTTCTACAATTGCAAGTGGTACATCTTCAATACGAGACTCGGCTATTCATACACTTACAATGCTGTTGTCCAAGATCTTTCGAAAACCTACGGTAGACAAAATTATTTACTTGTCTTTCTTCATTTATTGCAGCGTCTGTGTTAATCACATTTGTTTGAATTTTTGCTTATAAATGTATTTTGTTTACTCAACATAAATCGACTGCTTGTTATATCACAGTGCCGCTAACCGTCAATGGAAGGTAGCTAATATGAAATGTATATGAAAGATATGTAATGCTGTATTAGGAGTAGAAATACGTGTTAAGATAAATGTTGTTACTTACTTGGAAAGTCTAAATTTCATTTATTAGAGTGAATCTACATATAGTTATTTGAATAACATTTTTCAATAAATGGTAATTATTTATAATCGAAAAGAATAATCTGACTTGTACTTATTCTATATCTACTAATGATAACTGAATAATGACTAAAAGAACGAGAAGGCAGAAATGATTTTCCAGTGTCCTCTAAGAAGCAGTGGGAAACATTTTGACTATAACAGTTGTGGTGCGATGTACAACATGCGTTTCTTTCCCATTAAGTATACTACTTTATTTAAAGTAAGTTTTACGGGTTCATAAGCCAATCGTATGTTTTGTTTATATTGCGATTGAATAAGTTAAACAGAAGGCCAGAAAATGTTTAATTATTTAGATGAAAACTATAACAATAGACGCAAAATGATAGAAAAACAGTCAAGCGAAAGAAAAGAAAATACAATACGTTACTACGTGCTGCTCGCCAGCTACGTGAGTTTCGTCGTCGCTCCCCTCGTCGGCCTCGATTTCCGAATCATCAACAACATCACCGACTACGCGCCCGGTCGCAAGCTCGTACTTCAATCCTCCTTTCCCTTCGAGTACTATCGCACTCCTTACTTCGAGCTTGTGCAAGCCGGCCAGCGGTTGGCCACCTTCTTCGCGGGCGCATCCATCTCCATCCCGGACAATTACTTCGGCGCGCTGGTCTTCCACCTGAGCGCCCAGTTTGAGATCCTTGCCGACAGAATCGAACTTCTTGGGCAACAGCGGCAGGAGGGCGACGACGACGACGACGACGACGACGCCCGTCTCATGACTAAGCGTCAGTTCACGGACAATGTCAAGGCCTTCGTCGACAGACACGTGCACCTTATTTCGTAAGTTCGATTTTTCATACTCGGCGTACTCCACGAGTTCGGAACTTGTCGCGGTTTCAGAATCGCCGCAGCCGTCGAAAGCTCCTTTTGTTACGTGATGCTGGCTCAAGTGTTCAATACCTCGCTGATGCTTTGCTGCGCAGGCTTTCAGATTTTAGGAGTAAGTGTGCCTGAATAATCGACGTCCAGTTAACCGCAATCGTCGTTCGATAATTTGCAGGTACTCGGCAACGGCCAAGCCAAACCTTCGTACATACAACTGGCCACGCTGTTCGGAATCATTTGCACTCTCACGATGCACACTCTCGTCGATTGCTATGCCAGCGAAACCCTAGCCTATTAAGTATGCCATTTACATATCTGACTTTCCATCGATCAGTTGTTTCGATAGTCCATTCTACTGTTCGCTTAAATGTCACTCGAGACTATTATTCCATTGAAGAGTAGCGAGGTGTTCCACAGTATTTACAGAAGCGCCGTGTCTTGTCGCGACTGGCAATCGCGATGAATTATCGTCACGCGAGCTCGTCCACCCTCGAATATCGAGGCCTTCTGGAAACCCGTGGCACCACCCCTTTGGCTCGTCACGTACGACTCCCAGTCTTCATTTCATTGCTTTCCTCGACACTTTAAAATAATTTCAATTGCATCTGACATTCGCTTTGGAGTGGTATTGTTACCCAACTCATCACATCGAGTTTCTACGTAAGATTATATATACAATTGAGCTTTTCCAATGCAAATGTAAACGACTAACGAAAAGCACTAAATTCTCCTAAAACTTTATTTTACTATTGAAGCTAACACATATGATTTTATAAAAATATATTTCCCGCGTCATATGGTTTTCAGACACTCAATAATAAATGGGCTTGTTGAAAACTCTCTGTATCTTGGCGTAATTGCCTACGTTGAAACTTCCTTAACGTGAGATTTTGCTGATAATTAAAGACTGCCTACAGTAATCACGATAGTCTCGCGTTGTACGAGTATATTTGAATTGAATTCAATCAGTTCGAATGATCGTAGTTGAAAAACTCCATGCGGTAGATCACATGATATTAAAGTCACATAAAATTATATGATAAAGTTACATTATAGGTCACATGATTGAACATTTGATATTTTATATGATTGATCCTATAACTAATTATGTGACTATTCATGTGATTTATAATATTATTTATTCAATGGCTGATTATGCAAATATTAAATTGAATAACTGATGATATGATTAATAAACACATAACGAGTTTCAACTAGGCTGCTGATTAAAGGTGATGGCACTTCTAAGACTTTAGCTATATATATTCGGAACGGGAATATATACATACATACACTTATATATATAAGAATATACATTCATCGAAGTAATAGAAGCCTTTGTTGGTTGTTTATGCTAGCAAGATCTTCACAAATGTAATTTGGTGCTGATTACTATATGTATGTATGTATGTATGTATGTATTATTATTATTATTATTACCACTATTATTATTGTGTTATTAGGGTTCATTGTAAACAGTTCATCATGACTAATAAATGGAATGTTATCTCAACTCTGGTTGAGACTAGTAGATATTCTTAGCATTCAAATACAATTTATACATTTGTATGCGTCATAGATTGCAAATTTTTTCTTACCTTATTTTATTAACTTGGCGAAAAAAGCATTACAACCGAGGTATTCCTCAAGAATTTACATTTAGAAGTGGTACTGTCAACCGCTAAACAAACCAATTTAATAATGTTACTTTTTGGCCATTTGCAGAGCTCTAAGTTGTTTAATACTCTATAAGTTAAATTGCCGTCGGAAAACTACTTCTTGTTTATCGTCGCGCAATCTTCTTCCAGTGATGGCGAAATTCTCGTTTCGGTGAAGATTGGCGACTAATGAGATTATTGATGGTATAGGTACCGAGATATAACAGACGATGGGGAAGTCACTAGCAAAACGTTTTAAAAAAACTAAGATGAATTTTAGATAATTGATACATTTTTGATGCGAGTCCTTGTAGTTTTCTCAGCGATTTGTGATTGTTAGAAAAGACCGTGAAAGTTTGCGCCGTGTCGCGCGCAACATCGACGCACGATTTCGCGGAAATTATCGACACGCGACGCGCGAAACTTGCCAGACGCCTGTCGATCAATTATGCAAAAACCGTGGGCAACGACAATGTCGCGTCTCCTCGAATTGTCGTCTAGCGAGCCCGCCCACTCTCGACACGGCTCGCGTATGCCGAGGCGCTCCAGGTGATGCGCGCCACCCCTTCGGTTCGTCATTTGCGCATACCTTCCTCGTCGATTATGCAAATGCCGCTGACATCGACCGCGAGTTCGCCAGCCTTCTCAGTCCAGCCTTGCTCGCCCTTCGCTTACCCCCTGCGACTCTTCTTTATGACCAACAGTGCGCGCCTAACATTCTTCTAATACGCTATGTTCTAACAGCATTCGCACAGCCGTTCTTTTAAGTTTTGCCGAATTTCAGTTGAATATTCATGTAATTATCGTCACAAACTCTGTCTATGAAGACTAACCAGTTATTGCCTGCAACAGCACAAAAGTCAATTGAACAGTTACATAAAATGTAACGGTTATACCGGAGGTTCAACCTGCAGAGCATGGAATCAACTCAACAACTTGAGACTCGTGAGACTTTAAGAAGGACAAGAGGCAGTGTCGTCGTTTTTATTTGATTTTCGATTTCAACCTCTATATAAGGTAAGAGAAAGTAATATTATTGTAAGTTGCCGTTTGCTTCTAATTGCTATGTTACGCATTTTTTTTATTTGATCTTTCTATTTGCTTCGTTACTTCGATAAAATTTTAATAATATTTTATATCTTCACTTCGGAATGATATTGTTACCTATTTCATCATGTAGAACTTCTACATCAGATTATATGTACTATAGAGCTTTACCGGTAAAATTACATGTGAACGTTCGATGAAGAAAAGTGAATTATCTGAAAATATTACGTTGCTTCAGGAATCTTATCGTTTTACAAAAACATCTATTTGGCGTCATGTTATTTTCAGGATACCAAGCATCGACTGGACTCTTTGGAAAAATTTTCAATGTTTCGCGTATTCGCGTAAATCGGTATTTCATGTTGGATTTTGCTGCTGATTAAAGACTAAAGTCACACCTCCATCCGACCATCACTATCAATAAAAATGATTGTCAACTACGACTGTCTCTCCAGTCTTGATAAGGGTGATAAAAGAAAAACGTCACGGAAATTGTCGACAAATGTACAAATAATGCTTGGCTTAAAAGGGTCCTCAAGGGGAAAGATTGATTCGACTAGCTGGAAAAATTATAGTCATTTTAAACTGCACTGTAAGCCACTTGAAAAAAAAAACCATTCCCAAACAACGATTGCCAACGATGACAAAAACTTGATACATTTTGAAAGTTGAGTGATATAAGTAAGAAATTTATTCAAATAACTGCGTACTTTACTAATAGATTTGGATTAAGCAAAGGACACCATCAAATTCATGTCTCTTACGATCGGACGATAATCTTGCGCCTCAAACATCATTCAATTTGCCAAGATATAAGTACTTAAAATAAAATGTATCTCGTAGATGTGCAGATATGGTCACGTTTCTTGATGTGTTTCCTTAAAATGTGTCTATTAATCATATCAAATTAACACGTGTCTTTTATTATTACAGTTTATGAAAACAACAAGTTGGGGCAGGATCGAATGTGGAAATGGATATTTGAAGAAGTACATGACTGTCTAGACAATTGAACAAACTTTCTATGTCAGAAAGCTTCACACGACGAAGCAGACAGTGTATGTTCTATGAATAAGCATGTTCACCCTTGAGCTATAGGAGAAAAAATAAAACGAGCCCGAAATATGATTGATCGCCTTATTCATAAGTTGAAAGAAACTTCTGCGACAGCATCAGAAATCAGATTATTGCGCGTACGGTATAGAAGCGAAAAAGCCATCGATTATTCTTACATTTGACAACCCTGATTTTTTCGCATTATCCTCGAGCCGAATGGCAATTATTCTTATATCCAATAAGTTCCACCCGCGTCAGCCACGTAAAACTTTTCCTTTTTTCTCTTTGCTTCTCGTTATACGGCTGAAGTTAGAAGAGATACAATACGTTCGATTTAGGGTATACTGGTGACTGGAATAATTGATGAGCACTACTTCCACGATACTCACGAAAGTGCGTTGCTGGCCTGTGGTAGCGCATAAATTATTATATAGAAAATTATGTATATTATATTACATAGAAAAGGACACGTAAGCTTTTGGCAGCGCAGATGTCAATAAATCGTTGAATGCATGGGACCGAATTTGATCACCGCGAGCAAAAGCATAAAAACATATAGCGTAGACGTTGTCTTTAAACGAAGATTCATTCAATCAAATTATAGTTGCGCGAGCAAACTTGTACTCCAAAGTAGCTAAGAGAAGTTATAATTGCGCGAATCGCTGAATTCCCAAATCAGAAATCCTAAAATGTGATGCTTCAATTCGTTCCACCGAAAAATACTCGATAGAATACTCTACAGAAAATATTGAGCACGAAGTGAATGAACATTGACAGCTTTGTGATAATACTTTGAAAAACGTTATTTTTAAGATTTAAGGACATGAACATTTTAACCAAAATAAGATTGGAATGGTGGCAGTAGCGCTAATCTTCAAAATACACAAGCTCGAAGATTTCCCAAAGAAACTAAATAATATAAACACTTGAATGGTAAATGTATGTGGATTACTTTCAGGAAATTTGTAATTCATACATATTTTTTAAGATAATTCCTAATACCTTTTATTGATAAGTAGAAAAATACTAACATACAATAAATAACCATCAATAATTAACCAATACGAATTTCAAGCACCTTATTTAGAATAATCTCTATCACATAATTAAAAACACTCTGAGCGCTTAAGTAAGTGCAAAGTAAAACAATATAAAAAAAACCTCTTCTATACAAAGTGGTATTCTTAATTTACTTCTTTTTTCTTTCAGTAAAAATTAAGCGTAATAAGACGGCGGCACTGTCAGATCTTGCAGTAATGCGAACTGTTCCGGCGTTAAGCTCTCTGCCAAGCCTTGTAGACCTGTCCAGCCATCGCAATGCGTGCGCTTGAAGTCATTCAGGGTTTTGCGTATCGTAGTCTGAAAAGTGATAATATCGTTATTAACTGGTCGATAAGCATGCGTGATATAGAACAGTGTTTAAATACTTACGGGAATGGGTTCTGGATCAGTGAGATGATTACTCAGATGCTCAAAAATAGGTGGAATTATCTCAGGAACATCGTATGGATGTGCTTGTATAAAGGCACACATGCCGAGCACACCAGCATGACGCAAATAAATCGCATTAGTCGCACAACTCGACGATTCAGCTTTTCTGCTGCGTAACTTAGTTTTTGCCAACTTCTTAAAGTCCTCCTACAAAATTAAAATTGTACATCATTCGTCAACACCACGATCGAAAGAATAAGATCACTCACCAAAAGTGTCTCGTGATCTTCGATAAGGGTGCAATGCAACATGCCATTCAGAATCTGCGCAGCAGTTTCTCTAACTTCAACTCTCTCATCCTTGATCAGTCGCATTAGTACAACTCTTATCTCAGTGATCCATGCTTTATCACTGAGTAAGGTACTCATATTATGGAATAATAAAACCTGAAGGAATTCTATGGAGCCAGCTCGAACTGACCACGATGAGCTTTTCGAGCACTTGCTCAACGTCTGTAAAGCAAAAGGCACATACTCGGGCAGTATGATAGCGGATCCAAGTGTAGCTAATGTCTTTGAACACGCGGCAGCTAATTCCTCGTTTTGTTCTTCATTTTCCAATTGACTGATCAACGGATAGAGTTTGTAAAAACTGGGTATCGCGCCAAAATGAGAACCTTGCACACTTCGACACACCCACGTACATACGGTTTTTAAAAGACGTAAAGGTTTCACGCATTTTTCCGATTTGCGATCGTCGATTGTTAACATTGGTTCCAAACGTGGGTAAACCTTGTCTACAAAGTCTTGAATCTCTGGATAAACTGAAATTACATTGATCTATTTTATAAACTCGGTTCAATTCAATTGCAATAATCAAATATAGTACTTACTACTCGTTTGATTTTTATTAAACTTCATGTTGACGTTGAAAATCATAACGAGCATTGATGCCAAGCGATCTCTTACGTTATCGTACGGACAATCCAATAGTCGACTTTCTATCCTGTGGATTAATCTTTTTAGCAACTCGCTGAGCCGCCAAATCTGCTGGCAAATAGCACCCCTAAGTACCTGTAACCTAGCGCATTCAACAAAGGAAACTTCGGACTGTGCAAGTTCAGACTCTTCCATGAGACATTCGACCAACCAATGCATCCTCGATGGATCTCTATTTTGAAATGCATAACTGAAGCATATAAACCAATCCATCATAGTCTCGTCGGTGATATTACTCAATGCCACTTTAATGATTGGCACAAAATGTTTCCAAAGATTTTCGGTCATCTGGAAATTCCAGTGCTTGGCACCTCGAATATACCCGCAAATTATCTCAGTCGCGCAACGTTGCATACTTTCTTGTTTATCCTGAACCATTCGTTCCAAGTGTGGCAAGAAATTGGCCAAATGAGCGTCACCGTGGTTTATAGCAATACCTTTGAAGATCGAACAACGATTGATATTGAAGAAATCGCGACCTTTCTTCTCCTCAAGAGTGTTGAAAGCGATAAGTTTGTCAACATTTTGTTGATCACTGAAGAAATAATCGATCTCCTTTTCCTGATCGTTCCATTCACGAGTGTTTTTGTCGAGGTTCGGTTGTTGACTAGATGGAGCATAAACTTCGAGTTTTTTAGACCAAGCGTAGTAACCGACATAATTTTTGTGAAGGTAACGAGGCTCGTCCCATTCTTTCGCGGTTCTTGGCAATTTGTCGCGGTTGTACTGCAGCCAGGCGTTGTCTGCTCTCGGTCCTGGGTTCCAACCCTTTTCAACTTGTTTTGGAGTTTCTATTTGTACCTGTGTCACGCAGATAAAACAATGAATGATTTTCAAAAGTTAATATACAAAAATAAATCTTACTTTTGGATGCTCTTTTTTAAGCTGATATAGAATAGCAGGTACCACTTGCCAAGCAAGCTTCCTTTCGTCGATAGACTCGCAGATGAGAGCATTGAGGAAGTAACGTACAACCGAGGTGGGTAATGGGTGATCAGGATCTATAAGATTCTCGATGAAACTCATAGCGGTCTGACGATGTCGCCAGTGGAGATTCTTTTCAAGAATGGCGTTCAACAGTTTGTCCAGAGTATCATAATAGAGCTTCAGATTTTCTTCGCCACGTATGCGTAAAGTTTCAATACCCAATTGAATTTGTTGCTCCGTAGGTGGCGGAGAAATCGGCTGCACACCGCAAGTCCATAATTTAGAAGCTGCTTCTATACAACTATTCGGGACTTCAAGCTTAATATTAATTGTATTGTAACATTTCATGAACACTTGAACGGCTAGCGTTTGCTGTGCGATAACCGTTAGCTTTTCAGACGGCTTGGCTAACACAAAAGCTGGAAGTAACTTATTAAACATTTGCCAATCGCCCACTTTTAATAGATTCTTGCTTATTTTGTTAAGCAGATATAAAGCACCCTAAAAATCAATCGTAATTAATCATATGTTACGTTCATTCTTATACGTAATTTCAATTAAATTATAATTACTTTATAAGCATCATGATGAGTTTCGGTATCTCTATCAAACACTTCAATGATCTCGTCAGTAATAAATTGATATGCATTAGGATAATCGTTCATCACGTCCAATAGAATCGTTTGGGCTAATGAACGAATAGCACTGTACTGACTGATACTTAGTTTGAATAAATTCATAACGATGTTCTTGCTCGTTGCAGTGAAAGAACGCGCGCTTTGTACATTACGTAGAGCGTGCTGAATTTCCACACGAGTAAGCAAGATGGTTGGGAAATAACCCTTATCACCAGTAATTTTGTTTTCGAGCGACGCCTTTTGCGCTCTGAAGTAACGACGGTGTGAATTTAAATTTATCAAAGCTTTTGCTCTGTTCATTGAAAGTTCATCCAAGATCTAAAACATAAGAAAAACGATTAAACGCTGCGCCGATATTCAATCCACAAATGATGCTTACATAAGCGATAAGTATAAGACTTTTAATATCATCTTGAACGTTCTGTAGAATCATCTCCTGAAGTGATGTGACCAGGTGTACAAGAAACTGTCTGACATTTGTGCGATCAGGCATATTTATTTCATATTTATTGCCAATATTCGGTAAGAAATTGACAGTACAAGACTGATACGGTTCATTTAACAAAGCTGGCTCCGACCAATTTGGAAAAACCGCTTTACAACCAACCAAGACTTTGTTTATTATCCGTAGATTTCTCTGCAGCTCATCCCTATTTTATATTAAAGGTATTACATGTAAAATAAAAAATAAAAATAAGTTAGTACTAAGCATCGTCAACTTACCGTAATTGTCCATCGCTCTTGTTTGCCTGAATGTAACTCTGGATATGAGCGACAGCAGGTAAAAAATAACGTTTGAACAACATTTCGGCAGCAGTGATTTCTTGTTCGCCAGGCATGTACCATCTTATTTCGGCGGTATTGATCTCGACACTTTCACCCCATTCACTCCAGTATGGATAATTCAGATCGTCAAGGTTCCTCTCCATCTTCAAACATCTTACGGAACACAGCGAATCCAAAACATTTTTGAGCATCAAAACAGCGAGTTGTTGGCCCTCGAGTGATTTGAATTTTATCACCTTGTCAAGAACTTTGATGATCATGTCCATATAAGGCAACAAAGCATCACCTTGTGTCGACAGAGTTTCTTGAAGTAATAACAGATGATAAAGTAGCTTATTATCAAGATTTTCTTCTTTGAGTACATCATCACCGTCACCGAGAGCATCGAGAATTTTTTCATTGAGATATGGTACAAAAGCTCGCATAGTCGCTTGCGCATTCACACGACCGAACGCATAACAAAGATAAGCGACCAGTTGACCAGCAACTTTGGTCTCCAAACTACTATCCTCAATGAAATGACGTAATTTGTTAAGTGCGCTACTAAAAATCGCATCACTCATCTGCAACAGAAGACTCTTGAATAACGCAAACACCGAATGCTCCATCATCGTTTCCAAGGGATTTTTCTTCCTGTCGCTTGGTTGACCTTCCAAACGAACCGATTCTAAAGCACTCGAGTCGATCAACGTAAATAGTTTATCCATCAGTTGTAAGACGAAGTCTTCGAAACGCGAAGTCTCTTCGCAGACAAGACGTTCATCTTCTGTCTTTTCTCCGCGAGATTGCGAACAGTCGACCACGGGAATTTGATTGACGTAGGTAGTTATCAACTTGAAGGTGTGCAAGCACTTCGACGTGTCATTTGGATCGATATTCGCCAGACATGAGAAAAGAATTGATAAAGCATGTGATGGTCCGTCAACAAACGCGTGTTCTGAAAGTAAATTAAAACAACACAGTTCACATATTTCATTAATTTAATAGCGGAACCTACCTTTACTGAAGTAACTTGATCCTTGAATTAATGGTCGAGCTATAGCAACCATACTGTTCATAGCAAAAGTTGCCTTATGTTCTTCAATTTGAGTTCCAATTGTCGGCGAGAATTTCTCGAGTAAATTAAAAATAATCTTGTTAGGACGTAGAATCGCTAAGTACTTAATGATATTAAAAAACGCAACAGAACATCTATTGTTGAACACGGCGATCATCGCCACAGGCATCATGCTATCAACGAAAGCGTCGATGTTTGCATCGCTCAATTTGTGACTGTCAGGAATTGGAGTAAACCAAGTTGGCTTGGAGAACCGCTCTCTATAATTATTAAAAAAAATCAGTTGATGATCTGACTATGAAGCTTTTATTATTGTAGGCGTACTTATGAATTCGTCGAACGAAAAAAAAACAGAGTTGAAAGAACCAATCTTGTAGACTATCTACCCACGGACCTTGATTAGCTGGATGCAAGTAAGTTTCTACAGATTTTAGCAATTTATCCAAGTAAGTTTGTGCACATGAATTGCCACCCTAAAAGTGATTCAGAATTTATTAGTATAAAATTCACAGTAGAATTGCCAGTTGTTACTCACCAGAACTGATGCTATCCACTGGCTTACAGAACGTGATTCTATACTAAGGTAAGAAGCACTTGGAATTTTCTTGTAGTAACATGGTAAGTTCAGGGCACGAAAGAACTTTGTGAACATCATCGGTATGTATGGATTCCAGTCAATGTAACCAATATTGTTCCAGGCCAATCTGACAATTAATTTCATAAGGTCATACTCCCATAGAGATTGATTGTGGTAGACTTTCCAGAGTTTCATAAATTCATTAAGCCATAACTCATGTCCAATGGAATGATATTTTGGATGTAATTGCACTGGTAGGAAGCTGAAAGCTCTAAATATTTGATTTATAGATTGCGCATCAAGTGGACACAGCTTTGGCATTAATTCATCTAAAATTTCTTGAGTAGCACTTGGCTGAAAATAATTAAATAGGTAATAAATTATCAACTGTTGATTGCATATATTAAATAGATCAAATATAAAATGCGAAATTGTATTTCTTTAGCTATTTAAATGATGATACAACTTTGTAAATTAATTTGTAAATTAAGTATTTTATATAAAATTTGTAACTCACTGGAAAATAAGGACTGATGTCTTTAATCAAACCTTCCAAGGTGCTTACTAGAGATGGATCATCGCGTTTTAATTTATATTTTTGCAAAAATGCATCTGTACAGAGGTCAAATAAAGGTTTCCATGGTAATTGTAGATCATCTGGAGAAAGTACTTCTTTTTTCCTATTAAAAAAAATACATACTATGACAAAACATTATGTGCTAATTTTTATGAAAGAATAAAACAATCTACTTACTTTAATAAAATGGCTAAAATTGATCCAAAATTTGATACATAAGTGGAGTTCAACTTTGGAATTGTCATTAACTCATACATCAATTTAACAAGCACTACATGTTCTTCTTTAGTAAATCTTAGACCATACAGCAGAATATATCTGGAAAAAAAAACCATGAATATATTTGTTAAAACATTTGTTGAAAAACCTATAAAAGATTAACCTTACTCTGTTAGCATTTGAGACCAATAAACACAGCCAGGATTGATATCTCTCGTTATAACACATCTCCCAAGATTTTCCTTAATATAAGCAAGTAAATTATCAGCTTCTTCATCAAGTTTATCAGAGTAAGGTAGAAGCTTGTTAAAGGCAATCTCCGTTTGATAAGGTGATCCGTCCAGCAGGTCTAAGCTCTCGGTCGACAATTGCATGTCAATCATAGCTGATTCTGCATATCCACAATCGCTTGACAAACTTCCGATGCTGGACATTCCTTTCACGCACATCATTCGCATGAATGAATTCATCGTAAACTGGATAAAACAACGAAAAACAAAACGTCAAATAGTTGCCTTTCTATAAATTGTATTGTTTAGAACACGGCAGATTCTCTTGACTGCTAACTCACTGATTATAACCTAGATGATATCAGCAATAGCGAATGATACTACAATATTCACCTGTCGCCAGCGTAAATGCGAATGAGCTTTCTGACGAAATAATCAGCCTCGATTTATTTTTCTCAAGTCATGTTGCTGTATGACGACGCCGGCAGCCATATGTAAACTAATGAAATTCTTGTAATACCAAGCTTTCAAATTTCAATTCATCATCGAATCGACATCAGCGCTCTCTCAAACGCAATAACACATATGGTGTCTTCCTTCTCCTATACTAGTTATTTACTACTACTTACGCATGTGTCATGCGGAGACTTCTCCATGGTACGTCTATTCGCGAAGAGCTTGTTGTTAGAAAAAGAAAAGTGTAATAGAGACGGATTGGAAATGAAAAAAGCTCAGTCATTGTCAATGGAAAATATTCTTGTAATTGAAATACTGTGGATTTTAATTACAAATCATAATAATGATTTTGCCTTTGATATTAATTGATAAAAAGTAGTTGTTTACATACATACGAAATTATAATTATAAGAGAACGATTCTTACACTTTCAAAACGACATGAATTTTGACACAGGGGGCTTATTCTGAAAAAAAATTTTAGCACGGGGCCTATTCTGAAAAAAAATTTTAGCACATGTCATAAGCATTTATCACATCTAAAGTGATTAATTCTGTGGTAAACCGAAGTGACAAACTGATTTACCACAAAATTTTTTTTCAGAATAGGCCCCCAGGACTACGCTACTACGCAGCCATCTGTGCGCAGGCTAGTTTTATAGGGAATATAGGGATTCATAAAAAGCGCGTATTTTGAAAAAAATGAGCAATTATATTATAAGAAATACGTAAATTAATTAATAAATGTAAATTAAAAACGAGCAATGTTGAATACTATTGATTTTACATGAAGATTACTCAATTTTAGACTTTCATCTTGGCATATCTTTTCTCGAAAGCATTAGTAGCATGTGCTTCCAGGTCTCTTTACCATGAGCAAGATTTTGCATTTTTATAATGTAAAACCTTGCTCCTGATAATTTTACTAAAAGCGTATCCCCTGCAAGGAGCTGCGCCTTTAGCTTTAGGAAATTTACGTGATTAGCTGTTTCTTGTCTGCTCCAAAATTCATAGTAGCTTTCTGTGTTGCAAGTGGCGCTCCAGTTCATGGTGGATGCGACGGAAAATGCTTCTTTGTTAAATTAAAATTTCCAAATTGCGTTGTACAACGAGATGATGTTGCGGTCCCACTGCGCGAGGTCTGTCATTGCTAGCTCACTCAATTCCATTGCACTCTTCCTAGATTGCAGTATTTTATTGGATCCTGTTTGCATTTTATTTTTTTCAATTTCTTGTAATAGAGCCATTCAGAATTTACGCCCAGGCACATACGAAGGTTCCTATAAGCTTAAATAGCTCATCGTATCTGCACCTCTTCCACAAAAGGATTGGTTCTATATTCATTTCTCAAGTGCCTCCTTTTCCAATTTAATAAACATGCTGTACCGTGGATAGAGTTCTCAAAGTTTACTATAAATCCCAACCATGATAGTGTTTTTACTACAAAATCAGTATAATTTTTATATTCTAACTCCATTTTGCCAAAGATCAAGAAGTTGTCCGAGTAGCTTGTTAAGCGGATGCCTCTTTCTATGAAATATGCTAACACTAATTTCATGATTTTGCTATAAATAAAGCCGAACGGTAAAGCCATTAATTCTAATAGCTTTTCTTGGTAAACCTTAGGTACTTTCTGTGTTCCTGGGCAATGAGTATTAAAAGGTATTTTAATGACATGTCATGAAAAAATTAAAAAATTGAAAAATTCATCTTAAAAAAGTGTTTGCGTTAAATATTTCAATGAATCCAACAAGAAATGAAAAAGAAGATAAGAGCGCGTCAAGCGCGTCTAACGTCACTAGTTGTTATTAAACGAATTATGTATTAAAATTCAAGAGCTCAAATTAAAGCAGTTGCAAATTATTATCAATAGAAAATTATACATGAGAAAGGAATATGCTATTAAAAAACTCTCATACCCGATCTTCCTATATCAGATAAATTAAAACGGATCTATTATCTGTTTTCCCGTAAATTAATTGCAAAACTTTAACTTTGATGGCCTACCTCTTTTGTCCGAAGTATCATTCAAGTATCAAAGACTATATTTACACGCATTCTGGTAGCAACATTGAAAACTGAGTACAAAACAATTTGAAAGTAAAAAAAAATTCTTCAAAGTCGTGAAAATCAATTTTGTAAGAGAACTCGGTAATCGTGCCCGTGATCCCACGGCACGCTTGCATCGTCATCTAGTTTTTCAAATTCAAGTCAACATAAATAAATATTGTCACATAGAAACCGGTATTTGCTTCTTACAAAGACGCATAAAAAAATGAGTTATGCATTAAAAACTAAAGCAACGATATCTCGGCTCCTCGTGGGCGCAGGAAGATCGCTTCTTATTTTAAATTTAATCTCATTTTAATCTTTTGATTGCCAATCAAATTCCTTTGTTCGATTGCAATATCGTTACTACTTTATGGTAATATTCTTCTTTGTAGCCAAGCGATTTTACACGTTCGGCTTTCGTTTGCGCAACAATTATTGTAGAAAGATTCTGAAAAAGTTACTATTAATAGATAAAATAGTTACAGAGATGTTACAATGATTACAACATCTAGATCAATATTATTCGTAGAAAAATATACTAATTCTGAGAACATTAATGATATTCATAAAAAATTGCTAATTACATGATTTTGTATATTCTTTAACATTCTTGCAAGCAGTGAAAGATATTTTTATTAAAAAAAGAATGGAATCAGTTTTTTTGTACATTGATCCTTTTATACAATTTTCTCAGGAATCTAATGTCAGCAGGCTCAACTCGATACAATTAGAAAAAAGATCGATATTGAAACGATGGGTTCGATCATGTCAAATTATTGAAGAAAAAGGTGAATCGAAAATCAGATTGAAAATCTAAACTTTTGAGGGAACTTACGTATTGTTTATTTGAGGAATCGATCTTTTACGACAAGGATATAACTGTCAAATAAGTAAATTACGACCAAAATTAATGGAGTAAATAAGCGCAACACAATCTTATAACGTCGAAATAATCTTGATTCAATAATCTATGCCGAAGAGGCACTGGTGATCGATCGATAAAAGCTCTTCGAGACATTGAAAAAGTTACATTCTGTTAATAGTCGTTTGAAATGTCTTTGAGAACGAAAATGACTGCGGATAAATACATTGTTTTATTTTTCATAATTTTGAGCGCTTTAGTCTGTGAGTATTCTCGTGAGCAAGATCATAATTTCTCAGGTGAAAAGCATTATTATCTCATTTTACCAAATAGCAACAGAAGCCGTATTGACACCCGAGGATGAGGACTATTTGGGTCACACGGCAGATAGGTACGACTGGTCGAAGCATCCCTGCCGCAGAGAGTGCCACAAGAATGAAAAACCGAAAATCTGTCGCTACGTTTTCGTCGTCGAGCAATTCAGCACGATGAGCAAAGCCTGTCACGACTGTCCCTTCAACGTAACCGACTGCTTTATGCCGCACTGCGTCTCAGCAGATGGTGTTCAGAAGCGAATTTACGCCGTTAATCGGCAGGTTCCTGGTCCTCTCGTCGAAGTGGGTATACACTCGTTAGTTCGGATTTACTCGCGAGATCGTTATAAAGAAAGTTCGATCTTGCCGTATAGGTGTGCGAAGACGATTTGGTCGTCGTGGAAGTTAGAAATCAAATGCTGTCCGAGAGCACGACGATACATTGGCACGGATTCAACCAAAAGAATACGCCGTACATGGACGGTGTACCATACGTAACTCAATGTCCAATTTTGCCAGGACAATCCTTCACGTATTCCTTCGAAGCTACGACCATGGGAACTTTCTTCTGGCACTCGCACATAGGTGCGTTGATTATTATTAAGGACAGACGTTAAAGCGCGAAAGTATTTAAAATAAAAATGTAACCGTGTAGGATCTCAAAAAGCCGATGGAATGTTCGGTCCAATGATAGTGAACAGACGAGATCTTATAACAGCGGTCAAAGCACTCTACGATCAAGATGAGCATCGAATGATTATCAGCGACTGGAACCATTTACCCGGCGATTCTGGAATAACGAGAATGTATCATTACAAACCAGACGTACGTCCAAAAAGTATATTGGTGAATGGACGTGGTCATTATCGACAATTCGAGGTCGACGATGGGAGTACTGTTTACACGCCTCCCGCTGTCTTTCCAGTTGATAAGGTAACGAAAACCCCACGGGCATTGAGGCAAATCGTCGACGAACGTTTATTTGTCAAAGAGGAAAATATCTTTGCAGGATAAAAAATATAGAATACGATTAATCAACGCGGGAGCTCAGGATTGTCCTATAGAGATGTCGATCGATAATCACACGATGATCGTCATCAGCTTAGACAGCAACGATATTGTCGCCACCGAAGGTATGGAAAGTCGTTTATCGACGATATAAATCCTGATGGAGAGTGAGAGAGAGAGATACGAGCGAAATGCATTTTATCGCGGATCATCACGTGACGTACAGCAACGCGTTGCCTTTTCAGTGGACTGGATTACCATTTGGCAAGGCGAAAGAGTTGACTTTATCGTGCGAACCAATCAGAAACCCGACAACTACTGGATTAGATATCGTGGTTACAGCACGTGTCGAAACAATGCGACCAGCGGCGTTTATCAAGTTGCCATATTGCACTACAACGAAGTTCCGCTGCACGAACCAACGAGCCCCATTGCTTATCAAATACCAAAATCCACCAATGCGACAAGGGTATATTCATCTCGCTCGCTGTAATGCACTGACGGTTTCTTCTTAACATTGGAAGTTAATTTTAGGTATTGAATCCTTTTAATTCCGGAACTGAAAGTTGGCCAATAACGAACATAGCTATCCCTAACCTGACGTCATTAGATGCCAATGACGTATCGCTGTCTGAAAAAGTGGATCATCAGGTATACATTAGCTTTGACTTTCACAACATCGACAACTACGATTTCCATCGGAAACACTTGTACGGCTACAATCAAGGTAAAGTTATAATGTTTTCTTTACTCCTGTTGCACTTTTATGATTTTACTGTAGCGATAAAAATAATAGTTCCTAGCGATCGACGAATTGGAAGCTTACAACTGAATCACATTAGCTTGAAACTACCTCAGTTTCCTTTGCTCTCGCAATGGCAACGACTGGCCCCTGGCTCGCTGTGCAATTCCACGCATACTCCCAAAAATCTCGATTGCAAAACTGAACAGTGCGCTTGTACCCATGTGATACAAGTGAAACTGAATTCCGTTGTCGAGATCGTTTTAATCGATCAAGGTAAGAGCGCGACGAATTCCATAAAAACGAGCAGCTTCATCTCGCGAGAAACACTCTGACTCGCAGGCAAAAGCTTCACGGTGAACCATCCTTTCCATCTGCACGGTCACTTCTTTCGCGTGGTAGCCGAAGAAAATTTGGGTGGAGTCGTGACGATCGACCGGGTCAAACAACTCGACAAAGAGGGGAAGATCAAAAGAAGATTGAATCATCCTCCGATGAAAGATACAATGAAAACCCCTGGTGGTGGTTACACAATTGTGCGGTTTCACGCTAACAATCCTGGTGAGTATAGCAATGAGAAAGGTTCACTGAAGTAAATTACATCGTTCATATTTTTTTTTATTTTCAGGCTATTGGTTCTTCCACTGCCACTTCGACCAGCATCACAATGTGGGAATGGCTCTGGTAGTCAAGGTCGGCGAGCATAAAGATTTTCCGAAAAAACCAAAGGGCTTTCCGAAATGTGGCAGCTTCAAAAACTCTTGTCTATTAAATAATAAAAAATTATAAATAGTCATTTAATATAGATATGCATATGTTGTATTTTTAACTTTTGTAACACGGTTGAGTATGCCGTGAAAGTAAAATTTAAATACTTTAGGATAATCGCAACAAACGTCGTCAGTTTTTTCATTACACATCATCATAAAATATACTCGGTTATTTTTGTTATTATGAATTATCGATGAATTTTTCTAGCGTGTGGTCTGAAAATGTTAACACTTATCGAATTCCAAGATGTGAAGAGCATTTGTTTGATGGATTTAAGAATGTATTGCAAAGATTTAAAATGTTTAGAAGCTAACACTGACATTGGCACTCTTAACTTTTACTTTTCAAATTATTCTCGTTGGCAATCACAACTAAATGCTTGTATAAACTGAAAATTCGTATTAAAAACTGTTATAAAATTTTTACATAAATTTAAAATACAAACGTGAGTTAGAATACAAATTATCGCTACTATCGCGTCGCAAAGAAAAATTTTCTGAAAGATCTTATCCCCGTAAAATTGATAAATCGTTCAATGGGTTTTTTTTCAACATTTATAACTGAGAACCACACCAATGCGTTAAATATATATTAGGTAATTTTTCGTCTAATTATCGAAATCCAAACAATACAAATAACAATAACTACCTGATAACATTAATTCGAATTTACACTAGAATGCTTTTACATAAACGTTTGCCAAGGTTACAACCCAAAATTCTCGCTAATACTTCATTTTCAATTTCATGGATGCAATGACTTTTTACATTACGAATACCTTCTCTTTCTGCTATTATCAACTACGCATTCCATTATATCAGATATCAGAGCTGTGCTGAATTTTCGCGATGAAGACTTCCTCGGCTGTTAACAGTGCAATCGTAGCGAGGAGAATGCGCCAATCCACCTTGTCCACATGTTTTCGTCGTCGAGCAGTTTTATGCTTCAAGCCACACTGCACACCAGCCGGCGAAGTGCCAAAACTTATTTACATCGTTGATCGACGATTGCCTGCAATCGCTAAAATGCAATCTTAGTACACTTGTGAATTTGAATGCTCTTCGACGCGTACGACAGTACACTGGCATGACTTCGTACAACGTGCTTCATAATGTGCCCCTTTACTCTGAGAAAAATTCCGTTACGCATTTCGTGCCACAGATCCTAGCATGTTTTGTTATAATTCGCATATTGGGGTAAGGCCAACTGAAAAGCAAATGTACCTGTTCTATTTTTAATACTTTTTAGGCCTATAAATATGAGCGCATGGCAAAGCTGTATGATAATGGCAACTTTTACATGATAATTAACGACTGATCGTAATGGACTGGCGTTAAGGATTATATAAAATTGTACTATCACAAACGAGCTATACTATATAACTAAATTATCAATGTGTTAAGACATTCTCATAAGGTCCAGATACCTGACAACCAATTACTATATACATTTTCAACTATTCTCGTAATTACACGGGTATTTATTCTATTGTTTCGTCTTTAGATTTGGACATAATATTATAACATGATTATAAGTTCTTTTTACAATATGAATAATCTGCAAATTTTCCGGCAACTCTGAAAACATTTTCTTCATCTGTATGGAAATTATAATATACAAATAAAGATGTCTCGATATTTTTCTTTTAAACTTGTTTTTTTCTTTCCCAATTTGCCAATCGTTAGTACGTACAGCTATTTAAAAAGTGATCTAACATTCTAACGACTTAATAGAAGTTTTTAGTGGCAATTTTAATTTAGTAATTTTAATTTTCACCAAATAGCAAAAATTCGATCGTGACGTGCTGTAGTAATTAACATTTACTTTCAAAACATTACAATGAAAGTGCACGTAACGTATACTTTTCTACGCATAGTGCGCTTTGCAGAAGCAAAATTACGTGTGGTAATAGCTGTTACAAATGGATTACACTAATAGTTGAAAAGAATACTAGGAAGTGCAAGTTTTGCTCGATAAAGTGAATTAAGATATCGGACATCAGGAAAATTCTAGCAAACACTAAAAACTTTATTCAGACCTCAAATTACCTCAATGAATTTTCCTACAGCGAATTACAAGCGGAATGAAATACCAAATCTACGTTATCATTCTCCTTGTTACATTCGATCGTATGTATATTATCGTAAATAGTATGTAATCTAACTTTGTGAATAATTAAAATACACCGTGGTATTAATAAACAGTGACCGGGGGAGTCATCAATTTGGACGATGAGGAGTTTTTTGGTGAAATGGCAGACAGATACAACTGGCCAAATCATCCGTGTCGGCGTATTTGCAGTTACAATGATGTGCCGCGACATTGCTTCTACACCCTCGTCATTGAAGAATTCAGCTCCATGAGTAAAGCTTGTCACAATTGTCCGTTCAACGTCACCGACTGCTTCAGACCTCATTGTATGCCAACCGATGGCAAACAGAAACCACTCTACGTCGTTAATCGACAGTTGCCTGGTCCGCTTATCGAAGTACATTGTTCGTTGATAAAGCAATTTCGCAGAAACGTCGTTCTCGTATGCTCATTTTCAATAAGTTCAGGTTTGCATCAACGATATCATTGTGGTAGACGTGAGAAACCGAATGTTGTCTGAGAGTACGGTGATACACTGGCACGGCTTCAAACAACGTGGAACTCCGTATATGGACGGAGTTGCCTACGTAAATCAGTGCCCGATTTTACCGGGAACTGACTTTCGATATACTTTCAGAGCTAGCGATCCTGGGACATTTTTTTATCATTCCCATATAGGTATAAGTTTGATTTTTACTGTCGTGCTTTAGAAAGTTTACATTTCTAACTATTGACACTTTTTATAAAGGATATCAGAGGGCCGATGGTCTTTTTGGTCCGATAGTTGTCAACAAAATGATAAATGAAGATCGAATGGCAAATCTTTACGATAACGACGATCTTTACATAATGATTCATGACTGGTCGCACAAAACAGGTGATGTCGGCGCTGTGGAGCAATTTTATGTCACTGCAAGTGTTGCTCCGACTACTATGCTTATCAACGGTTTAGGAAGGTTTCAACAGTTCCAAAGTGCTGATGGAAAAATGTTCTACAGCCCCGTAGCAGTTTTCAACGTTTCGCAAGTAAGCGGATCATCAAATTATCTTGACTTGTTTTGTTTCGCGAATGCTTCGTTTGTATATTTTAGGGTGTTAGGTATAGAATTAGATTAATCAACTCAGGTGCTGAAGATTGTCCAATGAAGATGTCCGTTGATAGTCATAGCTTACTTGTTATCAGTATGGACAGTAACGATATTGAACCTGTCGAAGGTAATATATACAAATTATTGGCATATTAATTAAAAACGATTATTCTTTCCAGTATAATTATTTCGCTTCAGTCGATGCAATCACTACATGGTCGGGCGAAAGAGTAGATTTCATTTTGAACGCTAACCAACGACCAGATAACTACTGGATCAGAGTCAGCGGATACGGAGTCTGTTCGAATACCTCGGCTCATCAAGTAGCTATACTTCGATATTATGGGGCACCTTTCGAAGATCCCATGGGAGTAGTAGGCTATGACTTACCGCAAAACAATAAAGAACGTGTAAGTCTGATACGGGAGGATCAATTTATCAAAATAAATTCAAGATTATAGTTTTATCATTCGTAACATAATAGATACTGAATCCATACAACGTGGGTGTGGAAGTCAAATCGAAGGAAAACGTGTATCTTCCTGATCTGAAGTCTATGGATCCTAATGATCATTCATTGAGAAAATATGTCGATCAGCAGATTTATATTAAGCTCGATTTTTACAATATTGACAATTATGATTTTGCAAGAAAGGATCTTTATGGATTTAATCAAGGTATTTTGGTTTTGTTGACGATTGGTTTTGCCCACTCCATTTACAATAATAAAGTTGAATAGGCAAAATCAACCATCGGCGAGAGTACGAGGATCGAACGAAGATTTTTGTGTAATTCAATTTCAGTTCCGTACAGCCGTTGGATGGGAACTTTTCAATTGAATCACATAAGTTTGAAATTACCACCTGTTCCTCTAATGTCCCAATGGAATATGTTAGAACCGAACGATTTCTGCAACGCAGAAAATCCTCCTAAACGCGTGGATTGTATGGATGAGACTTTGCAGTGTGCTTGCACTCATGTGATATCACTCCGATTGAACTCTGTTGTTGAATTAATTTTTGTTAACGGAGGTAATTATGCAAGATAAATCAAATTTGGTATTAATTTAAAAACTTTTGTTTTAGATTCTCAAGGTAACGAGTTTATAGCAGCTCATCCCATGCATTTACATGGACACTTCTTCCGCGTGGTTGCCATTGAAAATCTAGAAGGAAACGTGACGGTTGAGCAAGTGAAGCAATTGGACAGAGAAGGTAAAATTAAAAGAATACTTGATCGTGCACCCATTAAAGATACGATCAAAGCACCATCGGGTGGATACACTGTCGTGAGACTTTTCGCCGATAATCCTGGTAAGACACCTGAATTAATTAATGAAATTTATAATAATTAATTTTTTTAAATATGTTTAGGATACTGGTTGTTCCATTGCCACTTTGAGCAACACAGTAATATTGGCATGGCACTGATTTTCAAAGTTGGCGAGCACGAAGAATTTCCAAAAGTACCGTACAAGTTTCCGCGATGTGGAAATTATCTTCCGCGGGCGATGTAATCACGTTAAATTTATTGTTTTGCAAAAAAGCTTTTCTTTTTCTTAAGCAAGTGCCAAGTGTTGCATCGAGATTGTTAATTTTATTAATTAAAATAAATTTGTTTAATCAATTTATGACATTTCATGAAGTTTTTTCGTAATTTATCTTTTTTTTCCTTCTAAAACAATATAAATGCTTTTTGCACTAAACACTCAACAGTGATTATTTATTCTTCCTCTTTTGAATAATCGCTGTACTCTAAAAAATACAATATAAAAATGAATAGTAACAAAGGAACAAATGAATAATTCATCAACAAAGCTTATAAATACCAAGTTGTTGGTCTGAAAGTCCAATCCATCAGTCAATCATCATATGCTTGTCTGATCATACAGTCTCATCCAATATAATGAATTTAAAGGCTCTGGCAACAGTTCATCCGACGTCAATTGTTCTAACATTAATTCTTTTCATACAAAGTAAGTGAAAAAAAAATCCATGAACAATAACATATAACAAGAAATTGCTGATACCTGATCTAGGCGAAGGAGCAATTTTAAATGTCGACGATGAAGAATTCTTCGGCAAAGAGGCGGACCGAATAAACTGGTCGCTGCATCCATGTCGACGCAAGTGTATGGACGGCGAGGCTCCAAAAGTGTGCAAATACGTGTTCGTCATTGAAAAATTCAGCTCAATGAGCAAAGCGTGCTACAACTGCCCATTCAACATAACCGACTGCTTCAGACCTCACTGCATTCCCACCGATGGGGTCCAGAAACCAGTTTACGTGGCAGATCGTCAATTGCCTGGACCACTGATCGAGGTACAGTAATGTAACGTCGCAACTGCGATAACTGACGTGACGCGCTGGTATATTACGATAGGTGTGTCAAAACGATTGGGTGGTAGTCGAGGTGAGAAACCGAATGGCAACCGAAAGCTTCACCATTCACTGGCACGGATTCAAACAAATGGGAACACCCTATTCCGATGGAGTGCCCTTCGTCACTCAGTGTCCGATTTCACCCGGTAACAGATATCAATACTACTTCAACGCTACGACCACCGGCACTTTCTTCTGGCACTCGCACACTGGTAAGATTCAATAACTTCTTCGTACAAGAAAGGGTAATTCGAATTTTCGCACCAACTTTGAATTCTCTAAGGTTCTCAACGAAGCGATGGTTTTTTCGGACCCATGGTCATCAATGACGTTCACAGTCAAGACGTTTACGTTGATCAATACGACTACGACATTCACCGTTTGGTCATTAACGATTGGAAAGATCGACCTGCCGACGAAGATGAAATACATGATAATTACGATAGGTTTAATGCGATAACCGAAACAATTCTGATAAATGGTTATGGGCGATACGTGAATTTTACTGACGCCAATGGAACCGCTATTGACATGCCTACAGCAATTATTCAAGTCGAATCGGTAAGTGCCGTCGTTACGCTCAAGAGACAGGTATAATCCGTGAATAACATTTTTTAGGGTAAAAAATATCGTATCAGAACGATAAATGCCGGCTCGGAGAATTGCCCTATGGAGATGTCGATAGATAATCATACTCTACTTGTTATCGCATTGGACAGCAGATATATAAAACCAGTAGAAGGTATAAGAATTAAACAACGACACTAAGTCGGGCGAAACGTATGTGTTTCTTTCAAATCATATGTATTTGTTGACTGTTCATTGAAGTTGACGTCGTGACATTCTGGTCGGGAGAGAGAGTCGATTTCATTCTAAACGCAACCCAGACACCTGCGAATTACTGGATTCGAGTTCGCGGTTTGAGCCGCTGTGCGACTGCCAATGCCAACCAGATTGCAATACTAAATTACGCGAATGTCACCGTAAACGATCCAAAGGAACCAGTCGGCTATCAATATCCGATCGCTACTAATACAACGCGGGTGTGTATATACAGTTTCATACGACGAAGCGCGTTACGATGACTTTCCTCGTCACGTGTTGCGCGCACTCGGAACAATTAATGCGAGATTTAACGACGTGATTTCGCATAGTAAACGAAGCACGTATTAGCGAAATGAGATTGCAGCGAAAATTACACGTGGAGTAGAAATTACTAATTTATGGATATTTCGCGATAAAAGCAATACATCATTTTAGGTGTTGAATCCCATTGACCGAGGTACGGAATCGGATCCGAGAATTTTCATTAGCATCCCAAATCTTGTAGCTGTCGACAAAGATGACTTGTGCTTAAAAGCAGAAGTTGATCGTCAAATATTCATAAATCTCGATACGATGGCTATTGACAATTACGATTACCATCGTAGAAATCTCTATGGCTACAACGAAGGTATACGTTGACCAGCCCTCGCGTATGAATCGTAAATTTACATCGCGATCTTTTCCTTTGCAGTGGCGGCTGATAGGCGATTGATCTCGTTACAATTGAACCACATCACTATGAAATTCCCGCCATTCCCGTTATTGTCTCAATACGAGTCGATAACGCCGGATATGCTTTGCAATTCTTCGTACATTCCTTCGGGAGCTAATTGCACGGTGGATTATTGCGCCTGCACCCATGTGATCAATCTGAAACTCAACGAAGTGGTCGAACTGGTTATGATTGACCAAGGTATACACGTTTATCCGTGGTGGACGCATTCTAACAAAATACGCATATTTTTGATGCAGGTTTAGCAGCTCGAATTGATCATCCTATGCACCTACACGGGCATTTCTTCCGCGTGGTAGCTTCGGTCAGTTTAAACGAGACAATGACCGTTGCTCAATTCAAGAGATTAGATAAACAGGGAAAAATCCAAAGGAATCTCAATCATGCTCCGATCAAAGATACAATGAAGGTGCCGAGTGGTGGATATTCAATTGTACGATTTCTGGCGAATAACCCAGGTTTGTTAAGATGCATAAATTATCTGTTACTTTTATCAAATACTTGCGAATAGATAAGGAAATGCATTCCTGTCATTCTAGGATATTGGTACTTCCACTGTCACTTCGAACCGCACAGCAATAATGGAATGTCGTTTGTTTTCAAAGTCGGCGAACATGAAGATTTCCCGAAAAAACCAGATGGTTTTCCGACTTGTGGCCCGTTTACACCAGAAAAATTTAATTAAAGGCTATACTTATGCGTGAACGTAGATGCAAGAAATCACGTTACTAACAAATTATTTTCAAGACGAAGCTTGAAAAAATCTCTAAATGGCCCTTAAAAATCATTAGCTTGTTAACGTAAGCAACATTCATTGGAATCTCTTAAAAGGATCTTCATCTAAATATTATGATTATATGAGACGTGCTTTTTATATAAATTCACTGAATAAACATATACAAAAATATTGTTCCTAGTTTATAGGGTAAAAAGTATAGAATAAGAGCTATAAGGGCAGGCTCGAGAGATCGCTGAATAGACTTGTCATACATATTTAATTATTCGAAATAATTAGTTTATCTTTAAATGTAAAATTAAATGTTAAACATGTGTTAGCTTTGCAATGACAATTTCAATCTTTGTATCTTGAAATAAATGCATCCATTTGAAGAAACGGAAATAGCAATCTTTCGATGATCAATATCATTATAAGTAAATCTAGTATTATAAAATGGACAACAATTTATTTATCTTTTTTTTGAAATCCGTGCTGCGAAATGGGCATAACATAATTTGTTAGAAAATAGCTTTCATTACGTTAACGATTAATCCGCTTTTTGATGTATATGAACGTATATGAAGTGAGTTCTTATAATTTGCTAATATAATGGGATAGTTAACTACACTCCAAAAGAATCCAATTTTATTTACACGTACGAATTATATTGTCTCTGGTCTTGTTTGTAAAGCGCTACTCCCCACAGAACTTATAACCTAGAATGCATATAACAGTTCGCAGTATAATGAGATTTCACACGTTCTACTTCTAAAAGCAGCAGTTCCCTATATTGCATTTAACGCTCGCAAACACAATATGGAATTTCTTTGCGCGTCGTTAAGCGTGACTGGAATTACCGTCAGTTGATTTATTAATGAGTGAAATCATTTTTATATGACACCGTTAGCGCTGGCTATGTTCTATCGTGATATTCTTTGCGAATAATTGAAGTGGAATACTTTCTAGAATCGAAGTTATTATTTGCTTTATTATACTGCTTATAGGACAGTGCAATCATTCCACTGTCACTTTATAATCGGGACAGCAACGTGAGAACGGCGATGATTTTCAAAGCAGAGACGTTGACGTAAGTTGACAGTGGATTCTACGTTATAGATAAAATAGTCAATTGTCTCGATCAACTTTTATCCTCCGCATCGTTTACCGAGAAAAGCGAGTTTGATTGTTATTTCAAATACAGAACGCATGAAAAATAATAATGCTTTGGTCAAAATACCGCTTTGAAAACGAGAAAAGCTTAGCCATCTCGCAATAGGAAAAAGAAAAGCGCAGCAAAAATAAATTGAAATAGTCACCACTACCAACCATCGCTTATTTAAACTTATCACTGTAGCCAACATTTGAAGGTTATCCCAACTTTCCAACCCATTTGTGGCAACACTTGTCTGTGACGCTTGTTATTTATGCTTACGTCCCGCTTACTTCACAAAAACAATTATTTAACGTGTCCAAGCCTAAAAAAAAGAATAAATACGACAGTGAGTGCAATTTCGAGCCATGTTGAAATCTGACCGGCATTAAACTATCCCGGAAGAAGGAAAGAAAGACAGTAAAGTAACATGGCTAGTCCAGCAAACATGAAGCTCGCGGTTTTGCAATTGTTCGAGAGATATAAACGATGGATTGCCAATAATCCAAATCTCGTTACCGATATTGAGAGTGCTATCAAATATGTGTCGTTTTTCAGTGCAGGTAAGTAGCGCGTTTCCGAGTCCAAGTGTACTGCTGTTTGATTGTTGGACAATGCGTTTTGTTTTTGTATATAGGGAGATTGAACAGCTCAACCTTAGCATCCGAGTTTGTTTACTCACTACCAAATCTTATGGTGTTGTTTAATGATCAGATAATTAAGAGCAATAGAAATATTGAGACAAATTTACCATCGATACAGTCTAAAATTAAGATTTGGTTGACTGTGATTGATTACACCGAGGCTTTATTTGAAGTTTCTGCAAAGAAAGTTTGGGGGGAAGCTGGAAGATGGTTCATCATCTCTTTGATTCAATTGCTCAAGTGAGTATCACAATGATTCCCAACAAAAGAAATTTTGTTTAAATTAATATTTTATGACAGGGTTGCAATGCGATTGTTCCTTGTGTACCGATACAAAGAGCGCATTACGCAATCACCAGCTATGCCACCACTTAATAGAGAAAAACTTCTTGAAAAAGAAAAGAACAATGGTGATGATTTACAGAGACCACAAGAAACATTCTCTCTCAAACGCTCTGGTAAAGTTGTGAGAACTGTAAGGAGTAGTGCTTCACAAACAAGAACCTGGACAACACCTGCTTCATCTTCTATGGAATCAGAGGAAATTGGTAATCAGAATACCATTGAAACCTTGAAAAAGTCTTTGCTTATAGCAGAGGTAAAACCATTTATTCATTAAAGGATTTAAGTGTATAAAACATTTTGGTAAAAATGATTGTTTTACTTTCAGACTATGTATATTATAAAGCCAATATTGCATCTTGGATGTTTGTCTATTAGTGGGCCAAAGAATTGGAATCCTTGGCTCTTATCTTTTATTATTGACTTGGCAAGGTAACACATTGAGATAATAAAAAATTGCTCTGTTTAAACAACATTTTTAATATAAATGCATATTTTTCAGTTTAAAAATTTTCAATAATGAAACTGATTTAACTAGAGAAGAACATGAAGAGTTGTGGAAAAGAAGGATAGGACTGCTTTTGTATATTCTTAGGTCACCCTTCTATGACAATTGCAGTCGTATGAGAATTTATTCCCTACTTGATACCATTTCCAAAACCATTCCTCTTGCAAGATTAATTGCTGAGCCTATCGCCAGATATTTACCTCACTGGCAGAACACATATTTCTACATGTGGTCCAGTTGAAAACACATCAAAGAATAATCATTTATTTGATGAAAAAGATTTAGTAATCGGATTTTAATAGTTAATTTATACCCTGCTTGAAAAATCTGTCTTTTCAAAACAAATTTTTAAAACAATTACATAAAAATTATGTGTTTAAACTATGTTGAATTTGAAAAATCATTTAATTTTTTGCAGTTGCAAAATACACTATTGTATAATCATAAACCATGACACTGTATTTGCTAAAAAAAACGCGAATTCAGTTATCAAAGTTTCTCCAAAATGATTTCAAAAGACTTTAAAGAGCTAAGTTTCCTAAAAACTTGTTCATAATGGTTGACATATTTTTAGATATATTGTAAGATGATATATGGTGAACAGTTAATGAATGTAAGCTTTTTGATAAATTTTAGACATTCCCTGACAGTGGTGATTGTGACGAATGATTTCTTTATTTACTTACATTTTTGTAGTTTAATGTACGTTTCTGGCTGTTGAATAAATTGTTTTATAAAAACTATCCTTACACCTTATCTTTACATATATATCACCAAGGTGTAAAATAAACAATCAACTGTATCATAATAATATTTAAATATATTACATCTTGTTTTTGCAAATAATACTTTCCTGAGCGAAAGAATTATAAATATGGCAATGCGGTTCAAAAGCTAAGAGCGAGATTTGGTAATATTTATATATAGGACGGCAAAGATTCTTATTCAACCATTTGAAGAAGTGAATTAATAGTTGTATCTTTTTTACCAATGTTCGCATCATATACTGACTTGATCACTTCTTTATCAATATTTGGAAACATTTCAGAAATCTATAAAAAATAAGAATTATTTTTACATAATCAATTTCATCAACAAACATTAATCTCAATTCTGAATGGAAAATAATTAAATTACCTGTTTTAACTCTTCTTCTGCATTTGGTAATGAACTTGCAGGTACAGCAGGAGGAGCTGGATTAGCTATAGGAGGTGCTGTGTACACATTGACTGGTGCAAAAGGTGCAAAATTTCCTGCCATATTTGTTGATGGTACCATCATTACAGGTGGTGGCATTTCCATGTATGCCCTTGGAATTCTTGTCTGTAAGAAATCAACATATTAGATCAGTCATTGTCAAACTATATAAAATTGCAAAATTTATAAATGTACTCACTGTATAACTTAATACTAAATTAATAGAGCCCTCTTGATTGTCTCCTTGCTTTCCACTAAGTAAGTACCAATCTTCATAAGTTGTTCCTTTCTCAATAACTTGAGGTGGAATATCTACGTGGCCCCAAGCAATCAACTCATCCATTGTAAAAGAACATTCATCATATATCTCTACATATATTTTATTTACTCCAGGAGGCAGGAAACTGTATGAAAATATAAAATATGAGTAAAAAATTATACACAGCTGTGTCATAGTTAAAATTATACTTACACTTGAATAACTTTATTCCAATGTGGATTTTTGCCACCTTTCCTGTCTGTGTGAGTTTCATAAATTGTGTGACCTACTCTTAATCTGACATATGGATCTATACCCGTAAAACCATAATTTTTAACAAGTTTGGCCTACAATCAAACATAAAAATCATACTTAAATTAAAAGAAAACTTTCATCAATAATTCAGATGAAAAATTTACTTGTACAACAGTGATAGTGAGTCTACCCATCACAGACATAGTCTGATTTTGCATTTGTTGCAGGGCAAAAGCAGCTTGTCGATCAGCTTCCACTTGCTGATTACCAGAAACTGGTTCCTCTATCCTGAGAAAATTGGCTGGCAAAGGACCAAGGAAAGCCTGCAAACTCATTTGTGTTGTTAGCGTAAGATCAACGTTTCTTAAACGCTAAACAAACAATTTTTCAAATCACAGATTCACCCATGCTTACATGCATCAAACACGAAAGCTTTCAGGAAAGCTTTAGTTTACAATCGCATAACCTAACATATCATTACCAAAGTTGACGCAACAGCTTTATTACTAAACGTTATATCGTACTTAGTAAAAAAAACAAAAACGACAGATTCTAAGTTGACTCACTCGTTTCCTCCATTCGTCACACTGCTCAAGATTTTTTGCGGTTTCCATATTCAATAACTGGTATTTTGAGGAGTGTCAAATTGAGCGACGCAAAACCAACGTCGTTGAGGCCGATTAATTTTCATCAAGTTATTCCGAAGAACAACGACGAAAGCCTCTCGAAAAATGTATTATCGCTAAGCCGAGAGAAAGAAATTATTTTAGAATTATTTACCGCGTCTTCATGTACTTCAGGTATATACTTCTCTCTCTTTCCTGCGCGTCAGCTGCTGTGACACCACTGACGAATCTCTGAAGCGGTGCAGTGTTGTGTTGTTTTATCAAACTAGCAGAAGCCACGTATGAGTGTACATGTGTGTGATGGGGCGGAAAAGTGGGGAGAAGTACTGCCGCAATGCTGCGTGTGTTATAATAATGTGAAAAATAAAAGATTAAAAATTATAACAAGTCGATATTTATGGTTAAGTTATATCTATAAATTAATCTGCATTTGTTTTGATATGGAGAACGATAGTCTCATTGTTACAAACGATGAAAAGCTCAAAAGATGACAGAAGTAAGGCTAAATTTTATAAATTCTACTAATTCTTTTTAAATACATTCATGTCTTATCTTAAATTGAATCCTATTTAATTATTTGCAGATAGGAAGGCTCGCATTTATCTATAGAGAAATATTCAGATGTCTTTTGTATGATAAAAGGTAAAATTCGTTATATAAAAAATGCAACGAGGCTCCATGTATTGTTGCCATAAAAGTAGTAACAAAAAATTCTTGCATTTCTGCTCCAAAAGAAGTTTATACTGGTTTTTCGCGCTGTTAAGACTGTTATTTAATTTTTTTCCTCAAACTGGTTATATTCATCCAGATGAATTTTTTCAATATATCGAAGTAGCTGCAGGTAAGCGTAAAAATTTTTTATTGAATCAAGAGCCATTTATAATAATAAAATTAATTTTTAGGTGACTCTTTTGATATTGATGTCTATAAACCATGGGAGTACAATGTAACTTTTCCAATAAGAAGTTCAATCTTTCCTCAGTTATGTGTCAGACTCCCTTATTTACTTCTTGAATGTTTAGATCCGAAGGTTGAATATTTCTTTGGAATTTCATTGAAAAGTCCTTACTTCTTGGTGCTCTTTCCAAGAATTGTGATGACTCTTCTATCTTTTATATCAGATTATTGTTTATTCAAGATCTGTACAATTTTTCACGAGCCTTTTGTAGATAGGATGAATATTTTTGCAAGTTCCTACATTATGTTAACATACTGCACAAGGACATTTTCCAATTCTATTGAAATGATATTGAGTTCTATGTTAATTTATTATGTTTCAAGGTGTATTGAATTTTCTAGTAAAGTAAGTATCCAGATATGAAGTTCCAATGGTAAAGTACTTATTTCAGTAATATAATGAAAAAATGTTTACAGGTGGTTTTGCAAAGTGATTATTTAGCAGAAAAATATTATAAAGCCAAAAATGGAGTAGAACGCACTAGAATTCATAAACTCAGAGTATTATTGCCTAGTCATTCATTGAATGACTGTCTCCATCTAGCAGCTCTCGCCGTTGTTGGCATTTTCAACAGGCCTACTTTTATAGCATTTGCCTTACCTCCAATATTTTTCTGGTTGCAAAGGGGTCTTGGATCAAAAAGTGTTGGATTCTTGGATTTTCACATTAGAATTTTTATGTTGGTTTTGTGTGCTGTTCCAATAATTCTCTTTCTCACCATCTATGATAGTTTTTACTTTGGATATCTCACTAGTGAAGAAGTTGGAAAATTGGAAATTACAATCAACAGTTTTGTTGTCACACCATTCAATTTTTTGAAATACAATACACTCACAGACAATCTTAAACAACACGGACTTCATCCGCGGTTTTTGCACATTCTTGTGAATGTACCACTACTATTTAATGTTTTAGGCATATTTGGGATTTATGAATTTGCAAAAATGGTGAACAGGTAACAATAAAAGATATCTATAATTTCAATACTTTACAAGATTTTATTTATTTTTCCTTATTTTTAGTGGAATGAAAGGCAAATGGTTAGAGTTGCCAAGGATTCAAAGTATTGATAGCTTGATGATAGCATCTTTCATTGTCCCAATTGCTCTATTATCAATTTTTCCACATCAGGAACCTAGATTTATAATCCCAGTATTCTTACCACTGGTTTTCTTATTTGCTCATTGCATCAAGAGTCCTGATATTGACGTGATTAACATTCCTGATAGAAAGAAGTCAGCATCTGTGACTCCTCAAAAAAAGGATTATATTAATTACAAGAAAATCTGGTATATAAGCAATATAATCTTAGCAATATTTTATGGATTTATACATCAAGGAGGCATTTTACCATTATCGTCTTATTTATTCAAAGAATTAAAATCAAAGCCTGATCTCACACATATTCATTTATACATTTCGTATTCTTATCCATTGCCTACTGGTCTACTTCATCTAAGAAACACAAAGAGAACGTATATCAGTAATTCTGGCCACAAGTATAAACTAGTGAAAGACTTTTACATGAATGAATTTGGTTCTGAAGGTATGGAGTTTGTACATAATAAAATTGCACTGGATGTTTACGATCGCGAAAGATATCATCAATTTGAAAAAATTCCCTCCAGACTATACTATGCATTACCTTATAGTTTATACAACGAATTTTTACATTATACGTTGAATAACGAAACTCAGTTTTTTAATACTAAATTCATCAAATCATTCTATCCACATTTTTCATTGGAAAAACCGCCGGAGTTACATTTTATAGCAAATTGTTCGATCGTAGGATTACCACAGTGTGTTTTAAAATTCGTCAAAAGTCCAATGGACAACGTTATAAACTTTTTCAGGCAATTTTCTTTAGTATTATTGAGAATTGAACCAGTGAGCAAAAAACGATTGTGATACTCATTATAAATATTATTTGATTTATACTGTGCAAATAAAATTCAAAAACAAAATTCAAAAAAAGTGTATGTCATTTATAGATCAAGTATTTATATTTGCTTTTATTGTAGTTAAATAAATAGTTCCACTCTTTTTGTTATATAATATAAATTTTAAACATTGTAATAGTTAACAGTTGACAATAGTTTTTTAGTACTATCATAATATCTTTATTTTTTTCAGAAGCTCAGTATTATTAATTATTGTATTATTATAAATTCTTTCAAAGATCAATAATTACAATACAAAAATGTGCTTTCAGTACAATACAGGAATTTAATTATTCTGGATATAATTATTAAACCGCAATGCGAAGTTATCTCGATGCGACAAGTATATCTTTTCTTAAAATTTGCTTATAAAAATATCCCTTATTAGTTGACGCACTCGAACTGTTTATTGTACATTAACACATCAATTTATAAGCTCAAAAGACTTATTGCAAACTTTTTAAGACTTTTTCATGATTGCATCGCGAGGGTGTAGCTTAACTTTCACGAGTGAAGGTCCATGGAAGATCCTCGTTGAATTTACTGCGGTGGACGGCATTTCTTGCTGCGTACAATCGCTAAAATATAAAATTATACCGCTTTCTTTCACAGTTTTTTCTTTAAAAAAATCACTCGAATAAGTATAAAAACTTTTAACTTACCGGGTTATCAATGTAAGCCTCGCACCTATAGCACCAAACCGACAAATCACTGAAGCTCAAAGTTAACGGATGATTAGTAGCTTGTTCGTGCTCAAGCATATGTTGGTTAATTGTTCGAGCACAATGGACGGTATAACACTGAAGACAAATCCAATTTTCTTGAGTGTTTTGACATTCGACACAAGGAGCATTAACGTCGATACCAGAAATTGGCACGTCTTCGACGGAACTTAAGTGTGGGCAATCTGTTAGAGGTACCACTGCGAACATCTCTTGGTCAAGGAGGGCCTGCAAAAAATGGTTTGATGATAAGAAAAGCTCGTAAAAATATTTTGGTTTAAAAAATTGAGCATACGGGGGTTTCAACTTTAACGCTAGCCATGACTTTGACTATTAAATAATAGCTTCAGAAAATTATATATTTTAGGTAACGATTAATTATCTTTTTAATTTTTCGTTGAGGTTAAACTATAACAGTTATCAATGCTTTTTTTTTGCGGCAACTTCACACGTAAATTTAGTCCACTTGAAAAAGATCTTTTTAAAATAAAATAAAACCACGAGAGAACCATTAAAAAATTTTTTTTTTAAATAGCTGCAGTTTTTCTATTCACCTGTAAATTATCCTGCAAATAATCCATCAGCGTAGTCCGTGCCATCACGTTACCCGACGTATCCGATTGTCCGCTACCACTACCACCAACACCAGCATCTCCGTCAGGTTTATCTCTTGATCCACCAGCTTTATCATGAGGATTAACTGCCTGTATAATCTTCAAATTCTCGAATCCCGATTCTACCTCCTTTATCGTTCTACCATTCGACATCAACAAACTACTACTATCACTCAATCTCTCGGTAGGTTTACTTCTGGGTACTTTCGCCTTAGGAAGCACATTCTCAATTGGCAAACCTTTCTGGAAGATGAGATTCGGCCAATATAATTTATGCGTCTGCAATACGTTCATGATCGATGCCACCGCACTTGGACACGGAATGAGATTCGCTTCGAGTTGTGGAAGTGGATCGCCGAGCAATGCTTTTGTACACATCGTCATTGAGTGTGAAATTGAATTGATGTTGTAACCACCTTCAAGGGTTAAGATCACACGGCCATTTGCTAGCGAGGACAACCAGTGCGTCATGTGACCGTACATTTCTGGATTTACTTTGCAGCCTGCGAATAATTGAAATTGTTTTCACCATTCTTCAACCAGAACAATTGTTTTTAAGCTTACCTCCAAGAGGATCAGCAATGCAAGCGTCAAAGCCTGCTGAGACTAGAACTAGCTCCGGGTTGTACTGATAGGCAATAGGCATGACAATCTGCTGAAAAGCTGCTATGTATTCTGCGTCGCCCATTCCTTTCTGTTATTATATAAAAATAACATTCATCATCCGTGTCTAAAAACTTTACATATTTTTAGAAATTAATTATTACCTTGTTCCAAGGAATATTCACATTGAAACCTTCGCCTTTTCCCGTTCCAACAACAGTATAATTCGCCTCCTTTGAGTGAGGGAAAAAGCTTCCATTGTCGTATCGATGCAGTGATATATATAAAACGGTTGGTTCATCTTGCAAAATCGATTGTGTGCCATTCCCATGATGAATATCCCAATCAACGATCAATACCCTACAATTAAAACCATAATTATAAAACTCATTCTCCGTCATGAAAATAGTAAATCTACCTTTTTAATCCATGACAAGCAACAGCATACTTGGCAGCAATAGCCACGTTATTAAAAATACAAAAGCCACAAGCAGCGTCTTCCTCGGCATGGTGACCAGGCGGCCTGACAATAGCAACTCCACTTTGACTTTCTCCGATGAGAACACTATCGACAATATGGAGTAAGGAGCCGGCCGAGACAGTTGAACTCAGCCATGTTTCAGGATGCAAGTATACGGAATTCATGTCTTTAGCTTGTTTCACTAAATCTCTTAATTTAGTTTCGTTTGTTTGTCGTATGCTGTCGACATAAGCTTTCGTGTGTGCAAGAAGGATTTCCTCCTCGGTTGCAACTCTCCCCTTTAAAATTGAAACCATTTGAAACCAAATTGAAACATTTATCCTTGAAACTTGTAAAATGTCTAAACGTACCGTGAGTATGTGACAACGTTCGAGAATACCACATTCTTTATGCTTGGAAAAAATGCTTGTTATTCTACTTGGTTTTTCCGGATGGGACTCGTCTGCCACATTATAATGTTTCAGCATTCTGTCGTCGTAGACTATGCTTACGCGGTATGGAGCTTTGTTGAGATTTGTAACTAAAATACAACATTACATTAATACGAAAAAGTTTAATAAATTTCTAATATAATTAAAAAATTAATAGATATTTACTCTGTATAAGCATATCCAATTGTTTGTTAATCTCTTCTAGTTCGGCTTTAGATTGGATGGGATAACAATTGCGCGTTTCAAATACTATGGGAAGTTTTTCGGGACCACTATATAGACGTAGAAATTTTTGTATTCATAAAGTTCATTATAATATTTATTTTACAATACTTACTCAAAAAACACGGTAGGTAAATGTTGATGATTTTTGTCGCTGATATTTGTGCTAATACTGTAAGAATCTTGATACTGATAACACTTCCAGTATAATTTGTGTGTATATATTACGTTTAGTATTGTTTCTTGAATGCTAGAAAAAATTACTATTATTTAATTGATTCAAAGTACTTTTAAGTTTATGAGTCTCTTATTTACCTTTGACAAGGTAATCCCAAAGATTGCATAAATGGGCAGGGATCACCCAAGAGAGTTCTGAGAGTAAGAGCTGCACTTTCTGCCAAAGATTTCAAGCAATAGCCGCCCTATAATACATATAAAGTAGACTAATAATCACGTAAAGCGTAAAATATTTATAAAGTAAACTTACCTCTAGAACAACTGCAACTTTTCCAGTAGCAAGGCCAAGAAGTGAGGATAACAAATGAGTATAGCAGGCAGGAGTGATTTTCATTTTCCCCTAATATGAATGAAATTCGATTACACAGTTGAAAAGTGCTAAATTAATAAAGAGCAACCTTTGTATCTCCAAGTGCTGCGTCGTATCCAGCAGATACAACGATAAGCTCAGGACTGAACTAAAGCGAAAAAAAAGGACAAAAAATTAAGTGGAAAATTTAATTACCTCTGGACAACCGAGAGCTGCATCATAACCGGCAGAGACTATGATGAGATCCGGTTGGAACTAAAAATTACAATTGACGTATTTAGTTGTAACCGCAATGTTAAAGTATTTTAATAAAAATTTACGTTACTCACTTCATAAGCCATTGGTAGTAAAACCTGCTGGAATATTGCCAAGTAATCGGCATTCGTCATGCCAGTTTTATTGAGAGGAATATTAAAATTATATCCCTCGCCAGCACCATCGCCTACAAAATGATAATCTGACTCACGAAGGTTAGGCCAAAAGGCTCCGTTTTCATAACGGTGAATAGAAAAATAGACCACTCTGAAAATTCGTTAAAGGTTAAAAATTTACTTAAAGTAAGGTACGAATTTGAAAATATAAGTGTGTGATTTACCTAGGATCATTATAAAACATTTGTTGGGTAGCCTGTCCATGATGAACATCCCAATCTACTATTAGAATTTTTTTAGCTAAACCCTGCTTCAAAGCTAACTCTGCAGCTATAGCTACATTGTTAAAAAAACAATAGCCACAGTATTCTGCTTTCATTGCATGGTGACCTGGTGGTCTTAATTGAAATAAACTAGTTAATTTACAAAATTATTTAATCATGACTGTTTAGTTCATTATGTACCTTATTATTGCCATTCCATTTTGTACATTTCCTTTGCAGATACTTTGCACAAGATTAATTGTTGATCCAGCAGCAAGTAGAGATAAGCGATAAGTGCTCTGTAATTACAATGAAAAATATTAAGTATTATAATGAATGATAAGTACAGAAGCTAAAAATTGATCTACATACTGGATGAAAATAAACTGAATCATATTTAGAAGCCAAATCTTCTAACTTCTCAACATCATAACTATTCTCTGTTGACTTTAGTATCTCTATGTGAGCTGGAGTGTGTTTTAAAAGAAGCTCTCCATATTCAGCATATCTAGGTGCAATAAATTTGCAGCGCTCAGTTAATCCTAATTCATCACACCTTTTTAGAACTCTCGTGAACCTTTCTGGACACTCTGGATAACCATCGTCCCACATACAATGATGTTCTGCCATAGAATGGTCAAACACAAGTCCAGTATCCTTGCGAGTCATGTCTTTAGCATCAATAGCTTTTTGGTAAATATCACGAATCACAGGAACAGAAGTCTTTTTACCTAACAATTTCTTACGTTGAGCTTCTCTTTTTGCAGCTACCACTGCTGCTGAAGGCTTGGCCTGATATAAGGAAAAAATACAAGTACAAATAAATCAATGACATGATAAGATAAAAGCAAGATGATAAGTCAAATGATATAAACTCAAGTATTGAAAATTATTATTTCTTATTTTAAAAATGTTAATGTTATATAAATGGTAAAATCTTTGAAGTTACATTGACCATTCTTGGTGACTTTTTCACTGTGTTACTCATATTTTTTGATTTATTTAACACTGCTGTCGATCCTTTACTCAGCTCAACATGTCTAAAATGTTCAATGGTTTGTATCAACTGGATTTCACTGTCAGCCAATTGTTTAGCTGCATTGATGAACTTGGTAGATGGATCTAGGTTCGACTAGTGAAATGAAAAATTATAATGTAAAATATACAAAATAATCAAACATAAATGTAATGATAAAAACAATGCTATTTTGTTTACGATAATGATGTGATAAGCTAAGGTGACTATTTATAACAAAGTTAAATTAACACTTGTAAGTAATAAATGAAGATTGTAAAATTAGAAAAAATGACTGAGTTAAATAAGAGAAGGTACCAATTAAAAAGTGTAGGCGAGATGAATAAAAGTGGAACCTAACCATATATAGAATCAAGCCTACTATGTAAATGACCCCTTCCTCTTTCTTTTTACTTACGAATTCAAGGATTTGGTTGAACTGTTTCATTAACATACAATCGCAATTGTGCTAGTGAAAATTAAATTTTAATTAACGAATCAGATAATAACTTTTTTTTACAGTGATTCATGATAGAAAGCAAAATAAATATCAACCTCGAAATACCATTATTTACTTCGCATTAGCTCACTTTAACACACCACAAAAATTATTGTTAATTACTGCAACGCAACTATTCAACAAAATATACACTTTGATAATTACCATTTGATACAATATTCAAGCTATGTAAAACAATGTTATCCTCGCAACAATCATGTATTACAATATTTTCAGTGTTGTTTAATGATTCATTAAACACCGCACCAAAAGTAATTTTACGATGCGTTAGGTGATGACGAAACAATTACCTGTGAATTCCACTTTTTTTTAATTAAAAAGAACCGTACAATTTAAAGCATCGGAATCAAAACAAAAAGCCGTGTTGACATGTTTGTGGCGATGTCGCTCCACCTTCAGATATCTACTTACATGTGTATGCTTTATTTGTACTGCGCCGGTACTGTGCATGCGCAGATATTCAAAGTTTACAAACGCTAATCGTTATTGAAATGATAGAATATAGCTTTATATAGATATTATATAAACTCCACCTCAGATTTTTGTATTTTTATAATAAAGAGAATTAAGTTTATCACTAAAAAATTGGGATATTGTCCAGTCACCAGTGTGTTTCCAAATTCTGACCGTACTTTTCACCTCCGGCTAATTGCAGTCATCTTGGTATATGGATATCAAAGATGTATATATGCATGAGTCGTTCTCACCCCTCGCTTCATCCATCAACTTTATATGGTGTATATAATGCAGCACGTCAGCTGATGTCCCTTGATCCCCTGGTCCCTGATTTTTCTCACGCTCTTCTTCGTTTATTGATACGAAAGTGCAAATTATTAAAAATGTTAATTTGATATCTTTGTCGCTTGATAAAAATGTATCTCGTCCATTATTTTCTAGTCGCGCTAGTAATGTCTAATTATTACGTGTGTTTTCAACGATCATACATATGGCAGCGTCGTTGAAAGCAAAACTTCAGTTTTTCCTTCGTATAATCTCTAATTATTACGTGATTTCAGTATAGTTTTCATTTTTCCGTACCGCGTTTTACTCTGGGAAATTCATTATAAATAATTTAAATAACATCGCGGCTTATCAAATATTATTATATGATAGTAAAAAAAATACGTATTATATGATAATACGTAACAAAATTGTACGACTCTCGAATTTTTTCCTAGTAAATTATTCTAATCGCATGATTAATTCCAAGATACTACAGCCATTAATTTAAATACTCGGAGGATGACGACTGTTAACGAATGTATTAATGTGTATAGAGCAATTTTTATCCGCAAATATTAACAATACAAAATTATCTGTGTTCCGCATAATTCACCATAATTTGTTGTAATATTTTAATGAAATGAGTCTCAGCAGTATCGCACAATATAACTAACATTACTTTGACATACTGGCCTTTAATTTAGAAAATAATTGTTGGTGAGTTATGAGTGACTATAAATTAATAATAATTTCATCAAATAGAGTTGTATTTCAACGTTTAATTTTATGAGCAACTAAAAAATTAATTGAGATGCCTCCGACGACTTATGCACTGTATAAAAATAAGTAAATGTGTTATTAAGGAAGTAATTAAAAAAAATTAATGTCTCTATCTTTGCATTTAAAGCTATTTGGCGTTATCGATTTGTCCAACGAATACTAGAGCATATAAAGGATATTATAATTGCATCGACTGCACTGTTGCCTTTCAGTTTTGCGAACCTAGCGTCGAAGATGAAGACAATATCACCGCTCGCTGGCTACGCCGCACTTTGTCTGCTACAGCTGAATGGCGTAAGACTTTCGGATTATATTTTTGTAAATACATTCTGACAGCACATTTTTGTTGTTAATGGTCGATTCACGCATCGGAGGCAAGTCGCTTGCTCTTTTGAACAATAGTCGAGTCGCTCTCGACAAATAAATAAAAAAGCATTATTATGTGCACGCGTCACAACGAGAAATGTTGCACCGACGGTCAGAGCTTTCGATTGTCTTGGAACTCTGAACCGCGCGTCTAACGTACATTCATTATCAAACTTACGCATAGCACTGCAAAAAACAAGCAACGGCGCTTTCGCTTGATACGCGTTTGAGTTGCAGTTGGCATTAGTAAAAGCGGCGGGAGGGTCAGTCGGCAGGAGCGTCAATTCGAAAAACGCGATCGCCACAGTGCTGAAGGTGAAGCCTCAGATAGACAACGACTGGATCGTGGCCGTAAAGGATCCGACATCGCTGACCGGCTACGCCGTCAAAGTCAAGGAGTTCCTCACCGACCGCTTCTTCGATAATTACTTTGTCGTGAGCGCGATGTTGCCTTTCCACGGACGATAATTGCTCGCGATGCGGAAAGACAATTAAGAAACACATTGTCATTGGCAATTGACAGGTGTTCATGTACGCGAGGAGCAGCCCGAAAGACAAGCCCGAGCAGTTCTTCGCCGCCCGCATATGCGAATTGCTCGATCCTCGTAACACCCGTTTCCCGAGGGAGAACTACATGCCCAGGCAGGTCATCGATATCATATTACCAGGACGCTACGGCAGCTGCGATATCAAGGTGAGCGTCGACTTACGCGGTCGTGCCGTGCGATAATACAACCTTACTTTGCCGCTCCTCAGAACACTACGAAGCCGATCAACGCAGGCGGTATAGTGAACACGGATCCCGACACGAATAAGGAGGTGACTTTCCCCAAATCCAGTCCCTTCGAGCTGCTGGTCAATATTCTGTCGATGAAACAGATCGACCACCCCGACAGCCAGTACTTCTTTCAAGTTGTCTTCAGCGTTGGCGGCAACTTCCAAGTCTCGGGAAACCTGGGAAGTGGAAGTATCGGCGCAGGCTTTAAGGCTGGTTAATTAACTGGGCTTGAACATTCCGAGTCCGAACGTACGAAGTGTGCATAATTTTTTTGTTTCTTTTTCACGTTCGTATCATTTCGGCCTCAATCGTATTGTTCTTCGTAGTTGCAAACAGTCGCCAATGTGCTCGAGAGCCATAATTAAACGTTTGAATTCGACAAATGGCGATTTGCTGATAAGACTGTCATCAATGCTTCGTAGTCTCTTTTTTATGAGCGCACTCTTCATTGTTTATTTTGCGTCGAGCGCGTTTCCCAAGTAGCCAACAGCTGCGGTGAAATACATTTTAAACGATCGCACCGTCATATGCCAGCAAGCGCTATACTTTATCAGCGATAAACCGCGCGAGCGCATAAGACACGTCGACTGCTGTTGTAATATGCGCCAATAAACGAAGCGAAAATTTAATGAATGAATTATCAATTAATGATTAACTTTATAATACACGAAAACGACATAAATTTGGACGCGAAGATGAATCTATACCTTAATTGCAAAAACGGAAGCTTGTGTTAATTCTCGTGGTGCACTATTTATCACCATTAGAGTTTCGTCTCAAATACGCGCGTATCAATTACTTCGCCGTCTTGCACAATCAGAAACGGGTTTGCTCGCATACGCAGTTGGCGGCTCGCTGGATACCATCGGCACACTGGCGCCTACGAACTTGCTCTTAATAACGTCGCTGATCGAAACTCGAGCAGCCGGGTTCGGGTTGGCCTCGTCCAAAACGAAAATCTTGCGTCTGCTGAGAGTCGCGCGAGCGAACGGTGGAGCAGACATCGGTGAGTCTTGATCAAGTTGCCGTCTGCCCGAACGAGAGCGCAGTCCGAAGTTAAAAATTTGAACCTCGAACGAGAACAGCTGTGCCTACATTAGTGGAGAGCAATCATCTCGAAGTTGAAGCGAATCTGTCGAGATTTCGCAGCCTGAAACGCCAGTGCCACCAGCAAATAATGCTTAGTAAATAGAGATAACGTTTTTGTAAACGTAATATTACCTTAATGGAGCTAATGAATATTAAAAGACTTTGCATGCTCTCTTGGAACTGTCTAAGATCGACGGGTACCCACGATAACCGTATGTACAAATCGTACAATAACCGAATTAATAATAGTTTTGATTTTTCATTTGAAACAGCTGATATTCGCGTGCATTCAAACGCCCCATGTTTTGGGAATCCCGGGAAATTCTAGTAATATGTTTTCACGATCTCCTTCCTCAGGCTTGGCGCCCTCTTGCCCGCAACTGGGTCGCTCTTATCCTCTTGCCTGCACTGTCTGCGAAGATCGCAATAGCCGAAAATTTGATTTGGCATATATCTGTAGGAAATCACGATCGCGTTCGCGAGCTTATCAACGATTCAATATCGTCGGTGACGGCATCGCTCGCGAGTCCCGTCAAGTGATAGTGGCAATCGGAAATTGCAAAATCATATCTCTGCACCTGATTATTAACTATGTCTCTCAGCCACCTATCGAACTGTTTCCACTGTCCTTACTTTTATACACCAAAGCTTCAGCGGTGATTTGCACAAGGCTTACCAAAAGGAAAGCCTAATGCGACTAATTAAGTATCTGGCTGTCTCGCGTGAACGTTACTCCTTGCCGTAGTTGCACTGTCACGAAAAGACGAAGGCAATCTTATAGCCACTTGCACAAAGCACTTACAAGTGGATCAATCGACGTACCCAAATGCAGTATTTTATCGAAGCCATATCTCACGTTGGCAATTATAATCAGCTCCTTATCAATTCTATAGATGAAAGTGACGGGAGCAATATTTTTCTCGACAATCTTAGATAAACGTAAGTAACAGTTAAAACTACACGTTTGGATATACGTAACTAAAGTTCAAGTGACAAATACCCAAAATTCAGCTTTCGAAAGGTAAAATTATGAAAAAGACTGAAGTTTAAAAATCTTGCTATATTTTTATATCTAATTTTTTACCGATTGGTTTTCATCTAAAAAATGTCTCATAGTGTTAAAACAAATTAATTCAATCGCATAAGCTTTTATCATATAGTTTAGTATACAATGTCGAATGACCAATAAACAATAAGGCTAACGTACACTCGAATAGCAACGATTGTTGTCGTCGGAGTGTGTATAGTGTTTGCAAACCACTCTTCTATATCGGAACTATAAAGATTTAATGTAACAGTTGTTCTCGAGATTATTCAAATTTTTAACTTCAATCTAGACAGTTCATATCGCACTGACATTGAGCTGCCTTAATTAGACTTCTGTAACAATTCAAAATTCTCGAGCAATCATTTTGATATCGTGCCAAAATTAAAATACGTACGCAGTATATCAATGTTAACTTTAACTAGTTGATCGTATATTCAAACCACAATTAATTCATGAAGTTGGTAAACTACGTTAATTTTCATGCGTAAGGTAATTTTGAGAATTCAAATTAAATAAAATTATTTAATTTGAAATCTAAAATAGCTGGTAATTTTAGTAACTTTTTAAAATACTTTTTTAAGTATCAATAGCCTGCCAAGTTTTTTATATAACATAGTACTTAAAAATATTAACGTTTGAATGCGCTGTACAAAGTTTCTTTCTTTTTCTTTTTCAAAAAATGGATTGCACAATGCGCTGTTTAGCGACCTTGAATACGAATAGTCGGCACAAGTGTTTTCATAACAAATAACATCTTGGAATATATTTAACAAGACAAATTTCATTATTGGTTTTTCTATGATATATTCGAGTTAAAATTAATTTAAATACGGGCTAAGGTCACAAATAAATAGAATTTATCACTTTATCACAGAAAGTTATATTGTAAATATTTCCATACAGAATAATGGTATACGCATCTCAAATAAAACCGCAATTGCTCTAAAGAGCAGGCACAGCTTTGAACACCGATAAGTACAATACGTAAAGAAGCACCAAGACTGTGCATTCGCAAAGATCAACTTTGCACTTTCAAGTGGGTAGCGAGTATTCGGGAACATCTACTGTAATACTATAGTCTTCAATTACGTTATGTAATTGATTTAAAAATGTACAAATTTATGCATCACATTTTTTTCAATTAAAATACTTTTGAATGCTATACGAGTATACGAATAAAGTCGTGTATAACTCGCTCAAACGTAAGAGTATTGAAATGAAAATAATCGTACAAAATGTGTATCTTTGAAAAAGAATTCTATTCAAATGTCTAGATATCTCATCAATCTACGGCACTTTCGCGCTCTTGCTCGCCAGACACTACATTGTTATATGCCTGAAACAGAATCAATACAAATACGTAAATGTTTATTTCATCAAATTAGTTTTGTAGCCATGAAACTCACTTTTTTAGCGATCATCCTAAGATTCTGTGTCATAACGTTGCCAGTCTGCTGTACCATTCTGGATAAATGACCGACCTTATCTTGCAGTAGTACATGCGGATGTCCAAACTCAACAGCTTGGCCATGATCCATCACTAGCACCCTGTCGCTATCCATGATTGTATTCAATCGATGAGCTATTGTCAGTACAGTACAATCCTTAAATTTGTTTCTGATTGTTTTCTGTATTAGCGCGTCTGTCGAAGGATCGACGTTGGCCGTTGCCTCGTCCATTACGAGAATCTTGTTTTTTTTAACGATAGCTCGAGCCAAACAGAGCAACTGACGCTGACCAGCGCTCAGATTACCACCACCTCGATTTACCGAGTGATCCAGTGAAACAAAACTCTTATTGAGCTCAACAGCTTGTAAAGCTGCCCACAACGCCACGTCCTCGAACTCGTGGAACGGATCAAGATTGTCGCGCAATGACGCGGAGAATAGCATTGGTTCCTGAGGGATTATAGAGATTTTCTTGCGCAAATCGTGTAAGCCGATCTTTTGCGCATCAATATTGTCTATTAGTAGTTCGCCTTCAAGCTTTGTTAATCGGAATAACGCTGATATCAACGATGATTTACCTGCGCCTGTTCGACCAACTATGCCCACCTGCAATGCATAATTACACCTGATATATTGAAAACAGAACAAATTTAAAAATTATCTTTGTAAAGGAAAAATTACAAAAAAGGCCTTTAGTTATTATCGATCTCGTCACAATTTTTTAAAATTTCGTCAACTATTGCCAATATGATATCGTGATGAAAGTGTGAAAGTTTCATTATTTTACCTTCATCCCTGGTTCAACGAGGAAGCTTAAATTCTTGAGCACCGGTTCCTCTTCGTCGGAATACTTCAAATACAGTCCCTTAAATTCAATTCTACCCTTTTCTGGCCACTCTTTCATTGGTTTTAGTCCAGGTTCACTTTCAAACGGACCTTCCTGCTCTAATTTTGTGAACTGGAATATTCTCTCGACGCTAGTCATCTGAGCGATCGCCTCGGCAGTCATTCTCATTCCATACTGCAACATGCCGCACAAAATGAGCGACTGAGAAATGGCAAGGCCAACGTTGCCAGCGTAAGGTTTGCCATTTTCATTAACAAACAAATCCGTGCTTTGCATTATAACAAAACTGTAAGTGACAAATGCCACGAAAGCTATCGACACGACATCCAGGTAAAATCCGAAAGCCGTCGAAGTTGCAATTTGAAGGAAGTAAGCCGATGTGTGCACATCCTGATGAGCGTCGAATTCACGACAGAGCATTCGTTGAGCGCGACACGCGCGGATTGTCAACAGGCCGGATAACGTGGAGTTTGTGTGCGAAAATACTGGACTTTTGGCTGAAAATTTTACAGACGATTAATAAAATTGTACAGATATTTTTACAACCATTTTTTTCATTTCTTTTCCTCCACTTGTTAAAAAAAATTAGAAGATGAAAAATAGTTTATAAGAAAATCAATAGAGTTTACAAACAAGTATAAATTTATATTTTCTTGTGAAGCTTTCTGAGTTAGTTATTAGTGAATTTCCACGACATGCAAGCTTTGATCATGTAGAGCAATCATAAAATAGATGTTATTCATTGTCAAATAGTAACGTATCGCATAGATGATCTTTAACGACTGTATCTAAAATATTCTAGTTATCAGTATGAGTTGGCGAAAATGTAATAAATTTAAAGATATCGAATTGGAGCATTCAATAAATTATTTCGTATCGCAATGAATTCAAACTCATTAAATTCTACTCTTTCCTGCAAGTCAGTGGATAATAACCTATTATTTGAATAATTTCTGTGATTGTATGAATGTATTTTTATCCATTTCTGCAGCTTTAACTGTCTAGTGAATCATAAAAAATAAAAACATATTCGAATCTAAAAAAATTTCTGGAACGATCAGTTATTATATTACTTTGATTTGAGATGTTGATTCCTCTTTATCTGATAAATATTCGCTATCTAATATCTCACAGTCAATTTAAAACTAGTTATGCAAATTACGCAAGAAATAAAAGTTGCCACTCACCATTGCCTTCAATCCTCTTGATGTCCTGAGCACTAGCTAAGTATATATTTCTAAGTTGAATATAAAGAAAGCCCATGATCATCATGGGAAAAATGGACCACCAGTTAACTAAGAGCACTTGGACGAGGATACCGACCATGACAGAAAATATCTGCAGTGCTTCAAGCATCGCCATAGGTAACAATTCATCCGCAGCACCAGTATCCTTCGAGAAACGATTAAGAATTCTTCCTGCATGCGTAAATAATGATCAACTTGCATTCACAATGCGTAATTAGCATTTTATCAAAACTTACCAGAAGGATTAACATCAAAAAATCTCATTGGAGCACGAAGTAGTCGAGCAAACATCGTGTCGTGGAGCTTTCTACTTGCATTCATACAAATCTTGTAAAATAATACGTTCTTAGCGATTGACATTAAAATGCTACCTAATATCAGTACGGTATAAACGTATATCCCTAATTCTGGCTGCATGTATGGTTCCTTGTACTTGGCGTATTCGGTTTTATTCATCAGTCTTTGCATCGCTTCTGGGCCCATGCAGTCCGACGAATTTGTTGCGTTTATGAAATCACGTGTGCGCTGTTCCTCTTGACGAGTCCTACGAATACACCAACAGTCATAAATCAGTTTAACCCTCCGTCACAATTGTTATAAAGTATATTGCTTAATTTACCAGTAACCAACCCAGTAATCGCAACCACTGCTGGATATTTGAGCAAAAACGAAACAAACTACCAGCATCAAAAGTAAAAAGTACGAGGCACCAGCTCTGAAATATTTCCAGTATAACGAAGATTTAACATTTCCTTTAGCCATAAGCTCTTCAGTTTCCGTGGGCTCGTTTTCTTCATCTTCATCGAAACTAGGAGTCGTGACGAAAGATGCTTGTACGTTGTTTGCAGTCACATCCACATCAGCAACAGTCGTTTTTTCAGCTTCCTCATCAGACGGCAAATGTTTCATAAATTTTTCATTCTTGCTGAAGTCTGTAAACGAGCCTTGGAATTCAATCATTCCCTGAAAAATTATATGAACTTATGTTTAATTTTTTTCTCTTTACTCTATTAATAATTTATCTACTTAAAAATATATTACATTGTTAAGTAATATGATGACATCAGCTTCTTTCAAGTACTGTACTTGGTGAGTAACGAGAATACGAGTTTTATGTTTCAAATAGCCATTAATACAATCCTCAAACAGACTTTTGCCAACGTGTGTATCAACGGCTGATAATGGATCATCGAACAAATAGACATCAACATCCCTGTACACCGCTCTGTATAAACACACACACACAAATTATTTTGTTGAATAAAATGACAGTTGCACTATTTGAAGTAGCTCAATGCTACCCATAAGCCTATAAATCTTGCGCAAAATGACGCCTTTGTACGTCAGCATTCCTAGCAAGGCTCACTTTTTTCGACTCACCTAGCTAAGTTGACTCTTGCACATTGTCCACCGCTCAGACTAGTTCCCCTTTCGCCAACGGGAGTCTTATCGCCGTACGATAATTGTTCGAAATCTTTTGCTAACGCGCAAGCTTTGGTTACTTGCTTATACTTCGCTTCATTGTAGGGTTCACCAAATAAGATATTATTCCTTACGGAACCGGCAAATAACCATGGCTCTTGACTCGCATGCGTGATGTTTCCATTTACAAAAACTTCACCAGTTGACGGTCTTATTTCACCCAAAATCAGTTTGAGTAGAGTGCTTTTACCAGCACCGACCGAACCTACAACTGCGTATAATTTCTTTTGTGGAATGCTAATGTTTATGTCTTGTAAAGTACTGACAATCGGATTTTCGGACCATGAAGCGTTTACGTTCTTGATTGAGATACAGGTATTGTCATTATTTGGTGATAAGGATTTAGCGCTCATCTGGACATCTTCTAATAGCAAAAATTTCTGTGAAACAATTAAACTTTTAATTTCTTCCTCAAAGTCATATCATAAATTATCTATTTATCAACATGCATACTTCTATCCTCTTTATTGAAATTTTCGCTTCAGCGGCGCTGCGGACGGCTTGAGGGTAAAAAATTGCCATAGTTAGCTGAAGAATATTGAAGTACTGGGCCATTGTGAAAATTTTTTCGGCCGATATAACATATCCCTGAAGTACATAAGCCACTACCGTCACATACAATGTAGTTCGTTCGGTGAATACGAACGATGCAAAGTTTACACCCCTCAAGTACGCTGCCATCAGCAGCACATCAACTTCGTGCCTGTAAAATAAACACAAATTAAGATATCGAATAATGTGTAATTGAAGTGAGAATTGAATAGCTAACTTTCTACTGAAAGAAACGAGTTTTTCAAAAGGCGCCTCCCAAGTATACATTTTAATAACTTTTATTCCATTGACAATTTCACTCATTAGCAAAACTCTCTCATCGGTTCTCGTAGCGATTTTTGCTCGCAATATCGAGGTAAGTTTTCCGCAGTAAGCTGAAACACAAGCCATTCGTAAATATCTAAACTCACACATAAGCAATAATTCGCGTTAGCGATTTCTTGCTTTGAGTATAATACCTTGAACGGGTATCGATTGTAGACACACCAAGGCGACTCCAGCTAGCGAGGCAATAGCGACGTGCCTCCAAATTAAGTAAGTTATCACAGCCCCTTGTAATGGCATCACCCAAACGTAATGTAAGTAGAGAAATAATTGCTCGAATCTTGCCACGTCGTTAGACAGTAAATTAATAATTAATCCACCAGTAGCTTGAGCAGCAGCTGACACTGACAGCTGTGTTAACTATGCACAAAAATGTACTGTTTCATTCAAACCTCAGGTGTTAAATAAGCAATACCATATGATTATTTATACATACTTTTCTATAGACCAGAGAAGAGCAAGCAATTCTCAAACGCATGCCTACTTCCAGCTGACCTAAATTAGAGTGATGATTAAATATTGCCTGCAATAGAGTCATCACTACCACACCAGTTGCCAATAGATAGGCATCACTTGTAGTGGTTGTTGCACATGGATCAAAGTGATAGATTAGAATCCCTAGTGTTAGTGGTTGCACTACCCTGTCCAACAAAAAACGCACTGAATTTATCATCCATCGCTCACTTGACAAAGTTTGAATCCTTTTTTTTTACCTTACAACTACACTCAGAAATAGAATATGGCCTGCATAATGTGAATAAGACCAACCAAATGTCTTCTTAATGGCATTTAAGAGTCTGGGTTTTCTGTTAGTCTTGAGTGCATTTTCCACCTCACGTTTCCAATGCCTACAAAGATTACAATGTTATTGTAACTAGCTATAAAGCAGTCTAACTGATTTGTTGTACAAGACTTTATGAGCTTCATGGCAACACAATGGTTTACACTCATGACAACACTGTTACTAAATTATCAGCAAATGAAAAAACATCTGAATGAACATTTACTTCTCCAGTTTGTCTCCCAGTGGCTGGCTGAGATCAGCTGGTAAAGCATTGTAAAGGTCTTTGGCTTCAAGGTCATGCTTTCTACCATACCAGAAAAGCTTGAACAACCAGCTGAAAGCATTAAATATTCAATCTGAATTTGCATCTCTCTGATAACGTTTCCTAATTACATAACTCACTCGTACAACCATTCAAAATCCATAATCATTATCACACGCACACAGACACACGTGTGTACGCTTTGTTTGTGGCATGGCAAAAATCTTGAACCGCATGACGATAGAGAAAAACTCACCCGAACAACAATCTACTAAAACAATTGGCTGAGAGCCTTGGACTGGGGTTCTCGTATTTCTTGCTGGCGTCCATAATACTCTCGATGCGCGTTCACGAGCGATGATTAACTTGTGCGAACGCAATGCATCGCTACTACAAACTAACCGAAATGCGCACCAACGACTCTCTGTCGCGACTGAACTATTGTACGAGTTTTAATGCCCTCTCATTCTGCTCTCGAATATAGTTCTCTCTCTCTCTCTCTCTCTCTCTCTCTCTCTCTCTCTCTCTCTCTCTCTCTCTCTCTTTAGTGCCACATGTGATGCACTTACAGACCGCTCGTCGCACGTGCGCTGCAGCTGACAATGGTGACGCGCGCTTGTCTATACAGTTTTGCGCAAAACTTACTATATATATACTTCGCGAGAAGTGGTCGTTTCGCGTGTCAACGCCCCCCTGCCGCTGCGTTATATAGCTGCTGCTTCCGCAAAGGCGAGCGACTCTATTCTTTTCGTGCATTTTACATTCTCATGAAAATCTCTGATTCTGCTCGTGTCGGCAGAAAATATGTATATATATTGGAGTGGCATATTTGGTCGCGCGGGGCGCGCGCGGTTCGTGGAATGCAGCGCTAGTCAAAGAAATTATAAGCTTACCGCGCGCAAATCAATTTCAATCGTCACGTGCGCGCTCACACGGAAGCCGTTGGCTTTCCTGCTTCGTTCGGAAATCGCGCGATTATACACTGCAGGCTCTCCTCGCGTCCCGCCGACGATCAAACGAGCGATTCCCAGCCGCGTTTTTCTGCAGGACGTCCGGCCGCGCGTGCAACGCGACCGCAGACACCCCGATTGTGCCCGATCCGTCGGATAAGATACGGCGCGCGGATTTCGCGCGCGCTCGTCCGCAATATCTGTCAACTGTAACGCGCGCGACTAATTTTTTTTTTATTCCTCGTCGACTCGCTTTTCCATGCTTATAGGGCTCTGTCCAAGCGAACGATGCGTTTTCGTCGAGGAAAATTTACTACTCGCGGGGAACGTACACGCTATAACGTATACTTCCGAGAAGCTGGCCTTAAATATTCGAACAAAAGAAATCGTTGAACACTCTCGCCGACTGTATGTCGCGTCTGGCTCATCCTTCAAATTATTACTTGCCCCTTCGTTCGCCTGAAGCGGCAATACCGCAGGCTTGAAGTTTTTCTCTTTTTCTCGACGAGAGATTGAAAGCGCGAGGCACATAAAGTGCGACAACCGCCAATCAATTGTCTCCGATCAAGCTCAATTTACTTCAATACCAAGAGATGAACGTTAATTATTAGCAGTCACGCCTCACGACGTCGTGGCAATAGCTGTACATGTTTTTTTTTATTCTCTCGCTGCGCTATCCTAGCTGTATTTGTCGCGAGCGAGCTCTGAAATTAACTGAAAATGAAGTGCATTCGCGCGCAACGCCGATATATTTGTCTTTGTTCAGCAGTACGCGCACTCACATTTTCAGATCGTGAATCACTAAATTGCAGGCTCGGAATGATTTCTGCGCGACGAATTCGCCGCGTCGTCGGTGCGTCACTGTTGACAAATACCGAGAACGTACAGGAACAGCAGTAGCGTAATGCTTCCGAAATTTCAAATAATTCCGCCAATGCTTGGAAAAATCGTCTGCTGGCGTATCAAAACAATGACCACTTCGTCGCCTACGAGAGAATTATAGCAGAAAGAGAGAGAGTAACGTGTGCGACGCGGGCCCTGCAACGAAAAGTCGACAAGTGGTGCGTGTGTGACCGAGCCGATCGATTTTTTCTGCGTCCCCTACACGACAATGAGCTCGGCGCAGGTGACGGCAGGTCGTACACAATGCCAAGCTGTCGGAGTCATTTCGCTTGTCCCGGCAGTTTACCATCGGTGAGTCCTTACTAAACGTGCATTCGAAACTTGTTTTCAATCGCTGTTTTAATGAAAATATTTTTTTCTTTATTCACCAGACAATGTAACTGATTAGACTATGAAAATGCATTTTGATGCCATTCATCTGTGGATGAGGTTAATTCAAGCAGTTGATCATTTCATTTCATTTTTCAAGTATTCATGATTCTTTGCTGAAAATCTATCGTGTGATTACTTATCATTACAGCAAAGATTAAGTCAAGAATGGCATTTTCATTTCGAGCCGGCACTAATTGGTATCATGACTTCCCCAAGCTGGCCCAGACAGCAGGTTTCTATTTCAATGCGCACACAACCAGAGTGAGAGTTGACTGGAATAGAATCAGTGAGTGTAGTTTGACTATATCACTAGAGGTTATAAGAAGGAAAATCAAATGAGTGCGAAAAATGCTGAAGCCAATGTTATCTGAAGGACTTTTGCAGCATATGTGCTACTAGACACAATACGTAGTTTTATTGTGCTCTGATAACAGACTATTTATTACTCCCCAATGCATTTACAATTATTGTCTCAGCTTAGATAACTAAAGATGATTGTAATGAATTTCTATTATGATCATCTTCGTACCATTATTTATTAGAATTTCTGTATTTATTAATTTTATCAAAGTTATGCAACAAAAGTTGCACATTTTGCTTATGTTTCAGGTTCTATAGATATAGACAGAGTGATAAGAGAGAGAGACTTTCAGACAGTCGATGATAACGTCAACAACGTTATTGATTACGGCCTAGAAAGCGAATACGACGTCAAAATCTTAGATCCTAATTTTGTCAAACTTTTCCGCTTGGCACAATTGGCCGTTGAGTATTTACTGTATTGCAAGCAATACTTGGATTTTACTTTTGCTGTTTTAAAGGATGAATTCAAACTCAAACTGGAGGAGAACAAGGAGCTAGAGAGTAAAGTCAAAGAGTTAAAAGAGGAAATGAAGAGAATGGAAGAGAAATACAAAGAGAAAAGCAAGGTCCTTGATATCAAATCTGATATCCATAAAGTATGTTAAGATTTTCAGCTGTTCAGTTTTTTTATCACCAACTGATTAATTCAATTTTCTTAGTGTCCTCACTGCCCAAAAACCTTCGTATCGGCCTCGTTCGCAAATGCCCATCTAGTCCGTCGTCACTCGAACCTCTCAAATGTTTTTCTAAGCTCTTCCCCAGCACACGAAGAGTACAAAGCGGAAACGGAGAAACTCAAAGATGAGATAAAGTCATTGAAAGAGAGACTTAATCAAACGGAGCGTGTAATCAGAAATGAACCGAGTAATAAAAATGAAATATCTAGAAAGGAAAGGCTGATGAGTTCTATGGAAGATGGAGATTCTGCGTATGAAGATCAATATAGGAGATATCAGGAGGAAATTAATAATTTAAAGACGATACTGTTCACTGAGATTAGGGTGGGTTTTTAAATTGTAGGATTTATGGTAATAAAATATTTATTAGAGTTTTTATTTGGTTTTAGAATATCAAAAGAAAGGAAAGTAATTTGAGTAATCAAGAGAATGATAACAATAATGAAAGTATTAAACAACTAGTCAATCATCAAGAAGATGAAATTCAAAGACTGAAAAACCAAATGCAAGATCATGTAAGTTTATTAATTTTCACTTGTTATAAAATACTAAAAACAAACACCAATAAATTTAATAATTATTTCATACTCAGTTGACTTCCAATGCAAATGATTTTCAAACAAAACTAGCAAAACAAGAGGAATACTGGAAATCAAAAATAGAGCAACTGGAGAATCAACACCGCAAAGACATCGATAATTTGTTTATTGAATTGAAAGTAACGCAAGAGTCGGCCAACCACATGAAACTGGAGTACGAGGAGAAAGTTTCATTTTTAGAAAAGCAATCTATAGACCAATCGAAACTATTGTCTTCTCAAAGCGAGCAATTAAAAAATTTATCCAAAGGAATGTTGGATAGCCAAAAATTAAAAATTAACGAGAGTGAGAATAAGACGAGTCAGACCGCTGAGAAAGAAAGTTTGACAGAAGACACAATGGACAGTGAATCTAGTCATAACTTGAGAAAATCAATTAGAAAAATTCTCACGCAAAGTGATAATCGTTCACCAGTACACACAAAAACTTCATCTAGCTTTACTAAACTCTTGTCATCCAGAAAAGAAGATGAGCGGCAGAAAGTTAAAACTCGAGAAGAGTTGGCCAGAGAGTCAAACTTATCCAAGTATAAAGAGAGAAAGCCAAAGAATCATAGACAAACGACGAAAGCTGGTGTTAAGTATTCATCGCTTGATGAATCGGGCAAAAGCGAAACGAGCGACGTATCAGAATCAGAGACAGAGATCGATGAAGATTCAGACGAGGAGACCAGTGAAAGCTCTGGGAGTCTAACTGAAAGCACTAATGACGAAGCCACTTTCAGTACTGAAAAAGAACCGATAAAAGTATGCTTCCTTATTTCTTGGTAAATATTCTTTGATATTAATATTCAAATATAATTTCAGAGAGAAAGACGTTCTTCTGTAATATCGCTAGACGCTATCAAAGAAGATATGGAGGAAGCTTTTGAGAAGAGACTTCGAGATTTAGGAATAGATCCCGACTGGAACGGCATTCCCGTAGCAACTTTCAAGCAGAAGATAGAAACCATCCGACATCAACAAAATATTTTATGCAGAGTAAGTGCACAACAGTTTATGTAACGCGCGGTTTTTTTAATTACGACGCTTATGGCGATAATGAATTGCAAATTCTATATTTAGAAGTATCCAAAGTACGAGCAAATTCGAAAGAAACTTTTTGAAGAACTCGTAAAAAGAATACCTTCCGCACAAAAGTTTCCAAAGAAAGTTGAACTGGAGAAGAAGTCATTTTTGAACAAGGCCGTGAAGAATGTCAAGTCGAAAGCCTTGAAAGCTCTGAATGAGTTCAAATTACAAAAAAATCAGGGTGAGAATAACGTACTTAGATATCATAGAGTCATTCTATTTAACAAGTAACAATTTTACAGAATCATCAACGTCAGTAATCAGCTCCAAAAATTCAACGCCAAGAGAATCACAATCAAAGCGCCGATTCAGTCTCGAACTTCTGCCGAAGAAACCGACACACCAAGATATTCAAGAAATCAAAACACAAGCGACATTCGAATCCGCTACAAAACCAAAGCGAGAAGAACCAACTGTAAAACTTCGGTCTAGCTTGAATGTCGAAGAAAGCGTAATTATCGAATCGCCTCAACCAGCACGTCCAAAACTTCTGCAAAGGTCATATCAAAGCATCGAGGAATTCATGAGAGATATCGAAGAACCAACGATTCCAAAGTTGGACATGACTAGTTCAAAGATTACATCTACTCCTTCGAGGAACGTTAAGAACATTCTACTTGATTCATACACATTTGGCAATGAATCGGATGGACAGTCGGCAAAGCAAGATGCCCCTTGGGCACTGGCTTCACCAAAGAACAACAAAAGCGTGTTGAAATCAACAAGTGGAGTTGGCAGTACGGTGAAGAAAAAAGTCATATTCGATCTAGAAAAAGAAAATAGTCCTGATAAGGAATCAAAGTCGGTTAACTCTTTTATCACAGGAAAACAGAACGAGCAGAAAGACTTGCACGATAATGCCTGGAATATTTCAAGGTATGTTCAATAAAACGCATGTACAATCCGAGTTACATCATCACGTCGGTTATCTAACTTTGTGTCAATTTTTTTGCAGCGTACAAAACGAAAAGGTAGTGGTTAAAGAGAGAGCCGAGAGCACCGAGAATATACAGCTGAAAACTTCTCAAAGTGAGAAAATCGCAGAAATCTCACGGAGAATTCAAGAAAAAGTAAGCTCATTTATCCTAAACATTTCATAACCAGATTTAATAACAAAATTTCACTCACCTTCAGCTCGCAGCCTCTCGTAGTCAAAAACCAGCCGGGTCAGTCGAAACAATGTTCACCGCCGGATCGCCATTAAAAACCTTTGCATCGACGCAGCAAAGTCCTCTACGAGAAAAGCCATCTAGTCACGTAATCGAGGCAAGACCAAGAATTAGCCAAACACCTCAACCAGCTCCTCGTAAGCAAATGTTCGAGAGCAAAGATTCCGACTTGGACACAGATATCGAAGATTTATTAATTAATTAATATGTACGTTATCCAAGTTGAAAACGAGTATTATTTTTCAGTAGGCACACACAATCGTGTCATATTAATTGTTAAGTAATCATAGCGCTTACGAAACCAAAGATGTCTCTGTTGTTAGAAAGATCATCAATAAGTCTTTTACACTTTCTAATAATTTCTAATAATTTTTTTATGAATCTTAGTAAAGAATAGCTTGTAAGTTATTTAATTGTAAAAGTTAAATTTTACGTTTTGTAAGGATCTTTGAATCGTAACGTTTGTACAGGTTTTTTTTGTGCGATGTACTGTAGTATAGCGCGGACTTACGACTGAGAATTGTCATGTTTCTCGTAAACGTATATTTTTTCTTATCTCTTATACCTGAAAGTGAGTGGAGAAATGAGAAAATAATAATGCGCGTGTGTAGTGCAATGTTGCCATGTGCTATCCGTCCATTAAATTTATGTCAAATTTCCAAATATTTGTACCTCTGATAATGCATAATCATGAAATTTCTAATTATGTTCATTGCAATTATCAATTAGAAACAACTGTTCTATGAGAAATAATACATACTACTGTCCAAAATGTCTTTCTTTTAATTATTGTCATTTTTATACTCATTTAAATGTTGGTATTTTTCTAAATTTGATTTTTTAATTTTCAATTATACTAATATTTGGGTGAATTTCGTAAGAAATATTAATTGTCCGTTTGGCGGGAAACAAATTTGACAACAGCGCATTATGTATAGCATATAGTGATGAACGATTAAAAATAGAATGTGTTTACAAAATACAAATGTTTTTTATATTTTCTTTACTGTGTGTACTGTAGATTAATTTTTTTGAATTAGCTAACAAGCGAATTACGTGACTTTTCAATTAAAAATAAGTGGATATCGTCAATTTTTTTAAACGTTAATTACAATATGAGCTTTCTAATATAGATTATCATAGGTTATGTTGAACACATATATTTACAATTTCAACATCGTAAGTTTTTGTTTGCAACACTTAAGGTCAAATTTTCAACTATTTCTTTCAATTCAACAAGTGTTATTTTTTATACAGATTGAATGGAATACGTTGTTGTGATTAATAGCAAAAATGTCACTCACTAATGCTTCGCGGGTATCATGTTTAACATGCAACTTAAAAGTTGCAATAAATTCCACCAAAAATATTTATAAAACCGTGTTTACTCAAACGGGCAAAAGTTTAGCTTCTTTTGTGTTATCAACATTATCACTGACCACTCAAAATTTACGAAGTCCATATCTTTGCTTGCGATGTTTAAGTTTATTTGGAAAGCTCGATGAAACTTCAAGAAAAGTAAAAAGTATTAAGTGTGAAATTCATAAAATTTTTCAAGACAGCTGCAATAGCAAAATAAATTGTCATGCTATGATTAAAAATGTAATTAATTCTTTATCTGTAATTTTTAACATTATCTAGTCCATTTAAATACTTTTTTTATCTCAGGCTGAGAAAGATACTTTTACTAATGGTACTAACACACAAATTCCTTTGACTAAACCACGAGCTGTAATTACTCGTTGTACACAAGAAAAGCATCCATATATTTTATTTCAAAGAAAGATAATTAATAATAATTTTAAATTACCTACAAATTTGGAAAATAAAAAGACTAATAAAGCACAATCGGAAAATGATCGTTCAGATGTTTCACAGCTAAATGTGAAAACTTATCAAGAGAATTTAAAAAATGCTGAAACAAATGCAGAACTAATTACCAAAGCTATTTCAATTGATAATGATATGTTTGATCTTATACCTAGTTTAAAGGATCATCAATATACTCAGTTGCATGAAGAAAGTAATGTTTTCAGTTGTACAGCTATGAAATCTATTTCTAGTAAGTTATATTTAATAAAAATTGTCTATTTTATGAGATGCAATATCTAATTTAAAGTTTGAATATCAGGTACAAAAGTTTTATCTATAATGCAGCAAAATATAATCCCAGCACCAGAACCAAAAAAATTAGAGGTAACAAAATTAGAATCTTATACATGTTTAAACTGTGGTACAAAGAACAATACAATGAAAGATCTAAAGCTGCACTACAAGACTCATTCAGAAATATATCCTTATATGTGTGAAAAATGTGGTAAGGTTTATAAAACCAAGAAATCATTGAAAATTCATATAAAAACACACGATAGACTAATCACGCAGTATGCTTGTACTACATGCAACAAGTGTTTTACATTAAAATCTGCTTTGAAGAGACATTTGCTAATACACAGCAGAAAAAAGCGTTATGAATGTGAAATCTGTTTAAAGAAGTTTTTACATCATACTAGTTTTATGACCCATACTCTTAGTCATATTCAGAAGAAACATAAGTGTCATGTAATTATTTTTATAACTTTAACTTGCAATTTTGACAATAGATTGTGACTTGACATGATTTTTATTAATTTTCCATTTAAAAATAAATTTGTACTTTTGTCTTAATTGCAGTCATCCTCTTCCCTTCAAACTTAAATATGAATGTTGATCTAATTTTAATTCTATATACTTTTTTCAGATATGTGCTTTCACATTTACATCTTCATCAAACTTAAAACGCCATATGAGAGTTCATGGAGGTGAAAAAAAACACAATTGTAAAATATGTAACAAAAGTTTTTTTGAACATTATGAAGTTGTATCTCATATGAAAGTCCATGATCCTGAACAAAATCGTCTTATAGAGGCTAGGAAGAAATACCACAGACTTACAGCTCGCAGGTAAATAAGCACTTTCTTAATTTTTACTACTATTTAAAAAAATATGAACCAAATTATAGATATATTTTTCACATTTCCGAATAATTAAAATAAATAAACGTTAACTTTCTAATAATAGTTGATAATTCAAGAACAGTATATTTATGGACATTTGCCAAAATAATATCTAATATAAGAACTTTGTTTCAGATGTGAAAGATGCAAAATTAACTTTGCTTCAGCAGGTGAATATAATGTGCACATACGTAAACACACTCCAGAAAACCTATTCTGCAATGAAAATAACTTTGTACATGGCATTCAACTTTTTGAACCTATCACTGATGATCCTGTCCACCAGCTTAATAGTAAATTGAAATGATTGAAATTTTAAATGAGCAAGAATATAAATACTAACTTGACTTACTCTAATGGCTCGTCAATATGTAAGTTATAAGTTACTTTTATGTGAACAACTTGTTTTTATATACATTATAAGTATATAAAATTTATTTTTCATATTTTTCATAACAATGTAAAACAGAATTTTATAGAAGTTTCTTTGCTGTAGTAATGAGTAAGTAAGTTACTTTACTTAAGGAAAAGATAGAATGTTTATAATTATAAATTAATAACATATATAAAAATAAAAAAATAAAGATAATACTTTCTAAATAGTGTAATGCGTACTGTTATTCTTTTAGAAGATTCAAGTGGTTTCAATCAAAAACATTTTATTTTCAGTTCATTAATCAATAACATGAATATAAAAGTAATTATTTTTTAAACAATTTAAAATATTTGGTAAAATTTGAAGTACAAATACTCAATAGCATAAAAATATTTTAATTAAAATATCAATTCATATTTACAAAAGAATATAACTTATATTTCATAGTTACTAATAATTTTCATCATATAAACAGTCCATAGGCATAACAGTTCACTTGTAGAATGCATCTAATGGTAAAAAACCATAGTAAAACTATTTAAGCATAAGTACTTATAGTAATTAAGTCGCACCACGTATAAAATTACTATGTCTCTTCTAATTGGCACACAGACATTATTAAGGTATGAAAATGTTTGTAGCATCTTAATTGAGGTTGTAATGTTGATTTATCATGCCAATGCCATACTGGCTATGGCATCTTTACTAAAGGTATACACATGGAATTCATCTTTGATAGTTAGATCTACAGCACCTCTTCTTAAGTAAAAATTCTTGGCAGGATTCCAATCACTCACTAAGAATTCTATTTTACCAATATTTTCCTCCTTTGCTTTCTGCAAAAACAAGTATCAATTAACTGCAAGTCATAAATTAATTGTTCTGATAGCTGAATCACTTATGCCATTATAACACTACAAAGATTATACCATCAGTCATAATTGTCTTAATCAAAGCCATTTTCATTAAATTATGTACAATATAGCAGATACTACGATAACTTACTTTAGCAATTACTTTCATGAGTTTATCACCAATTTTGTGACTACGGAATTTCTCTTGCACATAAAGATCCTGAAGGCACATGTTTTTCCCAAGTCGTAAAGTGTATGTATAATAGTAATGTCCGTATCCGACTACGTTATCGTCAATCACGGCAACATAAAATCCCTGGTTTGGATTTGGTGTGTCGAAAAGATCTTTTTCCAGCACTACAACAATAAGTAATAAAACTCAGTTGATGCGTACATAAACAAAAGGCTTGAAGAAGCCAAAATTATTTTCAGCCTGGCTTTATTTGTAAAGCATCAAGCGTGTATCTTATCGCCGACTCAAGAATATCCCTCTACCACACTCTCATTATCACAGACAACTCACCTTTGACGTCGACATGCGGCGAATTAAAGTGCTTGTGAAAATCAGCGATTTCCTGAATGAAAATACGCACGTAGAGGAGAGAGAAAGAAACAGAACGGTCAGTTAGGCTATGTTTTTCTGACACGAACGTTATTATTGCTTGCAATTTGCATCGTTACCTTTGACAATTTAATGAGCTCTTGACAGTCCTCGCGCCTGGCCTCGCGGACGATCACGCGACTTGTTTCGTCGGACATGGTCGAAAAAACACTAACACGCGCGTCGCCGCGTCGAGTCGCCGTGCACGTAGTGCGCCCGCGCACAGACAGTCCCGACCAATTTTATTTTATATAGATACGCGCGCGGCGCGCGATATTACCACCACGCCAGCGTGGAATGTGCTAATGTAAACTAGATATAGAGATAAGATGCCTTATCCCCGGCGCGCTAGCTGCTGCACATTCGCCGCCAAACGCGCTTACGTAACGGCGAACATGGAGATTTCCGACGCACGGCAAATTTATTCGCCTTTCGGTTACATAAGAAAGTCGCTTTTTGCGACTTTCCCGCCCTCCCCTCCCCCCCATATTCCACTCGTCTTCCGCTCATCCGTCATATAAATCGGACTGTTCGCTATCTTGTTGTCGCATCGGCCGAACGTTTATCGATATCTCGCTAATTGTGGAAATGAACATAAAAAATCACTCGGTTCGAGGATTAATTATGCTTGCATTCAAAAGTCATCGCGTTTTCAAAGAAGCAATTGGACGTGTCTGGTGGACTTTGAGGGAAAACGCGCGCTTCGGCGATAAGCAGTTGACAAATGTCGGTCGCCCCGATTATCGAGCAATGAAAGTGAATGAATAACGAGCGATATATAATTTTTCAAGCTGGTTTTTTAGTTAATTCGTATAATCTGTACATATTCCACTCTTCGATCTCAGTGAGGTCAGTCGCTCCGACGGACGTGTAGAATTGGCCGTCGTTCTTCGGGTCCAGCACCCAGAAGTCGACTCGGCAGCGGTCTTCCTCGCAAGCTCTCTGAAAACAAGCCAGGGAAAACTTTAAGAGCGTCAGATAGGGCGGAGAGGCCGATCCTCGGCGAACCTTAGCCACGGCAGCCATCAAATCCACTTTCATGTCCGTCGAGTGCTCGTTTGGGGAGACGTGAAGCTCTTGGAGATACATCGCCAGGCGTTCCCACGTCGAGTACGCGCAGCAGTAGAGCGCGTAGCCAACAACTCGGCGACGCGACTCGACAACAAAGTAACCGTAGTAGTCATCGCTTGTTTTGTCGCCGATCGTTTCTGCAATTCAATGCGCAGCTTAAAACACCGCACGCTCGTCAATTTGCTTCCGACGGCGTGCACAAACTTTATAGCTTCTTACCGTCGGCACTTATGACCGATATTTCGTCCGGCTTTGGCTTCTTGTACTTTGAGATTCGGACGTTTAGAGTGACGTGCGCGTCCTTAAAAGGAAAACGAAAAACGTCGATGTCACGAGGTGAGATCGAGCGTATTGCCTCAGCGAACATTGGTCATTACCTTGGCCAGCTTTCCGATCGCACCGAGATCGTCGCTCGTCGCCTCTCGAACGACATACTCGCCGTTGCGCGAGAGCCCTGCAAAGCGCAACATTACCGATCGAGAAGAAAGGAAAAGGGCTGGCCAACTGGGGTAAAGAGTTGCATTTGCCGTCACCCACTCGATGCTAAGCTCAGCAGAGATCGGCGATCGAGGCGATACGCGTGCCAGCCTTCCGCCTCGGTTACGTTCACAGCCCCCTTAGCTTTGTAGAAGCCCTGCGCCGGATTCCAGCTCAGCACCGTGAAGTCCAGATACTGGCATCCCTCGTCGAAGGTTCTCTGCGACCAAATAGCGATAACCGAAATTGGACGTTTTGCACGGCCGAATCGTGTCGCGTCAGCGACCGCACCTTGGCCACACTGTCGAAGAGCCGGCTACCGACGTGCCTCTTGCGGAAGTCCGGGCTCACGTAGAGGTCCTCGAGGTGCACGGCCTTGCGGTCCAGCGTGGTGTACACGTTGAAGTACAGCGCGTAGCCCACGATCCTCTCCTCGCACACCGCCACCAGGCAGCCGAACTCTGGCCTCTCGCGCTCGAAGCCGTCGCTCTGCAGAGCTGCAAGAACGGGGGGAGGGCCCGGGGCGCTCGGTCAAGCGGCGGCCCGACCGCGGCCTCTCGATCGACTTACCTGCGCAATCCAGCTTCGGGCCGTTCGGCATCTCCTCGAAGTCGGCCAGCTCCTGCGAACCGAACGACTCGTCGTCACGTGTCCGGCGGCGTCCACCACGCCACACCCTCGCGGCCTGCGGATCGGTCGACCGACGCGACCCAGCCCAACCCAACCCCCACTCACCTGGATCAGCTGTCGGATCTCCGGGCAGTCCTCCCGCCTGGCCTCCCTCACCTGCACGGCTCGCTCCATGATGCGCAAGTTTAATCTGCAACGTGCCGAGATATCAGTGCCGGCCTCGCGCGCGCAGCCGCTGGCCTTGACCCCTTGTGCTTCCTCTCGAGGCGTGACGAGGCGAGTTCGAGTTCGAGATTCGAGAGCGAAACCGAGACGGAGCGACGCGCGAGAAGCCCACCATCTGAACAAGACAATAGTTGAAATTAACAAAGTGTGTCGAACACGCGCGATCACTTAATCAAAGCTCAGTTGGACTTGTTTTTTTTCCACTGATTGTTATTAAACGTTGTTATGATCATTCAAGTCCAATCGAAAATCGTAACATTTTATGCGAACTCGGATTACAGATGTCGTTTCTGGCTTCCACACGGAGTGTCGAAAAAGGCAGACCTTTGATTATGTGATTAAAAGCCTGCGACGATTTTAAATCATACTTTGCGCTGTCTTTTATTTCATGTCGTTGCCACCTCGCGTCTCGCTGCGTCGTCCGCATCTCGATCCACGCGTCTTGTTCTCGAACTCGGCTCGTCTCGCTCTCGAATAAGCGCGCGTGCAAGTGGCGCATAATTCGGTCCCCCAAGTAAGTTCCCGCACCGGCAGAAACGCAGCATCTCTCTCTCTCGGTCTCCTCTCCTTGATGCAACATGGGCGACGCGCGCGCGCAACGTATAAGTACTCTCCCGGATTGCGATGCGAGTCCCGCGAATCGACGGCACGCACGAGAATTGCGCGCGCGTTTTCCGGACGCTACTGCCGATCTAGCTGCTCGCGACAGTTAACTTGCACCTACCTCGGCGGGATCTCGATCGCGCTTATCGGATCAACGACGTCGACGGCGACGACGACGACGATGACGACGGCGTCTCGTACAATTGTGCGACCGCGCTGAGATCGATGGTCGTCGGCGCGAAATGTCAGCGCGATAAGACTGCGCCGCTCGCAGGTCGGCTATCGCCACCTTATTTTTAGATCGATCGAACGGCAGCGTTAGCGCGTTTATTTCCCTCGCGGCTCGTTTCGACACAAGTGCCGCGGTAGCTCTTTCTTTCTCTCTCGCGCTACTCGCTTTTCCTCACCGATAGCGACGTCGCGCCTCGGCAATGTCGTTCAGCGCAATAATCCGGACACATTGTATCCTTTGCGTGCGAGATCCGTCAGTGCGTGAAACGCAAACGTGACGCGGACTGCACGCGGCGCGATAAAAATTACCGAACAACGCTCGCAATTGTTTCGACGACGATTCGCCTCGCGGTCTCCGATATAATGCTGAGCGCACGTTGTACGTACGCGCGCAAGCACGTGCCGTATCTTCGTAGGACGCAAGAGAGGAGCGCCTTGTAAATTTCCACGACGCAGCAGTCCGAGCCAAGTTTCGACGCTCGCCCCCGCCGCGATCGCGCGAACACTTCGTCATCGCGCTGCATCCCGCGATCGCCATCGATCTGTTCTCGAGGAACGGCGTGCTTCGATCGCAAGCACACCTCCAGCTCGAAGCTGGCGCGAATCAGCGACGCTCTCGCGTAACCAGCGCGTCGAGTAACCGGCGGCGCAAGCGCATCTCTGTTCTCGCTCGCGATGCGCTTTGGCCCGATCGGCAGCTCGCCTCGACACCGAGTCCCGCCGCTTGGATCGCCGCGGAGACGACCTCCCGCTCGGGACGCGAGAAGGTGCGAGGTGCACCGCGTGCGGTTTCGCAACTATCCGATACCAAGTGCATCGCTCGACGGGTTCGCGCGCATTCCAAAACGCACGAATGCACCTGTATCGGCGCGCCAGCGCGCGCCATTCGTTGATTTTACGGTATCTAGCGCTTATGCGCTTTGATCGGTGATTAGGGGCTCATTCAACCGCGCTGCGAGACTGCATGACGCAGCGGTATTTTGAGGCAGAGTTTATTACGAGGAGCGAATTTTGTCGAGAGAGAGTATGTATATTTACGGTGAATCGTGCATAGCCGTATTTCGAGTCCGAACGTTAAATTAGAATTGATTCTGCCGAGACGAGTGCGCACTTTTTGATTTTTCGCGCGTTTCGTCAAAACAGAGACCTCTATACGCGCAACAGCGGCGTCTCCTCTCCCCTTCCTCTTTCCCCCGCCCAATGGTCGCCCGCAACGCGACAGCGAGCGCCATCGGCACTCGCGGCAGCCATATTGTCGGGTTTCAGTCGCAGTCGTGTGAGTGTTTTCGTCTCGTTCGTCGTCGGGCATACGTATCTATCTATACACATCGCGTCGCGCGGTTCACCGCGTAGAAATACGTCGTCGGATTTGCGCCAATTCGTAAAAACAAAAATACCGTCTTCCCAAACGAAACCCTCGACGCAAGAAAGCAAGAGACAAGCGATAGCAAGTCAAAAGAAGAGTCAAAAACGACGATGGCGGACGTCGAGGAAAAAGTTAACATGTCACTCGGTAAGTGGACGACGCCAGCAGCAAGGATAATAAAGAGGAGAATGGATAGAAAGCCTCCGTGATCATCAGTGAGCGTACGGCTGCATTTAGATTAAAAAAAATCTGTGCCCCTATTATTCTTGTGTGTTTCTGTGTATCGGTGTGATGATGATCGTCGTCGGGTTTATCGTGAAGGAAAAAGTATATTTCTCGTCAAAGATGGCGTCGGGTCGTCGTCGTCGTCGTCGTCGTCGTCGCCGCCGCTGCCGCCGCCGCCGCCGCCGTCGTCATCGCCGTCGTCGCCGCCGCCGGGATTCGCAATCTATCGTCGCCGGTCGTTTCGCGTTTTCTAACTATAACTACCACTACTACTACTACTACTACTACTACTACTACCACTACTACTACTACTATCACGTAAAAAATGCCCTCCAACAGCGAGTAACAAATGTATATATGCACCGTGTTATGGCCATACGAAAGAAAGAAATAAAAAAAGAGCATGCACTTACACGATTATATATGCAGGGTCTGAGTCATACGCTAAGAACTTGAGCACTTAACCTTTGTTCCTCTTTGCGTTTTTTCCTGGTTAAAATGTATAAAAGTATCACAGAGCGAAAGCGTGCAGTTCGATTCACCAGAAATTGTACAACCTTTAGAACAGATGTAAGGCACGGATTGGAGCGCTAGACTATGGATTTTTTCTTATCCACACCGTTCGCCTAATATGGAAGTCGCCGGCTCACAGGAAGAAAGCGCCGTGCTCTCGTCATTCCAATGCACAGATTTTGTGGAGAGCCACCGGTGGATAATATTGGAATTAAATTGACAACTCTGTGTATGACGATGGTATTATTAATCTTTGTCAAAATGTCAATTATAATTCTCGTTGTAAAACAGAAACGAAATTTTTTACACACACTTATGCACTCCTGATGAATTATTTTAACATCAATTGTTTTGCGCGATTTGGTTCTTCACAGCAGAATAATCTTGGATTTCAAAATATTATTATCAAGAATAAACATGGTATTCCCACCTATGAATGAGAATTATATATAAAGTTATTCTCAAGAGGTGCAGTTCACAGATTGATCATCTGTACATGATCTAGTATTTCATACAATTGTGCAGTATTACAAAGTATGGAAGAGAGAAGTTAATTAAAGGAAAAGATATTTATTTAGTCAAAATAAGCTATACTTTTATTTTGGATAACATTAGCTATACCTCAAGCACATTTATTTTATATATTTTACAGTCTATACATACATGCTATGTTTAGCATTAGTATTTGGATATATTTTTTTCAATTTCTTAACATACATTTTTCAAACCTATTAGTTTTTGTTAAAGCAATCTGAAACAGAATATTCAGTTATTGCAGTTTTATCGCTTATAATTTTCAACAAAAATTTATAAAGTTTTTATGGAAGTTTATTTATATTAGAAAAGATAGATATTCAGTAATACTTTTATTACCATATTAGAAGAGAATACAGCAAAACAACATCTACAAATTTTATCATGGAAACACTATATTGGAATTATTGCATCAGATGGAATTCCAGTCAGTATAATCAACATAGTCATAGTCATGGGCATTGGATATAGTGATTGAGAAGAAGAAACAGAAGAAAAATCAAAGTATTTACGCTAACACAATTGTCCCTTGATTGATAGTGTTGGTAGTCACTTGGTCCATGATATAAATGTTTTTAGTGATGAATATCCTTGAGTCAAAAACCTGAGTTCCTTAGTAATATTCTGTTGATAAAAACCAATCAACAATTCAGAATATGGAACTCATGGTATTAACTGTCTTATGAAAAGCAAATGAATTTTAAAATTCATGATTCAATTTATAAGAACCAGGAAAACTCAATGACAGAGAAACATTAAATAGACCCTTTTTCAAGTAAATATGAGAGCATGCTCTGTAGATACCATTTATTTTCAGTTCAGATGAATTAATTTTATGTTGTGCATAATGCTTCGAGTAAAAAAATATAAAAAAATAAAAAAAATAACATACCAAATAAAACTAAATAATATATCAAACCAAAAACTCGCTGTTGAGGCCGTACGCTCACTCTTCACCCAACATTTTCTCCCTTTTAAGATGACATCATAAAAATGGAAAAGAAGAAGAAGATCAATGCAAAAACAAAACGTGGCGGAGGGCCAGGTGGTCCAGGTGGTGCTCAAAGAGGTCGCCGTGGAAGAAGCGCCTCTAGAGTCAACATGCGTGGAAGGGGTAACATGCAAAGAACCAGAAGCAGAAGTCGGAGCAGGGTTAGACAGAATGGCAACCAGACATTCAGTGGCAAACGTGGCCAATGGAATAGATTTCCGCACAATCGTGGAGGTCAAAATAGAAGATTTAACAACCAAAATTATTCAAATTTAACAAGGTCTCGAAGCAACATGTCTCTGAACAGAATGAATATGAATAATCAAAGAGGCAACAGAGGTGGATTTGGACCTCGAAGAGGTGGTAGATTTGGTGGTATGACACGCAGTAGAAGTCGTACAAATTTGTCCTACAATAAACCAACTTTCTTGGCTAACAAACGTGGAGGTTTCTTAAAGAGAACCAGCAGTATGCCAAACTTGTCAGATCCATCATCAGTTTATAACAGACTTGGCTACCAAAGCCCAGCACAGATTGCTTACAGAAATAGAGTTAAGCGAGCCAAGAGTGTACTTTTACAAAAAAACAAAGTCATGAGAATGGCTAATGCTTTAATGGTATGAATTTTAAATTGCTCTTAAAAACTTATATAATTTTCTATTAGAGTTGATGGCAATCAGTGGAACAGATAGGGAACAAAAATCAAACTTGAACTTTTCAGCTTACACCTCCTAGAAACAATCTATCACCCAAACAACCTGTTCGACGTAACAGCATTGGATCTTTGCATTCTGATCAACTCATGCGAGCACAAAGACGATCCCAATATGAGGATAAACTTTACAGAGCAAGGTAAATCAAGTTTGTAAAAATAACTAATTTTTGCTTTTCTACTGATCTTGACCTGTATGTTTTTTCAGTAATGCACGCGTGAATTCAGCAGCTATGAATTTTTACAACTCCATGAATGCCGCCACTTATGCACCAATGCGACAACACCCCGCAATGGCCCTCTACCCATCCACTATCCAGAACAACAGCATTGGAATTACTCAACGCCAGATGCAGCGACGAGGGAGATCACCTTTTAGAAAGAACTTGCAACCTGTTAAGCAGGTATTAAAATTTAATTAATTCTTTAACGGTTTTAGAGAAAACAGAAATAGCACTGCATTTTTAGTCATCACATTGCAAAATGATGCTTTCTGATTAGAGCAATTTTTTATTTTTTCAAATTACATAATTATGCTAATTTTATGTTACATTATTATTTATTTAAAGAAATGTATAAAAAAATGTAATATATACATTTCATCTAAATGTTATTTACTGAGTTAAATATTTAAATGTATAGCGATGTATTAAAAGTAAACTGTGAAAGTCGATATTTATTTCTAATTTTTTGTCGTTTATTAATATATTATAAAAAAAATTTAGGAACCTGGTTTTCAGCGGAGTCGTTCAGCAAGACGCAACAGGTCACGTTCGAGGTCAAGATCAAGACCAGCACCAAGTCGTCGAAACAGCGTGATGAACCTGATGGACAATGATTATGAGGATCGCAGCTTCAGTGAAGTCATGTACAGCTTGTCTAACAACTTTGGTATTACTGGGCGAACTCTCAATGACCGATTCAGCTTCTAGGAAGAAGACCTAGATAAATTGTTAGGGCTGGATTTATAATCCTTTTTACTTTAAACTATTGTCAAAGTATATCTTTTTATCTTATATATTTTTTACATAATTTACCTTCGTACTTTCGCTTATATCTTACTGTAGATTTAGAAATATTTAATTATAGAAAATAGAACCGCGCAATAAGGTCTATTATTATTTTTTTATTGTCGATTACACATTTTTCCTCTATGCAATGGTGATTATTTTCAGCCCTAATAACAAAATTTTCTCATGCGATTTTTCGGAACTCCTATAATTTTCATATTTTCCTCTCATTTTTTATAATTTTCTTTGAATTTCTCTAATTAATAGAAAAAAAGCCTGCGTTTTTATTGACGTAAAAGATATAATAAAAATTGAGAGACTGTAAAGTATGAAAGGCAATTGGATCCTTTAATGTATAGCATGTAAGCAATGTGACTTTGTTACTCGAGCGACGAGTATACTTAAAAGCAAAGTTCAAATGTATGAATTCTACGAGTGAATTAATGCAAAGCACTTTACTTCAAAAGCTAATTTAGTTTAAAAAGAAAAGATAACAGTTTTGTTAACACGAGTTGTGATATGTCAAGTACGATTATTCAACAATCTCCTTGGTTATGTGCATTTAGATCTCTCATTTAATCTGCGCAACCAATTGTAGCTATGTATCTTCTTGTTTTCTCTTTGTTTGTATTATCTCAGTAATAGGAAAACAAAATAAGCAACCAATGGTACCTTGGAAAAAATGTATGTAAAAATTTCTGTAAAACCATGCCAATTCATGAAGTAATAATAAACATGAACAAATACAGAAAGAGCTCTGTAATCGAAAAAGACAAATGACTTTTCATGATTTCTACATGACCTCTTCATTGGTGGCACGCGTTCGTAATATCTGGGAAACGTATACGTAGTAGATAAAGCGCGCGTCGGGCTACTAGTCGAGCGCCGCAGAACTTGCGTGCGTGCTGTCAGTTTTATCGGAACAGTCCGCGACCGCGTGTCGATTGTACTTCTCTCAAACCCGCTCTTTCGCTGGCGAAAACAAAACACGGATACCCTTGGGAGGCCAAAGCTGCTGCTCTGCACACGCGCGAAACAATAAAATTTTGTAGTTCCGTTCAGTGATGAGAAATTACTAGTGTGAATTCAAGATGTTGAAAAATTTGGTGAGATTTAGCGTGCGAGAGAGCCCATTAAAAGTGAGTATGCCAATTGCAACGTTCCGCTTTTTTAAGGTGCGCGGCGAGTTTCCAATGTCATGCGACGCGTTTAATTTAGATTCTTGTTATGACTTCCGGAAATAGCAGTAAAACCGTTAGAACGTAAGCATTTAATTGCGATGTAAAATTAGTTGACAGGTTTTTTATTCTTAGGTTAGCGAAGAACTTTGTTTATGTACGCGTCAAATTTGGAAACAAAGACATCTGGCTTTCGTTTTAAAAATGTATTTTTAGAATTGCGATAGAAACACTCGAGCCATCTTTAATAATACCGTCCGCTAATCCATAGCTATTAGTGTTATCGAAAACATTGTTTAAACGAAATTCTTTCGAAACTTTTCCGCCTAACTAGAATTCAACATCCAGATACTATCGAGAGTCCATTCGTATGAAGTTCGCGTTTCATTCACGCTACTGGATAATTATAACGCGGCACTTTTCATATGGTACAGAATAATTTACGACGTGCGAGCAATTGCCGAGTGATTTACCGAAAGACAACAAATAATGACTTATCGAACGACACTATCTGAAAAAAGTAAAAAGCGAAAACTCGCAGTCACTGGTAGCAAGGCCGTCGACACGCAATGGCGAACAGCGTCGCTTCCTCAACATTCACGAGAACCAAGCGTACACGCTGCTCAAGTCGGCGGGCATCCCCACGCCGCCTTTCGGAGTTGCAAAAACTGCCGACGAAGCGTTCGAGATAGCCAAGAAGCTCGATTCCAAAGATCTCGTACTGAAGGCACAGGTTTTGGCTGGTGGCAGAGGGAAAGGGCACTTTATCGGCAGCAACGTCAGTGGCGTTGTGATGTGCGGCACGTAAGTTTCGATTTTCTTAGCTGAAGATTTGCGTTTATCTTGCAATCGAGGATTCTGGCGTGTCGCGGACTAACACCAAACAATGCTTATCCCGAATGTTCATAGATTTCGCTTTAAGTAACAATAATAACGATTCACATCTCCGGATGATCGTCAGGTGATAAAAGTCGATTCGAGTAATATTATGTTTACGTCACGAGCGGCTCGGTATATATCTCTCTTGTCGAGTCTCAGCGGCAGACATCTCGTTGCGTTTGCAATAGCCAAAGTTCACTCCGGCGGATGCGTACCAAAGTTCAGCGAGTCCGATAACGTTTTTAAAAAGTGCAGCCTGTCTGTACGCTCAGCGGGTTTCCTCGTCTATCCGATAAAACGAAAAGAAAACAAACCGTCTGGCTTTGGCAATCCGACGATTGGCGTTTCGATCGGGCAGCGTGCTTTTATCGCGTCCCACGAATGCCGAGACACGACGTTGTGCGAGAGAAGCACGTGCTGCCAAATCGACGATTCGGCTGCATGATTTACGCCAGATAGGAAATTGATACGAAGACTTGTTTGTTGCGCTGCAACAACTCGCGAGAGCCTCGGTATCTCGCTACTGTCATCTTTCTTATCAAATTTGCCTGTCTTAATATTCACCAGATGTAGATTAATATTGTACATTGAGTCGAAGCTAAGAGCTTTTTCTTTACTGTCCTTGACTAATATCACACCGTAAGACCAAGAGATAAATCATTTGATGTTATTTGCGTCGAAAGGCCGGAAGAGGCGAAAGATTTGGCGAGCAAAATGATCGGCAAGAAGCTGGTAACGAAGCAAACCGGAGAAGCCGGCAGGATTTGCAACTCGGTAATGGTGACGACGCGCATGTTCACGCGCAAAGAGCTTTATCTGTCCGTGATGATGGAGCGCAGCTTCGACGTAAGTCCACGCAACGATTGTACATTTTCACGTCGCCACGCAAGGAAAACTCGCACGAGTCTCGGGGACGAATGCTCACCGGGCGTCTTTTCCCCAGGGCGCGGTAATAATAGCATCGAGCGAGGGTGGAGTGAACATCGAGGACATCGCGGCTACGAAGCCGGAAGCCATCAGCTACACGCCCGTGGACGTGCGCAAGGGCTTGTCGTGCGAGCAGGCCGACGCGATTTCCTGCGGTCTGGGCGTCGAAGACCCAACTGTGGTCTCCACGATCGTTTGCAATCTCTACGAGCTCTTCATTCAGAAGGACGCTCTCCTGCTGGAGATCAACCCCCTCGTACAGGACTTGTGCGGACAATGTGAGTCCGCGGTAGGAAGGCACGCGACCCCGTCGACGCACGTGAAACCGCCGCTCTCGCGTTTCAGACTTCGCGCTCGACTGCAAGTGCAACTTCGACGACAGCGCGAGCTTTCGGCAGAAGGAGCTTTACGCGCTGCAGGATTGGAGCCAGAAAAACCCCAACGAGGTGAAGGCCGACAAAATTGGTTTGAACTATATCCCTCTCGACGGCAACATTGGGTGTATGGTTAACGGTGCGGGTCTGGCCATGGCGACGATGGACATTATCAAGTTGTATGGCGGAGAGCCGGCTAACTTTCTCGACGTTGGCGGTGGGGCGAAAGTCGAGACTGTTACCGAAGCTTTCAAAATTATCTCGTCGGATCCCCATGTAAGGAAGCTCAAAGCTGAATGTTGCGTTGGCGGTTTGTAACCAGTTGTTTTTATCGACAGGTGGAATCTATTTTCGTCAACATCTTCGGTGGTATCATTCGGTGCGACATTATAGCTGAAGGCATCATCGCAGCTTTCAAGGACTTGAAACTCAACATTCCCGTAGTTGCTCGACTCCAAGTATGCCCATTACGCTCGTTCGTTCATTTTGACGACAGATTAACTGAAAGCTTGAACGATCGATTATAGGGTACTAACGCCGACAAAGGTAAGCAGCTGATACGCGACGCCAAATTAAAGATCATCCCAATCGATGACATGGCTGAAGCAGCAGAGGCATGTGTCTCCGTAGCGGATATCTGCCGACTAGCTCGAAATCTCAATCTCGACATCGAGCTCACACCTAAGGCACCACCTAAGAAATGTTAAATTTCAGTGTGACGTATGTATGCGAACAGACTCAAGTATAAATTCTTGTTTTCTTTTTTTTTTCTGTTTTTTTTTTGTTGTTGTTTTTTTGTATGTTGCACCTTTTATTCTATTAATTAATTACGCGTCTATGTGCTGTAATACGTGAAACGACTGTGTGTGTTCAAGAGTACGATATTGGTGAAACTTTTTAAGAAACTTTTTTTAAGTTTATATTTTATTTTGGAATAAATAACTTTAAAATATATAGGTTTGGGAATGATCCTTTTTTAATAATTAAAACCTTGTTGTTCATGAAAAATGCTCAACAAAACTAAATTTTGGTTCGCTTATTCAAACTTAACTTTCACAAATTTTTGCTAACTTGGCAATCCAGATATTTATTAATTACACTTCAATGTTAATCACTCGCAAAGTTATAACAAGTCGAAACGAGTCAGCGCTGTTGATAGAAAGCTCTATTTTCAATATTAGAAACGAAACAAAGCAAAAAGATAATCGAGGAGCATTAAACGCGTTTGTAGAACAGCTGAGCGGATGACATTGTCCACGGCGCGCGACAATGCTGTAAGCACGAGGAGAGCGCGTGCTTGGCTTCTTCCTTCTTCCGTGAGTGCATTCTTACGAGTCGGTAGGTGGGGGCGAAACACTCGCGCCAGAGCCAAATGTTAGCTTGACCGCGTGTTACCGTCAGCTTTGCAATCGAGCGAATTTCAAAAGCAGTTTTATCAATAAACGAACAATTTGATTATCGCTATCGCTCTAATTGATTTGTTTCTACTTTTTTGTAATAACTTGCTGTCGGAACGATTAAAACTTAGCGAATCAGCTGTGCGATACTGCCGGGCTTTCAAGAGATTTCCAGCCGATTAATCTTGCTGCAGATAAATTTATGTTACGGCAGTTTAACAAAGTCAAAATGCGTTGAGATGCTTTTGCTCAATCTAGATAAGATCTTTCATCATCGGCATTCTCATTGACATCTCCATTGATGCCTCGTTATCGCAATTTTCGCAAATTAATCGTCCTGTGTAATTCAATTTTCGAACTTATAAAAGAGATATGTTATTTAAGCAAAGATTACACTTGAGAAAACCAATCTGCAGTGCGCGCGTCGCAGAATCATCAATATTATACACGGCCGGCTTAAGGATACCGGTTTGCCTGACAATTTATCTTCACGCGAGACCGGTAGAACCACTTGCGCTTTTTGTTTTGTTTTCGAAACGCTGTAGTAAGTTTAAATTTAAACTTCAACTTGTTAGATCATTTTTTTTATATTGACACTTTGTTAGAGAATCAACTACTGTAATTATTGTTTCTATTAAAAAACGTTTCATATGAAATGGAAATCTTATCGCTCGTGTTGGAATTGTGAGAACTGTTTTGATAAATATACACGGTAATAAGACACATGCCATTTAAAAGTTACACCGTCAGAAGTAAATGGTGATCAATTTTGGTGCTTTTTTATTTACGCGTATAATAACTATATATTCTTAACAGCTGATTTCATTAATTCGAAAGCTCACTATGAGCTTTCTTTAAAAATTTAATTTGATTATTTATTATTATATTCGCTGGTCCAATTAATAATTTTTGAAATTGATCATTTAATTTCCAATGTATTTCGATATTCAGTGGTAATTTATTAAAAAAAAATGAAAAAAGAAACTAACAAAAAACCATTGTGCGCTAAAAAAGAAAGAAAAAGTGACGGCGTAACAGGGACGGTCAGCACAGAGCACGGCTGTGTGCGCAGGTGAGGCAAGCGAGCTAACTGCACGGTCGTGCTGACTCACACGCGCACACACGAACGAGGACGGAGCCAACACATCAGCTGGCTTCTCTTCGTACCGAAAGCCAAAGTGGTGCTGGCAGTGGCGCAGAGTAGCGGAGGATAGAATCGAGAGCAGCAGCAGCAGCGCACACAAAGTCAGAGTAGCAGCCAAAGATGGCCACCATGTTGTCGCGAACTATTAGCCTCGCCGAGTCGCTTGGACGTCTTAATGGCACCAAGGTGAGTCCAGTTAAGCGTTTCGAGCATTCTTCGCAATGCTACGTGCAACGATAGCAAAGAAACCAGCAGCCGAGGAAAATGACGACGATGGAAAAGGGCGCGACGACATTAACGCTCCGTGTCTGTGTGTCGCACGCACACGCGCGCGCGAACGTGTCGGGCTCTCGCGTAGTCTGCTAAATTGAGCGCCAGGGTCACCGTCGAGTTTTACGCCTCGCGCTCTTTTGTAACGACGATGGCATGGATTTTTTTTTACGTAAACTGAAAAGAAAGCAACTGATACAAGATACGCGCGAGCGTTCCTCTACGTCGTATTGCTGGCAATTTTCATTGATCGAGCTGGTCGAGATTTACGCGACTGCGGCTCGCGCGGAAGATGGGCGGGATTTTGAAACGGCAAGGTGGTCGCGAGCGCTCATTTTTTCTTCTTCTCCTTCTATTTTTTGGTCTTCTCGGGATCGACGCCGCTGATTCGGTCGCGGCCCTGCGGCCAAATCGACGTGCGATGCCTCCGAGGGCACGTCCACCCGCGATTCGTATCGATTCGTCTGGATTTTTATTCATGAATCGCCGAACAAGTACGCATTGATTGCGTCACGTCACGTTGGACTTTGCACCGCGGAAGTGGAAAGCGAGCCGTTCCTCGCTCGAAACGAGCCGAAGAATTCGCAATGACATTGCGGCTGATTTGCCGGCACGAAGGTCAAGCGTGGAATAATCGGCTGACTTTTTTTCGCTTCCGCGCGACTGCACGGAAAACCGCTTTTATTTTAATCGCGAGGCGAGCTCCGCGTTGCATTATCAAAACACTCGCGGCGGCCGACGTTGCCAAGTCCGCGCGACGGCGACGCGAAAACGAGCATCAGGTGTAGGTCATACCGTTGATCCGCGGTCGGATTTCGTCGGCCGCTATCGACCCTATCGATAAGACTTGCGTCGCTCAGATGTTGGCGTGCGCGAGCTTGAGCAAGCAGCCGACGAGGAATCTCAATGTGCACGAGCACATCAGCTACAGTCTGCTGAACGAGCACGGTATACCGACGCCCAAGTTCGGCATTGCCAAGACTGCCGATGAGGCTGCCAAGCTCGCCCGGGACTTGAATACCAAGGACATCGTGCTGAAGGCCCAAGTGCTCGCCGGCGGACGTGGCAAGGGCCATTTCAAGGGCACCAATGTCAGCGGCGTCAAGATGTGCGAGACGTAAGTTCAGCGGTCTTCTCACCTGAGCTTTATGCGCTTCTAAAATTATCTAATCGTCGACTCGAAGACAACTAACAATCGAACTGTGATTTCCAGGCCGGAAGAGGCGAAGCAGCTGGCAGCTCAGATGCTTGGCAAATTGTTGGTGACGAAGCAGACGGGTGAAGGCGGCAGGATATGCAATGCGGTGATGGTCACGCAGAGGATGTTCCCACGCAAAGAGTACTATCTAGCCGTGATGATGGAGCGCGCGTTTGGCGGTCCGGTGATCATCGCCTCGAGCCAAGGCGGCGTCAACATCGAGGAGGTCGCGGCGTCGAATCCACAGGCCATCATGTACGAGCCTATCGACATTAACAAGGGCATCACGAAAGAGCAAGCTCAGAGGATCGTCGCCAAACTGGGTCTGGATAACGTCAAGGATTACATCACCGAGCTGATACTCAACATGTACAATCTGTTCGTGAAGAAAGACGCGCTGCTCATCGAGGTCAATCCTCTCGCCGAGGACATCAATGGCCAATGTATTTATCGCTTGATTTTTTCTTTTTTTTCAACTAACTTTTTCACTCGCTTCGCCGGATAACCAAATACTTTCACTCGTAGACTTTGCGCTGGACGCTAAATGTAGGTTCGACGACAACGCCGAGTTCCGTCAGAAAGATCTGTTCAATCTTCGTGACTGGACGCAAGAAGATCCCAAAGAAGTGGAAGCTGCCAAATTTGAATTGAATTACATTGCTCTCGACGGAAATATCGGTTGTATGGTTAATGGTGCTGGACTTGCCATGGCTACTATGGACATCATTAAATTGCACGGAGGTGAACCCGCAAACTTTCTTGACGTTGGTGGTGGTGCTACTGCTCAGGCTGTCAAAGAGGCTTTCAAAATCATCACTTCTGATCCGAGGGTATGTTAATGTTTATTTTAATTCTTTATTTCACTTCATTCACCAGATTTTTCATGATATTTTTACTTTCAGGTTCACGCACTATTAGTTAACATTTTCGGAGGTATCATGAGGTGCGACGTTATTGCCGAAGGTATCATTGCGGCGACAAAAGAACTTGATCTCAAAATACCTGTTGTTGTTAGACTACAGGTATATAATTGTATTTTTATATCTCTTTTTAGCGCTTTATTCGGATAATATACTAATAATATTTTTTTTCTTACTCAGGGAACCAACGTCGATGAGGCCAAAGCTCTAATTGCCACTGCAGGTCTGAAAATCGTCCCTGTCGACGATTTGGACGAAGCGGCTAGAATTGCAGTAAAACTTTCCTCCATTATGAAGCTCGCTCAGTCGGCGAAAATCAGCGTCAACTTTGAAATTCCTCAGATCTCCTAAGCTACTCTCTAGTTGAAAATTTGGATGAAGCGTTTTTAAGAAAAATATAATAGAAAATCGGTGGTAACTAACATGGAAAGAATATGTGATGCGATGACTTTTGTTTCAAAGAGTCTTGCAACTATTCGACCCGAGAAACAATGTAAATGAGTTGTGCGTAATTCGAACCGTTTTCGATACATACGTACAATTACAAAGTAACTATTGGTGATCACGCGTAATTACGTGGTATTTGTTCATTTTTTTAAATAATTCCACGTGTTTGAATACGATTGCAAATTGCATTTTGGCTGTGCGCAATCGACTTCAAAGAATATGCATAGCTCATAGTGATTCTATATCTCGGGTTTTATTGTTCCAGATGACCGTATGTTTGAACGCGTTTCTATTGAAAGTCTTTTTGGTGCTCTCCGCACCATAATCTTACGAGGCATCAACCTGCCATAAGTTGAATATCGACTATTTATTAATTTTAAAAATGATTATTTGCGAGCCATTGAATAGACACTGCTTTCAGTACATTTTCCTTTCTTCCTATAATTTCAATTGCCGAATGGTTAAAGATGAAAAATAATTTTAATGGAATGCAAAAAATGTTGCCGTATTATTTTATTTTTTAAGTAATTTATTTTTAATTCGGCCTTTACATTTTATTTATTTTCCACCGGAATGGAGTTACATATGCGCTTCAGTATTACAAACTGTAAAACTAACCGCTTGCATAATTATGAGTCTTCTAAATGCTACTTGTATAGGAATCTCATATTGCAAAGGTGTTAACATCAAAAAGGGTGACGAGAAGCAATGTAATCATAAAAAATATATTACTGCGTTTCTGTGAACCTATCTAATGTAATATAATATACATAGTTATATACATAAATTATTTTACATACATTTCAGTTTTGTTCTTATTTTGCATACATTTATACACACGCCATGCAATGCACTATTTACTTTCTCCAACGAACAATGCAATATAACTGTTTATCAGTAAATTTTCGCGGATTGAAAATTGCGAAAATTCCCTGTCCTGAATGTGTAAATATATAATTTATGAATAATGAAAATTATTTATCAAAAATGCAGACTTGTTATTTATATTACACTGCACGTTCAGTATCCTTATCATTTTAATTCTTTTAAAATACAATTTACTCTGTTACTTATAATGGTTTTTCTTTTTATCTGTATATAAACATTTTCAACTTCTACATGTGAAAGTTCAAGCTATGTCTTACCTGTAATAATATACTAACATAATAATAATAAATTTAAAAAACTGAAATAATAAAGAAATAAAGTGATCGAGAATATTGTAGAAGTATTTTTGTTGCAGAAATCAAATATTCCAAAAAATAAACATATCAGTGTTATGACACTTTTATGCAAGGAACTCGTGCAAATGGAAAACTTGCAAATTCAAAATTGCGCGCTCACATTCCACCTCGAAGTCCATAAATTTCAGTCTATAAGATTAAAACAGAAGTGTTCTTAAATAAGTACGTTTCCATCGAAGGCAAATATTAATCTATCAATAAATCTTAATAACGATAGTCAGTACCTCATGCGCAGAAATTACCCCTCGAGCAAGTTACAGCACAGTTCACAAATGCCCTTTTATCGCCATTATATGCACATCCAATATATACATATACTATACCTACACGCATACATACACATACGTAGAAATCCGTACCGCTACGATCGAGATCCGTTTTTGTGCGGATGATGGAAATGTCGTCGGCGAATCGCAGCTTGTAAGGACGCTCAAAGTGTTTCTGTACTAACTGAGGAATCCTGTTTCTCGGCAATTTTATAAGAGTTTTGATTTGAGAGAAGCTCAAAGTTGAATAACTGCCGGCCAACAACAATTTTCTTACAGTATCTTTGAGGGTCTGCCGGCAAACAAAGAAAACCGCAAAAATGGCTAGCGTTTCCTATCAAATTGCCAGTCTTCTTGAGAAGGTAAATTTTCGACCATTTTTATTGTTTAAATGTGATGTTTGCTTTGGATGATGAAATTTTGTCTAGATCAAAAAATTTTGTTAAACAGTTGTAGGATTTTATTGGAAAACCTAACCTCTCCGCCCCGAATCACTTAGTTGTACGAATTATTTCTTTTCGTTTTTGAGAGTTTAAGAGTTTCCGACGTTATATAAATCATTTAAGTATTATTTAAAAATTAAATTTTCTGTTCATTGACCACTTGTATTATGAGCAGCAAATTTTTGCATTGTTTTGCTTATCAGTCAAGAGGTTGTATTTTTAAAAGACGAAATACACCTTCTAGATCAACGGAAATAACTTCGCTAGAAACGGTTTCATTTCTTTTATTTCTTTGTAAAGCACTTTTGAAATAAGAATCAGTCATATTCAGATTTCTTTTCTATTCTATTTTCTATTCTACTATAATTGAAATTTGGAAATATCAAATCCTTGATAGTTTATAGTTTTCAATAATCTGAAAACAAAAATACAACATAAAGAACAAGTTCTGCCTAATGGTTGAGTGTATAAAATTGTATCATTAAAAAAGATGAAAATACTTTTCTTTCTGTTTTGTGGAAGAAACTATAACACATTGATTAGGTCATTTATTACTATTGAATAATATAATCAATTAGTAAATTAGTGCTTAAATGACTATATTCTGGTCAATATCCATAATTCATTTATGTATTGATTTACAGTTTTTTCCATATTAATTAAGTACAAACTTATTAATAAATATTCTTATCTATGATTTATAGATGACATCCAGTGACAAAGACTTCAGATTCATGGCAACAAATGATTTAATGACAGAGTTACAGAAAGATAATATAAAGTTAGATGATGATTCTGAACGTAAGGTTGTTAAGATGCTTTTAAAACTTTTGGAAGACAAGAATGGGGAAGTACAAAATCTTGCTGTGAAGTGGTAATTATTTGTTTTATTTAATCCTTGCAGTAAATGCTCAAAATAACAATAAAATTAGATGTAATCACTTTTAATTTATTATAGTTTAGGACCTCTGGTGAATAAAGTAAAAGAGTTTCAAGTAGAAACAATTGTAGATACCCTATGCAGCAATATGGTTTCTGACAAAGAACAACTTAGAGATATCTCAAGTATTGGTTTGAAGACTGTAATTGCTGAACTTTCTTTTAGCTCAACTGCTCTTGCTGCTAATGTTTGCAAAAGAATCACTGGTAGATTGAGTACGGCAATCGAGAAGGTACTTTATTCTTTTATCAAATGCAAATAGAGAATCTGATTTAATTTAGAAATTTACTGATTTTTATATATTTTGTAGCAAGAAGATGTGCCTGTACAGCTTGAATCTTTAGACATCATTGCAGATTTACTTTCACGTTTTGGTTCACTATTGGTATCATTCCACACTCAGATACTAAATTCTTTACTGCCGCAACTTGCATCACCAAGACAAGCTGTTCGCAAGAGAACCATAGTTGCTCTGAGCCATCTTATGACATCGAGCAGCAGTACACTGTATACGAAATTGCTAGATCATCTTCTAGAGGGACTCACGAAAAATAAAGTTAACAATCTTGTCCGCACTTACATTCAATGCATTGCTTCTATTTGGTACAAATACATTGAAAACACAATTAATTTAGTATTATTAGAGTTTGTAATAATAAAATTTTTCATTTTAACAGTCGACAAGCGGGACATAGATTTGGAGAGCAAATTGAAAGGGTCATGCCACTAATTACTTTGTATAGCAAAGAAGAAGACGATGAATTGACGGAATACTGCTTGCAAGCTTTTGAAGCATTTGTTTACAGATGTCCAAAAGAAATTACTCCTCATATCAACAAGGTAAACCATTTAATTCTCGTCCATCGGTTCAATCGCGCGTAGAAATATTTTTAATTAAAATTTTCTTTGTAGATTCTCGAAATTTGCTTGATGTACATAACGTACGATCCAAACTACAACTACGACGATGATGCAGGAGATATGTCGGATGGTGAAAATGCCGTAATGGAAACAGAAGAAGATAATGATGAAGATGCCGAGGATGAATATTCAGATGACGATGATATGAGCTGGAAGGTTCGTCGTGCAGCTACCAAGTGTCTTGAAGCTATTATTGCCAGTAGAAGAGAATTACTTGTGGAGATTTACAAGGTTGTCTCACCAGCTCTCATCAATAGATTCAAAGGTAACAAAAAATTAAATTAATAACTAATGATTTATTTTTATATCTAATGTTATTTTGATTATAGCTAGTTTTCATTTCATTGTTAAAAAATTTTAATAACCTAAAGTATTAGCCCGTAATCCTATTTGAAATGCATACTGTCAAATTATTTGCTACGAAAATTTATAACGATTACTAATTTAAAAAAATATAGCAATATTTACGATGAAGATTTATTATACTCATACTTAAAAAATATTTAAAATATTTAATTTTTCATTATCTCATCGCATTTAAGACACAAGGCATCTGTCAATTTTGATGCGGAAAATTAGTCACCAAAGCATAATATTTTTTTGGACAATCAATATTTTTTAAATATATCATTGTTAGAAAATATCTGTAAACTTTTTGAAATTCTAAAAGACTTATTATAATTTTCAGAGCGAGAGGAAAACGTCAAGTCCGACATCTTCCATGCTTATATAACACTTCTCCGTCAAACGAAGCCAACCATTGCACTGGATCCAGACTCAATGGAAGACAGCGAATGTCCAATTGCCCTTTTACAACAGCAAATTCCGGTGATCGTCAAAGCAGTACACCGTCAGATGAAGGAAAAAAGCATCAAGACTCGCCAAGATTGTCTTTCATTACTAAAGGAACTTGTGCTCGTGTTACCTGGTGCATTGACTAACCACATACCAGCACTGATTCCAGGAATCCAATATTCGTTGGGAGAGAAGAATTCGTCGAGCAACATGAAGATCGACACTCTGGCATTTGTGCATACGTTGCTATCCACACATCAACCTGAAGTATTCCATCCACATCTAGCGGTATTGGCACCACCCATCATCCTAGCCGTCAGTGATCCTTTCTACAAAATCACTGCTGAAGCATTGCTCGTACTTCAGCAACTTGTCCAAGTCATCAGACCTCACGGTAATTATTTTACGTTTTCTTTTATAATTTTTCACAATTTACTAGAATAATATTTTAACAATTACTCGTGCTTTAGATAAACCGTGTCTCTTTGATTTCACGGCACTATCCAATGAGCTGTACTGGGCAACCTTATCTCGTCTAAAGACTGCGGACATCGACCAAGAAGTGAAGGAACGAGCAATTGCCTGTATGGGCCAGATAGTCGCTCATCTTGGTGATACTATGCACACCCAACTTCCTACGTGCCTACCAATATTTCTCGATAGACTGCGCAATGAAATCACTCGTCTCACCACCGTCAAAGTATCTATTCAACCGTTTATATCGTTAGACTTTCTTTCATATATAGTCTACAAATGAAATTAATCGAAATTGTTCCACTGTAGGCTTTGACGTGCATCGCAGCTTCGCCCTTACGCATCGACCTGCAGCCAATCCTTCATGAAGCGATTCCGATTCTCGGTTCTTTTCTTCGCAAGAACCAACGCGCATTAAAGCTCAGCTCTTTGGTTCTTCTTGACACTCTTCTTCGCAATTACTGCAACTCACTACACCCCGATCTTCTTGAGACCGTCACTACTGAACTGCCACCGCTTATCAATGAGTCTGACTTGCATATTGCTCAGCTTACTCTCACGCTGCTGACTACTATCGCTAAATTGTATCCGGGAGCACTCAATAGGATCTCTGAAAATATCCTACCTGAAATTTTGTCGCTTGTTAAGTCGCCGTTGTTGCAAGGTATGGATACATTATTTTAACACGTAGAATTGTTTCTGCGGGGTTTCTTTACTCTTATTACTTCATGTAAATATTACTTTTTAACTTCTGATGGGAATTTGGTCCTTTCATGATTATGCCATTTTAAAATTGACAGATTAAAAAAATCAAGTTCAATAATTTTATTAGGTCAATCCAAAATGCATGATAGTTTTAAAAATTCAACTAGTCATCTAGAATTTCACTCTGGAAGTTTTCTATAATTAATATATAAATTATGTCACATATTTCATTGAATTTATTACATGGCTAATGTAAAAAATTAATTTTATAATCTTATCGGTAATTCATCCGAAACGGGTAGTTTCAAGATTTTCGTTAATAGGTACTGGATGAAGCTTACCGTAATCTATTGATAAGCTATATTCGTAAGTAATTATTTAACTCAGTGCATATATTAATTGGGGAAGAAAATTTTGAAAAACTATTAGGTAAGATACTAATACATCGGAAAACTGTAAAAAAAAATTTTTTGAGCGATTGCAAAAAAGTCGCCCGAACAGGGACTCGAACCCTGGACCCTCAGATTAAAAGTCTGATGCTCTACCGACTGAGCTATCCGGGCGGCGCGACAAGCAGTTCACTGTTGTTGTAGACAGCCTCGGTTGTCCCATTTTACGAGAAATATTCAAAAAATGGTATGCCGAATCGTCATGAAAAAAACAGCGAAAATTTCGAACCGCTGTAGTAAATTTTTAGAGCACATTAAATTGCTTCTTGTCGCTTGAGTGATTGTAATGTAGTTATGTTCTACTTCACGTGCTCGCGGCATGACAGTTTAGGTTATATGCGTCAATGGATATGTATATATACACACGACATACGCTTGCGACGATATTTTTTTTTTCATTATTCTATTATGATTATGACTTTCCCGACCGTAGAAAATAAGCACACGTGCGTGTCACGTTATAACGACTGATAGAACTGACAAATTCATGCAAATGACTTTCAAAAGAGCTGTGTACTTATCAATTGAAGACGTAATGAGTATTCAAAGTTTACATTTAGCTGTATATACCGTTGTAACGTGAATTTGATAACGATATCATAACTTGAAAAATAGTTTTATATTGATATTAATGAAATTGCATAGAATCAATTGTTTATAATCTCAGAATATATGTGATATACACTACTCACAATTTTCCGTCATGATACAATTTATATTTCCTCAATTTATAATTGTTGTAAAATCATATTCAATAGGAGCTGCTCTGACATCAATGCTGGAGTTCTTCCAAGCCCTCGTGCATGCAGGGATTCCTGGATTGCGTTATCGCGATCTCTTGCAAATGCTCGTATCGCCTGTCAACCAAACTCAGGTCCAGCAGCTACATAAGCAAGCTTACCACTCCCTGGCGAAGTGCACGGCTGCCCTTACCATCACCCGCCAGCAGGAGGCTATGGGCGTCGTAGAAGAGTTCTTAAAGGATGTAAAGAATCAACAGAGCGACTCTAGACATATTTTCGCATTACTGGTTATAGGCGAGATAGGCCGACACGTGTGAGTATCGACAATTTCGTAATTTTACGATTGTTCAAGGATAAATATTAATGAAAATGATGGTTTTGCAGAGATTTGAGTAGCATACAACCGCTGAGACAAACAATCTTAGAATCATTCTCTTCGGGATCGGAAGAAGTCAAGTCTGCGGCCAGCTACACTCTTGGAAATATTGCTGTTGGAAATCTACCAGAGTATTTACCATTTATACTGAATGAAATTGAGGAACAGCCTAAACGTCAATACCTGCTTCTTCATTCTTTGAAGGAAGTAAGTTTCAGAATCTATTTATCTTTTTAGTCTCGATTAATAAACAACGTGTGATCGCAAAAGAAAAAATAAATGATTGAACCAATGTTTTATTTTGCAGATAATTGCTTGTCAATCAGCAAGTCCATCAGGTGTAATGCAACTCAAGGGCTTTGTGCCTTCGATCTGGGTATTGTTGCAAAGACATTGTGAATGCGTTGAGGAAGGCACACGTAATGTCGTCGCCGAGTGTCTCGGTAAACTCACTCTTATCGATCCTGCCAATCTTCTCCCTGAACTACAGGGACTTCTCGCATCTCAATCGGGACTTATTAGAACTACAGTTGTTACTGCAGTGAAATTTTGTATTACTGATCAGGTAAGCTTCTAATGTGAGATTTTTATAAAATTTGTCGGCATGTTCATTTGTAATCATTACAATGAGTAATCAAATTATTATTAATAATATTTTCAGCCACAAGCAATCGATCCGATGTTAAAGCAGTGTATGGGTAACTTCCTACTTACAATGGAAGATCCAGACTTGAATGTAAGAAGAGTAGCTCTCGTTGCATTTAATTCGGCAGCTCATAACAAACCAATACTGGTACGAGATCTTTTGGACCAAGTACTGCCACATCTTTATGCTGAGACCAAAATCAAGGTACATAAGTACTCTTAACTTTAAAAATGTGACAATGAAGACCTAACAAATATTAACGCGATTCCGTTGATATTTATAGAAAGAGCTAATCAGAGAGGTAGAAATGGGTCCTTTCAAACACACAGTGGACGATGGTCTTGATCTTCGGAAAGCCGCTTTTGAATGCATGTACACGTTGCTGGATACCTGCCTCGATCGACTCAATGTTTTTGAGTTCCTCAATAATGTAGAAAATGGCCTCAAAGATCATTACGATATCAAAATGCTTACTTATCTTATGACTGCTCGTCTCGCACAACTCTGCCCTACTGCTGTTTTACAAAGTAAGTTAACTCGTCTGTATCTTCGATAAATGTAATATTGAACATGATACTCATAATTTTTGTTTACTTTATAGGGCTTGAAAGATTGGTCGAACCGTTGAAGAGCACTTGCACAATGAAAGTCAAGCAGAATTCAGTCAAACAAGAGTATGAGAAACAAGATGAATTAAAACGATCTGCTTTTCGAGCCGTTGCTGCTCTTCTCACAATCCCAGATTCTGGTATGTAAATTAACTATTTTACTTTCAAACTATGCAAGGATTAGTGTAATTAGTGTATTATGAATTATTTATCTTGTTTTTAGAGAAAAACCCGGCACTCAACGAATTCGTAAATCAAATCAAATCAACGCCAGAACTGCAACCTTTATTTGACGTAATTCAAAAAGACTGCACAGGCAATAATTTTGACTTTACTTTGATGGATCAGAGCTAAAGGCTGATCGGCGACGTTTTTTTTTGCATGTGATGAACAAAGAAGGTGAGAAAAAGGGAGAGGTAAAGAAAGAGACCACTTGGATTTTTGTATAAAAAAACTCGCGACATTATATTATCGTCGAGCATTTAGGTGTGCGTTCAAGAGATGGAAATCGTAGAATGATAAGGCAAAGAAGCAACTATCGATAGTTTATTTCTATACGTTATTTTTTCATTAATTGTAATCGCTCCCTCCTTCCCCACCTCGCGACACGAGAGTTCAGTGGAAGTGTCACTATCGAAGATAATGGTAATGTGAAAAAAATGAAAAAACGCACGTAGCTTTGAGTTGATGTGATTTATATTTAGCGGTAAAGGAAAAAAGCCTGTATAAACATGAAGGATTGAAAAAGAATAAATTTACCGGACGTTCAAATATTTTACAAGACGAGTTATTCTTTTTGGACATTGTCCAACAAAAGCACGTGAGAATGAAGTTGCTTTATTTTTAACGATGGTTGCCATGGCGATGAATTGCTTTTCTTTCACTTTGTCCTCGAGCAGTTTTCCTTATATTCACAAATCAACAAGAGTTTAAATCATCCTTCGCTCGCGCGAGAAAACCATCTCGTCGGTCGTTCCCGTGTAGAAAACTCATTTCCCTTCTCTCTCGCTGTGCCGAGCGTCACGCGTCTTTCCCAGCGTGCCAACCGGTGGCTTACGTGCCGTTTTGCATAGGCCACATGGAGACTCGTTACGACGAGCGTCGAGGCACGAGGTGCATGCACGTACATGATGGAAGAGTATTAGAGTGGCGATGCTGCTTCTGCTGTTACTGCTATTGACGCTGACGCGTGGGCGGATTTTCGCGGGAGAGACCTCGTTCGACTTTTCCGTTTGTTTGCCGGAGAGTGACGTGCTTTTTTTCTCTTTTCCGCCTTCGAGCGCGAGCAGTGACGCTGGGAGAGCGTTTATTTTCGGGAGTGTATGATTTTACTCGTGATTCGGCGTTGATTTAGTAACTGTTTGCATAATTACTCGTTACACCCGCAGCTCGGTGGGTCGGGTAAATATGGACTATTTCGATACTAATGGCTCGTTAGGGATATCTCACGCTCGCTAAGCATTCAGTAACTCCTCGATACTTGAAATTCTGATTATTATTTTTTCTCGGCTGATCTCACATAACAATCTTATTAACAATCCATTTCAAATATTTGTACGCTGAGATCGTTACACCTGAGTAGCCAAATGTAACAAAGGAAGTGCGTTGACGCTGAAATACTGATTTATAACTGTGGCCTGCACTAGCATAGTTTCTCTGCCGAGATCACAAAATACAAAAGCAGTCGTAAATTCTACGTTCGAATAGTTTTAATTCGACGAAGCAACATATCGATTAGACTTGCAGCGACTAAATAAAATGGGTCAATTGATCAATGCCAACGTATGGAAAAATTTTTCCAAAATTACGATTTTTCTTTTGTTTTTGCTTTCTTCTACGAATGAATTGAAACAATACGCGATTTGCCGTTGAGCGAGAGCCACGGTCGAACCATCAGACCGATTCGATCGGCTTATCGAGGACAGCAACGAGTTATCATGGCATCGCCACTCCGCAATTGTGTTTTCCTCCGCTCTCTCGTCGGATATTATTATTACTCTGGCACGAGAGCCGATTGCGCAAGCAGCTAGCGCATCGCGCGTCTGACGCGCTTCGCTCGGCGCGTCGACGATCCGCACAACGACGATTCGGCGACGTCGGCTTTTGCCCTTGTCGTCCTCACGTAGGCCGACGCTCGTTCGTCTCGCCAAACGACTTTTTAACGAGCGACGACGGTCAAACTGCGGCGATCTCTTGCCCTCGTCTCGCAAACGTCGGTCGCTCTTTCGCTCGCTCCTCTGTCGGAATGAGTCGCCAGAAGGGAACGGAGGGGGGGAGGGGGGACTTCGAGGAGTGCAGCTCGCCGTGGGTGGTGGTGGTGGTGGTGGTGGTGCAAGACAGAGCGCGCGCTCTGCCCAAGTCCCATATTGATATTAATGGTCACGAAAGCGAAAACGCGCCGATCGTCGATATCGCTCGATGCTCGTTGATGGTGTTCGCGCCGTGCGCAAGTGGTTCTCTCTCGAGCGTCAGCCCTGTCGCGGAACGCTTCCGCGGCAATTGGCGTGCACGCGATTTTTCGACCGCAGCCCCGAGTCCGCGTCGAGCGCTCGAAAACTGGTTCCGCGCCGCTCACCTTTTGCTCTGTTTCGGCTGCGCGGGCGAGAGGCCCGCGAGCGTTCTCCACTTTGATATTGCGCTGCGCCCGCCTTTTTTCTTTCCCCCTCGCTCGACGCGTCTGCGCGCAACGCCCCTTGATTGACGAATTGGGTGTCGCTCGCTAATGGATGCTGCCTCGAGGGGTTATACGGGGGGAGAGAGGGTTGCTCTAAATTCGATTAGCGGCCGTGCCCCGACTCCCTTTTTTTTTTTTTTTTCGGCCGAGCGTCGGACATAAAATTGAAAAAGCTTTCCTCCTCTTCTTTTTCGTTTTCGTCGAGACGTTATCGCGAAGTGCGCGCGCGCGCGCGCCGTTTTCGGGAACGGAATTCGACGCGAGGCGCGCGATAAAAGTGCCCGAAAGTTGTAATTTGATTTGCCGAGTGGCGCAAATGAAGATGTTATCGCGCGCCGCGATATTTTATTGCCGGGCGCCCTCGGCGCAAAATGGCCGGTAATGATACCGGTGTACATTTTACTCGTCGTTGTCGCGCGCGCGAGCTAACATGCCTGCGGAACGCTCGGGAATTCGCGGCGCCGCGCGCGACGTCACTTTTATCGCTGTTTAATTTAATTAACGACGGCCCGTCGGACATTTCGACCGCGCTGGTGGCACGGCGCGAGTTCCCTCGCGTTTGCGGCTCCTCGCGTAGTGGTATCTCGCAACTTTTTAATCGACCGTCGTAAATCGCTCCAGCTGGAGATTCCGTCGATTGACGTTTTAACGCGAATCGAATTGAGAACAATTTTCGACCGTAGGCGCGACGCTCGCTCCGAATAATCTATCGGAGCTCGCGCCACGGCGAATCCGGTTCTCGGCCGATTTTCTAACTTTTCGTCGAGCGCGGCTACGAAAAACTTTATCGCGCGACGGGTTTTCGAAATCGCGCGCTCGAGCGAAAAAGCAACGCAGTCGGCCTAATTATAGAGAAGCGGTTCGCGAGATTTTTCCGCGCTTCCCGACTGACCCGAGGCGAAAATTGCGATCTCGCGAGAAAGCCAAAAGCGTATCGGCTGCTATCCAACGCTGCCCCGTTTCCAAGTTGGCACCGATGTTCTCGTTGATTATCGTGCGAGACTCCGAGTCTTACCCATCCATCGCCATTCAAAGAGATCAACACAACGAACGGTCCTCTCCCGCCAAGGCGAGCACTACTAGTAATGTTACGGGGAGGTGGTGGATCCACGTAAAATGCATGGGGTTGTCGACGCCTCGGTCTACCATGCCTGGAGTTAGTCCAAAGGATGGATGACTGACTCACTAAACACGAGATTTGCGGCATGAGGTCGAAGGCGAGTTACTCACTGACTTACCGCGGTAACTTGTCCCGCAAAGAAAAGCTACGAAGTAGCGATTTCCTGGTTAGAGTGGCATCGAACTTAATTAAGCGTCTGATTCTAATACAAGAATGACCAGCTTCGTCGGTAAGGACAAGTGTTGGTCGCCTTGAAAGTTATTGCTTTCGTCAATGCGCAATAACGTGTCTCCTGGCAACGTTTCCAAGGTCAAATTGGATCCAATACTCCATCACTGTCGGGGCGAAAACTTTGGCATGTCCACGTACGCAGCGCATGGGTCTGCCGAGTATCGGCGAAGCTCGCGCGCCGAGGCGCCTACATACTTGTGCGAATGAGCTTCGCCGTGGCGATTTGCCGAAAGCCACGTTATCGAAGATTCTTCTTCTCGCAGTTCTGGAGCCACGAACGCACTTGACGGGCGCCTACGACTCTCGGACGACAGGTCGTACAACGGATCTCGAAAGAACGTGCACTCCAACGTTGTCAAGCGGCATTTATTGCTGCGAATCTGATCGCCGGATCCTTCGCAATGGCGAGCGGTACACATTTACGAAATTGATCGGGTCGGCGTCATTCTCTCACTTGGACAATGATCAATCGTCTATTTTGAACGCGTCGATGAACAGCCTGAAAGGCAACAGGTGTATATGCAAGTTCATCTGGTGTAAGTTCAAGAAGTCCTGCGTTTGGTTCACGAGGATCGGGCACGTTCCTCTGGTGATGGCGACCAATTGGTTCCGTTCGTTCAAAACTGGAGAGCCGCTGTCGCCCTGCGGAAGCAAATGGAAAGTGCGTACGTTGCACTCGTGCGCGGCCGAGGTGGAGCTGATCGTACTCACTCAAGGCCCACGGGTCGGCGACGCTGCAGAAGAAGTGGTCGGGAATCCGATATACGATGCCCGTGATAGCTGTCGCCTTGTTCACGCAGATGCGCAGCGACACGACCTTGACGAGGACCGTCTGCAAAGTGTTCGCCGTGGTGCCGTTGTTGTTCAAGCCCCATCCGGCGAGTCGGACTGTCGAGTTGTCCAAGCTGTGCACGTCGGAGTAGCACAAAACCACCGGCTTGACTCTTTGGTCGCTGACTCTCTCGGCCAACTGCCAAGCAGCAGGGTGTCCATCGACGGTCAAGCGCGGGGAATCGACGCGAGCCGACGCGACCTTACCGTAATGATGGCGACGTCGTTCACGTACTCGATGATGTCGTCTGTGTTGATGTTGTTCCACTGGTCGAAGCTCCGCCACGTGGACACGCGGTGGCTCTTGGCCTCGTCCAGCTGGCACGAGCCGATCGCTACCGTGATGGCGCTGGGCTCCTGGTTGGTCAAGCAGTGCTTCACCGTGAGCACGTTCTGCCGGCTGATGAGCACGCCGGTGCAGATCGAATCGTTCAGACGCATGATGGCCACGACGAACGACAGCCGGTCCGCGCACGTCGCCGCCCGGACCAGCTGACCGCGCAGTGGCGTGCCGCGCGACCAACCCGCCGTCAGCAGGGCAACTGTCGGCCGTGTGTCGAGCATGTACATGTGCATTCGACGTGACTCGACGAGAGAGACGAGATCGATACTCACGGTACGCCATCAGGTAGCGCGTGGCGAGGTCCATCGTTGCCATGCCGAACTGCTCGGCGCCGCGCAACATTATGAGCGCTTCGCTCGTCACGACGGGAGAGGCGAGCGCATTTTATGGACGCGCAGTTATACATGTACATGTTTTTCTTTCTTTTTTCCTTGACGCCCGAATACTCTTGCAGGCGCTGTTTTCACTTTGCTTCCGACGGGCCGAGCGCAAAATACGACTTTCCGCGCGATTCGAAAAGTATAGCGTGGCTAACGTGCTCGGGAAGGAGATTCTCGTCTCGCGTGTAAACCTCGCGCGAGACAAGAATCTACTTTCCCGCGCTAGTTAGGTAATGCGCCGCGTGTCGTGTTCTGTGAGCTGTGAAACACTGAATGCGGCGAAAGAAAAAAAAAAAAAAAAAAAAAACATACTTCCTACTCGAGGCCCACTTATGATTTTCCTAACTGTAATGGCGCGTACTTCTCCCTCGCGTGGCGTCCCATTTTGAAAAGGCAATTCTTTGTTTCTCCAAGCAACGCACTCGTGCGGCTAAAACATTTGGACCTGGGATTTCCAAGGCGTTAGGTGCTCTTGAGCGGTGATCAATCAAGAGACCAAACCCTCGTGGTGGTATCGTTGCATCAATGGCATTGTCACAGAAGAAGTTCGGTCTCGTTGAACGTCGTTGATGGATCGACCACGGCGGTACAGATCTTCGCCTACGCGTTCCTCCTGCTTACCAAGGGTCTGACGCACTCCCGTGCGGACGTACCCAGCGAGTCGACGGCGCTCGTTCGGTGTCGGCGACCATCTGCGTAGATTTCCCGAATTCCACGTTGCCGAGGCATACGATCGCTCGAGCCAGCAGCGCGGCGCGACGTCGATCGGAGACGCCGATCTTCACGTTTTTCGTGCGGAACATTCGACACGCTGGCGAGCGGAGAGGACGAAAGTCAAGTTTAACGCGCTCTCGAAACTGCCGAGTCGTGATGAAATTTGCGTCGTTCCACTATTCGTCGACGCAAGCGCGACAGTCGGCGAACGAGGCCTACGAGTCACCGAGCTTGCGACGACGAGATGGAGAACGAAACGATTCCTTTGCGCTTCCTACGCGAATAATTCAGTTCCGCTCGTTGTCGTCGTCGTCGTCGTGAACGAAGTGACGGTCGTGCGCGTACACAACGAAAACGAGTTTGGCGTTCGCGTGCATCGCCGCTGCGGTCGCAATTACCCCCTCATCCCCTCGCCGTCGAGGCGGCACCTCGCGGGCTCGCTGGCATTCGCGCCACTCCTCGGAGCTGGCGAGGCTCGTCGCCAGCGCCGACTCCGCCGGGAAAGCAGGACCGCCGCCGCGATCTCCAATTAGCCCGAGATTGAGGGCCCGCAGCGCCGAATTCCATTCCGGCGGACCGAAATTGCCGAGAGAAGGAGAGCGAGCGTCCGCGGACGCGCGAGTCCTCGCGATGTGCGGGCCGATCGGCCGAATGCCCGCAAGGGCGTGCGATGGACTTTCGGCCGTTCTGCGTTCGCAGCAACACCGCTCGAGCGCTCGCGAGCAACGGCAAAGAAAGAGAGAGAGAGAGAGAGAGAGAGAAGCAAAAAGAAGCGAAGCTGGAATAGGACCGAACGAGGCAGTCCGACAGCGCGCGTCGCGCCGCCATAGATCTAAAGCCTCGGGGCGGCGCTGGGACGATGGAAAAGCCGATCGGAACGAGTCAATTTATCGACGATGGGCGCCTCTAACGAGGCGACGGCCCGCGGCGCGGGGCTCCGATTCGCCGGAGGGCCGCGTCCTGGGTGGCCCACTCCTCGCGCCCGGATCTCCGATCGCTCGGGGCTCGGCCGAGTTGCGCGCGCGTCACGAGCGCGGCATGCCTCGCGCGTCGGCGATCCAAACGGAAGCAAAGGGAACGAGAAGCGCGACGCGGACAAGCGCAACACGGGCAGCCCGACAGCGCTAATTGGACCGCGCGGGCTGATCGGGCTTTTCGCGCCTTTCGAAAGGCGCATCGAATCGATTCGTTCGGCCGAACGACGGCAGGGGAGGGGGGGGGGGGATCCCTCGCGATCCTCCATGGACGTGACCGCGCTCGAGAAAGTGCGGCGGCGGGACATCGGCTGCCAGTTTACAGCGTCGCTTGGTAACCTTTCGTCGATTTCCGACTTGCCTTTGCCCCCCCGCCGCGAACCGTCTAGAATCCTCTCCGTCCGAGCGGCTCGCTACACTACGAATGCCAGCCGAACAATGCGAAATTTCAGACGACCGAGTCGTTGATTCCGTTTCGACAACGCGCAGATTGGGATCGCGCAGGGGAGTTTTTCCTTTCAGCCCCGTCTCTTGTGAATTACAAATCGAGTTCTAATGGCTCTTCGATGGGTCATTTACGAGTCCACCGTCGCAATCGAGACGGCCAATCGATATGCGTCCGACGTTGCGACACGGCATCGCTGATGAAAGCAACGCTACGCACGCCCGGAAAAACGAGCAGTGCGCACTCGCGAGATGGAAAGAAAAAGGTGTTATGTGGGTGTAGCCGACGAGGTCGTTGAATAAATCAGGCAACGCGTGCCTCCCGGGCAAAGTCGAGCTGTGGCGCGGCCGAGGACCGCGACGAAAGCCACGCGGCGCGGAAGTCGATCGCGAGCGACCGCGTCGCATCGTTCGGCCGGTCGCGCCCCCTTTTCCGAGAGTCACGGCAAGGTCGCGGGCATAAGACGCTCGAGTCACGCGCGCACACCGTGGTCGTCTCGCAGGATGAGCACGAAGCTCGCGACGTGACGCACCTCCGTCGCGATTGCCGGAGGGCATTGACTAGCGAGTGGAAAAGCGGCGAAAAACGAAAAAAATAACTCTTATCTACCTCTATCTGTGTCTATCTCTCTCTTCCTTTCCCGCACGTAGGCGCGCAGCCCGCGATCACGTAGGCGCGTCTCCGTGCCGAGTGCCCCAAATTCGCTCAGCCATCGCGAAACCGCTGTAAACGATAAGCGAGAAAAATCCGCTCCGAGCTCGAAGCTGTACGCGCGCGCGCGCGCAAAGTGATCGGCGCTCGCGTAACGCGCCGCTCGGTCGCGTTTGCACAACGCGAATCCATCGGCGATCGACGGCAAATCGACATCGCGCGCGCGCGTACGTTCCGCAATCGTCCGCGGCCGGCAAGAGGCGCGAGCGAAAGCACGGGGCAAAAAGAGGAGCGCGAACGAGCGGAGGACGAAGAAGAGCAAAAAGGCGTCGGACGGGTCGTAAAACGCGCGCGGCGGCCGAGATCGCCGGGCTCGACGGAGGCGTAAACGCGGAGAGCGCGCGACGCCCGATGGCTCCGCGTTCCCTCGTAATTTAGCCCGCGAGGTGTTCGAGACCGAGCCATTCGCGCGTTTCTAACGAGCGCGAAAAGTAATGGCTCGTCGATTGGTGTTTTATGTGCCGCTAATGAGACGAACGTGCGCGGGACGGTCGCGCGCGCACGTATACCTCGTTAATGGCGCGTTTACGCACAATCGATGCATTATCGCTGTAACTGGAGAAACGAACTCGCGGCCGAGGCAATCAGCGCGTCTCGCTCTCCTCGTGAAATACCTGGTCGTCGCGGATCGGCTCCGCGGCCGGGCAGGCGGACAGCCGGGAAAGCTCGGCGACGCGCGAAAGCTCCACTCGACGGCAAGTGCGAGACGGCGAGAGAGCTCGGAGCGAGGAGCGAGGAGCGAGGAGCGAGGAGCGAGAGGCGAGCGACGTCGGATCCCCCACCCCGGCGCGCTCGGCCGCTCGCTCGCTCGGTCGCTCGGGCTCGCGTGCGCGAGCGCCGTATAAAGGGGCCGCGTGCTCGCCGAGAGCAGCGCACTCCCTCGCGAGAGGCTTCGCCGCGCGAGCACACGGTGTCCGGACGAGTCGGCGCTTCGGTGGTGGTCAGCTCCCGCCTCTCTCAGCCCAGCGGCCGGTCACACGGCGGCATCACCGTCAAGATCGACGTGCCAGTGGTAATGTGCGTGCGCGCCCTAGCCGGCGACGAGGCGGCCGCCGGCTCCTCGGGCCGGCCGGACGAGACGGCGCCGTCGCCGCCGGACAGCGGCCGGAAGCAGCGCCTGAGCCGCGCCAAGGAGAAGTACATGCGGCTGCACGAGCAGATGCAGGAGCGCGAGCAGCGCGAGACCCGCCGCCGGGAGCTGCGCGAGGAGCGCGCCGCCGGCTGGACGGCGCGCGCCGCCAGGATCTGCAGGACCGGCCTCGCCGCGCTGGCCCAGCGCGCCGCCAAGTGGCAGGAGTCCAAGGTCTACAAGTGAGTCGCCTTCCTTCGCCGCGGCATTGACCGAGTTCGCCCCGCGGGGCTCTCGCGCGGCCACCCGCGCTCGCGCCCACGGCCGAGCGCCGACGCCGCGCGGCTCGCTCGCCCGGCCCGCGGCGGTATCTGGCGCTCGTTTATTTTTAGGGGCTACTTTTTGCCGCTGCACCGGCCCAGCGCTCGCTCCGACCGCGCCGATCGCGCCACGCTGCTAATTGCAGCGAGCTCGCTCTCTCCCTCCGGCCGTCGTGTCGCTCCGACGCTCGCCGGTCCGCCGATCGCGTGGCCGCCGCTCGGAAGTGACGCCCGTGGACGCGTCGCCCGACAGCCGGGCCGGGCGTCCCTTCGCGCGCCTGCGGCAAACGTGTTCGACCTCGCGCGCTCGATCGGCCGCGGCAGCTGACGACCCACCTGTCGAACGCAAATACGAATTCGATGCGGCCTGTCGACAAATGGAACGCGCGCGCGCCCGGGCGCACGTCGTCCACGCGTAACTTTCGCACCTGCGGGAAAAAGTCGGAACTTCGCCTTGAGCGTACGAGGAACGCGGCACCGAGTACGGCGTGGCGTCGCGAGCGCGCGCGCGCGCTAACGCACGTCGTCGACGCTACAGCGCAGCCTAATTTTCGCACCTGCCGGAAAAAATTTGACGAACCGTCGGCGACGTTGGCGGTGGCGCGGGGCGTGGCGTCGCTTAAAAATACATCGCCGGAGCTGCAACGCCGCCTGATTCTCGCTCCTATCGCGGGCGAACGAAATGTAAATAAAATTGACGATTCGCCAATAATATTGACCGAACCGCGGGTGTGCCGTCAACGATTCGCGCGCGCGCGTCGGGCCGTCGCGCCGCCGTCACCTAATTCTCACGCACCTGCGGGAAAATAATTTCGGAACTCGAGCGATAAGAAATTAGACGTCGGCTAATCTTATCGCGCCGCCGCCGCCTAATTTTTCGCAGCTGCGGGGAAAAAAAGAAAGAAAAATGAGTTTCGGAACCGGCAATAAAAAAGCAAAAAAAGAATTGGAACGCCGCGCCGTAATCTTATCGGGTCGTCGGCCAATTTCGCCCACCTGCGGGAAAACTTTGGACCACGGCGGCGGCGCGACGCGTGGCCTAATCTTATCGTGGGCGCGCATCGTCTGCGCGGGCGTACCGCCGTCGCTCGCCGGAAAAATTTCGGAACTGGCGCTAATTGGATGATCGATCATCCGGCGGTCGTCGGCGCGGTCGTTTATCGCTGTTCGCCGGGGTGACTTATCGCGCGACTGACTTTCGCCGCCGGCGGCCCGGCCGCGACCCACCGGCCGCGATAGCGAGCCGATTCACGTGTACGGATTCCCGGCTGCGAGGAGGCGCGCGACGGGCCGCCGCGGCTCCCCGTCGATAGAGCTTCCGGCAGCGCGTTACGCAACGCGCCGCGCGCACGAGAGAATCTTTTTATTGCATTTTCTATTAATAACGAGGGGAGGAAAGTAGGCTAGGCGCGCGCTCGGCCGCCGGCTCTCGCTCATTGTCTTTAAGTTTAGTTCGCGCGCGCGCAGGGTGTATTTTCGAATGGGCTGCCTTATTTATACGCGTCCTTTCGAGGCTCGCCGGGCTAATTGATCGGCGCTCCGACCTTTGCGGCTCTCCCCGCGTTCTCCCGCGGAGTGCCGTCCGAGAAGCTCGCCGGCGGCCGAGCCGCGCGAGACGCCGTCGGCCGGCCACGTTTCGGTCGCGTGCGCGCGCGCCGAGTCCAGAAGTAGCGTGCCGCTCGCGCGGCTCTCCGGTGCGCGATTCGCCGCGAAAGACGTGTCGCCGATCGTCGCGAACCCGCCTCCGCGCCCCGTCTCTCGGAGGCACGCGCGCGCGTCTCTCTGTCTTCCCCCGGCGGCGTGGCTTCGATCCCAGCGAGCGCCGCGTAATTTTCCGCGCGCGCTCGCGCTGCTTATCTTCGCGCGCAACTTTGGCTCGAGGCTCGCCGTCTCGGGCGTTTATTACCGACGCGGCGGGACCGCGAGACGCAGCAAAATGCAAAAAACGCCGAGTGGAGCAGGAGAGCGTCGACATGAGCCGCCAGTCGACGGTCACGTAGGCATCGGCTTGCGAAATCCGAGGCAGTCGCGCGTCGAGAGGCCGCGCGCTCGGTCGCTTCGATTGCCCACGATGGGCCCGCCCGCCAGGGTCCTCGAGGGTCGTCGCGCGCGCGCGCGCTCGGCCGCTCTCTCTCCCATCCGCGCGGAGCCGGGCGCGGCCCCGTGGACGGGTGCAGCCCGACCACCGCGCGGGTGATTTACGGGCGCCCATTGTGTCGGACGCGCGCTTCAGGCGCGGCCTAAATCCGGAAACGCCGATGCGGATTTGTCTCCGGCGTCGCGCCCATCGCCGAGGGACCGTCGACGAGGCGCGAGCGAGCCTCGGAGTTAGCGATCGTTAATCGGTGCCCGCTCGGCAAGCGACGCCCGGCCGAACGGCCCGCGATTAGCGGCGGCACATTGTGCTCGTTGCGCGAAATTCGGCCGCGAGCGCGGGCAGGCGCGAGCCCCGCGGCACCCTGCGACGAGCGACGCCGCGATCAAGGCCGCGCGGACGGCCCGAGGCGGCTACCGGTCCGCCGAGCAGCGCCCGTGGCACCGTTATCCCGGGGAAGACGCGCGGATCGGAGAGGAAGAACGAGTTTGACGGCGCGATGAGTCGGCGACAGCCACGGCTCGCGGGAGCCAGAAGAGGCGGTGTTGCGCAACGCGGCCGCCGCGTCGGGCGCGCGCTAATGGGTCCGCGGGCGTCGCCGATCGACGATTCGCGGGTGCGCGCCAGCCCGCGAGTCCCTTGCCTCGGTCGACGCGTAAGCAAATGCGACGACGCGGGCCCGTAATTTACGAGCCGAACGACTTGGCCGAGAGAAAAAGCTGCCCGCGAGGCTGGACTTTGCCTTTTATCGCGTGATGGACACGCGGGAATTTCGGGCTTGTCTCGCTCCTCCGCCACCCCCCCCCCCCCCTCACCGTCTGGTTTTTTGCCGGTCAATGGAATCTTGTTAGATGTCAGTCCGATCGTGTACGACAACAATGAATGGGAAACGAGACCGTCGGCGGCGCGCCCGACTTCGCGCAGTACGCTCGCGCAGCCGGCATCGCAGCATTCGAACGAAAGAGCGCATACAGTCGACGGCGAGCAGCTCTTTTATTTTGAGGTGAGCGGCATTCTTTCGAGAGAGAGAGAGAGAGAGAAAGAGCCCCGGGTCTACGCTTATTTATGGGCGCGCGTGCGCGGCGGCAATGATTCGAGCGTGGCGCGATCAGTCGCTCGTTATCACTGGCGCGATCGCCAAAAAATTCCCCGAGGGGCGGCGGTGCCAGGGGGGGACGGGAGCAGCGCTGGTTTTTTCTTTCGTTTCTTTTTTTTTTTTGTCTTTTTTATTTTCGTCGTCCGGCGATTCGAGTCGACTATAAAGCCCCTCCTAATCGCGCTTCCTCATTCGGGCCGCGTCAATCAGGCGACGCGCGCGGCGCAGATCAAAACCGCGAGTGCAACTGCGGCGAACTCGGAGGTGAGCGAATCGACGATTCGCTCGGCCGAGTTCAACGATCCGCCGGCGCAGACTCCGACTCCCGCGTATCCCCCTTCTGCTCGGCACATTAGCGGCTCGTTTGGAAAACTGATCCGGATACTCGATGTTCAAGCTCCTTCTCTTTTTTGCGCTTCGCTGACCCTCGTGGCTGATGGAACTAAATTGAGCGATTTGTTTTGCGCGTGTGCGTGTGTGTATTTTTTCTTTCTCTCTCTCTCTCTCTCTTTCTCTATCTCTGCTTCAGCCGTCGTTTCGTTCGCGCGCGTCTACGATTCGACGGTGAACGGATCCTGGAAGCGAAACGGGGTGCGACCGCGAGAGGTTGCTGTCGCTCGACGCGCGTCAGCCCGATAATCAATCGACTGACGAGACTGAACGCGAGCAGGCGAACCGGATTTCGGCGGGGGGAGGGAGGGGGAGACGAGCTGCGAGAAACTCGATTCCTCAAAATTCGCGCAACACGCGGCGGCGGTACGTTGAACCCCGGTAATTCTCTCCCCGCGGCGAGATGTCGACGTTGCCCGGCCGGTGCGCAAACATCGCGAGCGATCGACAAATAATCGAACGGAAATTCGGCCGACGCGGATTGTTGTTGCAGAGCGAGGGCTGACGGATCGAGTCCGTTCGCCTCGCCCGCGGCGATCCGCGACGGGGAAAGCGCCGCGGGCGCGCGAGCGGAGACAGGACCGTTAGAGAGGAGTCGTGAGCGCGCGCAGGCGCCCGCACGCGCAATAAAAGCGACGCGACGAGTCGCCGCGGCTTCCTTAATGGCTGATTTACGGCCGCGGCTCTCGCCACGAGGTCGCGCGAGCGGGTCCACGGGTCAAAGTCCACGTCGACCGCGGGATCGTCCGCGCGCGGCGGGGAGGGACCGCCCGGCGACCTTGACCCTCGCCGGTCGGCGTTGCGGATGTGCCACCGCGAGGACAGCGAGAGATTCCTCGGCGAGGAGGGTCCGAGGCGACTCGACTCGCTCACCTGATTTGTCGGCGCGACGGCGCGTTTCGTCGACGATCGTCGTTGGACGCACCTCTCGGCGAACCGAACGCCAAGCGAATCGCAGAGCGAGCGACACTCTCGCCCCCCCCCCCCCAAAAGAGCGCAGCGGCGCCGCACTTATCGCGAGTCTCCGCGCGGCCGCCATCCCAGCAATGTCGTTCCAATTACCCGATCCGCTTCTTCGCCTCTCCCTCCTCCGAAGTCCCCCCACCCCCTAAAACAAGGCAACGACGAAGCCATTCAATTAGCGGCCAATTATAGCCATGAATTCTCTCTCTGTGTCGTCCCCCTTGACGTTGATCGCGACGCGCGCGACAGCCCGGGAGCAATCGATCCCTCGGCCGTCGCCGCCTCGTTAGCGCGCGAGGCGCTCGAACCTGGGAACAGGTGGCCGCCGCGAGAGCCCGACGATCGAGACGCGGAGATCGGCCGCGCGATTGGCGATCCCGAGCCCCGCTCCTCCGCGACGCGACGCCCGATAAATCATGCGCGCTCGACGACCGGCTGGCAGCCGCTCAACACCGGTAGTGAGCGCACCCGGGCGCTCGGACCGGGCCGGGGATGCGCGCGGCGATCGATCGCCCCCGTCGACGGCACGGCCCGCTCGCGCGGCCGCACGCTTCGCGGCAGCGCGCCGGCGGCTGCGGCACCGGCGGCGCGCAAGTCGGCCGCGCCCGGAAATAGACCCGTCGGCCGCCTCGGCTCCCTCTTGCGCGCCGTCCACCATAAATTCGCTCGCTATAATTACGCCCGCGATATTAATAGGCCGCCGATGGAATGCCCTTCTCGCCGATCGGCCCGGCGATCGGCCCGCCGTCGGCGATAACGCCGCGCGATAGGATCCGGCCGCGACGGGACAGCGCGCGACGAAGCGGGACAGGCGCGGGCTCAACTGGAACAATGTAATCACGGCCGGTCGGGGGATTAACGGTAAGCTCTCGGCCGATCGAAATCGAGGCGAGCGCCTCGATTTATTATCCGGATGTCCGAGGTATCGCCAGCTCCGGATCTCTCTCTCACTCTCTCTCTCTCTAATAACGCCGCAATCGATCGGATACGACTCGCTCGTTTTCTCGTTGGGGGCGCAGAAGCTTGCCAGGACGACCGGCCGAGGACTCGGTACCGACGCTCCCGGACGCGCGCCGCTCTGCGCTCCGCGGCCTGCTCGCGGACGCTCGCACCTCCATCGGTCTTCTTCTCCGCCTCTTCCGGCGCGCCGACGGCTCTCGCTCGCTCGCTCCCTCCCCCCGTTCACCTCCGAGATCGCGGCCGGACCCGCGGCCGGCTCGACGTCGAGGCGCCTGGCCGCGAGAAAGCGCGGCCGCCGATGCGCGATAAGGCGCGCGCGCGCGCGATCGAGGCGGACGACCGCGTCTAGCCGGCGTGCGAACCCGCTCGTCGCCGGGCGATCGCTCTCGCGGATAAGGGGCCGAGCATCGATCACGCGCGGCTAATCACGGCCGGCCGGCGCAGTTTGTCGGCGCGCGGCCCGCGGCTAATCGCCGATACCGCGCAGCTCGCCGGCACGTGAGTTACGGGCGGCTCGTTGCCCTCCCCGCCGTTCGATCGGACCCGCGAACGCTCGGCCGGCGACGCGTCTGCCCGAGGTTCGATAAGCGCGCCGAGCGAACGTCTCGCCGAGACTGAACGGCGCGACGCGCCGCCACCGCTCTGATTCACCGCGAGCACCCGAGCGACGCGCGCGCTCGCTCGGTTGATCGGCGGATCGGCGCCCCGAACGGACCTCGCGTGCGCAAGCCAATTGTGTCGCTTCCGCGCGCGCGCGAAATCGGCGTTGTTGACTCGCGCGATAACGGCTCAGCCGTGGCGCCGCTCGCAACTCGTCTGGTTCCCTAGAATTTGCTTTTTCTTTTATTGCTCGTCTCGTTTTATTTGCTTTCCGAATGACTATCCGATTGGGTAATCCCGTGGATCGACGAGCAAAAGAGGCCACGGCGAAGGAGAACGCGTTTTAGTTTTTTACTTCTCGCGCTATCTGCGGGATTCTCCAAGGTAACATCCTCGTTTCTCGCGCGACCAAAGCCAGAGGAAAAGGCGACCGCGGCGCTGCAGCGGGGGGAAAAATTCCATGACGACGGCTCGGACGTGCCGTTCCGCACGTTCGCGCGCTCGCCAAACTGCATATGCCGCCTTGACCTTGCAGCGCGATCGTGACGTCGCGGCCACCTGACGGACGCGCCGCGACGCGGGCCGCGCGATCGCGTCGCTTCCGCTCGGCGGAATGCCGACGCGAGCGCGGCGGCGGCGGCGGCGCGCTCGCGTCGCCTCCTAACCACCGCTAAACGCCACTGGTATGCGCGCTCGCGCCCAAGGCCGCGCGCGACCCCGCGGCGATCCTCGACCCGCGGTCGCCGGATCGCCGATGCGGTCGGCGAGCGCGCCACGCCGCGGAGGCGCCTCCGCGCGGCACGGAAGCGTCGTGCCGGCGCGCACATCAAACGAGGCGCCGCTCCCGAATTAGCGCCGACGTGCCTCTGCGGCCTCGCTCGCTGCCTTCCTCTCATCCCCGTCGTTTCGCTCGGCGGTTGGCGCGGCTGCAATAAAAGCGTGCGCCGCTGGACTGTACGCGTACGCCAAGCTCGCCGGTCGCTCGTCGCCTTTCTCGACTCGCTTGCTCGGCGCGAGTCTGCCGTTGGTCGCCGGAGAGATGTTCGACGATTTCGCGCCTGGTCCCGAGCTTCCCGCGGTCGGCTCGTCTCCGTCAGTGCGATTACGACTCGACTTTCCTCGCGGAACAAAAGGGAAAGAGAACGGAAAATCAACGACGCACGATTATTTCACGCGAGCGTTGGCGGACATGTATGCTCGTTTTGCGCGTCGCCCGAAGGCCCCCCTTGTCGCGAGCGAATCTCCACGGCGAGTTCGGCGTACGCGCTTGCTTCGAAGCGCACGCCTCTATAATCGAAAAGAAAAAAAAAAGAAGAAAAAAAAAATTCCATGCCCTCGGGGTCCGTTTGGGCGAAAGGCGGCCCGCTCTCCGAACGAGGAGAGATTTATCACGAGCGGATTAACGAGCGCGGCGCTATACGCATTAACGAGCCGCGCGTGGGATGCGTCGGGGCCGCGGCTTTCAATTGAATCGTTGAGTTTCTCTCTTTGGGCCTCTCGCTCGCGCGCTGCCTTTGTATCGACCACCGCGCTGCCGAATAATCGCCGCTGCTCTCTCCCTCGACCGAAAGTCTCGCGCGCGCCCCCGGGCGATTCGGAACGCTCGCACCGCCAAAACAGCCACGCCTCTGCCCCCCACCCTCCCCCCCCCCCCCACCAGAGAGCGGTTACCGCGCAGAAGCTCGTTTAATTTCGCCCCGATAAAAAAAAACGAAACGAGATGCATGTAAGCGCTCGTCGGAGCGTTCGCTAATCGAATTAGCCGCGCTCGAAAAATTCAGGCTAACGACACACGCCGCTTGGATGGAAATGGAAGCAGAGCGAGCTGCCGTGCGCCCACCTCCCCTCTCTCCGTCCATCCGCTGGAACGCACACGCACGAATCTCGCTACGAGGGTGCGAAAGAGTCGCGCGGCCGAGGCAAATGTCCGCAGGCCGCAGCCGTCGTCGCGGGGGAGAAGACAAAAAGAGAGCGAGCTCCTCCACCGCGCGTCGAATTCTCCTTGGCTCGGGCGCACGAGAGAGGCAGGAACGAAAGTGAGAAAAAAGAAAGGGCCGCGCGTAAACCAGTCGTTTCGGTAACGCGCGCGCTCCCGCGGGACATTTGCATGTGGGCGCTCGCTCGCCGGGGAAAGCCGCGCGTCGGCCGGCTTGACGCGAGGCGTAATTGCACGCTCGCGATCATTCGCCCGTCGAGCGTGCGAAAGACAAAAAGACAAGAAGAAGAGGGGAAAAATCGCGGAGAGAAAGCGCGGCAAGGGAGGCGGTTCGCGCGCCATGAATATTCAGGCGGCCCGCGGCGTTGCGACGCGCTAGGAGCGGTCGGGGCGAGAGATAAGAGGCCAAGCGCGGACTTGTCACACTCGTTGCACTGCTTTTCCAGAGTTCTGTTCTGCACGACGCAGCCGGCGCACGTGATCACGATCGCGGCGGCGCTGTGCGTCACCTCGGCCCTGCTGCCCAACTCGGCGTCGAGCGCGGCGTCGCCGGCCGGCCAGCGCTCGGGCCTCGCCTCCTTCGTCTACCTGGCCTCCTTCGTCATGCACATCGGCTCGCAGGTCTGGATGACCTTCGTTTCCGGTAAGGAGGCGGATGCGCGACCGCGCCGCCGGGACACCACCTAAGGCTCCCTCGCTGTTGCAGGTTTATCCTTGTATTTCGCCCTGCCGCGCCACACGTTCGGCGAGGTGCAGCGAGTGCTGTTTCCGCGCTACTTCACCCTCAACGCCTGCCTCAGCCTCACCACCTTGCTCATCTACGTGAAGCACCACCCGACGGCCAGCTGGGACGCCGAGATCGCCACGCAGGTGGCGGGCATGGGCGGCGCCTTCTTCCTCGAGCTGCTGATCCGCCTGTACCTGACGCCGCCGCTGCTGCGGCTCATCGACCAGAAGACGAGCATCGAGCGCGCGGCCGGCGTGGGCGCCGAGGTCGGCACGCACGAGCCCGGCCCGCTCAAGCACTGCCCGCACTACCTGAGCATCCACCAGACCTTCCGGCGCATCCACGTGGCCATCGCCATGGGCAACATGCTCACGATGGCCTGCACGGTGCTCCACCTGCACCACGTCGCCGGCAAGCTCTGCGTGCTCTAGGCCGCGACCCCACCCCCTGGACCGCGACTCTCGCGCGCCGCACCTCGAGAGGACCCCTTGTAAATAGATGCACTCGAAGCGCGCGCGCGTCCCGGCGGTTCGCCCGCGCGCGATCCTAGCGCGAGAGTTCGCGTTGACATTACAAATTACATACACATACGTACGTACGCGCGTAGCTGCGATTTACGAGCCGACGAACGCGCCTGTGCCTACGCGCGAAAATACACGAGCCGATTTCCGTCGTGGCAGATCTTATCGTGCTCTCGCTCTCGGGCGCGTGCGCGAAAATGCGCATACCTATGAGGAACGAGTTCTTTTTTTTTTTCCTTTTTCTTCCCTCCAAATTCATTTTGTTTTGTTTTGTGTGTGCGTGTGCGATTTTATTATTTTTTTCCCCCTTTTCTTTTTTTTTCCTTTGCCGATCTCCGGCGTCGATACATTTTCGCGAGGAGTGGAAAATTCTGTCGCGTCGTCGAAACGGCAGGTCCATCCCTAACGACTTCGCTGGGGACAGATCGTGTTTTCTTCAACGCTGCGGGACCACGCGTTTTTCTCTTTCCCTTTCTCTCTCTCTCTCTCTCTCTCGTCCGCGAGATTGAACACAGCAATGGAATATAGAACGCTTTGCTGAGAGATTCGAGTTTTTGTTTTTTTTTGTTTTTCTTTTGTTTTGTTTTCTTTTTTTTTTTTTACTTCCGCTTCGTTTGCAGCAAAGGCGGAGATTAAATTTCGCGAAACACTTAGAGTTACGAGATAAACTTGAATTTCGCTTGTCATAATTATACGTTGCCAAGTCGCGCTGATACTTGTCGTGTAGTCTACTATTTTTCAGTGTGTTCCATACGCGCACTCTGTATCAGAGTGTTAGCCCGCGATTAATAATCGAAAATAATGCAACCTAAACGTAATCGCCGGTAAATGAATACCTTTTTCCTGTTATACGAAATACACAACGAAACCCGTAAACCCAACAACGTTGTTTTCTTTTGTCTCATAATTTATGTTGCATGACATTATCTCATTGTTGTGAATAATTCCATAAATCGTTCATTGAGATTATGTAAATTATATATACGAACGGCGATTGTATCTAAACTTATTTAAGTATATACCTATAACCGCGCTTGTGGTCTTTCGGGGGAATATCGAAATTATACTCTCGGATCGAATGTGTCTCAATTTAAGTATATACGCTTTTCGCAACTCTCGATATTGCCCCGATTAAATGCTCAACTACACTTGCTTCGAACCAATGTTTCTATGGCATATATGAATAAATGTATGGATCAATAAGAAAAAAAAAAAGAAAGAGAACTTTTTGTACGCCTTGGACGTTCATAAAAAAATTGTATTACGACTGGTTACATAATTATTCTTAATAAAAAGTTTATGTTTGTGGCTAGTACATGGATGTTTTTTTTTCTTACTATCTCTTATTGGAATATACATATTTTGTGTACGAACACTTAAAATACTATATATTTTATACGTATAACTCGTGCAAGCTGTACAACGCATTCGTAATACATCGTCAAGAGTTACATACTATTTTTTTTAACTACATGCTAAAAGTGAGAAGTACTACATGCTAGATTAATAACAATCATAAATCTTACATCGCTCAATTTTTTTTTTATAAAACAAAAAAAAATCACTTCAGTTATATCGACACTAGTACAATTATCCTCTACTGTTTCATTTTTAGCTACACTGTTCGGATCAGAAAAGAAACGTTCATATAAAATCGGAAGGATATGTCTTACCAACAGAATATCTTAACTTCTGTACGTCGGTTTATATTGAACAAGCATTCGAGTCGCTTTTTGTAACAAAAAATAAAATAGAAGCACGGCTATAGACTTCGAAATTCCTTCGGAGATAAACGAAGATAAATATATTCGAGTAATCTTTGATAAAAAATCAAGAGATTATTATACAGGAAACCCTGTATGATTGAACAATTACTGGCTGAGTGTTTAAAAAGTAAAAAATCTTTTTTTTTCCTTTTATCCCTCCTTGCCGTTAAAAAATTTGATATTATTGTCAATCGCAATGTATTAAAATAAATTCGAAGCCAATATATATTCTTCTCGTCGCGCTTACTCAGCCAGTAAATTTTTTCATCGCGGAAGGAAAAACAACATTTACACTCGAAGAATCTCCGCGGCTTTGTTGTAACAAATAGCGATCCAATCGGGTTGAGTCGCACCCCACTGTATTTGATTAACTTCGCCTTCAGCAGCCGTGTAGGCTAAAATCGGATCCTCAATTGCTCGCGGCATTTGTTGAATATCCCATATTAACGCTTGATGATCGTCGCCAGCTGTGCAAATATGACACGAAGAGTGTGGCGCCCATGCTATTCCGTTAACACTTGCTCTGTAAAGAACAGTTATTGGAATTTTCAAGTACAATTCTAACCATCAGAGCGATAAATTCAACTCACCTGTGATTATTTAACCTAGCAACAGGTGTACAAGGCACCCTAACATCTAAGATGATAACCTCACAAGCATCCATGGCAACAGTGGCCAAATAATTTGGATCCTGCTTGTTCCAGGCGAGCCTGAGAAGTGGGGTATGCTGAGGGTCTTCATAAATGATAGTGGAGTGCTCAAGGTGACGCAAATCGAACATGCGTACCGAACCATCGGCACCCACAGACGCGAACATATCTCGACCACCGCCCGCTCGGCTGAATGCTATGTCGTAAACTTCTTTGTCGTGCGCGATAAGCTGCAAATGTTATCATTTTAAATATATCAATTTAACTTTGCGGAAAGACAAAAATAAATTGAATTAATATTCGTTACCTGTGTTTTCACGTGTCCTGAAACAAGATTCACTCGACCAATTACTTGACCTGTCTCAAGACCCCAAATAGTACAAGTTGTGTCGATACTCGATGTTCCTACCAAATTTGGATCCACCTCATTCCAATCAAAGGAAGTGAGAGGTGCACAGAAATCTGAGTTTTTATTATTGTTTAGTACACATTCCATCCGTGTTTCCGGTTCACCTGCTCTCCATACTCTTAGATAGTCACCAGAGGTAGCCAAGAGATCAGGAAATAGTCCTGTTTACAAAAAATGTCAATTAATCCATGAATTATAAACATTATGGATAATTTACAAAAATACAAAATTTCTTTAATGCAACCAGAGTAAAGGATATATGTATTTAAATCTTCAATAATGACCTTTACTATCAGGAATCCACATAATTTTTGTGGTAGGATATGGATGATCGAAGGTACTTCTTGCTACAAACTCAGAAGTATCCTCATCGAGCGATACAATTTGCACTTTGTTATTGTACTCTTCAACAAAGCTGCCCAGAGCAAGTCGAAACCTTTTATCTGGCCTCACAGACCAATTCATGCTGTATAGAGACCATGGTGCTTCATACTTATAGATTTCTTTTCTTTTTGGAGGTCCACTGTGGTGTGCCATTGTTCTACACATGAAAACGAAGTAACTTCAGTAATAATGTTTTGAAATGAATAATTACTATTTGTGTCATTTATATCACGCACTAGTTATAGAAAATTAATTCTTTTCTGATTCTACTCACAATATCTAGCGATACAACAAGTTAAACAAATTTTGAAAGCAAGCCACTCGTGTATCGACGCCTAACCTACAAGCAACAACAATATTTTTTTTAGCGTAAGTTTACTTTTGAGAATTGGGTGCTTGCATGTCTAGCAAGATCTGGGACTATCAATTTCCTCCATTGTTTCTCGGCAAAACAATGATCCAATTGTTCATCCGGAGATAAAAGTATGCTGAGTTGTTGTGAACTCTCTGTCAATAAAAAAAAACCAAGCCGACAGTGAACACTGTCTGTATGAAAGGACGTTGCCCTTGTCCACAGCGAGAACTAAATTTCATTCGATCGATATCATATAGGTGTATGTATACTATATGTCGTGAGTCGGTAAAATAAATTTCTAGAACTTTTTTGTGGGTTATTTTGAATTCCTTGTATAACTGGTAAACGATTTGATTGCCGCTCGAAATTCCACTTGAAAAAATTTTGATGGATTTGTAGATACCATTGGATAATATTTTTTAAAATTACTTCTGTTTAGACATTTTTTAAATTTAGTGTCAGCGATAATCGTTCATTACAACATTAAATAAAGCAACAGTGTAATTTGGGGATAAAATTTATAAAAATGTGAAATTTAAGATTTCGATTATTCTGTCATATATATAAACATCTCAATCGCTGTCACTTCCACGGAAGTTTTAATAATTCAATTGTTTTATTTATTATATTTTACAGAATCCGACCTGTGTAGAGGTGTACGTGTGTACATACACATCTAAAGGATACAATGGTGTATATATTATACTCAGTATCGTATGTTATTGTAGATCTAGAATCAATAAATACAAATACACATACAAAATAAAAAAATTTACTCGCAAACGACATTTTCGGAGCAGTCTTGCTGACCGCATTGAAACACCTGCAGAAGTGTAAAACAATAATGAATGAAACGGCTGTCGAGCAGCTGATGTTGTAGACAGCAAGCCACAATTTACTCGAAACGCACGTGTGCACCTCGCATACATGATCATTCACCAACGATGAACTATTCAATACACGTACTTACTGCCCGTTGGATCAATGGAAATTTACTTTTCATTATTAATAGTTAGTTATTAGATATTGTTATTCTCATTTTAATTAAACAAAGTAACAGGCGAACAAGAATTATTTTTTTATTCGATCAATCATAACTTAAAAGTCACTTTTATTAATACAAAAGACTATAAAATTTATTTTGGAATCAAAAAGAACGTATATTTCAGAGATTTTGGCAACACTCAATCTAATTTTCTAGAATAATCATAGACGTTACTCCAATGACGATGAGAACTTGCTTTTCCGCATAATTCCATCTCCAATTATAAAAACAAAAATTATTTTACATTAAATAACGCCAATCTAAAGTTTCGCAATGGCAACTCAAATTTCGTAAACGTTAGCAGAACTAACTACAGCAAAAATTATGATAATAATCGCAGGAAAAAAAGACACTTCATGCAGTGAATCTCGAAACTTCCAGTTCTTTTTACATGTGTCTCGCTCTAACTTAAAAACATTCAAGAATGAAAGAGAAACGGAAAGTTTGTCGCGTAGAGATAATAGCCTCACATAGGCACCAACACTTTTTTCACTAAATTACGCGGCTAGCCGAACTCATCCTGTTTGTAGGTTGACTCGTTACGTTTGTCAACACTTCGATCGAAAATTTGAAATTTTTTATCTTGGAACAAATTTATCTTGAAATAAAGTCAAGCCATCCTAATAGCGAAAGCTTTCTGTTCGACTTTGAACGCGAAATTCGTCATTTTTCAAAAAGTAAGTCTCAAAATATCTGAACAAATATCCTCTAACTGACGGTTCCCGGTGTCACATACGCGTCCGCTGACTTCAAAACAGGCGCGCAAACTGGCGGCAAAGCGCGCCAACCGGATTTTGACTTCAATCCCAAATTTTCTAAGAAACTCTCCCTTCGTGCATAAGGCCCAACAAGAGACTTCAATCTCTACACGGTCGCCCTTGATCTTCATTCAAAGAAAACCCTCCGAAACAACCACCTATCTGCGATTTTGGCGGCAAACTAGAAGCAGCCGATTGGCTCGCTGTCATATATTTATCTTTGAACAGTTGAAGGGGGAGACTTGCAGGTGCGGACTTGAGCCTCTCACATTTGAGCTGGTTTGGCGTTTCATTCCTCGTTAGCAGCTCGCGCGTTTAAGACTGGATTTTGATCCTTCGTTTGTATAAAGAAAACTTAAACAGACATGGCTTTGAAGGTTTCCACCAAAGAAAACGTCCTCTACCAGAGCTTTGAATCTATCTCGATCAAGAATGGAGTAAGTTTTTCATTCATGATTATTTAGTTTTCCGAGTCATGGACGATGGTCAGTGGCCGCGCAAACGGATGTGAACTATTTTCGCATTACTTCCGGAATTTCCTTAAAGTTTATTGAATAATAAGTTGAAGAAAATTTGTGTACCAATTGAATAATCAATTTTATTTTTATTGAGAATTTTTTTGATATATGAATTGAAGTAACAATAGATTTCTTGTTATTGTAAGACATTTACATAGAATATTGCTAGATCATATTCCATTAATTTTATTGTTCAAATATGTAAACACGGTATTATTTATACTGATCTTAATAATCTACCATGACTCGTGATTGTTATTGACGGATTATAACCTACCTGAAACATCAGCATGAAATTATCATAGGTCATCTACATAGACTTATCTTTCTAAACAATAATAATCAAACAAATAACCATTTTTCTTTTATGATTATTCGTTAACCAATATCATCTTGTGCTATGCTCATCTGACGACGATGATTGTTTTTTCGGTAATTATGTAATCTAATTAGGCAATCATGAACACAAACGGATATAGCTCCGCATCTTAAAGTACTCGAAACTCCAAAAATAAAAAAAAAGAAGCTCGAAATGCTACGCTGAATAAAGGCGGTAAGTTACAAAATCGTCACGCAAATGTTCTTGAGTCAGAAAGGTGGGAATCGGCTCTCTTGACGCCCGCGCTTTTGCGCTGCTTTCGCTCTGTTTTTTTACGCTATTCTTTCAACGGAATTCGATAAGCCGTTCGTGATCATGCTCGAGTTTGAATTCTTTTATTGAACACATACAAAATAAATTTTCGCATAAACGTCTTACATTCGAGCATAATAAAATTCAAAATGTTTCTAAAAATAATTGATAAAGATCGTGCCTTTCTAAACTAATCAATTATTCGCAAAAGTATTATAAACAATTATTTTTTATTCTATCACTCAATAAATCTTTTTGCAAATTTCAATGACGTTTTCTCGTAATTTTGCATTGGAAATTATTACGCGCTTTTACACAGCATATCGAAGAGATAAGAAAAGCTATACTTAGATTTCTTAATAACACTATTACACATATTGAGCTTTTGCCTCGTTAATGACAATTTTGCTTTGTATTTTTCTACTAAAACCCACAATAGTGACTAATACCTTTTCTTGCTTAATTAATTAAATTGCATTTTTCATATAAAAATAAAACAAGTTATTATCAAAACTTGAGTTTACAAAATTGCTTAATTTAAAAAAATATATATAATCTTGTACCAGCAAAATTACAGTTTTACTTTACTCTACTCTGAAATTTTACATTTGATTAAACTCCCAACAGAAAGTGCATAGCCATTAAAACAGTAAATCAAAATACATATAGATATAGTTAGTTCAATCACTGCTATATCTGTATATACTGCAAGCACATTTATAGATATATTGATCAAAATAGTAGGGGATATTAAATATTCCTCATTGTTTGACAGTTGTATTTTTTAAATAAAAAATTGATTTTGATCTTTAATCAACATTTCATTGCTTCTAAATCATGGAAATAATTTATGTGTCATCAAACTGATGGCTAGAGTTTCAAGTCCAACAATAATAATGTTTTATTTATATTTTGGTTAGATTAATATTGAATTCAAAAAATTTTAAAACTTTAAATCAGTGATTGTTTTTATAGCATTTATTGCTATTAAATTCAAGTCTTGATATAGCAAGAAAGAGTAATCAGATCCAACAATGAGTGTTTCCAATTTCAACACTCCACTGGCTATTTATTTAGTCAGACGCTGCTCCGTGTAATACTAACCTCAGCTGAAATATGTTCCAAGTAACTTTTTTTAAAGTGTGGATGGCAGTTAGATTTTTGTTGTTGTCAGGAAATAATTAGTATGAGCTATCCATGGACAGTAAGTATTAGAAATAAAAGTGTTTTGTGAGTTGTCATCAATTTTTTTTTTCATCCTGATACTACTTTTAATACGTACAATATACATTGCAATATTAAATATTTTAGTAGTCTTCTTTGTTGTAAAACTAATTTTTGTTTCAAATTAATAAACAGATATTTAGTAATTATTTAAATTGCAATTATAGTTAACATTATTTTGATTTTTTATTAGTTTTAATATTTGTTTTATTTTTTAAATTTCAGTTGTCTCCCAAAAAGCAGTGTCTATCTCCAACAATAACTTATCAAAATGGAGCTAAGAATAATGTAAATAATATATATTAAAGATAATTAGAATTTCATTATAAATTGGAACTTTCTTAATGATTTTAATTTTACAGGGTGAGCTTAATGCTAAAACTGCAAAGAAAATTGACTTCAAAGATTCAGCAGACATCTTTGATCCTGAATTAGAACCATTGTTGAAAGAAAATCCCAGACGATTTGTTGTCTTTCCAATCCAGTGGCCAGATATTTGGCAAATGTATAAGAAAGCTGAAGCTTCATTTTGGACTGTTGATGAAGTTGATCTATCTAAGGTAATGCAACAGAGCATAATATTTTTGTAATTGCATACATAAGTTTGAAATTTACGTAACTATCTGATATTTTCATATTTATTATAGGACTTAGATCACTGGAAAAAACTAAATGACAATGAAAAGCATTTCATCTCCCATGTCTTAGCATTCTTTGCTGCCTCTGATGGTATTGTCAATGAGAACCTTGTTGAGCGTTTTAGCCAGGAAGTACAGATCACTGAAGCTCGCTGTTTCTATGGCTTCCAGGTGGCCATTGAGAACATTCACTCAGAAATGTATTCTCTACTTATTGACACATATATAAGTGATCCTACACAAAGGTATGGATTCGTCATGTTGTTTCAATCATTAAAATTTTCATCTAATTTTAATCTTTTTAATTTGATATTTTCAATTTATAGAGACTTCCTGTTCAATGCTATTGAAACTTTACCATGTGTTGCCAAGAAAGCAAATTGGGCACTTAACTGGATCAGCCATAAGAGCGCATCATTCGCTGAACGAGTCGTAGCTTTCGCTGCAGTTGAGGGTATTTTTTTCAGTGGATCTTTCGCAGCTATTTTCTGGCTCAAGAAGCGAGGTCTTATGCCAGGCCTGACTTTCAGTAACGAACTCATCTCTCGTGATGAAGTAGTTAACAAAAAATTATTACTGATAATGTGAATGATCTAGAATTTGGTTCAACGATTAATTTCCTTTTCAGGGATTACATTGTGATTTCGCCTGCTTAATGTTCAAACATATCGTTCAAAAGCCATCCCAGGAACGAGTGACTTCTATAATCAAGGATGCTGTAACAATAGAGCAAGAATTTTTAACAGATGCTTTACCATGTAGTATGATCGGCATGAACTGCACGCTTATGTGTCAATATATCGAGTTTGTGGCCGACAGGTTGCTTACCGAATTAGGTTGTTCGAAGGTAATTCGCAATTTTCATGTCTTGATTAAAAATATTTAAAGATTAAGAATTTGGATTTAATTGTGATGTTTGTGTCAGGTTTACCATTCTGATAATCCTTTCGACTTTATGGAACATATTTCGTTGGAGGGCAAAACGAACTTCTTCGAAAAGAAAGTGGGAGAATATCAAAAGTGGGGAGTTATGCAAGAAAAGAGTACAAACGAGCACGTATTTTCGGTCGAAGCTGATTTTTAGAATAATAATCAACAAGTATTGAATAACAACTTAAACTTAAAAAACATCAAGTAATTTCTGTGAGTGAACTCAAAATTAATATTTTGAGTAAAATAGTTTATATTCACCTATATTATTATTCATTCTTATTTTAACGTTATATAACTTTTTTATTTACTTCATACATTTATATATTTTTATCTTATTTCAGAACTTGTGTGTATTATTAGAAGTTAGATTAACTAAAATTGTGACTAGAAGTTATAAAAACAAATGGAAAATTATTTAGAGCATATAATGCGTTCAAAATAGACGGTTTTATGTTCATGTCCATTATCACAAATTTCCTAAGCATAGTTTCATTTGACTTGGTTTCAAATTAGATGTGACTAATCATTAGAAGATTTCTAAAAAGTAAGAAATAATAATGTAGACCAGTGTTTAGGAACTCTGTAATAATAAGCATGAGGCATAAAAAACATTTTTATTCGAAACTGTAAAGTTTAAATACCTTGCTAAATGTACATTTTATAAAAACATGATGTCGGTAATCTTATAAGAAAATTTGTAAGTATGTACATAAAATGAACTTGATTTTATATTCTTTAGTAACTGAAGATCTTACATCAAATGTATTTCAGCAGTTAAACAAAACTCTTCATAATTTGGAGTTTAAAAAATCGCACTTTATAATGACGATAGCAATGGATTGATTATTACGAATTCTCGTTGAATATTATTTGATATTTTCATTTACTCAGCTTTGACTTATCTTTCATGCACTAAGCTATTATACAATTCATCTTATAATTTTTATATCTTCAATCTCGAACACTACGAAATGCCAATAATATTACATCATAAGCATTGATAAACAAGTGTATTGTTATAACAGTTAATGGTACATTAAACTTTTATAAAAAACTTTGTGTAATGGATATTTCAGAAAATTGTTATTTTTCATAAGCTATTGATACGATAATAAAGTAATTATTTCTATAAAAATTTATTTTGTTATATCTCTATTGAAGTAAGTTATACTTTCAAGATTCAATTGAAACTTCAATTAGTTTTTATACAGTTAGAAGAATTAAAAGTTATATCACAAATTGAAATAAAAAATTTTCAGTAAGAGTTTATTATTTTATTATTTATTTAGTTAGTTTCAAGAAATAAAATGATAAAATTAATAAGTTATCTTGATATTTATTAATCATTAGTTAAAATAAAGAACATTATACATATAGATAACAATATGAATAATTGATTAAGCAAAAAAAGACAATTGATTAAAAATTAGATTATTATAATTCCAAAGCCATTTTTCAAGCGATCCAAGTATGCTTTTCTGCAAACCATCTCATCAACAGGTCTGTTATATGGAGTCCAAATCGGTTCTCCAACAAAATAGCGCTTGGCTTTTATAAAATTCTACGAAAATACACATTCTAATTATTTTTCAGTAGTATCTTTATAATTTTGCTATGAATTTTGTACATTAATAATAATTCAATGCAATTAGAATTATTATTATTGTCTAAAATAATATATGAACTTGTACAATTAACATGATTATTAAGAAAACTCACATTAATGTCCAGAGTAAATCTGTGATAAATACCACTTGGAATGATAATCAAATCTCCAGCAGTAACTTCGATGCGAATCCACTGATCTTTTCCATCTCGTACATCAAAATATCCAGATCCATCAAGTACCAAGCGAATCTCCTCATCAGTATGCAAATGTTCAGTAAAAAAATTCTTCAACTGTAATTAAAAAATGACTAGTCATTTTGATATATACAACATTGACAGTTTAGAGTATTATATATCCATACCTTTTCTTCATAATTAGGCAAGCATTCTTGGGAGCAGGTAATTTCATCTTCGTAAGAATATCCTCTCTCATTTCTCAATTTTTTCAAAGTCTCATCGTTCTCGTAATTCTTATGATCAATCTGAAACACGTAATCATTATTTTAACGTAAAAATTCCGTAATAACGATAGAAGAGCTATTATTTTATTTTGATTGAAATTCAAAAATGGAACCGCTGCAAAACGTCAAATCAAATCAAAATACAACTGTTACAACTGCGCAATGTCATAACCTCTAAAAGACCTACCTTGAAGTATTCGACCCCGGTGAGTTTAAAAAGCTTGTGCGGCTCGAGAAATTCCGGAGGATAACGGTGATGCTCAAGCCGCTGGTCAGTGAGGCTGCCATCCATGTACCAAGCACGCATCCTCGAGAGTATTTTTTGTTGCCGGATTTGAGGAAGCAAGCAAGGTGAGTAATTGACACACCAGTGCTATAAACTGCAGGGTTTATTTTTTGCGCTTTTGATTTGATAGGTACTTCTGATGAGATAAATACGTCGGCGACTGATTAGGAAAATAAGAGGTAATAAATTGAGTACTGGAAAAAACTCAAGATAACTCTCAAGCTTCACTAATTAATGAATGTTTCACGATATTAGTAAACTTACTATGCTGGATTAATTTAAGTTATTACTACAGTCTCTTGAAATGTAATTGTTTCTTAGAAAATTTATGCATTTTATTTGAAAGTATATTATGTATACTATCATACCGAATGTTAAGTTTTGATACCTAAATGATATGCTCTATCAAATAAACTATAAATAAATAATATATTATTTTCTAAAAAATATGTGTTTATTCCGTTATTAACTTTTTTCTGCATTTAATTTAGAGCCAAAATGGGTATCAAGGAAGAAGATGAACCTCAAAAAAACTGTACGATTGGTGATTTTTACAATAGCTTGCAATTAAAAATAATCTCTTGCAATGAAGAGGACCAATTGTGCCACATTACATCACGTTCAACAGTGGAAAACAAGCGCAATATTGAGAATGTATGCAACACAGTTCAATATAACTGTCAGCGCTTTTGTATTCCAATGGAAGGAACTTTTTTAAAGAAAACAGAATTAAGCGTGAAAGCTTTCAAATATTTCATCTGTAATACTAAATTTAATTCACAATCTCTATTGGCAGATGATACAGCAAATGGTCATTTAGTTGATATGCATCCACCTTATTCAGTTTATTTATTGATTGAGATAGTATGGTATTGCAAATTTGAAGACATCTTAGCAGAATCTATTTTACATTTTCCATTGGATATATGTGTGGAAATCTTAGAAGTTCTGCCAAGATGTATTGATCTGCTAGACTTTGAGAGAGCAGCAAGGTTTCTAACAACTATTATTCCCAATTCTTATAAGAAACTTATTATTTTGAGGGATACAGGATGCCAAGTGCAGGATGTTACCCAGAAAGCTTCCACATTTTCAGCACATGTAGTAGAGCTTATTCTGCAGTTTATGAATACAAGGTTAATTACTACTTCTGCAATAATTGTTTTTCAATTTTCTTATGTAAATTTCTATTATTACAGATTTCTCAAGTTCGAGGATGTACCCAAAGAAGAAAAGTTCAAGCGACTAGGTAGGCTACTAAAATCTATTATCCAAATGGTCCGATTGTGCCTTACCATTAAAATCAAAAAAGTTGAACATCCAGTCGAAATGGAGAAACTATATAAATTGACTTTTGGCCATGCTGAATTTCATAAAATCAATGATGAACTGTTGCAAAAGCTTTTCTTAAACATGGACTGCGAATTAATCAGTCTCTTAACAAAAAAGGTCAAAGAGATTGACTGTAACATTTACATGGACTGGATGGAGTACGATGATCAAGAAAACACAGGAATGACTCTACAACGAGCAATAGGATTGGAATCTTACTTATTCATAGAGCATACAAAAGATCATGTAAGTCTAGAGTTGAAGGATTACAACCATTTAATAGAATATCTTGGTCAATTAGCTTCCAAACCAGAAAACGCCACCGAGAGCATGCAGCTAGAAGATTTAGCTTACGGAGTTGCAGAAGGTAAAAGAGAATATCTACTCGCCATTTTTAAAAGGTACAAAGAATGGAATGATTCCATAGTCGACTCGGTCGACAGTCACATCTCTTTATTAACTAAAGACGATTGTGAGCATATTTTCGAGTATCTCAGCGATGAGATCGTCTCTCAAATTTATCCTGAAAAACTACAAACGTGCCTACTCTGTCTATCAAAAGCTCTTATTTTTCTTGATATTACGGAACTCTACGAGATAACGGTGAAATTTATAGTGAAGTTTAATGATAACGACAACCTCGAGAACGTTATTGATATCACAAACTTCGAGCGATTCATTAGTCTTAACCCCAACCTCTCTGCTTCGAAAAATCTACGAGTCGTTTTATTTTTCCTCTGTTTAAAACCGAAAGCCACGCTGAAGATTCTTGTTAAGATGGCAATAGGTCACGTAGACTATCCTGACGTTGCCATAAGCATCGACGATCTCATGCTTCTAGAACCAATTATGAAGATTCAGACACAAAGTAGATACGATACACTGATTGATGTGTTGAGGTACAAGTGTTCAGAGACAGCGAAGCCAAGTAAGTACAATTCAAATTTTTTCTGTTAAAGTAAAAATAAAACACTTGCTAACTTTCGATTTTTATAGTTTGGAAAAATCCCTTCTATACTCCGAAAAAGAACGTGGGCAAGCCAGCTAGTGTGTCTCTGGTATTAAGAATTCTACAAGACATTTGCTTGGACGCTGCCGAGTGGAATTACAACAAGTTCGGCTCTTTCATGAAAGCTCTCTACACCTTCTGCAGTCCCACGGAATTTATTTGGGAAATTTTCGTGCCTTTCTTGTTGTCCGATCGTTGCACGATATACCAGTTGTATTATATCCTCGTAGAATTGCAGAAATTCATTAGTAATTTCAATACGAAATATCGTGTCACGGAAATACCGAAAATCGACGATACTTCTAGTACAAAGCGCACTGATTGCCACCTCCAAAATATCGATAAAAACACAGCTTACATCTTGAACAATGCTTTAATAGAACGTGGCATTTGGCTATTAAATTCTGTAAATATATCGAGGTACATTGTTAGTGATTGTCTTAGTATTATTCAATCTTTAATGGACCATTTGATTGAAACATATTACGTGTCGCAATCCCATCCGGTCAACTATTATTCTACAATAAGCACCCCGATAAGTTTTTTCATTATCAATAAAGATATTGCCAACCAGCTTCACAGGAAAGGAGCCCAGCTCAAAGTTCTCTTTGACTCGATGACAGTCGGCCATAAAAAAATGATATGCCCCTCTCCTACAAACATAAACTACCCGATGCGTCTAGTCATCGATGATTTACTCAGGTTTATAATGACTAAGTGCTCAAAGAAAAATTACCTTGAGTATACTCGTGAGATGATCACCACCTGTAATATCACTTTAAGGCAGAGTACTTCGAAACACGAACGGTGTGATTGGATTGTTCGACTGACTTTCGAGACTTGCTTGTTGTGTTTGGAATTTCCAATGATTGCTCCGGTCGATAGCGTGAGTTTTCTACTCCAATGTCTCAACTTATTTTTATCCAGTGTGATCAACACGCAAAAAAAGCTAGATCAAAAATTGTGCGACAGTCTTGACAAACATTTAGAGATAATCAAACCCGTCGCACCGTTCACCGTCATTTCCGATGCGTTCAACGAGCTCGTTTTAAAGTACGCGCAATTGAAGAATGATTTGGCTGCGAAGATCAAAGCTCTCGAAGTGTTCGCACTTAGCTGCACGGCGAAGAATGACAAATTGAAGAATTACGAAGGGGTCCATTCTCCGTTGGGTATCAAACTGTATTTGGCACACGGCATTGTTACAATGTCTATGGATGAAAATCTCAGCCATAAAGAGAAGTATATTGAAAAGCTCACCGAGTATTTAAAAAAACCGGAAGAAACGTAAAAAGATTGCTGAAATCTATTTTTAATTTATATATTTATACTTAGTTTGATAGATTTATTTTCACGAATACAGCCACAATCTATTTAAGTATAAAATAAAGTTCTACAAATGTTATCAATAACGAGTCAATGTTTGATTAATATTTCCTGTCACTAGTCACTATGTCAACTATTTATAAATACCTCATGAGTGTTTCCTTTTTTTTTTTCAAAAAGAAAATTTCCCAAACATTGAAATATACACCATAAGCTAGCTTAAAAAAGAAATAATAGATTGGAATAACGTTAAATGCGAATGATTATAATAATAATAGTTTATTATTCACTGTAATACACTGTATCAAATGTTCAAATGAAGGCAGGGCACAATACTCAAAGAAAACGCAATTATTGCACAGGACTGTCCTTATGTTTATCAATGAGTTTGAGCTGCTCTCTCATCACGCTTCATTTTGTATCTGTACATTTTTTTTCGGACAATTGTTATGTAGTATCTTTGTTTTTGTGCGACATATTTTCATCGAGAAAGAAAAAAGAATAAACATTGTTTCGGGACACGTATAAAAAGGGTTCTCTCGCAAATATATTCGTACAAAAGAACTCGAGTGGAAAGATTCTTTCTCGTGCACCTTTAGAAAAAATACAAGAGAGCTTCACATCAACAAATAATTATTAACTATATCTCGGTTTTTCATTATTTTCATTTTCCTTTTTTTTTCGCAAAAATTCACGATCAACATCGTAGAAAATGACACTTATACAACCTTCGTGTTTTTAATGATACCTCACATGTTTTTATTCAAGTTTATTTCATATTTTTTCGTAATCGTTTTTTTGTTTTCTCATCGCATTATCGTAAATTCACTAAAAAAAATGTCTTTTTTTTTATATCCGATTAAAAAGAGTTTATAAATCAATAATATACACAGATTTGCGCATATGTATAGTAAAAAAAGAAATCGCACGTTTTTATTCTCACTCTCGCGTATATATATATATATACAGGTTTCACCAATCTGAACCGAAAATAATGACAAATCAACGACGCGAGGTACACACGAAATTTTGAGTACAACGCAGTTATTTCGCGTGTACCTTACAAATTCTTTTGCGTGTATGTACATATATGCCGTGGAAATGATTGATTATACAATTAGCGACAAAACAAAAAATTGAAAAAAAAAAAACGAAACGGGATCGTAACGCCTACTTGCCATATCGAGTAATAAACATTTACTAAGTCTCAGTAACATTACACAGCAATTCATGAATATTAACGTTCGATTGTTGTCCTGCACAAGAATCATCACATCTCTCAATATATATATATATATATATATATATACGTCTGTCGTAGAAAATGGAAAAAGAAAAAGAGACTAAAACTGGTCGACGATCAATCTTATATACACCATCCACTCGATACATAATTTGTTATTTTACTTTGCGTGTCACGATTAGTTGCAAAAAAAGAAGAGAAAAGAAAGAAGGGTAGCAGAGAATAAAAAGAAAAACAATAATGAAATTGTTGCGCTCTTGCTTATTTAATCTAAACATCGTACAAAAATTACGGGAATCGCGACGCGTCGAGTCGAGCGATACGTTGAGCCTGATCGTGTCTTTCCGTGCTACCGACATTTCATTTATTTTCCTTTTACTTCGTTTTTTCATGACTAGATTGTCGGCCTGGCAATTGCTTTTCTTTTTCGTTTCTAAAAAATCATTTTTTGTTTTGTACAATAATTTACAAATTGGTTGCGTTTTTTTGTTGTCACATGAAAAAGATTCTATAGACCTGAGACACTTAATTGACAATACAATCCTTTTCCTTGACATTCGATCGAGAGACTATTTATTATGAGAAAATTGACAATACATGTTACATGCCAGCCGCCGAGCCGAAAAAAATATACATCACCCTCTCGACACTCAAAAAAGGTTCAACGTTCGTTTAGCTCTTTCGCTACGATAAATCCCGACTCTCTTTCTCGCTGTCTATGGCTTTCGAACTATCTCTCTCCCTCTCTCTATCGCGAGACACAATCTTCTTATTACTTATTTTCTTTTCCCTCGTAATAATATATAATATCTATATATAACCCCTCGTCTCTATGTACACAACTGTCTCTCACAATCTCGCTGCTCGCTGTAAAAAATATATACCGCAGGTAGATTACACACCGAAAGGCCGATTACAATAGTTTACGTCTGTCTGTGAATGTGTTTGCTGTACGTGTGTGTGATATGCGCGTTAAAACGTGTCGAGCATTTTAGAAAAATATGCGACTCTGCTAGTATATGAGGAGATATACAAGGTCGTATTTTACGTATGTATGTGTGTGCATGTGTAATTGCGTATGCTTTTCCGCGTATAAATTGACGGACAATAATTTCATGTGTACTCTCCAAATAAGGTGTATCGTCCCGTCTCTGCGGAGAAATGATGGGGAGTCGGCCATGTGAGCACTAACATCGAGTTTGGTTTATAACAATCGCATCATCATCAACAACGTAGTTTGGTCGACTCTCATTCTCTCTTTTTAAACAAGATCCCCTCTCTTTCCTCTCAATATCCCTCACGCTCTTTATGTATATTACAATAATATTACACGTAATACTATCGGCGCATCCGACAGTTTCTGTTCGTCACGATCGTTTTGCTCGTTTGATTGGGCATTAAGTATTAGAGCACGCAGCAGCAACAGTAGCTCTTCTTCTCCTTTTCAGGACTAAAGTTCATCTCGCGCACGATCTCGGCGAACACCTCGTTAACGTTGGTGCGGTTTTTGGCCGACGCCTCGACGAACGGACAGCCCCACATCTGCGCCAAGGCGTTACCCTCTGCCGTGTCAACCTCGCGCTGGTGCTCCAAATCGAGCTTATTGGCCACCAATAGAACCGGCACTCGCTCGGTGCCCTTCACGCGCGTTATCAACTCCTTCATGGCTTTGATGTCCTGGAAGGTCTGATGATTGGTTAAGCTGTAGACAACGACAAAGCCTTGGCCATTCTTGATGTAGAGGTCTCGCATGCTGGCGAACTGCTCGGTGCCGGCGGTGTCGAGAATCTCGAGTACGCAGGGCGAATTGTCCACCTCGATCTCTTTGCGATAGAAGTCCTCGATCGTCGGATCGTATTTCTCCATGAAGCAGCCCGAGACAAATTGCACTGTGAGGGCACTTTTGCCAACTCCACCAGAACCCAGCACCACAACCTTGAACTCCCTCATGGCTGCTTATTTTTTGTGTGTGAGTGTGTTAAGCTGACTCACTTAGTGATAATTCCAAAAAGAAATGTGTGCTGCTCCACTGTCACTAGACAGACACACAGCTTTTGACTAAGGCTACAATTTATAGCCTGCCTGGCAGTTTCTGGATGACAAAGGCATCTAGCGAGTGCTGCTTTTATTTAGGATTTCTCAACTTCTCCACAATGCCGATCATTCAATGGCTCTTTCACTGTTCTGTGAATCCTGTAAAATACAAGCATTCCTCATTATTGCAATTAGTTATGAGTAATAATTGAAAAATGAAAGACTCTACAAGGGTAAAGTATGGAAAAAAAACATTTATAAGCAAGAAACGCCTGCTGGTCATCAATGTTGAAGCTATTATTACTAGGAATGACACTTTACTAACAACAGAGTTCATTTTTGCCATGAGTCATCACACAAGTTTCTTTATGCATCAGCGTAACAAAAAAACGCACTTGACTAATTTATAGTTTTCAAACTTTCTTCTTAATGTCAATATTGCTAACAATACATAAACAGGGACAGGCGTTGTGTTTGTGGGTGCATATATGTGTGGGTACGCGTTTTCGTAATCGGATGGAATAACGACAGAGTGTAGGTACATGTTATATTGAAACAAGCGCGTCAAAGTAAAAGTTACTCGAGAGGAGATTGCTTGACTAGATTGTTCATTAAAGCGCTTCGATGAGCATCAAGGTCATGCAGCGCATTTCTACTTAATCGAACCTCGCTGCTATACGTATCTCTCGTGATAGATTTCTCACCGAAAGAAAACTTCGTTAGTTAGAATAATCCCGAAGTTCATTATCAGTGCTTGCTGCCATACACGGCAAACTGTTACTCACTCGCACTCGACAAGTTTGTAAACTTAGATCACACACGTAGGTAACGTTTAAACGATTCTTTTTCTCTCACTCACTTGCGCACACACGCACGTATACATGCACACACACGCACATCCAGATACATGGAGCGGCTGTCAATCAATCAATCAAACGTACAACAAACACATCGTGCGGGAGGAGAGGAAGAGAAAAAAAGATGACGTCCGGCGTGCTGAGAGAAAGAGAGAGAGTTCAGCGCCTCCTCCTCGAAGCAGAGAACCACAGATAACGCATTCCCCCGTGCGGGCGTGCCCCCTGCCTGCATGCGTCTATCTATCCCTACCTATAAATTGTTAATCCTTTGTTTTTCAACAAAAACGTGCCTGTGTCGCCAGGCCCGCAGTTGTCTCTCGTTGTCGTCGAGCACGGTGTGAAACACACACAACAGCATACATATACACATACACACACTCGTGGAATGCTGTGGCTTCTCGTCACAGAGTACACTCACACACTGCGGATGCACACGCACACGCAGGCGGCAAGGAAGTGTAGCTCGTCGCGTTTAAAAGGAGAAGAGAAAAACGTGCCCACCTCATCAAAAGAGCGCACGGCCGGAGTTACTTCTTCCTGCTTGGCGACGACGACGACGACACGCGCGACGCCATCTTATCGCTTGCGCTGCTGCTGCTACTGCTGCTGCGGCGGCGGCGGTGGTGGCAGCGGCTTCCTTCCTGTCTCTCTCTCGCTCTTCTCTGTGCAATACTCTGCTGCTGCACACTCGCCCTGTCTCCGTTCTTTTCTCTATCGAGCTCGTATAAGCGACGCGTGGGTACACAGCCTTGCAGTGTTGCAACGGTTTTAGGTTATAATGCAGGACACTTGGTAACACTCTCCTTACTCGCTCACAGACAACCATGTACATAACACACGAGGAGAGAGAGAGAGAGCGGACACTCCGCTGCTACTTTACAAGCCACTGACGAGAGTCCGTCTCCAACGAGACATACAGAGAGACTGGCCAGGACTGACTGGCTGCTTACTCTGCTCTGGCTGGCTCGAGCGCCCCGTCTCTCTCACTCTCTCTCTCTCTCTCTCTCTCTCTCTCTCTCTCTCTCTCTCTTTTCGCTCTCTTTCTCGCTCTGACGAAAATCCTGAATGACAGAGCTAAGAGAGAGAGACAGAGAGCGAGAGAGAGAGGGAGGGAGAGAGGGAGACAAGCGCGCACTCAGCAGCAGCGAGGCAGGCGAGCGCACTACCGTTTTCTTTGTGGGAAAAGCGAGATCCGAGATTCGCCCTGGCACACGCAGCAGAACAATGTTCAGGCATTTCTCCACAAGGGCATTTGGCCGACACGTGTCGGTGTACGTGTGTGGCTTTTCACGCGCGCGTTGCGCCGAGCGCGGCCTCAAAAACGCTTTGACGGCGCGCCGAGCCGCGAGCACGTTCGCGCGATGCATTGTGCATCATCATCTGCGACGCATGTGCACGCCGATGCGAGCTCGTCTTTTCTGCTGGTTTTTCTTTTCGCTCCCCTTCTCCACGTGGCTATGCCGCATTGGCGAATTCGCGCGTTTAACGATTTACGTCGTAACTTTCACTCGATGATCCGTTGCGAGCGTCTTTTCCGCGCTGTATGCGCTGAACGCTGCCAAGACGAGTGCGCGCGACAACGGCTCTATCAGCGATATTGGGATGACAGCGATCTCGGGACGAGGAAAGGGCGCGAGAGCAACGCGGAACGGAGGCGACAATTGCGCGCAGGCAGCGGCACGACCGAACCCTCGGCCGGGAGAGGAGCAGCGATTCGTGCCGCAGGCGGCCGGAATCCCGTTGTCAAAGCCGCGCGCACGCGTTTCCACCCGCGAGGGAAGAGCTTCGCGCGCCTCGATCGGCTCGGCGGAGCGCGTCGAAGGGACGCGTTCGCGCGATTGCGCCGTCGGCCATGACGCGCGATCGTCGGACGGAGGCGCGCAAACGACGGTGGCGAGCAGCGGCACGCGCGGCTGGACCGGCGTCGGTCGGTTCGGCGTAGCCTCTCCTGCGCGCGCGGCCGAGAAAAGCAGTGGCGTCGTCGTCGGAAAAATGCGCGCGCGATCGCGACTGCGCGAAAGCCGATCGAGGAGCAAGAAAATTCGGAGCTGGCCGCCGGCTATTATTAGTGCGCGTCGGGGCGCAGTCGTGGTCCGAAGTGCGCGGCGCCGAGGCACCCGAGATACACGCAACCGCGCGTGACGACGCTTCGCTGGTTCTTTTCGCAGCCAAAGAAGAGTGAAAGAGCGAGAGAGAGAGAGAGAGAGAGTGTGCGTTGCGCCCCCGACGACCTGCTATGGCGTTGTTCTACAATCTCAACAAGTACGCAGATTTTGCGAGCAAGTTTGTTGTGACGTGTGCTCCGCGTGCGTAATTATCTCGCCAGCCGCCAGCCCGTGTACCGTGACTAATGATCTTAACGTCCGACGCGACAGCGTGCGAAACACGACGGAGAAAGGTGAGAAAGAGAGTCGCGCTGCATTGTATTTTCGGGGCGATCGTCAAAGTCCTCGGCGAGGCCGATACGATCGCGTTCTTTTTCCCTCTCCTCGCTACGCCTCGCCGCGAAGCGAATTCCCCGATTGTGCCCCCTCGAAAAGCTCGCGCTGTCGCGGCTATTTTCGGGTTAATCCGTCCGCGAGGAGCGAGTTGATGGGTTATAAACGACGGCGGAAGGCGTCCACGCGCGCGGACTGTAAATAAAGCGCGACTCCTCGGCGGCTCTCTCTTCGCTTGGCCGTCGACAATACCGCGCCCACGCGCGGAAATCCCATGGTCGCCGCGCGACGACGATCGCCAATCCGACGCGGCTAGCACGTGCCTCCGACGAGACGAGAGCCGCGCCACCGCGGTCCGCTCGAAGCAAAGCGACCTGGTTCGGCCGCGCGCGCGCGCGTGCCAACCTGTTGAGCGAGCGGCGGCCGTCGATCTCTCGTCCGCGCTCCACGAAGCAACGGAAGCCGCTTGTTCGATCGTCCGTCTCTCTCTCTCCCTCTCTCTCTCTCGCGCCACCGGATGATATCATCCTTCGAAAGTGTGCATAGTCGAGCGATGCATCACGGGCGTCCGACTAATGGGCGCGATATTCGTGCGTTGCGCGCGAGCGAGCTCTCTCGCGGGTCTCGTCGTCGACCACCGGAGTATTGAGTTGGGTTGGGCTCCGGACGACCAGCTCGGCGCGCGTCTCGATCGCGCGCTGCGTCCGCGCTAATTTTAGAGCGGCGCGTGCGTCGACATCCGCCGATTGCGCAATCGATCGGAATAAGGTCGACGATCGATCGATGACTCTCACCTCTCCCGGCTGACCAGCTGCTACGTGGACGCGCGTTCTCTCGCGACTGATCGCGCGCGCAATTCCAAACTGCGCTCGCGGCGCCGGCGGAGAACGCGCGGGGAGAGGAGGGGCAGCGGACGTGACAATTGCATCTCCGACTTTGCATGTTAAAGGCTCGGACTCGGGCTGGCAACGCGGTGACTCAGAGGCTCCTCGCTTTTTTTTCCCTCTCGATTGGAACGACAATCGAAGATAAGATAAGATAAGATAGGCCGCTCTGTTGTGGTTTGTCGTCCGCGTCGGCGCTTCCACTTCGGGACGTAATGCACGGGAGAATTCATCGGCCTCGTCGACATATCGCGCTCGTTCTATTTCCAACGATATGCGCGAAACCTTCGGACGCGAGAAAAAGGAGAAATTAATTAGCGCTGTCGGTCGTCGACCTCAGGGGAAGGGGAGGTACACATCGATAGCGGCGCCGTCCGAAATGATCGACGCCCGCGGAGTACGAATCATCGCACCCTCGCTCTTTCTCTCTCTCCTTCGTACGTCGGTCTCTCTCTCTCTCTCTCTTTCACTCTCTCTCCGCACAAGAATTTTTCCCGCCGAGCAGCGCGATCGCGGCCTTGCACTCTCTCGTCGCCTCTTGCCCAGAGAGCGGAGATATCGCGCGTGCGGACGACGACCTCGCGACGGGAGTATAAGCGACCGATAAAGAAAGAGAGAGAGAGAGAAAGAGAGAGCACGCGCGGCCGAGATTTTTCCCGATGGCGTCGTAATAGGTTTTTCCGAGGATGTAACGCTCGCGCGCTCCACGTTCATCAACGAATTCACGGGCCCACGACGACTGCTCGCGAGGGAAGTAAGAGACGAACGCTCGCTCGCTCGCTCTCTGTTTCTCGCGTATTGGCGGCTTCGCTCGTCCGCGCGTCTTGGGTAGCGTGCTCCTCGCACGTCGGCGGTCCGCGCGCGACAATGTCCACATCGCGACATCGAGGAGTCGACGAGCGTTCGACGGCGGCTGGCACCGTTATAATCGTCCGGCGAAGAGAGAGAAAGAGAGAGAGAGAGAGACGATGGCCGTTTCCTCCTCGAGGCTCTCCGGATCGGCATTTCGCGCACGTTGCGGCCAGCCGCAAGGCCGCGCACGCGACGGTAACACCGCGATGCCCGCAGGATCCACCGCGCGGACAGCCTGCGCGAGGCGCAGGAGCGCCAGGCGGCCAGGTCGGCGCCCGCCACGCCGGACGCCCTCGCAGCGCCCAGGAACCTGCAGGCCCAGCAGCAGCAGCACCGCTCGGCGCCCAGCACGCCGACCAGCGTCGCCAAGCCCACCGCTCCGCCGCCGCCGCCGCCGCCACCGCCGCCGCCCTCGGCAGGTGCGTACGTCCGTCCGTCTCCGCGTGCCCGTGCAGAGCCGTCACCCGGGAGCAGATCCCTGACGTACCGATCGACCGCGTCGCCGCGGACGGCCGCCTCCCGCGGGAGCTCGCTCTCGCGGCCGAGCCGGCGACCGGCGTGCGCCGCGGCGAATCGGCGCCCACGTCGCCGGAAAGCGCGCGGCCCTCCCCCCCGCCTCCTCGGCGCGCCGCCGATTTTCCAGGCGCGCGTTATCTCGCCGGGCGCTCTCCCACTCGCGCAGAGGCGCGCGACCGAGCAGCAGTCCGAGTCGCGAGCGCCTGCTCCCGGCCGCGCGGAGGAGTCGGCGGCCGATGGGGGACGACGAGGGCCACGCGGACCAGCGCCCGTGGAAGCTGAAGCTGCGCCAGTTCGGCAGGCAGGTGCGCAAGCTGCTGGCGCAGCTGCAGCCGGGCCGCGCGCGGAGGCGGCGAGCCGGCTACGTCAGGTTTCTCACCGAGGACGAGCAGCGCATCAGGTTCGGGCCGCGCGCTCGCGCCTCGCCGCGCCGTCCTACACACGTCTGCTTCTCTGTTCGAAGGAGGATGGCTAAGGACCAGTACGACCTTTCCGCCAGGCTTGCGCTCGCTTATGCCCCTTGACCGGCTGCTCGTCTACCGCGAGCCCGACGGCCCCGAAGGTAAGCAGACGGCCTCTTCGCGACGCACGCGACGAGTGTACGCGATCGCCTCGCGACACGCGCCCGACGGCAATGTTTACCTTCCATCCACAACAACGCTTCCTTTCGAGCACGCGCGTTGCTCGGCCGCCTGTACGCAGCAGCTTCTGGGCTCGGGCTCGTTCGCTCGCTCTTGTCTTTCCGAGAGCTTTCCGTCTGTCCGCCATTCGCCGCCAATTAAGAGTCGTCGGCGAATCGCGCGTGCGACCTTGGCGCTCCGCGGCACACGTCGCCTCGATCTCGAGCGCCCAACTGACCGAATGCCGGCGCGTGTGCAGCGGCGCGCACCTGGGACACCGAGAAGCGCTACCGAGTGACGGACTTGTCGGGGCAGCAGCTGTACACGGCGGTGGAGGAGTCGTCGTGGTGCGGCCGCTGTTGCCTCGGCCATTGCCGCGGCTGGACCTTCCACGTGCTCGACCTGCAGGGCCACGAGGTGCTGAGGATCGAGCGACGACTGCGCTCCGCCAGCTGCTGCTTCCCCTGCTGCCTGCAGGTAAGCCTCGCTCGACTTCTCGTCGACGGCTCCTCCTTGAAGGACGGCCATCGGCGTCTCGCGTGATCGCGAGTTGAAACTGTGGAAAAACTCGCGAATTTTCTGGACTGTATACTTTCCTCGAAACTTCCTTTAAAAGTTTTACAACTTTCAACATATTCGGCCATACCGGTTTGCTGGCGCAATTTCATTCGACGTCGTCAATTGAGTTGAAAATTAAAGGTTACAGTCAATTAAAGCGACATATTTTTACTGACGACTAATTAGGAATAATACCCGATAAAATGAGAGAAGTCAATCACTCAATTATCGCCTGTTTACTTGTCCGCGGAAAGCGCACGATAAAATTCCGATAAATTTATTTTATTGAAATTCATATGCGAGCCTAGGCCGCTCGTTACTCAACTCGATTCGACAGACTACTCGGCACTATTTGTACAAATCCGTCTGCAATTTTAACAGTTTTCTAGCTCCGAACTTCTCTCGTGTCATCACCTTTGCAGCAGATATGCAAACCACCTAGCTTTTGCATTATATTAGGAAACAATGGGAAAAATTAACAAGCGTACGTTCTAATTGAAAAAAGCGGCAGGGACGTAGCGTTTTTATTTCCATAAGCGCAGGAATGAAGCGTTGGATCTCATTTTTTCCTGAGCGAAGAGCCGCACGCTCTCGCAAAGCTGCAGACTCGTCCCTGGGGAGATTCCGCCGTCGAACGCGCGAACCCGCGACGATGAGCGAACTGAAAGCGACGTTTTCTGCCGCAGAAGGTGGCGGTCTACGCGGAAGGCGAGCTGCTGGGCTCGGCGACGCAGAACTGGAACGCACTGCGGCCTTCCTTCACCATCCGCGACTTGCTCGACGAGCCCGTGCTCTTCATGAAGGGCCCGCCCTGCCTCTGCCTCTGCCGAGGCGAAATCGACTTCGTCGTAAGTTTGCCGCCCTCTTTCGCGCGCGCGCGCCCGACTCGAGCTTTCCTCTGCCTTTGCGCGTTCGACTTCTTCCGACGAAAAAGCCAGCCTGCATCGCGCACATTAACTCGGTAACTCTTTTATCGCGGTGATCATCGACGCGAAATCCAATTAAAATTCTTACTTGAAATCCTCGTCAGACAACTTTTTTTGTTTCTTCAAACAAGTGTATAAAAAAGCAGGCAAGCGCAAAAATTAATCGCGATTTCCCACGCGTGATAACGGGCTCGAGATCAAAAGCCGAGAGAGAATGCGAATGAGTGACTGGCGAATAATCTTTCTGGGCGGGTGCTCACAGGTGAAGTCGATCGACAAGCTGCACAGCGTGGGCGTGATCACGCGCAAGTGGACGGGCATCGCCCGGGAGTTCTTCCGCGACGGCAACTGCTTCGCCGTCGGCTTCCCTGCCGATCTGGACGCCAGGGTCAAGGCCACGCTGCTCGCCGCCTGCCTCCTCGTCGTGAGTATTGCTCGCGCTCTTCGTATCCAAGTCGCAGCGTGATCCTCGGTCGACGGATCAGCGCGCGCTCTGCGGTCTCCGTGTCAGTTGCCTTTGGTTTCTCTCTGTCACTCGAGACGCGACCTTCGCAGTTGTCTTGCGCAGTTAAGTCCGATCGCGACTCATTCGCTTTATCCATAATGGCTACTCTCGGACGCGCAGCCTTCTATCATTCCTTTATCCCTGAGAGAGAGAAAGAGAGAGAGAGAGAGACAAAGACAATATTATAATCGAGCGAAGATTTCGGCGCCATTTTGACATTCGACAATAATAAAGCTTATGTTGTTTTCAGGATTTCATATACTTCGAAGAGGCGACAAACTTGAATCGTATCAACAAGTAAACTTTCACAGGCAAGTTAAGTGAGGCTTGAAAATATATGTGCCAGGCTCTATTTTCCGCAACTCGTCGCACCTTTTTAGATTTTAAGTCGTACGCTGTTTTGTCGTGTATCATATCTGGAAAAAAGGCCGCATTTATAATCTTATCTTCGATGTATATCTCCCCCACTCGCCGTGTTACCTTTAGCGACAATCGCATGTCTCTGACAATAAGACTGTCTTCCCGATGTTCATTATTATCACTCGTGCGTATATTTTTGTGAATGTATTTAATGTTACTTCTAATTGCGTTGTTACGATATATATATTGTATTTTATTCACGTATTTAAAAAAAATGTTTTCATGTGTTAAATGTTTATTATGGTGATGTATTGAATCACATTGTTACGTAGAATCTCGAGATTAAATTTTCTTAATAAAAAAATAAAACATTTCTTATTTGACGCATGAAAGGTGTGAAATGAGTAGACACACGAAAGCAATCGTTAAGGTGTACGTCTTTTTATTCGTGTTCTAATTTCGTATTTTCAATACATCTGGCGATCTTTGGATAGAATAAACGAATACTGCGATTAGCAAATGTGTCACGCTCACGCGCTTCATTCTCGCACACACCTTTCGTTCGACTGCACTCGCTTTTTCATCATTATCTCTTTTTTAGATTTTTCGCTCAGTCGTTTTAAAAAAGATCGAACGTGTATAGCTTCATTAAAGACAGTAAGCAGAAATATTATTTCTCTTTTGAAAAGAAAATACATTGAACGATCCGACCGCGCTACATTGATAAATGAACGTTTTTTCCATTGCAAACACTCACATCCATACCGGATTTTTGTTCTTCGCGATCGAGTGTGCTTACGTATTTGTTTTTTTATTAATCTAAAATATCATGTTTGTTATTTTTTTTCTTCCACTTTTTCTTTAGTTACTTTGTTTTTTAGCGCTTCGCTCTAAATGAAACGATCACAATTAAAAACGTTTGGATAGCACGAGTGTGACTATACGTGAACCAAAATCTATAATTGAGCTTAACGAAATATAATGCGTAAATGAATAGATATATAAGCAGAACGATAAAAGTGAAAAATACAAAGGAAAATTATATATAATACGGAAAAGCGAAGAGCAAGTTTACTCGAATACTACGTGCTCTTTGTGTACAGCTATAAGATGTTTTGTCGTTACACTGAGTACTACACAAGCTAAATATTTAAAAATTGAGTAAAACAAGCGATGTCTGCACGACGATAATACAAAATAAAGTGGAGCGATAGGGGCAAAAACCGAGTAAATACTGAAAATCACAACATACAATCATATAGTACAAGCTGCTCGCGGTATCCTGTTGTTTTTTTCTCCTTTGGTTATTTTTTTTTTTGTTATTTTTTTAGGTTTTTAAATCTATACCTCCCAAACCTCGATTCCCCGGCCATGCTTATCTAGATTTTTAACAATGAAATTATAAGGAACTGATCGAACTTCAAGTACCTTAGCAACGTAAAAATATATAAATTAAAGATTCTCTTTGACAATGTTGTTACCAAATTGAAGGTAAAAAGCGTTGTAATAACAATCAACAATATACTCGCTGTGCAACGAAAAAATCCATAATACACTTGCATACAATTACAATACGCCGGCAAAGTTACTATCAATCGTTTGTTTAGTTATCTTTGTAGGATTCTTAGCATTGTCAATTCCACTGTTGATTAGTATCGCGCCCCTTTCGCGCTTTTCTGTTGCTGCTGATGATACCAGGGATTCAAAAAAAATATGACGGGGTTTGGGGATGATGATCGGAGACAGAACAAATCTCCTCGCAGCTCCTAGTTAATTTCAAACCTGAAAAAAGAAAATTAAGAGAAATGTAAATATTTGTCAGATTACAAGTTGGTGGATTTGCGCGGAAAATAAATGGCGATTTACCCTTTAAAGCTCCTTCTCGATCTTGATGAGTTCGGCAATGCCATCATGCATTTCCTTGACAGCCTGGTACTCGGTAAGACCGAGACGTCTCTTGTTAGAGATGTCGTAGATGCCGCCCTCAGCCTCGGTATGCTCACCACGAGTTCCACGGACCTAGCGAATGATAAAGCACAACATTTAATACGATTGGTCCGCTTCACCGTCGATTTCGTCGATAACGCACCTGGAGATTGAATTTGGTGGCGACCTCCTCAAGCTTAGCCTTGTTGGCGGCAAGCTTAGGGACCTTGATGTGCACGGAAGCGCGCACGGTGGTGCCCAGATTTGTTGGGCAGAAGGTCAAGAATCCAAGTCTGTCGTGGTGCGAGAACGGGATCCTCTTCTCGATGTCGTTAACGGCAGTGACGAGACGTCGGTACACCTGTCCGAGATCGCCGCCCATCTGCATGGAGATGATGCGAAGGTGATCCTCCTCATTGCACCAGACTAGGAAGGTCTTGGCGTCGTTGTGGAAGATACCACGACCGGACGGCCAGAATCGGCAGGCGTTGGCTGCCTGGAGGAAGCGATCGCCCTCCTTGAAGAGGAAGTGATCGTCGATGAGTTTCTGCTGGGTCTCCTTGCTCATGCCGGTCAGCGGGTAGAACGTTCCCTTCAGCTCGTCCTCGAGGCCGGACAGAGTGGTCGACACCTTCTCCTCCATCTCCTTGTACTGAGCCTCGGTGAGGCACGGGTTGAACGGGTAGCCTTCCATCGAGCGGCCGCACCTCACGCGCGTCGACACGATGTAGTCGCCCTGGAAATTATCGATTTTTGACTCGCTTTATT